GCAAATTGGGGTGTGTGTGTGTGTATGTGTGTGTTTCTCCCTTTCTCTCCCTCCCTTCCCCTCTTTTTTAAAAATCAATAAATTGAAATTAAGAACAATCTGACAGTAACCAGAGGGGACATGGGGTGGGTAATGGGGGGGAGGGTTTTCAGAAACAACTATAAAGGACACACGGACAAAACCAAGGGGGAGTGGAAGCCCGGGAGGGAGGCGGGGCGTTGTGGGAGGTAAATGCAGAGAACTGTTCTTGAACAACAATTCAAAAAATTTTAAAAATCAATAAATTAAAAAGAAAAGAAATAACATCATTGGGAAGAGTCCATCTTTTAAAGCTAAGTTTTCTCAACTTTTGTGTAAATATTATGAGAACTTAAGGCTTTTATTCAAGAAAGTAGTCTTATATATTTTATAGAGAGTTAGAATTAAAATTTGAAAAAATGTGTGTGTGGTCCTAGCCACTATTCTAGTTATAAATAATACCCAGTTAGGTTATAAAAGAATATATGCCCAAATGGAATTTGATAGTGGGAGACCTGTTTCACAGATTCTTCAAGGTTGGATTTAGGCAGACTGCTGAGTAGGTCTTTTCCATGAATTTGGCCATTTGTCTGTTTTCAGCCTGCTACCTTCCCTTCTTGAAAATACCCTTGGACTTGAGTAGGGAATTTAATGATAGTGGCTGCCTCCCCCTATCATTTAATTAGTTGAAGATCCCACCCTTCCTATGTAGGACATTTGATGGAGCTGAGTTTTCGTGATGTCCCTTTGGTGTCAACATAATGGATTGGGGGGGACAGAGAAGATGATTTCCTTCTTTCCCTTTTCATTAGGAATGATTAATCTGCTTCCTCTTTTTTTCCTGACATCTTTCATGTATGAAAACACTCCCTTGATGTAGAATTTGTTTCAGGAAGCACTTACCTAAGCAAAGAATGTGTGGGAAGAATTTTATCAACACTTTATTTTAATCAATTATAGGTGTTGCTCTTGAATAATAGCTAAAAGTTGAGTTTCCAGAGCACTCCCAGATAAGTCTCCACCAAAAATGCCCCATAATGTGATTTCAGAGTTCTCTCCCATGTATGTTATCAACAGCATAAAGATTTACATCCTACTGATATCAGTTATGCTGTGTGCAAGTAGAAAGCATCCAAAGAATGAAACATACAGAGAAAAGTAGTCTAATAGGGGAAAAGCTAATCAAATCACATTTATAAAGCGCTGAGATTAAATACAAAAAACCTCAGCTCCCAGCTGAAAATACTATATATCAAGTGCAAACATCCTTCAAAAATGATGAAATAAAATTATCCAAGTTGAAGCGTAGAGTTGTAGAAGGAAATGAAGAGTATGGTAGGTTACCTGAAAAAGCAAATGTGTAGCAAATATAAGAATACTATTTATTAAAAGAATAATAATGTCTTCTGTGGTTTATTGTTATGTATATGTAAGGAAATATGACAATAACAGCAGATAGAGATGAATTATTGTAAAATTCTTGCATTGTTTAGTGAATAGTAAAAGTACTAACTTAATGTAGATTATAATAAGTCAAGAATGCACAGAACAAGACAAATAGAAAATAATAGCAAAATGGTAGACCTAAGCCCAACTGTGTCAGTAAAAACATTAACTGTAAATGGCCTAAACACTAAAAGACAACAATTGTCAAACTAGGTAGAAAAATTAAAATCAAGCCCTGGCTGGTGTGGCTCAGTGTGTTGAGTGCCGGCCTGTGAACCACAAGGTCACCGCTTTGATTCCCAGTCAGGGCACGTGCCTGGATTGTGGGCCAGGTCCCCTGTTGGGGGCATGTGAGAGGCAACAGATTGATGTGTTTCTCACACATCAATGTTTCTCTCCCTCCCTTCCCCTTCTCTAAAAAAATAAGTAAATAAAATATTTTTTTTAAAGGCATAATTGTTATTAAAGTGATATGGGGCATTTCATGATAAAAAGATCAATTTAGCAGGAAGATACAACTCTAAATTTGTGTATACCTAATAACATAGCTTTAAAGTATATAAAGCACAAATTAATAGAACTAAAAAGAGAAAGAGAAATCCACTTCCATTGGTAGAGATGTTGACATGCCTATCTCAATAAGTGATAGAACAGGCTGACAACAAATCAGAAGGAATGGTACTGATTTATACAATGTGATTACCCAACTTGACCTGATTGGTATATATAGAACACTACACTGAATAATTATACCATACACTTTCTGTCCAAGTGCACATAGAACATAATATGTTACAAATCTTGAAAAAATAACTGCAAACTTTTATATTTATTTTTATTTTTAACTGTATCTGAAACAGAAACACAGGGAGTTCCTCGCAATTCTTCTGTAGGAATTCTGTGTTTGAGTAAGAAACACTGGAATGATGCCATGGTTTTCTAGTTTAATTTTCTTCAACCCAGTATTAGGTTACAGGCATACAGAGAATGTCTGCCTCTATCTCCTAACATGTACCAGGGTATCCAGTTTCCAGATAATAATCTGGGGCTGGGTTTAACAAACCTGTCTGTCGTAAGAATCACCTGTGAAGATTTTTTAAAACAGATTCCTAGGACCCACCTCCTGGAGACTCTGTATTTTGAAAAGGTGACTGGGCTGATACCAACAAAGTATTTGAACAGGTTTGGGAGTTACTGAAATAGTGTTTGGTTTGTCATACAGAGAGGAGGGAGTGGAAGAGGAAGAATATGAGAATATAAGAATATGAATGAATGAATAAATTTGGGCTAATAACTAGGTCAGGTTTGGGTGTAGCTGAACCCCACTTGGATGAGGCAAGAGGCATATCCACTTCTAAAAGTTTTATAAATATGAAAATTAAGCATATTTGCCTGGCCGGGTGGCGCAGTTGGTGGGAGCGTCGTCCCAGATGCTAAAAGGTTACCAATTCCGTTCTCTGTTAGAGCACATGTGTAGGTTTCAGGTTTGACCTGCAGTCAGGGCATGTATGGCAGAAAGCCCATCGATGCTTCTCTCTCTTGCCCCCCACCCCTTCCCCCCTCTCTAAAAATCAGTAAGCATATTCTCGGGTGAGGATTTTAAAAAATATTAAGCAAATTTGTATAAAGCATGAAAAGAAAAACACTGTTCTTTTTGCTAAGTATTCTGTGACTTTCTTTTAAGTTTTTTAAAAGATTTTTATTCTTTTTTTTAGAGAAAGGGTAAAGGAGGAAGGAGAGGGAGAGAAATATTGGTGTGGGAGAGAAACATCAGTTGGTTGCCTCTTTCACGTTCCCAACTGGGGATTTGGCCTGCAACCCAGGCATGTGCCCTGACCAGGAATTGAACCTGTGATCTTTCAGTTTGCAGGTCGGCTCACCAGCCAGGGCTCTGTGATGTTTTTTTTACATAAGGAAGGAGTGGGTTATTCTTAGCAGTGATTGTAACAGTGTGCACATTCATTTTTTAAATCATAATCTATTGTTATTTTCCACACACATTGTACTTTTTAATATAAACAGAACTTGTTTTTGGTTCATGTGCTAGTAGGCATAAATATATTTGAAAGTATATAATGATTTTATTGTTTCGAATATATATGAGAAAAGGGATACATAAATATATTGTTTAATATAGTGAAGAATTCAAAAGGAATGAGCTAAGTTCTGCTTTAGAGAATGAATAGATATCTGCCCTGGCTTATGTGGCTCAGTGGATTGAGTACTGGACTTTGAATCAAAGGGTTGCCAGTTGGATTCCTAGTCAGGGCACATGCCTGGGTTGCAGGCCAGGTCCCCAGTAGGGGGCATGTGAGAAGCAACCATACATTGATGTTTCCTTCCCTCTCTTTCTCCCTCTTTTCCCCCCTCTCTAAAAATAAATAAATAAAATCCTTTTTAAAAAGAAAAATTAATAGGTATCTGAGAAGAGTGGAAGTAGGCCAGATCATCTATATTTCATTTAAGGACTTTGCAGAGAATTTTTTGTGAATGTTACCATCTGACATTTCTAAAGCTTAAATGGCTTTTTTCATATTATTAGTCTGTTTATTTGCTTCGGGAATTTTTTTTTTTTAATCTACCCCATTACTCTTTACCAAACAAGCATTGTCCTATGTTTTTTAGAATGGATTAAAGTTTAATCAGTGGTTGGATTAGCCGGGCATTTCAAGTTTTAGTCCTTCCCTGCCTCTTCCAAGTAAGGCTATGATTTGAGAATGAGCAGCTTGTGTTACTTAGCTTTACTTCTGAAGGGATTATCATTAACATATGTTAAATACTGTGATATTAGAAACACTCTGGAATGTCTTGAGGTCTGACTGGCATTCTGTAATTGAGATAATACTGTGTAGGTAAAGCACTGACTCTTCAAAGCAATACCATGTGTTCACTCTTGGGGGAAATTGTTGCGGTAGGAGTCCTTCTGACATTTCTGGCAGCTAAACTCTGAAATATGGTCCACTGTTATAATCCGATTCCATTTCATTTCACATAAGGAATTAAAATAGTTGAGACCCAGGGTGCCGTTAACTAAGTCATGCAACTAGGAAGAAAAGAGTTACTGTCCTCTTGATCTGTTGTACTTCAGTAACCAGGACCCTGTTTTGCCCTAAAATCATCTGTATACATCAAGATATGTATCAGCAGTCATTGCTACAATCACTCTGATAATTACAGCTGTGAAAATCTGACCTTCATCAGTGGACTTCCCCTAGACTCATGTCTAATCAACTGAAAAAAGGTTGATTTTGATAGTGTTTGTAAAAAAAAAAGTTAATGATTGTTGATTGTATATTTTCTGTTATGAAACTATATCTAATAGTATTAAAAACTATTTTTAGTGGATTTATTATGTCCCTTTGTATTCCCCCCAAAAAGCATTATTTGCTCCAGATGTGAAATTGTTTACAACAAACATACACTTATTACATGTGATAATACAGCATGTGGTCCTTGCTGTAGTTCTATGAAGTAAAGTTTCCGCTCCAATTCCGGGACTGTGACTCCACATGACTCTTCTTTTTCTTCTCCTCTAGACGTCTCCAGAGAACCCTGAGACAGTAGGTGGAGTGCAAAGCTATATTGTGTTGCCTTCCTGCTTTTTTTGTTGCCTTCCTGCTTTTTTAAATTATTATTATTCTTGGCCCAGTCTTGGCTGTTTCTTTCTCTGCCACTAAAGCTACCGAACTAAACCCTGCATGTATAGTCATTATGAGGGACTTATTTATGCTCTTTCATTTCAGTCCTGCACATTTGTCACGTCAATTATGTTTCTCATGAAATCCTTAAAATCAGGATTGTTCCTAAAACAGTATTGTGATAAGCAAACTAGAATGTTACCTCTATCTTCCAAAAAAATGTCTTTTCATTTTAAACCACTCTCTTTCTATACCCCTGCCCCCACCCCAACCCCTGTCCAGTGCTCCAGAACTCCCAATGGACTTTTGAAGATAGAAAATAACCTGAAAAACCGATGCAAGTAAAGTGTTAATATTTGATGTGTCACCCCCTGTCTGAACTATTTGTATCCTGAAAGAGGAGGACAGGGAGAGGGCAGCATTGAACAAAGCATGATGGCTCATTCACAAATGGTGGGATTCCCTGTGTCAGTGACGGTTGATAGCCGTGTTAGCCGAGAAAGGCATTCCCCCATGGCAAAAGGATGAGAACAGCAGCAATCACAGGCTGCAGGGGGCAAGACCTCATGCATATTGGGAGGAGATCCACATTTGTGCGTGTTCCTTTTTAAGAGATTTTGAGCTGGTTATGATCATCTCATTGAATTTTTCTCCTAAAATGATGTCAGCCTGGTTTGGTTCCTTTTATTCCTTAGGAATCTCTCTGTTACGGATTTTGATATTTGGTGTCCATGTGATGTCAAGGAGTCTGACTTGTCTGCATGATTGTTTATCATTGCTCTGATCCTTTCCACCTACCTCAGGAAGAGAGGGGCAGGGACGTTTTCGAGATTATGCTGAAGTAATAAATTGGTTACTCTCTTCCCTCTCTCCCTTTCACCATGCAGCAGAAGAAGCAGGCCAGCCCCCTGCCGACCCGGGCATGATCATGGACGGCGTGGAAGCAGGAGGAGACACGACGCCTCCCACCAAAAGGAAGAGCAAGTTCTCAGGCTTTGGCAAGATCTTCAAGCCCTGGAAATGGAGGAAAAAGAAAAGTAGCGATAAATTCAAAGAGACATCCGAAGGTGATATATTAAGATTTAAATATATGTTCTGAGTTAAAGAGTTCCCTGTTTTGGAAGTACCTTTTTCTCAAGCTTTGATAACCGCCTATTTGAAGGGGGAATTGAATCTTTTAGAATTGAAAACCAAGTGGTCACTCACTAAGGCTTATAAACTATAGCCTCATTCCCAAGTTGATATTTTGGTGGGATTGAAGTTTATCAAATGGTAAGTGGGGTTCCTAAATTGTAGCAAATCTAAGGCCCTAGCCACATCCTCCCAGTGAAAGTTCATTCATAAATACTTTACTATTAAAATTTCAATTAAAAGTTAGTTTTCTTGGCCGTGGCTGGTGTGACTCAGTGGATTGAGTGCCAGCCTTCAAACTAAAAGGTTGCTGGTCCGATTCCCAGTCAAGGACACATGCCTGGGTTGTGGGCCAGGTCCCCAGTAGGAAGTTGAGTGAGAGGCATCCACACATTGATGTTTCTCTCCCTAAAAAAAAAAAGTTTGTTTTCCTGTTCTTTTCTTTCCGGAAACTAGAAAATTAAACCACTTCATACTATTACCTGTGGAGTTAAAATGCTTAACGTTGACCTTTAACTGCCACATTTCTGAGTGCTATTTTACAATTTAATATTAGTTTTAGAGCGAAAAATATCTATGCGAAAACCGAGAGAAGAGCTGGTTAAAAGAGGGGTTCTGTTGGAAGACTCTGCACCGGGTGAGTTTGCAAACACATCTGTGTCTCTGTATAATTGCTTTGGGTTCTGACGAGGTTTGTAGCTTTTCCTTATTTTATTATTGCTGCTGTTGTAGGTTGGGGGGCTGCTTTAACAAAACAAAAATTGGCCCTGGCTGGTGTACCTCAGTGGATTCAGTGTGGGCCTGTGAACCAAAGGATCACCAGTTGGATTCCCAGTCAGGGCACATGCCTGGGTTGCAGGCCAGGTCCCCAGATGGGGGAATGCAGGAAGCAACCACACATTGGTGTTTTTCTCCCTCTCTTTCTTTCTTTCTTTCTTTCTCCCTTTTCCCTCTCGAAAAAATAATTAATTAACTAATTTGAAAAAAGAGATATGAATTTAAATCAAAATAAAATAATCCTACATATAAGACAGAAAACCTAAAATTAATCAGATGACCAAGAACAATAGTTGGTGAAGGTATGAGATGGGTGAAATTCACATACAACTGCTGGTTGAAGTGTTAGAATAATTACAGAACTTGGCATATAGTCAACAAAAATTTGTATACATGTAGATTGAGACATGTACCATTGTATTTCTGGGAGCAGTATTTACTAACAGTAGAGCAGAATTGATAACAACCAAAAGCCCATCTTGTGATGCGTTTATAAAATGAAATACACAGCAATGAAAACAGACTATACCTACCTGCTATAATACAAATCTCATAAGTAATATTGAGCAATGAAGTCAGTTATGAAAGAATATATATTGCATCATTTCTCTAAATGTAAAGAAAAACTAGGCAATATTAAACTATAGTTTTTGGCCCTGGCTGGTGTAGCTCAGTGGATTGAGTGCGGCCTGTAAACCAAAAGGTTACAGGTTTGATTTCCAGGCAGGGCATATGCCTGGGTTTCGGGCCAGGTCCCCAGTGTGGGGCTTGTGAGAGGCACATATTGCTATCTCTCTCACTTTCTCCTTCCCTTCCCCTCTTTCTAATATTAATTAATTAATTAAACTAGAACTGCAGTATTCGGAGGTGCGTGCTTTAGTGTTAACCTATAATTTAAAGGAACAAAGGATCATCACAAGAGTTAAGTGATTGTGAAAGAAGGAACAGTATGTTACTAGGGAGAAAAGGAGGCTTCTGGGGTCTCGAAAATCCCCTCCCCTCCTCTCCCCTCCCCTCCCCTTTTCTTTTCTCTTCTCCTCATCCAAGGACATTCTCATTTTTTAGAGAGAGGGGAAAAGAGGAAGAGAGAGGAGGGGAGAGAAAACATTAACATGAGAGAGAAACATCTATCCACCTGCCTCTCAACTGGTGCCGAACCCACACCCACACCCAGGCATGTGCCCTGACCAGCAATGGAACTGGCAGCCTCTAGGTTTGCAGGATGACGCCCAACCCACCGAGCCACACCAGTTAGGGCAAGGTTCAGTTTAGCTACCACTTTCTCTAAAGCTTTTCCAACCCCATTCTCACCTCAAGGTAATTATTTCTTCTTTATTCCTACCACTTCATCCTTTATAACTCTTAACATTTAGCATTGTAATTACTTATGTGTAATAAGTCTGCCTTATTCATGTAGCAAGGCACCTGACACATACTATGTATTTATAATACACAATCAAATATATATTATAAAAAGGAATTATTTAATTTCCAATACTGTAAAGATCCAAATCATCATCATCATCATGACCTAGATCTAAATAAAAGCTAAACAGGAAAAGGGGGAAATGGGATAACAGTTTAATCACTTTGCTCCTTTTCTTCTGGACCCTGCAGATGATGAGGATCCAGGGAAGCTAAACCATGCCCTGTTGAAGAATGGCCATACCACCCCCATAGGGAGCACCAGGTCTTCTAGTCCAGTCCAAGTAGAGGAAGAGCCAAGTAGAAGAATAGCAGGTCTTGGGAAACCTGTTCCAGAAGAGGACCCAAAGAAGCGCCTAGGTAAGAAACTGGATTTGTAACTTTATGAGCCATGGATCGGTCATTCTTATTTACCTGAGAGGTTCGTGAGGGTGAGCGGAGAACTAAAACCCAGAGGGGACTTCGACCAAGAGGGATGTTTAGGTAGATACCCTTTGCCTCCTTGTACAACCGAGGGACAACAACAAAATTAAAAACAAAAAATAACTGGAATTGCCAGAAAATTGAACTCTATGGAAGTCTGACAACCAAGGAATTAAAGAAGAAACTTTCATCCAGACCAGAAGGAGGGGCAGAGATGGACAACTGGGCTGGAAAGGACTCATGACAAGGCAGCAGCTGGTGGACTGGGTGGTCTCATGTTTGGGTGCAGAGAAACTGGGAGGAACAACTGGGGAGTGAGACAGACCACACAGCCCAGGGTTCCAGTGTGGGGAAATAAAGCCTCAAAACCTCTGTAAAAACCTGTGGGGGCTGTGGTGGCGGGAGAAACTCCCAGCCTCACAGGAAAGTTCCTCGGAGAAATCTACCAGGTCCTAGAACATACACAGACTCACCCACCCAGGAATCAGCACCAGAAGGGCCCAATTTGCTTGTGGGTAGTGGGGGAAGTATCTGAAAGTCTGCTGAGAGTTGAATAAGTGGCACTGTTCTCTCTCCCACCCCTCCCCAACATACAGTGCCACAACGCAGCAATGTGGGTTGCCCCACTCTGGCAAATACCTAAGGCTCTGCCCCTTACAGTGTAACAGGCACACCAATACAAAAAAAATATGGCTCGAATGAAAGAACAGATCAAAGCACCAGAAAAAATACAACTAAGTGATGAAGAGGTAGCCAGCCTATCAAATACAGAGTTCAAAACACTGGTAATCAGGATGCTCACAGAAATGGTTGAGTATGGTCACAAAATACAGGAGGAAGTGAAGGCTATGAAAAGTGAAATAAAGGAAAATGTACAAGGGAAAGGGACCAACAGTGACGGGAAGGAAACCAGGACTCAAATCAATGGTTTGGACCAGAAGGAAGAAATAAACATTCAACCAGAACAGAAGGAAGAAGCAAATTTAAAAAAGTGATGAGCCCTGGCTGGTGTAGCTCAGTGGATTGAGTGCAGGCTTTGAACCAAAGGTTCTCTGGTTCAATTCCTAGTCAGGGCACGTGCCTGGGTTGCAGGCCAGGTTCCCAGTGGGGGCCACGTGAGAGGCAACCACACATTGATGTTTCTCTGTCTTTCTCCTTCCCTTCCCCTCTCTCTAAAAATAAATAAATAAAATGTTTTTTAAAATTATATTTATATAAAAAAAGTGATGAGATGCTTAGAAACCTCCAGAACAACTTTAAACATTCCAACATCCAAATCATAGGGGTGCCAGAAGGAGAAGAGGAAGAGCAAGAAATTGAAAACTTATTTGAACAAATAATGGAGAACTTCTCTAATCTGGCAAAGGAAATAGACTTTCAGGAAGTCTAGGAAGCTCAGAGTCCCAAAGAAGTTGGATGCAAGGAAGCATACACCAAGACACATTATAATTACATTACCTAAGATTAAAGATGAGAGTATCTTAAAAGCAGCAAGAGAAAAGGAGACAGTTATCTACAAAGGAGTTCCCATCAGACTGTCAGCGGATTCCTCAAAAGAAAACTTACAGGCAAGAAGGGGCTGGAAAGAAAGTATTCAAAGTCATGAAAGGCAAGGACCTACATCCAAGATTACTCTATTCAACAAAGCTATCATTCAGAGTGGGAGGCAGATAAAGGGCTTCCCAGATAAGGTCAAGTTAAAGGAGTTCATCATCACCAAGCCCTTGTTATATGAAATATTAAAGGGACTTACCCAAGAAAAATAATATGATAAAAAATATGAACAATAAAATGACAACAAACTCATAATTATCAACTGAACCTAAAAAACAAAAACATTCTAAGCAAACAACTAGAACAGGAACACAATCACAGAAATGGAGATCATATGGAGGGTTATCAGTGGGAAGGGGGAGGAGGGTGAATGGGGGGAAAGTTACAGAGAGTAAGAAACATAAATCGTTGGTACAAAATAGGGGGAGGTTAAGAATAGTATGGAAAATGGAGAAGCCAAAGAACTTACATGTATGACACATGGACATGAATTAAAGCCGGGAGGTAATCTAGTGGGACAGGTAGGTCAGGGTGGAGGGGAATAAAAGGGAGAAAAAATGGGCAACTATGATACAACTCTGATAGCATAATCAATAAAATTGTTTGTTTGTTTCGGAAAAAGTCAATGTGTGGTTGCCCCTCATATGCCCCCTAACTGGGGACCTGGCCCACAGCCCAGGCATATGCCCCAACTGGGAATCAAACCAGCGACCCTTTGGTTTTCAGTCCCATGCTCAATCCACTAAGCCATACCAGCCAAAGATTTTATTTATTTATCTTTAGAGGGGAAGGAGAGAAACATCAATGTGTGGTTGACTTTCGTGTGTCCCCTGCTGGGAACTGGCCTGCAGGGAATCGGCCTGCAACCCAGGCATGTGCCCTGACTGGGAATCAAACCATGATTCTCTCGTTTGCAGGCCTGTGCTCAATCCACTGAGCTACACCAGCCAGGGCCCAATAAAATATATTTTAAAAAATCAAAAAAAGTCCTTGCTGGTGTGGCTCAGTGAGTTGAGTGCTAGCCTATGAACCAAAGGGTTACCAGTGCAATTCCCAGTCTAGGGGACATGCCTGGGTACTGGCCAGGTCCCCAGCTGGGGGCGTACTAGAAGCACTAGAAGCAACCACACACTGATGTGGTTCTCTCTCCCTTCCTTCCCCTCTAAAAATAAATTTTAAAATGTTTTTTAATCAAAAAAAGTAAATAAATTTACTTTAAAAAATAAAAATTAAAATTCAAAGGGAATGCTGTTCTCTATAATTTCCTCAACTAACTATAACTTTAAGTAGAACCCTCCACCCCATTATTTCATTCAAAAGTGTATAAAATTTGTGATTCACGAGGATGGAAGAGGATGTTAAATATCAGATATCCGTAGGACTTCTTTTTAAAAATTGCTTATTTATTTCTTTATTTTTAGAGAGAGGGGAAAGGAGGGAGAGAGAAAAGCATCCATCAGTTGCTTCTTTGGGGAGCAAATTGGCAATCTTTCAGCTTTCAGAACAGTGCCCAACCCACTGAGCCACTCCAGTCAGGCCTTGTAGGACGTTTTTAGCTACACATTTTCATCCTCCACCCAAGGGATTCTGATGCGCCTCCTCCTAGCTCGTGTGAAGAATCACTACAATAACAAGTCTCTTCTACTGATTGAAAACGTGTCAAATACATTAAGTATGTTGAGGTTGGGAAACTTTTGCCTGAAAACTAATGTATAAATTAAATAATGGATGAAATTGACTGTAAGTCAGAAAATGTAATAGCTTTTTGATCTTCTTGTTACTGTCTTTCCTTTTTAAGTCGTGTCTCTTATTACACAGGCTCAACTGGAAGCCAACCTAATTCTGAAGCAGAATCCATTCCTGAAAATGCACCCAAACAGCCTTTACTTCCCCCTAAAAGACCATTGTCCTCTTCTCATGAAGCAAATGAAGGGCAAGCAAAGGGTGCCTCTTCCTCTGGCAGCACAGCAAGGTCCATCTCCTCCACCTGCATCGCCGCCGTTGCCGCTGCACCTGCTGCCACTGCTGCCACCACTGCTGCCGCCACAAACCTACCAAAAACTGTTAACTCCTCCGTCCCCCCTTCCCCAGCACCCAGGACTCTGCCTGCTGCTCCTGCCAGCACTAACACTACTGCCACCCTGAGCCTCCCTCATCCGGTCCCTGCCAAGCAGCCCCCTATCCCTCCCCCTAAACCAACAAACAGAAATAGCAACCCTGTCGTTGGTAAGTAAGACTTTAGGTTTCCATTGGGTTGGGCTGGGTTGGGTTTTGGACGGTGTTTTTTGATGATTGGTCCAATAATGATTTGGTCTATAATAGTTTTTGTATCTTGTCCCTTTGAATGTACTCAATATAGAGAAATATCTTGAAAATGAGGCAGGTGACTGTGAATGAAACAGGCTGGGATCAGATACCACTAAAATGAGGTTCATGTCGGGGGGAAATTTCTGTTTTCCTAAAACGGTATTTCTGAAATGCTGTCTATAGCCCCCCAGTTGGGGGGCTGGTCGTGGAAGACAGGTTTGACCAGCATGAAGAGGTTCCTTTTAACCTGCTTTAAACTGCCAGTGCTTTCTTCAGCACAAGCCCAGTGGGTGAGAAGGTGACTGTGTAGATGCTGCATAACTGGTGATTCGGTGTCTGGCACAATGTCCTCAAGGGGAACTGCAAACGGTATTATTCAGATTGTCCTGATAAAGTCATATTTTCTCTTGGCAGAGTTAAGAATGATGATCTTTGTAAAATTACTGGTGGAAGAGAGAAAGAGAAAGGGAAAAGAGAAACGTTTTATATTTACTTGAAGTTCTTTTTAGGTCTGTTTTTTTTTTACATAAATGTATACCTTCTTAGAGAAATTTTCAAGAAAGGGAGGAGAGAAAGGAAAGTAGTTTTTCAGGAAAAATGATACTAGGCTTAATCCTGCTTCAGTTCTTGTTAATGATTGGAGGAAGGAAAAATGTGGTTGTTAAGGGACTAATACCACCTAGTCCTGTGGGGTGACTAGAACCTTGAAAAACAGGCTTAGAATTCATTGTGAGTGTGACAGGCTGGAGTAGCTCAATAAAAACAGGATGGAGGTTATTGTTATCACCACCTTGGATAGAGATCGCAGCATGACTTATCTCTGAGGAACTTGATCTTTCACATGTACTCATTTTCAAAATCTCTGTCAGGTAGGGAACTGATTTTATCTATTATATGGTTAGGGCAGTTAGAACGTGAAGAAGTTGTGACTCTTTGGGGCTGCAGTTAATGAAAGATAGAAACCAAACATAGGCTTTCCAACCCCAGAGTATAGACTTCTGTTCTCTACACCTGTGTTTGCAGGCGGTTGTGAATTTGGGGGTTCTCATCACAGTCACCCGGAGGGCTTGTTAAAACACAGATTGCTGGGCCCTGCCCTTAGAGTTTCTGATTCAGCGAGGCTGGGGTAGGTCCTGGGAATTTGCATTTCTAATGTGCTCCCAGGTGATGTCGATGTTGCATGCACCAGGACCCCACATTGAGAACCACTGCTCTAAAGCAGTGGCATACGCCACTCTCTTCAGGGAAACAACATAAAAAATGGTATAATATGTACTATATCCTGGGAGAAGCTGCAGGGGCCACTTGCTCTTGGCCTGAGGTGAATAGCCCGAAGCCACAGGCCCTATGACTGAGGAGTCACTATCAGTCCATGAGTGATCCTCAGCAGAAGGAGAAAAATAAGACACACAGTTAACAGTTTTTATTCAAGTTAAATAGATTTCATTAAAAGGACTGTCCTTTGGTTTGAAATTATGCCCTTATTCTTTGGTTTTAAAAGGTCATTTCTTTCACGAAAGGATTGTGTTTGTAAATGGTATATTTAATCTTAAGCCTTAGTTGGAAATACTAAAAATGACAGCCTGAGGTTGATTGAGAATCTCTTTTTAATTGTATTAGTCCATGAAATCTAAACATCTGGAAGCCACTGCTGTAGACATTGCTGCATCTACTAATGGGCATAACATTCTTAAGACCGGGACTAATGGGAGTATTAGGCTTAAGGAAGGACTCGCATATCATAAGTAGCTGAACAGAAGAAGGAAATTTATTACTGCCCCCAACAAATATTCTTGGCATCTTTCGCACAGAACTACAGCCAAATCCCATTGTCAGGGTTTATGTACCAGAGGTGACTGCCTTAACATCTTCATGTGTATGTTTTCCTTAAATTACTAAAGGTCATTTACCTTATCAACTTAAATGTTAATGTAGTCAAATTTGGTCTGGTCAGAGGAGGGTTTTGTGTTGTTGGAATAGCTAACTGCTATTTTTAGAGAGGTAGCAAAAGTTCAGTCTATCCAAAAGTACCGTTTTCATTGATCTTAAAATTCACATTTTTTACTTTTTTTATGTGTATGAAATGTTTTTGTACAAAGTCCTTTTTTAAAAAAAAGATTTTACTTATTTCTTTTCAGAAAAAGGGGAAGGGAGGGAGAAAGAGAGCAAGAGAAACATTAGTTGGTTGCCTCTCCCACACCCCCAACTAGGGACCTGGCCTGCAACCCAGGCAGGTGCCCTGAAAGGAAATCGAACCAGTGACCTTTTGGTTCACAGAGCAGTGCTCAATCCACTGAGCCACACCAGCCAGGGCTAAAAAGTCCTTTTAAAAATAAGCCCTGGTTGGTGTAGCTCAGAGGATTGAGTGTGGGCCTGTGAACCAAAGCACTGCCGGTTAGATTCCTAATCAGGGCACATGCCTGGGTTGCAGGCCAGGTCCCCAGTAGGGGGTGTGCTAGAGGCAACCACACATTGATGTCTTACTCCCCCTCTTTCTCCCTCCCTTCCCCTCTCTCTAAAAAATAAATAAATAAAATCTTTTAAAAAGAAAAAAAATCTAAAAAATAAAAATATATTTTTGATGAGTAACATTAAAGCATCAGCTTATCTAGCCTTTTCTTTTGCTGCCCATGGAATAGGATTTAAGGCAAGTACATTTTTATCTCAGGAAAACTTGGGACATGGAATTTTGTGAACAATGGGTGGATCCAAAATAAGTTGTGTAAAGGGTTAGAAGTTGGTGGTCAGGAGAGCTACTATTTAATTATTTTGCACGGTTGGCCCCTGCGCGATATGATGCTCTACTTCTTAGGGGCCATTTGGAGCACTCAGAGGAACTTTGCTGAATCAACACCTGTGTCACTTTGGGCTGTGGGAGATCGCATAAGGTTATATACTATGGTTATATATAGGGTAGGGGCCCCATCTAATAAACATGTATGAGGATCCACTATGTGCCGGGCACTGTGCCCAGCTCTATGGATATGCTGGTGGATGTAAGGGTTGCTGTCTTCCAGGAGCCCACAGTGTAGTAGGGAGGGGAATGGGAGGTTGGGCATATAGGACAAGAGGAGTGGACACTAATAACAGTCAAATACAGCCTGGCTGGTGTGGTTCAGTGGATTGAGTGCCAGTCTGTGAACCAAAAGGTCACCAAGTTCGATTCCCAGCCAGGGCACATGACCTGAGTTGTAGGCTGAGTCTCCAGTAGGGGACACATGAGAGGCAACCACACCTTAATGTTTTTCTTCCTATCTCCCTCCCTTTCTCCCTCTCTAAAAATAAGTAAATAAATAAATTTTTTTAAATGAAATGTAGTGGGATCCATCATAGTGGGAGCCAAATAATGAGACCTGGGAACTAGCTGAGCCTTTGACAGTTTATAGTATGATCTTGGGCAAGTCACCTCACTTCAGGGGGTTTTCCTTCTTTAAAATGATAAAGGTGATCTCTTACACAAGGAGAATATGAAGTCAAGAATAGAAAAGCACTTTGATTTCTTCAAAGGCCTTTGCATTTGCTATAAATATTCAAGATGTCACTGTTGATAGTTTCATAATACAGAGCTAAGAAATCTAGATATCACTGTTTTTAGTGATATCTAGATATCACTAAAAGGATATGGCAATAATGCCTAATAGTATTTGTTTTTTATTGCTATCTGCATTTTTTAATTTAGCAGAGTACTTTGAGACAAAAGAAATCTATTTGTATTTTTTTCTGTCTCTATTTTTATTAACTTATCTTCACCAAGATCATCATAAAAAGTTGTCATGTATCTTATCGAAGAAGTAAGGTGTTTCTTGTCAGAGTATTAGGGTGGTGGTCCTCCTACACATCTGTGCATTTATTAGGCCTCAGAGATACTTAAATATAAGTTTTGTTATTAGAGACTATCTCATTAGAATGAGATACCTAGGGACTGGCAAAGGCACAAAATGCGGTATTTTACCTTAAACATTAAGACTGAGCTCCACTCTAATTCTAGGCTCTGGACTGGCCCCCTCAAAGCATTGTAAAGCCATCTTAAATTAAAGTGTTCCTCTTTCTTTTCCAGCAGTAAACAGTGGTACATTGTTGTCAAAACCATCCCCACCCTTACCACCTAAAAGAGGCATTCCATCAACCTTGGTACCCACCTCGGAGTCTGCCACCACCACCATCACCACAAAAGCACCAAGTGATCACAGAGAGAAGAGCACGTGTTCTGTGGGTTCCGAACAGCTGTTGATGATCCCACCTCGCTCTCCATCCCCCCCACTGCCTACTCATATACCTCCAGAACCCCCACGGTCCCCTCCATTCCCTGCTAAGACTTTTCAAGTCATGCCAGAAATGGAGTTTGCACCTTCCTTAGACCTACCCCAGGAGGTTCTCCAGCAGCAGGACCAGAAAAAGGAAGTACCCAAGGGGATGCTGGATCACAGCTTTGGGGAGCCCCATGTACCCTCTAGACTGCCCCCTCTCCCGCTGCATATCCGAATCCAGCAGGCCCTCACCAGCCCACTGCCCGCGATCCCTTCCTTGGAGGGCTCCCACAGAGCTCACTCGTTGCTCTTCGAGAACAGTGACAGCTTTTCTGAGGACAGCAACACCCTGGGTCGTACCAGGTCACTTCCCATCACTATTGAGATGCTGAAAGTGTAAGTGCCTGCCTTTACCGCTTGTCTGTTTCCTCTGCTTTACTTTCCTTTTCTAGTTAACCCTTCTTGGAAAAATATTACTTATAAAAAGAAAATGTGAACAAATTAAAAGCAAGAAGAATACTCAACAAATAAGACGTGTTCTAGAATTTGGACTTTGTTTACCCTGCTGATTCCTATAACATTGTTTCTATGGGAGACAATTCCATAATGATACGAAAATTATAAACTTTTATACTTGAAAACTAAAATTACTATTTTTTTGATACCTGGTGGTTAGGAGCATTAATTTTGGAGTAAGATAGCTCTGGGTTCAAATCCTAGCTCTGCCTCTTATTTACCAGCTTGTAATAGTGTGTGTTACTTAACCTTTCTGCTCTTTCGTTGTCTAATCTCTAAACAGGAATAATGTGTACTAGCATAGCTGCGTGAGAAGGAAGTTCTACAAATCTGAAAGCACTAGTGCCTGACGCATAAGCTATGTAGACAGGGGACAGAGATGGGTGTAGAGAAAAAGACAGGAGGTCTGAAAGAGAGCTTAGTATTCCAGCCCCATAGCCTGGAACTGGTCCTCTTATTCTTGCCCTCATCCGTCCCCAGACACTGCATCTGTTCACACCAGCATTGGTCTAACATCTACTCTGTCTTTTTACAATTCCAACAAATTACGACTGAAGATTAACACCTTTTGGCAAGTTGGAGATGTGCCTTACTAACTAAAGGAATTATTAGAGAGCCGTTTCAGCGTCCTACTTGTTATTTGTTTTGCCGTCACTTTGTACTTGCTGTTATATTTATTTCATATCCTGGAAAGAGACTGTTTAGGTCGGAGTTTGACGATAGATTAAGTTATGGTTTTACGCCTCCAGGGTGTACAAGGGGAAGGTTAGTTTTCATCTTTAGTTCTCTTTGTTTCCTGGAATTAAATCATCATTTTGTCCTACTGCATTGTTAAACCAAAGGGAAGTGGATTAAATATTTGTATTAAATATCCTCCATGAGCCAGGAATAGCATTAGGTGCTGTGAGTCTTCTCATTTAATCAGTCCAAAGCAAACTTGCACCTGCCGTGTAGGTCATCAGGGCCCTGTGTGCCAGACACTAGTGCATTCTAGAATTTGTCTGTTTCATCCTCCCAACAAGCCAGTGAGGTAGGTATCACTCCTATTTACAGAAGAGTTAATTTACAAGCTAGTAAATAAGTTATAGAGCTAGGATTTGAACCCAGAGCTTTTAGATAAATATCTGCTAAAAGAGTTTCTTAGCAAGATTTTTAAAGTTAAAGGGGTGAATCCTAAATTATTTTATTCTTGGACTTTTCCATAGATAATCGATATTTTGCTTTGCAAATCAGTTAGTTATCCTTTATGTTTCTGAAAGGAAAATGTAATTATGTTAATTTGTTAGTCCAGACGATGAAGAAGAAGAGGAGCAAACCCACCTGTCTGCATTCAGTGAAGACTTGCCACCTACCTCAGTCGTTCCTAAACTACCACAGTGTCTGCAGGAGGAAGAGGAGGAGAAGGAGAGTGACTCAGACTCAGAAGGTCCCGTTCAATACCGAGATGAAGAGGATGAAGATGAAAGCCAGAACAGTAAGAAAGGAGGGGAAAGCGAAGGAGAAACTTCTTTTACAGATGAAGCCCCTTGTTGGTCTTAGCAAGTGAAAGATGAATGGAAACAGGCACCATTGAGTCAGCCGATGTTGGACTATGAAGGACTCTTGTCTCTGAAGTTCTGATATCCCACGGTTATAGAAAGCCTGTGAAAGGAGCCATGTAGATTGAGTCATTCAGGGTTTTTAATTAAGGAATTATTTACCTTGATGGTATGAAAGAATGTGAAGGAGAGGCCGTTGGTATTTGGGTTGTCTCGAAAAGGTAAAAGGGATGTTCTCCTTCAGTCCGATGAGCTTACTGTGTCCATGGGGCAAAGGAAAAGATAATGTGCATGTATGCAAATCTGTGAACAGTAGAATTCTAACTCCTAAAAGTGGGAAAACAGCCTTAAGAATAGGAATTTTATGAGGTGTGTTAGTGCAAGTACCTTTTTGCTGTAATTCAGAGAGCTCTCCCATGCTTAGAAATACAGAGGCCTGGTAGAAGGGAGAAGTTCTTTTTAGCCTGTCTGAGTCCATCTGACAGAGAAGATTTCTAGGTGTCTTTAGATTTACTCCCACCTCTGTGTTAGCTGGATGATTGGAAGCCAAGGAGAAAGCTTGGAGATACAATAGTTTATTCAAACTCTTGCCTAAATCTCAACCATGTGAAGTTCAGCCTTAAGCTTCAACATTTTTTTTTCTTTTCCTTGTGCAAAGGTGCTCTGGCCAACAAAGTGAAGAGGAAAGATACACTGGCAATGAAGTTGAACCCTAGACCCAGTGAACCAGAGTTGAACTTGAACTCTTGGCCTCGAAAAAGCAAAGAGGAGTGGAATGAAATACGGCACCAGATTGGGAACACACTGATCCGGTAGGCCTTGGTTAGAATACACTGAAATACACTGATTTGATTTCATTATGACAGTGTGTATGTTGGAGATTTATTTTTATTTTGTGGTGGAGCATTCATTTATCTGAATGCTGTTCTATTTTTAATTTTAAGTTTTAGAGAATTGAGGTGGTTCCCAGGACAGCAAGACTCCTCTGTCATTTGTCCAGTTGTTCAAGCATGAGATGCCAGCCCAATTAAAGATCACACCCACATTTTTATTATATCTATTGTACATGTTCCATGTAACTGCCTCCTTTCAAAGTGTTAGCATATTTTTCACGTCAGCTGGAACTGAAAGCACAGAGAAACTGAGTGCAGGCCAACTTCCTGCACGTACAGTACACATAAGAGTTCAAGTGTACAGGCAGGTGTTTCCCAACTGTGTTGTGTCTCTTAGTAGAATGAGGAAGAGGAGGTGGAACTCTTGACATATTACTTACAAAGTAATTCAGGGTGTCCATTAACTAAAATGTATTCTCCTCCCCTGTCTTAGACACCTGGCTTTGCTGTCGGCCAGGATGACACTTTTAATGCAAAACTGTGGCCCCCTGGGTTGTCAGCAAGAGACCCTCAAAATTAGGAGTTAGTTAAAAATGGAGGTCTTTGATAATCTTATTTTAAGATATGTTTTGAAGCTAAAGTAACCTAAATAGTATACTGACATAAAAATAGACAAATCAAGGGAACCAAAATATAGACCCACTCATATACATACAACTCATTATTGACAGAGATACAAAGAATTTCATTGAGAAAGGATGGCTTTTCCCGCAAATGGTGCTGGTGCAAAACTAACCAAGTCATGCCTTGCACCATATGTAAAAATTAATTCAAAATGGGTCATAGACTTAAGTAGGAAGGCTAAAACTATAAAACATCCTGAAAATATGGACCAAAGATTCTTAGATATGATCTCAAAAGCATGATTCTTAAAAACATTGATAAATTGCACTTAATCAAAATTTTAAAATTTTACTCTTTGAAAGACATTGTTAAGAAAATGTAAGAACATTGCGGGGGGTGGGCTGGGATGGGAGTAAAAGACAGAAAACTGTACTTGAACAGCAATTAAAATAAATTTTTTTAAAAAGCTTTCATTAAAAAAAGGAAAATGTAAGAACAAGTGGGAGAGTATATGAAGTACCCTCCAAACTCAGTAAAAAACAGCCCAATTTTAAATCGGGGGGGAGCAGAAGGTTTCAGTAAACATATCACCAAAGAGGACATGCATAAGGCAAATAAGCATGTGGGAAGGTGCTCCATCAACATCCTGAGTCACTAGGAAAATGCAAATTACAACCACAGTGAGATACCACTGCAAGACCACTAAGATGGCTAAACTTACACAATTTAAGACTCAAAATACCAGGACTTCTGCCAAGATGGAGGCGTAGTTGGAAGCACTTCGCCTTCTCACACAACCAAGTTTAAAAACAACAAAGTTTTAGCAACAAAAATGCAGCCAAACCACAGAAAATTGAACTACGTGGAAGTCTGACAACAACGAACCCTTCAGCCAAACCAGTAGGAGGGGCAGAGCCAGCAGCAGAGTGGGGTCAGGCAGGAAAGATCCACTGGACCAACCCGGGCGCGGGACCCAGGAGCACCAGCAGCTGTGGGCAGATCCCAGGTGTGGAGAAGCTGGCGGACCCACTGACGGTGTAAGGCGTTGGACCCACTAAGGGCAGACCGTGGTCACACATTCACATGCAGATAAACCGGTAAAGGAGCTAGCGGTGGTGAGACGGATGGCGCAGGCCCCAGCGGCAGAAAGCGGCAGAGAGAACCGCCATTGTCCCTCTCTGACCCCATCCCCACATACAGCGTCACAAACCAGCGACCTGGGTGGCCCCACCCTGGTGAACAACTAAGCTCCGCTCCTCGTACGTAACAGGCACAGATAAAAACATGGCTCAAGAACAACTCAGAGCCCCAGAGCCGATAAATCTAAGCAATGAAGCAATAGCCAAACTTTCAGATGCACAGTTCAAAACACTGGTGATCAGGATGCTCACAGAACTGGTTGATTTTAGTCACAAATTAGAGGAACATATGGAAGCTAAACTAATTGAAATGAAGGGAAATACACTGGAAACCAATAGCGATGGAAAGGAAGCTGGGACTCAAATCAAAGGAGCAGACCAGAAGGAGGAAAAAAATGACCAAACAGAAAAGGATGAAGAAACAAGAATTCAAAAAAAGGAGGAGAGGCTTAGGAACCTCCAGGACATCTTTAACATTCCAACATCCGAATTATAGGGGTACCAGAAGGGGAAGAGTAACAGCCACGAGTGGAAAACTTCTTTGAACAAATAATAAAGGAGAACTTCGCCAGTCTGGCAAAGGAAATAGACTTCCAGGAAGTCCAGGAAGCTCAGAGAGTCCCAAAGAAGTTGGACCCAAGAAGGAACACACCAAGGCACATCATCATTACATTAGCCAAGATAAAAATGAAGGAGAGAATCCTAGAAGCAGCAAGAGATAAGGGAACAGTCACCTACAAAGGAGTTCCCATCAGACTGTCAGCTGATTTCTCAAAAGAGACCTTACAGGCAAGAAGGGGCTGGAAAGAAGTATTCCAAGTCATGAAATCCAAAGACCTACATCTAAGATTGATCTATCCAGCCAAGCTTTCGTTTAGAATGGAAGGACAGATAAAGTGCTTCTCAGATAAGATCAAATTCAAGGAGTTCATCATCACCAAGCCCTTATTATATGAAATGTTGAAGGGACTTATCTAAGAAAAAGAAGATAAAAAAGATGAACAGTGAAAGGACAGCAAACTCACAGTTATTAAGAACCACACCTAAAACAAAAGCAAACTAAGAGGACAGTTAAATCAGGAGCAGAACCATAGAAATGAAGATCACGTGGAGGGTTAGCAACAGGGGAGTGGGAGAAGGAGAAGGGGGGAGAAGGTACAGAAAATAAGTAGCCTAGATGGTAGGTAGAAAATAGATAGGGGGAGGGCAAGAATAGTAGGGGGAATACAGAATCTAAAGAACTTGAGACGTGGTCATAAACTAAAGGGGGAATGGTGGGGGAGGGGTGTGCAGGGTGGAAGGTAATGAAGGGGGGAAATAGAACAACTGTAATGGCGTAATTAATAAAATATATTTAAAAAAAATAAAGAAACAACAAAGGAAAAAAAAGACTCAAAATACCAAGAGTTGCTGAGAATGAGGAGTCAGCTGGATTCTCATACACTGGTGCTGGGAATGTAAGATAGGAGAACTACTTTGCAAAACAACTTGTAAGTTTATTTTTAAAAAATGAAACATAGCCCTGACTGGTGTGCCTCAGTGAGTTTGGTGTTATCCCACAAACTGAAAGGTCACTGGTTCGATTCCCGGTCAGGGTGCATGCCTGGGTTGTGGGCCAGGTCCTAATCTGGGGCCTTGTAGGAGGTAACCGATGGATGTTTCTGTCACACATCACTGTTTCTCTCCCTGTCTTTCTCCCTCCCTCACCTTCTCTGTAAAAGTAAATAAATAAAATCTTTTTAAAAGAATCAAACATATACCTATATATGATTCAGTCATTCCATAACTATTTTAATAGCCAAAAATAAAAATAGAAACAAATATCTATCAAAAGACGAATGAAAAAACTGAAGCGTAGTCATGCAATGAAATACTACACATCAATAAAAAAATAATGAGCTATTTATAATGCCACAGATTGGGTGGATCTCAATAATTATGCTAAATAAAACAAGCTTAACCTAAAAAGAGTACATACTGTATGATTATATAAAGTTTTATAAAATGAAAACTAATATATAGTGATGTAGAGCAGATCAGTGTTTGCCTGGGGGCAGGGAAATTGAGATTACAAAGGAAAATGAGGAGCCCTGGCCAGGTAGCTCAGCTGGTTAGAGCCTTGTTTGATACTCTAAGGTTACGGATTTGGTCATTGGTTAGGGCACATGTAAGAAACGATCAGTGAATACATAAGTCAGTAGAACAACAAATCAGTGTCTCTCTCTCTCTCAAATCAGTAAATTAAAATAAACTAAAAAGGGCCCTGGCTGATGTGGCTCAGTGGGTTGAGTGCTGGCCTCTGAACCAACGGCTTGCTGGTTTGATTCCCAACACGCGCCTGGGTTGCGGGCCAGGTTCCTAGTAGGGGACACACAAGAGGCAACTACGCATTGATAGAAAATAAATAAATTAACTAACTAACTAAAAAAATGAGGAGATTTTGTGGAGGAGATTGTAGTAGGTAGAATTGTGCCTCCCCAAAAGTCCTAACGTCTAGTACTTGTGAATGTCACCTGATTTGGAAGAAGGATTTATGCAGATATAATCAAGCTAAGATGAGGTCATACAGAATTAGGGTATGTTATAATCCAGTGACTGGTGTCCTCATAAGAAGAGGGAAATTGGGACACACACACATACACACAGGGAAAATCCTGTGTGACTACAGAAGCGGAGGTTGAAGTAATGCATTTATAAGCCAAAGGATGCCAAGATTGCTGGCAACCACCAGCCAGGAGAGAGGCATGAAACGGATTCTCCCTTGGAGCCTTTAGAAGGACCTTGATTTTAAACTTCTGGCCTTCAGAACTATGAGAGGGAAATTTGTGTTCTTTTAAGCCACCCAGTTTGTGTGGTAATTTATTACGGCAGCCGTAGGAAACCAATACTAGGGTGGTGGGTCCTGGTAATGGTTTCTTTCTTTGTTTTTTTTAAAGATTGTATTTATTTATTTTTAGAGAGAGGGGAAGGGAGGGAGAAAGAGAGGGAAATATTGATTGGGTGCCTCTTGCACACCTGCCACTGGGGACCTGGCCTACAACCCAAGGCATGTGCCCTGACTGAGAATCGAACTGGCATCCTTTTGGTTCCCAGGCCGGCACTCAATCCACTGAGCCACACCAGCCAGGGCCTAGTGATGGTTTCATAGGTGTACATATAAGTCAGAACATCAAATCATGCATTGCATTGTATGGCACTTACATCTTAATAAAGCTGGAATTTTTTTGACATTATTTATTTATTTATTTTTATACAGAGGGAAAGTAGGGGAGGAAGAGAGGGAGAGAAACATCAATGTGTGGTTGCCTCTCCCATGCCCCCTCCTGGGCACCTGGCCCACAATCCAGGCATGTGCCCTGATTGGGAATCGAACTGTCAACCCTTTGTTACACAGGCCAGCGCTCATTCCACTGAGCCACACCAGCCAGGGCTCAATTTTTTTTTTTAACGAGCATTTTAAAAAGAAGATCTTATTCAGAGAGATAAGAAAAACCTTGACATAGATAAAATTTTAATGTTGTATAAAAAATGGGACCAGGAGTTCTCTATGCAGACTATTGAAGAGTAATCAGCATGTGGTTCTAATACTGTGTGAGAAGTATAAAGGTCAGAAGTAAATAACTTTCTGATTTCAAAAATGACAGTTTAAAATCTCATTCCCCATCCTGGTTTCCTGAATCAGAATTTCTTAATGTGCCTTGAGGATCAGTGTTTTTAGCAGATTTCCCGAAGGAACAGATGTGTTTCGGAGCCGCCAGTCCAGTCCAAACCTTTGTTTCACAGATGAGTACCCTCAGGGTCTGAGTGAGCTTGTTTTGTGGTGATAGGGTTTGTTGCCATCAGAATCCTGGTGACAGAAGCAGGATCCTGCTTCTGTTTACATGTACAATTCCTTTTTATATTGTAACATCTGTGTGAACAGTAAGTCAGAGAAACAAATGATATCCAAACTGTTTGAAATTGTATTGATTTCTTGCTAGCGTAGGGACTAATATAAATTAAGACCATCACAAATCTTTATAAACAGGATTGGGAGGTTTAAAGTAGACAGTAATCTTATTTATCTCTTTTTAGACGACTAAGTCAAAGACCAACGCCAGAAGAACTTGAACAACGAAATATATTACAGCGTGAGTCCAGCTATGGAAATGAAATTGTACCGATTTTCTTCCTTTATTTCTGACTGTAACATAGAGAAGAGAAGCACTTTCTGCAGTTGTCAAGGAGAGAGTACCCCAGCCAAGGAAGGACTCACATAGCCCTTCCTCTGAAGGAACCACGTTCCCCCAAACCGCCTTTTTAAGACAGCAGTACGGCGTTGTTTAGTGCGCTGGGATACTGCAGAAAATTCAGTTTTAATGTTCTCATGGTATCTTGAGACTACCTTGGGCATTTGGGAGTATTTCAGTGTATGGTAGACTCTGCCCAACTTTTCTCTCTCCTCAAGGAAGGAAAATAGAGGCTGTGCATTGGAGGGGACCCTCCTGTTCCTAGTGGAATCTGGGGGCTGGGGCCCAAAGCAAGCTCCACACCAGCAGACTCGCTGCCTTTTTCATGTCTTAAGACTTTCATACCTCTGAAGTCACAAAATAGGACCATGTATTTATTTTCTTTATGTGTACATAATTAACTTCCTGAAATTGCATTCTGATGTAGTACAGATTTACTTTTTCAGAGTTATGGGGTGAAATTTGACCCTAAAACTCTCCACCCCGAAGAGGATGAGACATCATAGGGTTACTGGTGGGCATGCTCACTTTGACCGCTCCACCCCGTTCTCTCATCGCTGTTTGTGTGTGTGCACCTTAACCACTTAGTACACTGAAGTGTGGGAGTCTGTATACAGACCACACAAAACTTAGTGTGGTCTCCATTCTTAGTGGTTACCTTTGAGCATGAATCTGCAAAGGTTTTTTAGAGGACACATAGTAAGTATTTTCAGCTTTGTAGGCCAAAAGCAAAAGGGAGCTGTTATTTAGGTATTTATCAAACCATTCAAAATGTAGCCATTTTACATTTAAAAATGTAAAAACCAGTCTTAGCTCGTGGGCAACTAGCTGGGCTTGCCACCGTGGTTTGCTTCCCTTGCTCTTGAGTGTCTTGACAGTACCACTTGACAACAAAATCATCTTGGTTGGCCATCCCCCAGGTTCATTTTTTTTTCTGGCTTGGAGCCTTCTAAGAAACATCCGTACTGTAATTAGTGAAAAGTTTGATATGCAGGTTGCCACTGTGAAGTAATGGTTTTTTGTTTTTGACTGTCACCTTTAGCTAAAAATGAAGCTGATCGTCAGGCAGAAAAACGCGAGATTAAACGGCGGCTCACAAGAAAGGTAAGCGGCCCCAGTCTTTGGTTTCGTCTGTGTCCTGAGTGCATGTCTTATATTTGAAGCACCTAGCTGATTGGGAAGAAACGATTTGACTGAAATTGCCATAGATTGCTCTGAAAATAGAATACATCATGCAAATACAGAAAACAGCACAGCGTTGTCAAGAGCTGTTCTTTTTAATTTTTATTCTTTTTCATTTTTACTATTCAAGAAAAGCCTGGCACAAGAAGATGCCCAATAAATACATAAAATTTTACCTTTTGTTTGGCAGACCTGGGGTCTTGATGTGAACTGTAAAACCTTTTGAAGAATAGAGATGGTAACAGGACGGGTGTGTAGCCTTCGGGCCTGTGAGGCAAACTAGTTATTTTCTAGTCAGGGAAAGAACTTAACTGGTCCTTAGTAATACCTGAAAAATACGAAAAAACAACTAGGATTTTTTCCTCGCTCTCGGATCAGTTAAAGTAAAATCTTTTTTGTACAAGACATGCTTTAGCTTTTAAGCTCTGGGATTAGTACCTTTTTTCTTTTCTTCTTGTCATAATAGTTTGTAATTGCCTGCTGTAGATTCTGCTTTGGTCTGAGTTCTCTAGGTATTTCTTAAAACATAAGAATACCCAGGAGAGCCCTGGCTGGTGTATCTCAGTGGATTGAGCACGGGCCTGTGAAGCAAAGAGTTGCTGGTTCAATTCCTAGTCGGGGCATATGCCTGGGTTGCAGGCCAGGTCCCCAGTTGGGGACATGTGAGGGGCAACCACACATTGATGTTTCTCCCCTACTCTTTCTCCTTCCCTTCCCCTCTCTCTAAAAATAAATAAATAAAACATTTTTAAAAAAACATACCCAGGAGAGTGAGGGGATCTAGACATTTTCTTCCCAAGTTCCCCCCACTTCTCCCCTTCCCCAGAATCAGAGGAATTTCCTTGTTAGAATAAGAGTTGCTGGAGGCCTCAGCTGGACTTGATGCCTTCAGATTGAGCAGGTTACCTGATGGTGCCATCTTAAACCATAATTTATTGCAGGATCTGCCGTCATGAACATTGTTCGTGTTGAAATTCACCCTTAATATTACTCTCTAGTCAGTGCTTTCATACTAAATATATTCACTTTCTTACATATTATATGTGCTGTTATGGTCCTGATCCTTTTGCTACTCAGAGTATGGTTCATGGACCAGCAGCATTGGCATTACCTTACAGCTTGTAAGAGATGCAGAATCTAAGACCCTACCCCAGACCAGCCTAATTAGAATGTCCATTTTAACCAGATTTCTAAATGCCTTGTATGCATGTTAAAGTTTGAGAAGCACTGGTAATACTGGTTACAGTGGTTTATAGTGCATTCGGAAGCTTAAAAAACCCCTCTCTACCAGAATCTTGGGAGGGACCTAGGCATCCGTGGCGTTTGAAGGTCCCTTCGTGATTCCAGCATGCAGTGAATTTGAACCCTGGGTGAGAGGCAGTTTGAATGCGTGATTGATGCTGATTCCTGACCTGGTCAACTGAGAGGCTCCATTTCTTGCAGCTCAGTCAAAGGCCAACTGTGGCTGAGCTACTGGCGAGGAAGATTCTGAGGTTTAATGAGTATGTGGAGGTAACAGATGCTCAAGATTATGACCGGCGAGCCGATAAACCGTGGACCAAACTGACCCCTGCCGATAAGGTCTGTCTGTCTTTCTCTGTCTGCAAGACACTAGCTAGAAACAAGAACCACACTCTAAATTTCTATTTTTGATGTAATGTTAAATTTGTAATCAAGACACAAAATGTCAAGATTTACAAACCAAAACTTTATACTAATGAGTCCACCACCAGCACAAAACTGGAAGAGAAGAAAGTCCCTGCTGCATCAGAGCACAAAAACCTGGAAGGAAATAAAACACCCTTTGAATGATGGTTGTGTCGGTTGCAGGGAGCTTGGGTAGTATCTAGTAATTACCGTATGACACTTTTTAAATGGGAAAAGCATTTTTACAAGCTGTGGAAACTATAAAATCTACAGTATCTCTTTTAAGCTCTTCAAGTGTTCTGATTCAACCGGAGATTGTAGGTTGACTGTGAGAAGGGTGGTGTCAGGGCAGGTGCTGTGTCCGGGCGCAGAGCTTCGCCCCATGTGCTGCTGCCCTGGCTCCTTTCTTCCCTCTGGGTTGCCTACCGCAGGTTACAGTGACTCACCAAGTTAAACACAACAGAGAACAGATGGCAAGTCACACTGCTGCAGGGTGGCAGGCAGAAAGTGCTGAAACATTTCCACTTTTACTCCCCAGGCTGCCATAAGAAAAGAACTGAATGAATTTAAAAGCTCGGAGATGGAGGTTCATGAAGAGAGCAAACATTTTACACGGTAAGAGCCACAAGGCCCAAATACTGTGAACTAATTAACGTTCCACCAAAAAGCAAACATAACTGGAGAGTTGATTAGATGGGAAGGATGCTAATGACATTGTTTAAAGGGACATTCAGGTCCTGGCCAGTGTGGCGTAGTGGATTGAATGCTGGCCTGTGAATCCCAAAGTCGCTGGTTGGATTCCCAGGCAAGGCACATGCCTGAGTTGCAGGCCAGGTCACCAGTTGGGGGTGTGCAAGAGGCATCCAATACATGTCTCTCTTACACATGGATGTTTCCCTCCCTCTCTTTCTCACCCTTGTTTCCCCTCTCTCTAAAAATAAATAAAATCTTAAAAGGACACTCAGTGTTGATTGTCCTTTTAGGACGTTAAGACTGCATTAAGAAAAAGGGATGATGATTTAGAATCAGTAGTGAATGCCTATACTGAATGTAGCATTTTTATGTTTATCTTATTTAATCATTGCAATAAACTTTTAAGGTGATAATATCCTCATTTTATTGACGAAGAAACAGGCTCAGGAGTGTTAACTAGCCTGACATGCTAGTAAGTTGCAGAACCAGGATTTGGAGAAAGGAATAAATGACTCAAAAGCCACTGGCAGGCATGGCTGGGTGACTCAGTTGGTTAGTGCATTGTTCCAATACACCAAGGTTGTAGGTTTGATCCTCGGTCAGGGCACGTACAAGAAGCAACCAATTAATTCATAAATAAGTGAAACAACAAATTAATGCTCCTCTTTCTCTCTCCATGTCCCTCTCCTCCTCTTCCCCGTCTCTCCCTCCCCCTCCACCCTCCCTATTCCTACCTTTTTCCTTCTCTGAAATCAATCTTTAAATAAATGATTTTTTTTAAATGCCACTGGGTTTTCTCTTCCCTGTGCTTCACTGTCGCAGGTTATATATGAGGAAATTATTGCTGAGTTAGACAAGATCTTACCCTCTCCAGTTTCAGATCTTTGTAGCACAGTGATGTCACCAATTTTGTATATAAACTTTATTTTAATTAGCTGCCTTCATGAAACAAGCCATGAAATATTTTGATTTGGAATTACTGTTGTAAGGGCCCACCCGCCCAGTATCTAAATAATCAGCCAAAAATGAAAATACTGAACATACCTAGGTGACTCTCAGAACATTCATAAAAAGAGGCTAAATAAAGAAAATATAATGTCAATTCCAGTTTGCTGTAAAAAGAAGGAATAAGCAAAGTTGGAAAATAAAATATTGTTAAATGTTTTTCAGTCATAGTACAAGCAAATGGCTATTTTAATTAGAGTTTAATTATCCCTAAGGATAAATCTTAGAAACCCAATGTTGAGTCCTGCTGGTGTGGCTCAGTGGGTTGGGCATCGTCCCACAAACCAAAAGGTCGCCGGCTGTCACAGCACATGCTTGGGTTGCAGGCCAGTTGGGGGCGTGCAAGAGGCAACCAATCATTGTATCTCTTGCACATGGATCTTTCTCTCCCTTTCTCTTCCTTTCCCCATCTCTCTAAAAAATAAATAAAATCTTTTAAAAATACAAAAGAGGAAGGCAGACAATAAACAAACTGGAAAACAAATTACCCATGTTGAGTTTGACAAGCCTATACCACATTGAAGGTGGAAAGGCCTAGAATACAATTGGATATTCAGTCTGGAGTACAAGGAGAAAGCGAGGTCTAAAGGCAGCACATTTATGAGAAAAGGAGGTGCTTCTTAATAGGCAGCTTGTTTTTAAAGGGTGTATTAAGGAAAATAGTCCAAGAAAGCATACTGAAGAAAAAGGAAAACTAGGGATAAGAGTTTATCCCTAGTTTACAGAGGCCAAAGAAGAGGGTTGTGAGGCGGCAAGGAGAGGGTCAGGTCTGTCAGATGCTGCAGGAAGGTCAGGAAGAATCAGAGGGAAGGAGAGGCATACTTTAAATATTAAAACGTAACATTTCATTACTATTAATGCAGTAATAGCAAAGCGGTCTACAGTATCTGTTAACTTGGCTCTTTTTGATCTTCTCTTTTAGCTACCATCGTCCATGATGCTGAAGGTTGAGAGAGGAACTAAACAGCCCTCCTTTGCTGCTTCAGTCTCCAGAACAACACAGCAGGCACCTGAGCACTCACCAGCACAGCCGGGATCGTGTCCTCTGGGATGGGCTTCTGGGGTGAACAGCACTTCTGTGAATGTAGCGTTTCACTGGAATGGATTCTCAAAACTGAACACTGCCAGTGCTTTGAACTTTTTAATGGTGTGGCATATTTGAGAGGTCTCCCCTCACCAGCCACAAATGGTCTGGGCCACTTGCAGGTTCCAGATGTTATGGGCTGCACCACACCCTCGCCCCAAGGTGACTGACCACCTGTGCTGAGGCACAGTTTGCACCATTAGCCTTACCTGCTCTGTCCCGGTTGCGAGCCCTGTTTTGGAGGCACTAAATTCCAGCCGTCAAATCCAGTTGGTGGTGGGGAAAACCAAGAGGGCCCCAACCTTCTGGCAAAGGGGCCCCCACTTCCAGGGGAAGCCTTTGTGCCACACTGGCATGTCGGCGTTGCACTAGACCTCTTGTAATAGCAGTGTAGTCCTGTTCAGGGCGCCCGGCCTGAAAGCAGCTCAGGATCTGACAAGTGCTTGCTTTTTGACACAGGTTATCCTGATTTTTACTTTTTTTTTAAAGTCTTGAAACCTGCAATCAGATTTCAAGTTGGAAAAATGCAAAAGCATATGTTTTCTATATACAAAACCAGAAAAGCCTTTATGTTAATGCCAACTTGGAGGAAAACTGACCCCTGGCTTAACTGTTAGAAGCTGTTGTACTTATATCGTACCAAATGATACTGTAAATCATTTTGACCAGGAGATCCATTCCCCTCCAAAAAGCAGAGGTGTAGCAACTGTGAGGGAGCACTTGTGTGCTGCCAGCCCCCACACTTTCAGGCAGAATCACAGCAAGGTCCTGGGGTGTTCCACTGGGTGCTAGATAGGACAGGTCTTTGGAGAAACAATTAGGAGGGGAACAGCCGTGACCCGCCGCTCCTCTCTTCCTGGGCACCAACGTCTGTCCTGTCCTGCTGCCTGTCTCTGGCAGCTTCCACCCCTCTCCTCCCTACTCCTCCAAGCTGGAGCCAGTGTCGTTGGTGCCTGGGCTCAGGGCCACCCTGTTTTTTGTGATACGTAGTAATATGATTTCCTAAAACAGGATTCAGTTGCTTTCTTTGAATTTTTGTTGAAAACCTCACAGCTTCACTATTTCCTTCTAATTCCTGTCCACTCTAAGTGGAAGGAAAAAATAGTTTCTATTTAACTAATGAATGTGGCTTTTTTTTTCATGTTCAGAGAATTGGGGCTGCTCTATAGATTTCTGCAGTCCCCGTTGTTCTTTGTGTAATTTCAGTAGATTCTTGTTTTTCTCCTTTCATGTCCATTATTATTTCCTGAAGAATCAAAATGTCATGTCAAAACAAAAAGCTAAAGCAACCTTAAAGAGTAGAGTCCTCTGTCTGTATGGGGAATGGGAGGTATTGGATTTCTCAGTTACTGTCAGATGCTTTATGGCTGTAGAGATAGATGTACTGGATTCGCATCTCCTTGAAGCTGAATGAACATCCGGTAGGACTGACAGCAAGTTAAGTGGCGACTGTAGATGTTACAGGTCTGTGTATAAGGTGGCCTCACATTCACTGCTAACTTGACTTCTTCTAACATTTCTGTCTTGTTGGTTTGGCAATTAGTTGGCTTATGCCAGAATCCTCTGTGGCTTACAATGACACTTCCAAATGCTTCCACCACTGCCTTTCTTCTCCTTAACGTGCCAAGCTTAAAATGGGATTTGATTTCTTGAGTTACTTGTCTGTTTTCGATGTGCCACCGATGAATCTAGTTAATCTTTCATCTCATTCGTGTTCCTTTGGAACAAATACTTTGGGGGTCAAGTCTTTTCAGGTGTTTTATATATATGTGTATATATATATATATAAAGGATTTTGTGTCCTTTCTGTGTAAGTAACGATTCGCAATTGTGCTGTATAGAAGAAATAAAAGCCTGATGTATTGTACTTCAAAATGTTTCCCTCATGTACAGAATCTCCTTGTAAAATAAGTGATTGCATTGTATATCAGTCTTCCTACCAACATTAATTATTAAAGTATTTTAGAATTTTAAAAAAACTGTATTATTCTGGTATAAAGTGTTTATGTGCTACCTTATTCCAAAAGATTTCAGCCAGGTAAAAATGATACCTGAAATCCAGTGCAAGACATCCTCAATGAGAAGTTGGTGGGAAGGGGTGGGGAGGAAATAATAGTCAGAACGTTGAGTGTGGCCATAGATGAAGGCTGGTCATGTTGGTGACTGACTGCACGCGTGTGGAGAAAGAATAGGCTTCAGAGAGGAGAGCCAACACGAATCCCGTGGTAGGTACCAGGTAACCATACTCAGCACTTCCACCTGTTTACCCTCGACTGGCAGGTAAGTAGGAATACTGTATTTTGCGGTATATAAAATGTGCATCCACATTTTTGGCCCAGACTTTCAGGGAAAAAAATTGTTTTAAACAAAACCATTTATTGTATTCCAGGGCATTATTTTGCATACTTTCTAGAGTTATGCTTTTAATGCATAAGCATAAATAAAAGAATTAAAAACATTTATAGATACAGAATTTGTATTACCCATATGAAGTGTGCATCCTTGTTTTTCCCTCAAAAACTTGGACATTATACATGGCAAGATACGGTATACTCGTTTCACCAGTGAAGAACCTAAGGGGAAGTTGCTTCTGCAAGGTCAAAGCAACCTTGATTGTGGAATCACTCTGCATATGTTCAAGGACAAGCAGTTGTATTCAAGCCATCCCTACAAGGATTACTTGTGTGGACCACACATAATTAGACCTCAGCCCGACATCACTGTAAGACAGTTCATCCCTCATCTACTGCTCCCTGGCTGGCAGCCCAGTTTCATTCCTTGTTCCCCCACTAGTGACTCACTTTCTACTTGTCACTTTGGAGACTGGTCTTGATTAGTGCACCACCCTTTACTAAGGGTCTAAAGAAACCATGAGTCAGAAGTCCTGTCATTGTGTTCCACCTGCTTCCAGATATTTCTTCTGTTAGTCCTCCAAAGAGGCCTCAAATTGCCATTACCCTTTTGAGGTTAAACACTGTCTCCAGAAGGGTGTTTTACATTGCCCGGTGCTGGCTGAAACAGTGAGTTTGCCATTCTTAAGGATTTAGATTACTGTACCCCAGGAGAGGGAAGACTGGCGTAGAGTGAGAAGTTCGGAAAACCACTTTCAAAAAGGGGAAGTCTGTGGATACTAAGCGGGAGGGGATGAGGTAGGAAGTGTACTTACAAAAGACGAGAATGTACAACAGAACAGCCAAGCCCAGAAACCAAAACACAGCTGACTGCTGATTTACTGGCAGCTCTAGAAAGCCTGATGGGAAAAGCAGGAACCACCAGCAACCTGTACCACTTCTTACATCTCTCCTGTGTGGATACCAGTAATGTCTTCCCCCCAGGAATTTTTGCCTCCTTCATAAAACATAGAGGTCATCTGACAGGGACAAACACCCTCAATTTCCTTCCATCTGGTGCTGAAGAGACACACACCACTATTTATTCACTAACTTGTTTAATGTTTATCTCCTTCCTACATGCGCCGCCCCACCCCCCCCGCCCCAGTCTTCCTTGGGCCCTATTTTCTCTTCAACCTATTGCCCTTTTCCTATACTCCCTTCACATAATCTATATTAACAACTTAAATTTCTGTACAGTCCAAGCAGTTGAACTAAAGTTGGGCCAAGTGGAAGTCAAAGACCTGATGGTAAACCAATCAACAGGCTTCTCGACAGTGGATATGACCCGTGGTCTGTACGCACTGCTTTCCATTTCTAAAGCCATGTTCGCTCAACTCATTAAAGTCTAAGTCTCACCCTGGCCAGGTGGCTCAGCTGCTTTACAGCATAGTCCCATGCACAAAAAGGTTGCTGGTTGCTTCCGGTCAGGGTTCATACCTAGGTTTGGGGTTCGATCCTGGTTCTAGACTTGCACAGGAGGTAACTGATCAGTGTATCTCACATCGATGCTTTCTTTCTATCTCTCTCTCCCCGCACAGTCTACTTTCTCAATTAGAGACGACCACTGTATGTTCAGCCTCTGAAGCCTAAAATTTTGGTATTGGCTGCAAGTTTCTCTCTTACCTCAAAGGTCCAGTAAGACAACAAATTCTCTGCATTTTCTACCTCAGAAATGTCTCCTGATTTATTTATCTCCTCTTGCCTTGTTTACCATCCAAATCCAAAGTCTGGAGGACTTTGTAACCCCCAGCCTCTCTGATCTATCCTTCAAATTGCCGCTAGAGTTACCTTTCTAAAATGCAAAGACAGTCATGGCAGCCCTTTACTTCACAACTTACCGGCCTCTAGTCACCTAGATAAAATTTAAACTTGGCCTGGACTACAAGATATTTTGGAATTCAGTTCTTGCCAACTTTCTAGTCTCATGAAAAATCCAGGCACTTCTGTTAATCTTCCTCATCACGCGGACTGCTCACCCTTTCCGGGAGGCCGCAGCTCTGCCAGTTCCTCCACCTGGAATGCTGTCCTCGGTCACACTCCGCCATCACCCCACCACCCCTGTACAATTCCTTCAAGTTTTAGCTCAAATTTTAACTTCCCAGGAAGACCCCTTCAGCATATTGGTCAGTTGCTCTGTTGTCTACATTCTCCGAATACTGTATTCAGGCCAGGTAGCACACTTCAGGTAGTAGTGTGTTTCGTTGTTGTGACTATTTCCCTACCGTGAGTTCTCAAGGATAGAAAAAGGTATTTCATCTAGAATCCTTGATGTGGCAGGTCCAGTGAATAAGTCATATCCACCAAATAAATGCTGAATGAGTATTTGAAAGATAACAATGCTGGTAATAGCAGCAGAGAAGTAGCAGAATTATTTGCCTTTCTTCCTCTAAACTACTGGTTCTCAAACATTTTGGTTTTGCAGTCCCCTTCAGAACTTTAAAAAGTATTCACAACCCCAAAGATTTTTCATATCTGTGGGTGATATCTACTGATACTTCACTAAAAACAGACATTTCAAAAATATTTGCAATACCTTTCAAAATAACCCATTACATATTACTAATATGTTTTTGTGAAACATGTCTATTTTCCCCAAATAGTGAAAAGAGTGGCAGTGTTTTATATATTTATGTTTTGAAAATCTCTTAAATGTCTGGTGTAATAGAAGACAGCTCAATTTTCATATACTGCTGCATCCAGTCTGTTACTATGTGCTGTTTTGGTTTAAGTAAATGAAGAAAATCCAGTCTCACACAGATATACAGTCGGTAAAGATGTCAGCTGTTCTATCGAGTAAAATGATTTTCTATGAAAAAAATGTGGTTATTTCAGCTCATAATGCAATCCCATAAGTTCTTTTTCTGGGGCAGGTAACCATGGTACCTTGGTATGCAACAAAAGTGCTTTATATATATTTCTCACTTTGTCACTCAGAAAATTTAAAAGTTGGATACCCAGAAGTCAAGAATAAGCCCTGGCTGGTGTAGCTCAGTGGATTGAGCACGGGCCTACGAACCATGGGATCACGGTTCAATTCCCAGTCAGGGCACACGCCTGGGTTGCAGGCCGGTTCCCTGCAGGCCAGTTCCCAGCAGGGGACGCACGAAAGGCAACCATACATTGATGTTTCTCTCCCTCTCTCCTTCCCCCCTTCCCCTATAAAGATAAATAAATAAAATCTTGAAAAAAAAGTCAAGAATAAAATGAATGATTATTAGTTCTTCAAGGACATTCCTAGAGGAATGTGACTTTTAGAAAAAATAAATAAAAATAAATTTATGATGATGAAAAAAACACTACAAGTACAGTTTGGTTACAAGACCTGGAGACATACTGAGGTACCAGCAAATTTACCCACGATTTCATTTTACATGAGTGCAGAGTCAAAACAGTGAAAAGGGCAAAGAAAGTATTATTATGAAACAGTTTTGACCTCCTGGACACCCAAAAGAATCTTGGGGACCACAAGGTCTGCCAACTACACTTTGAGAGCCATTGCCCGGGCGCCTGTTTGCATCTTACAATCTGGGTAAAAATACCATTCTTTTAGAAGTGCTGTGATAGTACATAATGTAGGTAAAACACTAAGCACAAACTCTTATAGAATACCATAAATTTTTCTACTCATTATAGTCCAGCTGTAATAGCTGTCAATTTAACATTTATTCACCTAACACCACACTCAAAATTGTATCAGATTTGTAACATCGTATCACATTTGTAATACGTATCTTAAGAAATCTTTACCTAATTCTTTATATTTGGCCATTTTAACCATCCGTACGTGTACAGTTCAACAGTATTTTGCATTGACATTGTGCATAAGACGCTTTTAATTTTAGCAAATTCGCACAGGAGCGCTTATTTACCTACAGATTTATCAAATGTTTATTTCACGTGTGACAGGGCAGATTCAAATCCCTTTTTAGACTTTCCGCATTTCTCTAGATGTCTTTGTCTATTTTTCCTACTTCTTACGCCAAAGTTATTTTTGGCGAGTGAATTTAGCAGCACATTCTCCAAATTAAGTGAACTGAGTGGAGAGAAGTAAATCCGCTATTAAATAGTACCTATCCGCCTACGTACTTAACTCAGTTGCTGCAATCTACGTTCCCTAGCAAAGCCGCGAGGGAAGACTCTGCTGTCGCGAGAATCCTCTGGGCCAGGAAGGGGTGGGGCTTAACCGGCTGCAGATACCTAGCATCCTTTGCGAATTTCTAATTCCTTAACTGTGCCTGGCGCGGCGCAGGCGCAAGAGGCATATCCGCTTGCTCCAAAAGGTATAAATAAGGGTGACTTGGCTCGCTCGGTCTTTTCGGGGAAGATTGTTGTTCAGCTTCCATGGTATTTGGTGAGTGTTTTACCCGTCTAGTTTCACTTCCAGGTCCAATATCCTGGACCTGCCAGCCAGTCTTTCTTGTGGCCACAATACTGTTTAGAAGGATTTCCTTTAGTGCCGTGTGTGTTAACGGCTGTTAACTCGTGCAGTGGGACTGGCTCTGATGTGGGCCGTGGCGGTCTCGGGTTCCGCGGGTAATGGCCGTAACCACCGGGGGCGAGCTCCAATGTACGACTCTATTGTCCGAGACGCTGAAAACGCAGCTTCACCTCACCCTCATCTTCGTCTTTCAGTTATTACCCTACCTCCTCGCAGTCGCGTTGTTATCCTCTGTGGACATGCACGCAGGCCATTTTATTCCCGACCCTCATCACGTTTGAGGCCTGATTTCGAAACGGAGGGCTCTCATTTCCGCGAACTTTGTCGTATAGCGGTAATCAGGGCTCCAGATGACAGTTTCAAAGATAAGATTGCATCCTAAACGGTTCTGCATTTACCATTTCTTGGGCAGCACGCTAATCGCATATTGTAACTTGGAGGCGAGTTTTGCGTTGCTTGTCTGAAAGTTGAGGTTACTGAGAAGACTGCTGGTCAGTCTTGAACTCGAGTCTTTGCCTTTGGGGAATTCAGGATGCCCCACAAACTGGATATCCCTGGGAAGTTGCTGCAGTCTGCATGAAATTAATGCTTAGCACAGTAGTCTGAATTAGATTACATAACCAACGTGGATACCCCGGGAGGTCACTCTCCCCGGGCTCTGTCCTGGTGGCGTAGGGGAGCAGAGGGCTCTGCCCTGTGATGTACAGTCCCTTTCCACAACGTTGGAGAGAAAGCCGGGCCTTGAGTCTGCGCCTGCATATTCCTACAGCTTCTCAGAGTCCTTTGGACAATGACTGAGGAGACAAACCATGCAGGAAACATCTCTAGAGCAGCAGTTTTCAACCGATGTGCAGTACCCAGCTTTAGTCTGGGGCACTGATCTCCTTAGATTGTCAAATTTGAAAAAAGGACAGTAGCCAACAATAGCTGTTCACTGTGAATGAATGAGAATAAGCTCTTTACCTACCTTGTTTTGCAGCCCTCAGTCAAGATTCCAAATACCTTGATTTGGGGTGAGTAAATTTATGAATTGAATTTGGCTTTTCATGAAGGTACTGTTGCTGGTTAATGCATCCAGATAGTGCTGGTTTTTGTAGGTATGTTGTAGATGGCTTAGATGTATGTTCATATTTTGGGATCTTTTCCCCCCAGCAAAACTGCTAAGATTTTTCACATTAACTCATTTGATGGAGGGGAAATTTTTACTTAGCAAATGAAAAAAAATTGTGATAGCTTAGATTGACCTGACCAGTCACATCCAAACTGACAGGTGAGTCATTTGATGTGCACACCCCTCCAAGTCCATCCACAGCAGATGAGGGTTTGGTCTCATGCACAGCCCCTCCACCTGGTGCTTGAGTTGTTACAGGGCATGTGCACCTGCATTCTCCAGCAATGACTTGAATAACAGTGATGAAGTAGTCCATAGTAATGACTGGTTTGGAATTGACTGCAATGAGCTACTAAACCAGCAGGCCTCCCTATACCCATATATGTAATAGGAGATGAAGAAGAAACTTATTTATAGCTGTCTCTTTAAAAGGTTTTGAGGGGTAACTTCTAGCACAGTGATCTGTGAATTACATGACCAACGTGGATACCCTGGGAGGTCACTCTCCCCGGGCTCTGTCCTGGTGGCGTAGGGGAGCAGAGGGCTCTGCCCTGTGATGTACAGTCCCTTTCCACAACGTTGGAGAGAAAGCCAGGCCTTGAGTCTGCACCTGCATATTCCTACAGCTTCTCAGAGTCCTCTGGACAATGACTGAGGAGACAAACCATGCAGGAAACATTTCTAGAGCAACAGTTTTCAGCCCGTGTGCAATACCTAACTTTAGTCAGAGTCGCTTCTTCAAGTTTGTCAAATTTTTTTTAAATGACAGCAGCCAAGGTAGTAGTGTTCAGTGTGAATAAAAATAAGTTTTATCAACCTTGTTTTGCAGCCTTTGGTCAAGATTCCAAATACCTTGATTTGGGGGTAAGTGATTTATGATTTAGATTTGGCTTTTTATGGAGGTGCTGTTGCTAGTTCATGCGTCCAGATAAAAACTGCTACATTTTTGTGGGCATGTTGACAGTAGTTTAGAAGTATTTTAATGTTTTGGGGAGATGCTTTTTTTCTCCCCCCAGTAAAACTGCTAAGATTTTCATGTTAACTCATTTAATAAAGGAGAAATTTCTACTTAGCAAGTGAAAAAATTATAGCTTGGATTGACCTGACCAGTCACATCCAAACTGACAACGTGGGTCAATTTGATGTGCGTGCCCCTCTAAGTCCATCCACAGCAGATGAGGGTTTGGTCTCATGCACAGCCCCTCCTCCTGGTGGTAACAGTGATAAAGTAGGTAAACCATGAAGTAGTCCGCAGTAATAACTGGTTTGGAATGACTGCAATGAGCTACTAAACCAGCAGGCCTCCCCACACCTACATGTGCAGTGTGAGGTGAAGAAGAAAGTTTGTTTTTTTAATATGGACATGTTTTTCGAAGGTTTTGAGGGGTAATGCTGTTCAGTAGTATGGTCTTAACTCCAGTTTGTGATTAATCAGGCAGTGTGGATATCCCTGGGAAGTTGTGGTCTGGATGAAATTAACATCTAGCACAGTGGTCTGTGAATTAGGTTACGTAACCAACGTGGATACCCCGGGAGGTCACTCTCCCCGGGCTCTGTCCTGGTGGCGTAGGGGAGCAGAGGGCTCTGCCCTGTGATGTACAGTCCCTTTCCACAACGTTGGAGAGAAAGCCGGGCCTTGAGTCTGCGCCTGCATATTCCTACAGCTTCTCAGAGTCCTTTGGACAATGACTGAGGAGACAAACCATGCAGGAAACATCTCTAGAGCAGCAGCTTTCAGCTAGTGTAGCCACTAGAGTTTTTAAAATACTCAGAACCTGGCTTTAGGCACTGGCCTCTTAAGTTGTCTAATTTTAGCCCTTGCTGGTGTGGCTCAGTGGACTGAGTGCTGGCCGGAGAACCAAAAGGTCACTGGTACAATACCCACTCAGCACGTGCAGGGTTGCAGGCCCCGTCCCCCAGTTGGGTGTGAGCGAGAGGGAACTGATAAGTGTTGTATCTTTCAGGCATGGATGTTTTGTTTCTCTCTCCCTTCCCATCTCTAAAAATAAATCTTAAAAAATAAAGTCAATTTTTTTTAAATGACAACAGCCAACACAGTAGCTGTTAAGTTCAAATGAATGAAAATAAGTTCTCTACTACCTTGTTTTGCAGCCTTCCATTGAGATTCCAATTAACTTGATTGGGGTAAGTAAATCTATGAATTTGTTCTGGCTTTTCAGCAAGGTGCTGTTGCTGGTTAATGTGTAAGTTCCATGTTCCTGTTTTGGGGAGATGCCTTTTTCCCCCCCAATAAAACTGTTAAGATTTGCATGTTAACTCTCATTTGATGGAGGGGAGATTTCTACTTAGCAAATGAAAAAATTGTGATAGCTTAGATTGACCTGACCAGTCACATCCAAACTGACACATGAGTCATTTGACGTGTTCACCCCTCCAAGTCCATCCACAGCAGATGAGGGTTTGGTCTCATGCACAGCCCCTCCTCCTGGTGCCGGAGTTGTCACTGGGCATGTGCACCTGTATTCTCCTCCAACAATGAACTGAGTAACAGTGATAAAGTACATAAACCATGAAGTAGTCCACAGTAATAACTGGTTTGGAATTGATTGCAATGAGCTACTAAACCAGCAGGCCTCCCCACACATATGTAGTGCGAAAAGAAGAAAGTTGTTTTTTTTTTTTTTCTTTTTAATGAAAATCTTTTTTGAAGGTATTGAGGGGTAATGCTGGTTAGCAGTATTATCTTATTCCAGTTTGTGATTAATCAGGCAGTGTGGATATCCCTGGGAACTTGCTGTGATCTAGATGAAATTAACTTCTAGCACAGTGGTCTATGAATTAGATTACGTGACCAACACGGATACCCCGGGAGGTCACTCTCCCTGGCCTCTGCCCTGTGATGTACAGTCCCTTTCCACAATGTTGGAGAGAAAGCCAGGCCTTGAGTCTGCGCCTGCATATTCCTACAGCTTCTCAGAGTCCTTAGGGCAATGACTGAGGAGGCAAACCATGCAGGAAGCATTTAGTATGCTAAGATTTAAAATTCTTTTAAATTTTAGATTCTACAAGGTCTGTCCGGAAAAAGTCCAGTCATTGTTAATGTAACAAGAGCTGATATTACCTGGCAGCCAGGGAGAGTGGAGAGTGGACTGGAGTGCACATGTGTGAACAATGAAGACTTCACTGTACTAGTCCGTGGGCCATAGACGCTGTTGAGTGAGCATCTGTATTCTGTGGCCATTACATTCAAAATGACTGAGCGAGTAGAGCAACGAATCTGCATCAAATTTTGTGTTAAGCTTGAACATTCCTCAGCAGAAACTATTCGAATGATTCAGAAGGCTTTCGGAGATGATGCAATGAGTGCAGCGCAGATAAAAGTGTGGCACAAACGCTTCAAAGATGGCCGAGAATCTGTTGAAAGTGACCCACGTTCTGGAAGGCCTGCGACAAGCAGAACACCTGAAAATGTCGAACGTGTGCGCGCTGCCATCAGCAAAGACCTGCACCTGACAGTGCGTGAACTAGGAGCAGATCTGGGGATTCCCAAAACTACCGTGTCTGAGATTTTGACACGCGATCTTCGCATGAAACGTCTTGTAGCATAATTCATTCCCTGGCTTCCACCACCAGAGCAGGAGGAACATAGTGCTGCAGTTGCAACGACTCCACTCAAACCACTACCAGTGTACCAGATTTTCTGAAGGTCATGACCAGAGATGAATGGTGGGTCTAGGTCTGTGATCCAGAAACAAAGGCCCAGCCTTCCAATGGAAGGTGTCAGCCACCACAAGTTGCTCTTCCAGGGCAAATGATAAGGAGTACTACCTCAGTGTTCTTTTTTGAGAGAAGCAATACGATGGAAACAGCCGCAACTCTGGGCAGCTGGTGGCTGGCAGCTTCTTCATGACAACGTGCCTGCTCAATGCATTAAGACTCATGCAGAGTTATTTTGGTGAAACATCAACTCAGCCCTTCTACAGCCCACATTTGTTTCTCTGCGACTTCTGGCTTTTCCCAAAACTAAAATCACCTTTGAAAGGAAAGGAATTTCAAGCTATTGATGAGATTCAGGAAAATATGATGGGGCACCTAATGGCAGTTCCAACCATGGATTTTGCAGAGTGTTTTGAACAGAGGAGGAGATGCTGGATTAACTGAGGTCCTGAGGGTCCTACTTTGAAGGGGACTGAGGTGTCGTCCTATATACTGTTATTTCTTGTGTCTTCAGAAAAAGTCTGTTTTTTCATAGTGAATAGCTGGATACTTTCTGGACAGACCTCGTAAATGTGCATCTAACATTTCTTTCTGTTTCCATTCAGGAGAGAAGAGGAACCTCACCTTAATTTTTGGCAGCTGGCAATGTTTTTTGAGTCCTTTATTTGAGAGGGAAAGTTTGTAAAGTTATGTTATTTTTGGAAGATTAATAACCGCCCTTTGGCGTAAAGGGGAAAGAGGATTGCAAATCTTGGGCGTAGCTCCAGACATGTATTAACTAATAGAATGTTCTAGTGGCCAGGTGGCCTATTTAAGTTTATAAGGAATTGCAGAATGCACTTTAGTTTGAGGTTTATTAAGACAGTATGGTCTGTGGACCTAGACACCTCAGAATTTTTCAGAATATCTGAGGTAAGAAATTGAAAAAGGATGATATTTGGTCTTTTTAAAGCCTTCAAGTTGGTTTTCTAACTGCACTGCTGAACAGAAAGCAGAAGCCCATGAGAACCTAGATGTTTTTATTAAAGCTCCATTTTTAATGTACTTATGAATTGTAATAAAGGCGACTATACATTGTGCATATTAGTGTCGGTTTTTGTGTGGATGTGTGATTGACGTCAGCCAAAAGTACCCCATGAAAGGAGTAAGTCTCCTTAGCTCTTGTCTGTCCTGTGTGTCCTCTTGTGCTCTTTGTGTTTAACTTGACACTGGCACTTGACCGTGGGGAAGATTCAGTTAGACCAATCCTTAACCTTCAGTTTCCCGTGATGTACAGGCAACTTGGCAACTAGAAGATTGGGTGTAAGTGGTAGTCACACAGCTGTCAGACCAGTCAAACCTGTTGCTGGCATCTGAGTGGCAAACACCTGAGCCTGGGAGAAAACTGCCTGTGAGTGATGTGAGGATGGGTCACAATGGAAGCCTGGTCAGACCTTAGCACAGTCTGCTCACCCTGTGGGGGTGATAGGTGCTGCAGGATGGGCGCTAGCAGGGAACCATCTGGAAGGTAGAGTAGACCCTAGTGGGGCTGGGGAAACTGTGGAGGTACAGCAGCCATGAGGCCACTGGGGTCAGGTTTAAGGGAAGTGGGTGAATTTTGGGTCTGAGTGTGGTGGGTCATGGCCCAAACGGAGAATTACAGTTGGTGTTCAGGCGTGGGAGCTATTTCATTAACAGCCATAATTACGGAGGGCAGTCTGGAAGAGCTCTCTTGTTAGGTTTTTAAATACCTAGGTTGTGTGCCTAAACGAAGAAGCACTTGCGGTACTTATAGGCATTTGAATGTTAATCCCTACAACTCTAAAGTGGATATTAATCTAAGCCAGTGCAAGAGATTATCTAAATGTTTAGTACAAGTTCTTAGTGGAGGGGGTGGGCTAGGATAGGAGTAAAAGAAAACCACTTGAACAATAAGTTTTTAAAAAATTCTTAGCGGAGCTCCATAACTAATGCTGGGCAGGAAATAACACATTTTTTCTTTCCTGATGTCCAAGTATAGCTGAAGCGAAACTCAGCAGGTAGTCTAGGTCCCACCCTACCTGCTAAATTTTATCTTGCAACATGCCTGTCCAGACTTTCTGAACAGGTTTTTCCGGCCTTACCCCACATGTCAGCAAGTTACTGTTGGCAAACTAGGAGTCACGCTGCCTCGGTTTGGATTGTGGTGCTTCCACCTGTTCAGGTGACCTTGGGCAAGCTACTTAATCTTTCGTTTGTTTTTCTCATCCATAGAATGGGGATGATTAAAAGTACCTACCTTGGATTGTAATGAGAAATGAGCTAATGTTTGTAAAATGCTTACTTGGAGTCTCATAGTAAGTACAATGTCAAATAACATTCTTTGACTTCCTGGAGCAAACAACTAAGGATACAGTATCCAAAATTTTGAATGAATACCACCATTCATTTCCTACCAAGCCAGGCTCGTATCACTCAGAGCTACCCTACCTTTCCAGGAGAGGTAAAAGGGGAGAATTGTAATTAGTAACTTACCCAGGATCACCTAAGTGGTAAAACCAGATTTGGACCAAACTCCAAAACCCTATCATTACATACCATTAGCACTGAACAAGGCAGTGTGGTAAGATCGTATGCACAGCATTTCATCTAGTACTCCACGTGCCTCTGTAAAGCAGGTATGCTTTTTGTGCCCGTTTCACAGATGAGGAACTGAAGTTGGAGGATCCAAGTTATGCAGCCAGCAAGTGGCACAGCATGAATAAGGCAACTGACTACAGTACTTGTATTTAACCTACATCGTCACACCTCAAAAAAAAAAAAACACAACTATTTCCACCTAGTTTAAACCACAGAACTTTTTTGCCCTAACCTGATGTAGTAACCACTATACCATAAAAGCAGTTTAATGGGTTAGGAGCCTGTGATGTGTCCAGGTTTACTTGACTCTGGAAAGTACCAAACTGAAGAAGATGAGTACAGTTTCCTGGGCATCAAGAGCCCTCCCCTGGCCATGACTCCCTCTTTCACCCCTTTTTGTCTTTGTGCATGTCTTGTGATGGAACCCACTTCATGACAGTACCTGACATTGGATGAGCACTTGCACGTGCTAGGCATTCTCTAATTCTTGTAACAGCTCTGTGTGGCACAGGAGCTTTTAGTAAATCCTAAAATGCCTACTCTGCAGCGTAGAAAAGGAAGACAAAGTTCGAGTATCTGCCAAAGACCACACAGAATGGACTTCAAGGTCGGAGTCTTGAGAACAGCGGTCCCCAATGTTTTTGGCACCAGGGACTGGTTTCGTGGAAGACGATTCTTCCGCAGACCTAGGGTGTGGGGATGGTTTAAGGGTGATTCAAGTGTGTTACATTCAAGCCCACCTCCTGCTGTGTGCCCAGTTCCTAACAGGCCCAAACTGGCACTGGTCCACAGCCCAGAGGTTGGGGACCCCTGCTCTGGAGCCATGAACTCTTAACTGCCATCTGCACTTCCCACACACCTGGCACCTTGAGCATTCCATCATGATCATTAGCATTCTGATGTGATTTTTCAATTGATGTCCATCTAACCTAATAGTTGGGGCAACCTCAGGGAATAGGACCAGGTATGTAAGCTCGGTACTTAATAATGTGCCTGGCACATAGCAGACGCTGGCGGACTGTTGTTTTTCTGTGTTGTATTTCATTGAGTTCAGCTTTGATCTTTATTATTCCTTCTGTTTTCTTGGGGTTTAGTTTGCTCTTCTTTCCCTAGTTTCTTAAGGTAGAAATTGAAGTCATTGATTTGAGACCTTTCTTTTTCCTAACAGGTATTTAGTGCTGTGAGTTTTCCCCAAATATTACTTTAATGCTATCCCATAAATCTGTATGTTGTTTTCATTTTAATTCAATTTAAATACTTTCAAATTCTGTTTTGACTTTTTTTTTAATCTATGGGCTACTTAGAAGTATGTTAGTTTTTAAATATTTAGGAGTTTTTCAAAGATCTTTCTGTGATTGGTTTCTACTTTAATTCCATTATAATCTTATGTTTTGTATGACTTGAGTCCTTTTGAGTTTACCAAGACTTGTTCTATGACCCAGAATATGATCAATCTTGGTAAAGGTTTCACATGTACTTGGAAAGCACATGTCACTGATAGTTGTTTGAAGAAAGCAAGGTGGAGTATGAAGAAAGGTGACGTGTTCTATAAATGTCAGTAGGTTCAAATTGGTTGCTTCAAGCTTACTACACCCTTGCTGCTTTTTTGCCTACATATTCTATCACTTATTGAGAACGGGGTATTGAAATTTTCAGCTATAGTGGTGGATTTGTCTGTTTCTTCTAGATGTTCTATCAGTTTTGTTTTCATGTATTTTGAAGCTCTGTTATTGTATATATGTTTAAAATAAAAATTGATGTTTGGGTTCAAAGAAGGAAAAGATAAGTGGGGTCAAGGAAGTCTTCATGGAGGCGGGAACTGAATCGAATCTTAAAATGAGTCAAGAATTCAACTAGGTAGGAAGAAAGGCACCTGGCAGGAGAACAGCCCAGATAAAGGAGAGAAGGTGGGAATGATAATGGGTGCCTTCAAAGTACGGTGCTGAGGCTAAGGGGGCCATTTGCCACCTGATACTGCAAGCATAGCACCAAAGAAATTTCTAGGCTCTCGAAGATTTTCAAACAGGGCAAGATCTCACAGCCATGACTTAGGGAGACTAACTTGGAGATAATGGTGGAATGAAATAAAGGGGAATAAATGAGAGGTGGGAGCTGAGGCCAGGAAGGTGGTGCTTCCAACCAGAAGGGCGGACGGAAACACGAAGAGAGGGGAGAGAGGAAACTGAAAAGAAGTTAAGGTTTGAATCCATGCTTCTCAGAGAACCCTGACTTTGGTTGGAAGGATGAAGGTGCATGGGGAGGGGTCTAGATCCATGGGCGCTGGGTCATCTGGGGAGGGATGTAGGGCTCAGAACCAGACTGGATAGACGGCCTTGTCGATTAAAAAGTGACAGCTCAGCTCTGAACAAGAGCTCTGGCCTCTCCTGCCACTTACATGATGACTCCAGAGAACACCTTTAACCTTTCGGAACCTCATTTTCCTCATTTTTCAACTGTCAAGAGGCTTTTGAAAGAAAGCCTCTTGCTAAAGAACATAGGTGGACATGTTTTTGTAGTTAAAAAAGAAAAGATGTTTTTACTTTTACAAAATAGAAAAATATTTTATTTTACAAAATTAAAAAATATATTATTTTTATAATTACATTAAGCCATGTGAATGAGTAAGATCTTGGAGGAAGACAGCAAAGAGAGATCAGAAATCCCAGGGCTTAAACTTGGAGAAATTTCACGGTACTATATCATCCAAAGGAGGAGGTCGCGATGGAGGCGGAGGTAAACTTGAACAGGTAAGAGACGGGGAGTATTTTGGAGTGGGCGCTGCAGAGTAAAAAAAAAATTCAGTTGGGCCCTGGCTGGTGTAGCTCAGTGGATTGAGCGCGGGCCTGCGAACGAGACAATCGCGGTTCAATTCCCAGTCAGGGCACATTCCTGGGTTGCAGGCCAGTTCCTTGCAGGCCAATTCCCAGCAGGGGACGCATGAAAGGCAACCATGCATTGATGTTTCTCTCGCTCTCTCCTTCCCTTCCCCTCTAAAGATAAATAAATAAAATTTTTTAAAAAACCACTTTTCATTTAAAAAAAAATTCAGTTGGTAAATACTCATCGAAAGTGCCCATCTATTTGGGTATGATAGAATGACTTTCAGAGTCAGAATCGACATGAAATGGAGAAAATACCAACTGCAGTGGTCACTGCCCTGACCTGGGAAACCACCCAAACAATCGAATGGCCACAGAGGTCACCTCAGGGGACACCTGAAGTCTTCGCAAACGGTTTGTGTCCATCCTGAAGAACGAGTGTGTTAACAACAGAGCGTCATCTGCCTGGTGCCCGATTTCCTTCTCCAGACCTCCACCCCCAAGTCACACCCTCTTCTTTCTAGTCTGCCTTCCTCACTCCGCCTGCCACCCCACTCCGCAACTCTTGGTTTCCCCTTCCCGTAAATCCATTCTCCACTCTGTTCTGAAGCAAAAATCTGTTCATGTCACTCGCGTGGTCAACCCCCTTCCATGGTTCCCTATTGCCTCAGACCTGAGGCTGCATTCTAGGCACACACGACTGTGCGTCCGTCCACCCCGCCCCCCGGCCCCCTGCCCCAGCACTCTCCCGTCACCCCCACAGGCACTCTGCTCCAATCAGACCTTAGCCGGTTTTCTTAGAAGAAACCAGCAGACCTGACTTCTTTGAGTTACCTTGGAAAGCCTTTCCTAAGTTCCAGGCTGAGCCGGATGCCCCTGGGCGTATCCTTGTCATAGCTCCTTCTTGTAATAGTCTGATTTCTCCTCTTTCTCTTAACGGACAGGGAATATCAGTATCTCTGTTCTCTGTACAGTCCCTTCCACACCAGGTTTGTTCAAAAAAATACTGTTTTCAAGTGGTATTTCTGGTTGTCAGTCCACTTGTCGCGATATGGGGTCTCCAGAATACAGACCCACTGTACCCGTGGAGTACCGTGAAGAGCCTGGACTAGAGCTCCCAATGGGGAGCCTGTCACTTGCACTTCCCTCGAACGCCGCCAGGGGCCGCTGGGCTCTTTGTTTTTCTTTTTGGCCCGGGTCAGGGCCAGAGGCCTGCAGAGCGCATGCTCTGGGGCAGTTCGCGGCCCAGCCAGTGAGCCGGAGAGTTCCTTGTAGCTTGAGCTGCACCGAGGTAGGTCGCGTGCGCCTCCCAGAAGAAGGGTCCTGGGGGACGGCTGTCCATGAGTGACCAAAGCTGGAGCACGGGGGTCCTCGGAGGGCCGGGGCCGCTGTTTGTGCGGGCCGGGTCTCTCGGCGACAGCTCCATGTGAAGCCGGGCGGAAGGAAGGCAAGGGTGCGGGTGCGCGTGTCTCCGGTCCCACCGGGCGTCCAGGAGCGGACCGGGCCCCCACCTCGCTTGAGCGAAGGCCAGGTGACCCCTTTACCGCCGCGCCTCTCATTCCGGGCCCGCTCGCCTGCTCAGGCGGGAGATTCAAACGGCCCAAGCGCGGATGGCGGGGGTGCGCGTGGCCGTGGTGACCTCGGCGCGGGCGCGTGGACCTGCTCGCCTTGCCGACTCGAGCCAGCTGCCCTGGCGGGGGTGGGGGGGTGGAGTGCGTTTCTAAGGCGGGAAAAGTGATTTTGTTCAGTCTTCGTTTGGAGAATTCAGTTTGCAGAATGGGAAAGGAATCCTGACCGGCGTGGGTCTGCTTTAGGGGATGGACAGTAGGCTTGTGAGGGTCAGCTGTAGGGAAGGAAATCCCAGCATCAGCAGGCACCAAGACTACTGTTGACCAGTTGGGGAGGTGTGCTGTGAACTCCGTATCAACTCATCTGTCAACAGATTATTTGCTGGCTGTCTACCCCGTGCCGCGCTTGCAGGGCTGGTGAACAATGGTGAGAAAGGCCCTGTGTGGCCTTTAAGGAGCTCCCGGTCTCCTTGGGGAGACCCATGTGGGGCCACAATTACATAAGGGCCAGTGTGATCATCGATGTATGCCGCGGTGCCAGGGGCGCTGCTGCTGGCAAGTCATTCATTCATCAAAGAGTAATTGAGGTGCTCCAACCAAGTGTTACTCGGGTGTCCCCGCAGAAGTTGAATGTATGGAGCATTACACGGGAGCTCAGAGGGTGTCACCCAACCCTTCCCAGGAGGGTCAGGGATGGTTTTCCAGGTGAGGTGATGCTTGAACCGACTTTTAATGGAGCTGTGGAGTTATTCAGGCAAACTGGGGGTGGAGGGATTAGGGTGACACAGGTGGAGGGAACAGCACATGCAAAAGCATGCAGGGCCAGGTGAGTGCTGCAGTCAGGGATCCCACAGGTGTTTGAGTCTGACTGGAACACAGGGTACCGTGAGGGGAGTGATACAGCAGGGACAGGGTCTTGAAAGGTCTCAGATGCAAGACCAAGGAACACTGGGTAGGAGAGGAAGAGGCAGGGATGGTTTCATTGCAAGAAAGGCATTAGAATGGAATCTGAAACAGTGAATAAAGGATTTCATGCTCATGTTTTTAACAAATCTCAAGAGCAGGAATCCTGATTAGCTTTGCAACTCCCTAGTTGAACGCCCATGGGCCACTCACCCAATCCCCCAGTTACCAGTTTCTTTACGTGTAAAATGAAGGTAAGAGACATGCGATGAGAATTACTAATATCCTATAATTTGCACAAAGCAGCGGTTCTAACAGCTGGTGGAAGATGTGGCCCCTTTCCTTCTGCAGAAAATAAACATAAATCCAGGCACAGCTCTGTATACAAGGGGGATCCCCTGATGAACTCTTGGGGTGAAGTATCCCAGCACTGTGCCTGGCACATAGCACGAGTCCAGCAAATGTTTGTTGACATACGAGCCTCTGTCCTCTCTTCCCTGGGGATCTGTCTCACAAAGAGATTCTTCAGACTCTGGTTTGGGCAGGCAGGTGTCTGCCTGCTGACACTGAGGATCAGGAAATGGTGGTAGGGACAGCTGCTGTGGTCAGACAGGACTTTTGTCTCCCTTTGCAGAAATGAAACTGGTGAGGTCACAGGGGGGCACAGCAGGAACACCAGGCCCCTGCTAGACTGTCTAGTCTGATATGCCTGCATTCATCACATGAAGAAACTGAGGCTCAGAGAGGAGTGGGAAAGGGGAGCTCTGGCCCTGGTGGGAAGTGGGCAGGAGCCTGCCATTTCACCCCACCCCTGTGTGGTCTGGGTGTCTTTCCCTGAACCTCAGCCTCCTTACCTGTGAAGCCAGGGTGACCACACCTCAGAAGGCAGGTGTGAGCATTCTAGGAGAGTTTACTCTATATCTGACTTTAATTATTTGGGACTGTGTCTCACTCTTCTCCCAGACTGTGAGCTCCTTGAAGATGGAAGCTGTGTTTGTCTGTCGGGTGGTGATGGTGGGGGAGAAAAGACTATACTTATTCCCAGACCAGACACTCACTGTCTGCTTAAGAAAACACACCCAGAGCAGTTAGAGAGGGAGTGTGCACAAAGGACTATTTGTGCACCAGAGGAGGCAGGTGGGGAATGGGTGTAAGGCTCCACCTTTGAGGAGGTGCCCTCATCCCCTGCCCTGCCCCTAGGGTTGCTCACAGCAGCACTGTAGTGCCCAGAGACCTCTGTCTGAGAGACAAAGATTCTCAGGCTCAGAGAAGTCAGGTCTGTGGGACTCCAAAGCCAGTGCTCAACCCCACCGCAGCAGGGGGTTATACCCATGGTCCTTCCCCACACCCTTCAGATTCTTCACTCGCCCTGCCCTCCCTCTTAGGCCCAGCTGTCCCTGTGTCTCCTCTCTGGTCTCACTGTCCTCTGCTCCTTGTGTTTGGCCAAGTTCATGGGGGAATCCTGGGGAGGCCTCCACCCCTGCCCAGGTCATGGCCTACCTTTAGCCAGCATGTTGTTTTGTTCTGTTTATTTATTTTTTAATCCATCAGATATATCTGGGTTGTATTCTTTGCACTCTTTTACTGGCTGTGTGAACTTTGGTGAATTTACTTTCTGATCCTCAGTTCTCTCAACTGTGAAGTAGGAGGTAGAGCGCCTTCTTCAGCTTGTTGTGAGGAGTGGCCAGTGCCCGGAGAGGCTTATATTTTAAGGAGTCGATTTGTACGGTGGATAGACATGTAAAGAAAGTCATCATGGTTCCAAAGTTTGTCCTGATTTCTGTGGGAGAGAATGATTCCCTTAGGATTGGGAGAGGAATCCGAGGTGATTTACCAGTGGAGTTTAAAATGTTTAAAAATGCAAATCTGATAAAGGCATTCTTCTTAAAACAGTCCTGTTTCTCTCAATCCAGCCCTGGTTCCCTTGTGCTTTCTGACTGTTCTTCCTCCAGCTGCAGCCTCTCTGGCGCCCCCCCCCCCCCCCCCACGCAGCTGGGCGCTCCTGTCCGCGTCTCCCCTTCCGGCTTTCTCTCCTGTTTCAGGTCTGAGCTTACATGTCAACTCCCTGACCATGCTCCTCCCTTTTTCCAGTTATTCTCTCTCTCTTTTTTTTTGTTATGGTAGACTATACATAACATAAAATTTCTCATTTTAGCCATTTATAAGTGTACGGTTTATATAGGTGTACAGCATTAAGTACATGTACATTGTTGTGTGATTCCCAAGTTATTCTCATGGAGCACCTTGTCTGTCTGTCCTTCACACAGCACCGTCTGTAGTCATTTGTTTCTTTCCCACTGGAACGTAAGCTCGGTGAGAACAGGGAGAGGATTAGTGTTCTTTTTTCTTGCTATCCCTAGCCCAAAGCCAATCGGTGGTAATAGAAGCTCACTAAAAATTTGTGGAATGAATGAATGCTTCCATGGATGGAATAGAGCAAGTCATGGAATAATGATGTTTCATTCAACATTGTTTCATTATAATGTCGATGAGACACTGTAGTCAGTTCACTTAAAGTCACAGAACCTATCGATGATGTTAAATGTGGAGTTACTGTAGCTATTGTGTGCTTGACACTTCAAAGTCTTTTTTTTTAAATTTTTAAAACTTGATTTGAGAGAGAGAGAGAGAGAGAGAGAAACATCAATTTGTTGTTCTGCTTATTTCTGCATTCATTGGTTGATTTTTGTGTGTGCCCTGACCAGTGATTGAACCTGCAACCTTGGCATATTGGGGAGGACAACTCTAACTAACTGAGCTTGGCCAAGGTGGCACCTCAAAGTTCGTTACAAATGTTTCATTTAGTCTTCCATTTTGTATGCAAAAAAAAAAACCCACATGTAAGTGGACATGGGCATTTCAAATCTGTGTTGTTTAGGGTCAACTGTATTTAATTTTTCTTTTCTTTTTTGAAATTTTAGTTGTGGATCTTTTTTTCTTTGTTCTTTTTTATCTTTTTATTTTATTTTATTTATCTTTAGAGGGGAAGGGAAGGAGAGAGGGAGAGAAATATCAATGTGTGGTTGCCTCTCATGCGCCCCCCACTGGGAACTGGCCTGCCACCCAGGCATGTGCCCTGACTGGGAATCGAACCGCAATCCTTCGCTCAATCCACTGAGCTACGCCAGCTACGGCCTTTTTTTTTTAATCTTTTTAACTGTATTTAGGTTTGTAAGAAACTGCCGGCCAGTCTTCCAAAGTGGCTGTACCACTTTTCATTCCCACCAGCAATGAATGCAAGCGCCCGGCCCTGCCCAGCGTGGCTCAGTTGGTTGGGCGTTGTCGTCCTGCAAAGCAAAAGGTCTCTGTTCTGATTCCGGATCAGGGCACGTGCTGGGGTTGTGGATTCCGTCCCTGGGTGGGACCGGGTGTGTACAAGAGGCAACCGATCATGTTTCTCTTACATGGAAGTTTCCTTCCCTCTCTTTCTTCCTCCCTTCCACTCTCTCTTAAAATAAATAAATAAAATCTTAGAGAGAGAGCACCTGTCATTCCACATCCTCACCAGCCTTTGGCATTGTCCGTGTTCCAGAGTTTGGCCATTCTAATAGATGTGCAGTGGGACATTTCTTCAGTCTTGACGGCAGCCCTGAGAAGTAGTCATGGCATCGCTGTTTATGGGTGAGGATTCAGTTCAAAGAGGATAAGCTGCTGCCTAACCGTGGTCACAAAGGCTGGGCGGCTCAGCCGCAGCTCTGGCTGGTGAAGCCAGTTCCCTCTGATCCCAAGAACATGCATTTTTAGTGAGGGAAGAGGGGTCTCAGAGGGGCGGGTTGGAGGGAGGATTCCCACCCTGGGAGAATAAAACTTGGGTGGAGCTCAGAGCTTCCACCTCATCAGGGTCAGAACTGGGCCAGTCACAACCTGTAGAAGCTCAACCTGCGAGGCTCCTGCCCTGTCTCCAGCGCTTTGTTCTCCTCTCTCAGCGTAGTCAGCAGAATGTGCCCCAAAATTTCGAGGCCGTCTACTATGTTCATACACTGTGGAGTGAGAGCTAAAGAGGCTGAGGCTCTAGGACCCACTGGCAGGAAGGAAGGGAGAGGGGCCAGAGGGTGCTGGCTGCTGGGTAGACCCCCAGCTGAGCCTCAGAAGGCTCTTAGAGCCTCTGTCCCTCATCTGTGAAGTGGGGGGGAGGGTCAGTTCAGAGCTGCACCTGAGTGTTACCTGGGGCAGGCTCAAGGCATGATGACAACACCAGTATTGATTTACTGAGCACTTACTATGTTACTTGTACAGAATTAGCTCATTCAATCCTGTATATCACAGAGGTGTAGCTACTATTATTATTCCCATTTTATTGAGGAGGAAACTCAATCAAGAAGAGATTAAATAACTTTATTCCAGGTCAGACAGCTAGAAAGTAGCTGGACCCAGATTCAGGCTCTAGAGCCTCTTGGGCTGGCTGTCTCTCTCTCTCTCTCTCTAATCCTCACCCAAGGATGTTTATTGATTTGAGAGAGAGAGAAGCATCAGTTGGTTGCTCCATACGTGCCCCAACTGGGGATCAAACCCACAAGCCAGCACTCAGTCCACTGAGCCACACCAGCCAGAGTGATGTGTCTGCATTTATATTTCAAAAATGGGATGGGCTTTTCTTAATCCGCTTATGTTACTTGGCAATGCTAAACATCTTCCTATTCAATAAATAAATCTCTGAAAGCATCACTTTTAGTGGCTTCATACTCTTTCATCATGAATACACCATATGTTAGGTAGCAGTTCCCCTACTATCCAGCACATGAGTTGCTGTGTTTTTAAAAAATGTTTTGAAGAATACAATAGAGAACATTTATGGAACTTAATCTTGGGGTGTATTCTGTTCTTGTTCTTCTCAGATAAATTCTGACAAGTGGAATTGCTGGGCAGTTCCTCTCGCCTTTTTCAAAGGTTTTCTTTTTTTTTTTTTTTAAGATTTTATTTATTTATTTATTTTAAATTAATTTTATTTAGTTATTTTTCAAGTACAGTTTTTTTGTCTATTTCTCCCATCCCAGTAGATTTTATTTATTTATCTTTAGAGGGGAAGGGAAGGAGAGAGGGAGAGAAACATCAATGTAGGTTGCTTTTCATGCATCCCCTGCTGGGAACTGGCCTGCAGGGAACATGGCTGCAACCCAGGCATGTGCCCTGGCTGGGAATTAAACCGCGATTGTCTGGTTCGCAGGCCCGCGCTCAATCCACTGAGCTATACCAGCCAGGGCCTTCTTTCTTTCTTTCTTTTTTTTTTTTTAAATGTTGCCTGCTTAGAGGAGGAAAATAATGACCATTTCTGACATGGAGTATTTATTCGGGTTTTTCAGGACAGAAGGATGCCACCCAAGCGTATGACTAAGAGAACGTCCCCCCCAGAAGATGCACTCCTCAAAAGCAAGAAGGCAAAGAGTGAGTTGGCCTCCATCTTGGTGTTGGGTGGCCTCTCGAAGCCCCTCAAACCTGGGACTGGGCTCCTTCCCCTTGACATTTAAAGCTGAGGGGCCCGGAAGTCCAGGAACTGTACCCAGGTGGAAAGTCTCCTATAGGTCATCGAATCCCATCCTCTGGGAATCAGAAAGGTACAGAGACACTTGTGTAAAAGCCCTCAGGTAGAACTAGCAAAAATAAAATCTTGATCCTAAGGCTTTGCTCCAGGCAGTGATGCATTGTGGTTTAGACCACTGACTTCCAGGTGTGGGTTCAAGGCCAGGTGTGGGGCTCTGCCACTCCCCAGGTATGTGGCTTTGGGCAAGTATCTTAATCTTACTGAGCTTGGATTACCCTATCACAAAATAGGGGTGAGAACAGTACAAACTTCACTGGGCTGTTATAAGGAAAATTAGATAATGTCCTGGTACCATTTGAGGGAGATGGCTGTGGTCTCCTCTTTCCTGGCGGGAGGCAGGTAGGGAGAGTTCTACCCCCAACCCGGGAACAAGGACTGTGAACTCACACTCAGACAAGTGTCTATCTTTTGCAGACCCTCGCAACCGGGCAGTGAGTTCCCTCATTGCATCCCACCGCACTCCAGGCACCCGATACTTCCGAGGTGCCTGCAGGCCAAGCCCTCCTGACCAGAAAACCCAACCAGGTGGCTCCCAGCCCTGCACACCCTCAGAGGCCCTGGCAATTGTGGCCACACCTCCAGGGGAGGGGCTGGGCACCATTGGCTGTCTGGGGCCACAGAGGATTGTTATTGGCCAGTAGGTGGCCCTGGGTCACGTATTGTTTGGTGCTTCCAGCAAATACCTTTGTCGGCTCAGACTGTCCCCCTCCCTCTTCAACCTCTGTGCCTCTGCCTCCTGGAGGACCAAATGAACGAAGGGTGTTGATGTGAATATGTTCAGGAGTTGAGGCACACCGGAGGATGGAGGCTGGGGACCGTGCTCAGACCCGTGGGGGCTCCCTTAGTTTCAGTGCAAACACTGCTACTTATTAGCTCTGTTACCCTCTCTGAGGCTCCATTCCCTTTCCTGTAAAATGGGATCTTAAATATGGAAGATCTGTAGCATGTGGGGGACTACAGAGCAATCTAACAGTCATAGTAAGCAGTCAGTAAGAGGTAGACGTTGTTACGTCACTGAGCCCCCACTCTTGGCACCACGGCACCTGGTTAAGAACTTATAACTAATCCGGAAAACTGTCTGTGTACTCACTGTTCTTCCTACCAAGATTCATTTCATAATATGGAGTGGCTCCTTGTTTCTGTTTCCTTCCTGTCACAATAATGTACTCAGTTTTTATGAACCGTATGAGATAGGTACCGATGTTATCCCCCTTTTACAAATGGGGAAACTTAGGCCCAGAAAGGTCGTACTAATAGTCTGTGGCAGAGCAGGGGCTTGAACCCAGGGCTGTGTGATCCCGGAGCCCATGCAGTGACCTCTCTCCGGTCATCCTACACACTCAGGGGCTGTCTTCTCCACCCCTCAGTCTCACATAGATCCCACCGCACAGAACCGGGTTTGGTGCTGACACTGGGCCAGGGCGACGTGGGCCAGCTGGGGCTGGGCGAGAATGTGATGGAGAGGAAGAAGCCGGCCCTGGTACCCGTTCCAGAAGACATCGTACAGGCGGAGGCCGGGGGCATGCACACCGTGTGTCTAAGCAAAAGTGGCCAGGTGGGTGGCGGTGGCACGGGACTGGACAGGGCCTGGGGTTGGAGAAAGAATTCGAGCCAACACACATTCCTCTATGGAAATGGAGCTGGCTAGCTGAGCAGGGGGTGGTCGGAACAAAACTGCACTGAAAGGCCAGGCCTTGCACTAATGGGGCACCCTGCACACAGGTCTACTCCTTTGGCTGCAACGATGAGGGTGCCCTGGGAAGGGACACATCAGTGGAAGGCTCAGAGACGGTTCCCGGGAAAGTGGAACTGCAAGAGAAGGTGGTACAAGTGTCAGCAGGAGACAGTCACACAGCAGCCCTCACCGAGGATGGCCGAGTCTTTCTCTGGGGCTCCTTCCGGGTAAGGTGGTCTGGAAGCCTGCCTGGGGGCTGGCAGGCAGGTTAACCCGTCGGGGGCCCCGTGGAGACTCGTCGCTACGCCCCTGTTCCCAGAGGTAGAGCCTGGGCCTCGACCCAGGTCTGTGGCTTCTTCATTCGGGCCCGTCCCCGCCACTGGCTGTTTCCTTGAGTCCAGTGCCGAGAGGTGTGTGTCGTGGGCGAGTCCAGGATGTCTCTGAGCTGAGGCTGATCAGGGAAGCCCCGCCTTCACCCTCCCCTCTCCCTTCCAGCAGGAGGTTTGGGAGGAAACTGTCACGTATCAGAATTTTCAAGGCACAGGAGTGTAGTTTAAAAAGCAAATTCATCATTAAGATTATTTTGGTATTTAATTTACTTTAAAATGTCAAAAAATTCAATGAGGTGTTTGTTTCCTCATCAGGGCTATTTTTTAAACTTTTTTTAAAAAGATTTTAAAATTTATTTTAGAGAGGGAAAGGGAGGGAGAAAGAGAGGGAAACATCAATGTGTGGTTGTGTCTTACACGTCCCCTAATCCGGACCTGGCCCACAACCCAGGCATGTGCCCTGACCGGGAACTGAACCAGAGACCCTTTTTTTTTTTTTTTTAAGATTTTATTTATTTATTTTTAGAGGGGGAAGGGAAGGAGAGAGGGAGAGAAATATGAATGTATGGTTGCCTCTCGTGGGTCCAGTGCTGGGAATTGGCCTGCAACCCAGGCATGTGCCCTGACTGGGAATCGAACCTCGATCCTCTGGTTCGCAGGCCCACGCTCAATCCACTGAGCCACACCAGCCAGGGCTATTTTTAATTTTTCTATGGACATTTCAAACACATAAAAGGCATCAGAATAATATATCGAATGCCCATCTACTCCCCTTAACAATGATCAACTTTTGGGCAAACTTGTTTCCTTTCTGCTCCCATGCACTCCCCAACTCCTTTGTTATTTTTGTGCAACTCACAGACTGTGCGTAATTTCATTCATCCGCGTTTCACTACATGGCCTGGCTCCTGCGAACCTCTCTATCGTCGTCTGGTGCCCATGCCCCTTACCAGACAGCTCTGTGGCTGCCTGCAAGCCTGCATCTGGCTGGTATGGGGCATGCAGGACTACTGATGAGTGCTCTGCCCCTTCCTTCCAGGACAATAATGGTGTGATCGGGCTCTTGGAGCCCATGAAGAAGAGCATGGTTCCCGTGCAAGTGCAGCTGAGTGTACCTGTGGTGAAGGTGGCCTCGGGTGAGTCTGGCATTCCTTGCTCCGGGCAAGAGTTGGAGAACCTTGTCCTGGTGCTGCCCCAGCCTTGGGCTTCACAGATAAGCCCTGCGTCCTGCCTTCCTCTCACCCTCAGGAAACGACCACTTGGTGATGCTCACAGCTGATGGTGACCTCTACACTTTGGGCTGCGGGGAGCAGGGCCAGCTGGGCCGTGTGCCTGAATTATTTGCCAATCGTGGTGGCCGGCAGGGCCTTGGTAGGTGGCGTGGGTCCCTCTGGCAGGGCAGCTTGGCAGTCCAGCTGCTGACGATGGCCATAGGCAGGAAGGATTCCCTGTGTGTATTTAGGCTCACGGCACATAGACTTGCAGAGGTAGTTAACACCTTTGACTGCAGAGCCAGGCTACCCTAGGTTTGAATCCTGGTTCTTCGCCTACTGTGAGACCCTGGGCATAGTTTCCACATCTCTAAACGCACCTACCTCATTGGGGTGTTGTGAGGTTAACTGGACTAACATAGCAGAATGGCTGCACCTGGTCAGTTTGCGTCAACATCACCTCTTGGGGCCTTGGAAGTCTGAGCAAGGAACTTGTACTGTCTTGGCCTCGGTTACCTCATCTCTGCATAAGGAGAAAAGTCGCTGCTCAGCCTCCCCGTGAGGGTTTTAGTGACGTGGAGAAACCAACACAGGGCAGAGAGGAGAGGCTGTGCGTGCCTGCCACTGACCCTGGCTTTTCTCTGCCTGCAGAACGACTCCTGGTCCCCAAGTGTGTGATGTTAAAATGCAGGGGAAGCCGGGGCCATGTGAGATTCCAGGATGCCTTCTGTGGCGCCTACTTCACTTTTGCCATCTCCCTCGAGGGCCATGTGTATGGCTTTGGCCTTTCAAACTATCATCAGCTTGGTGAGTGCCCAGAGTGACATGGGCTCCAGTCCTGGTCCACTTCTTATTTTTTGCCCCCTTGGTGGGGTTGCCCTCAGAGCCACCATTTTGTCATCTGTGAAATGAGAATGTCCACATGCTGGTGGGGTTTGGGTGGCCTCTATGGGAGGTGATGAAGAAGGACAGCTCCTCGGACGCCTTCACGCCTGACAGCTCTACCCTGGCCTTGTTTCCCAGGAACCCCAGGCACAGAATCCTGCTTTGTACCCCAGAACCTGACCTCCTTCAAGAACTCTACCAAGTCCTGGGTGGGCTTCTCTGGTGGCCAGCACCATACAGTCTGCATGGATTCAGAAGGTGGGCCCTTCGGATCAGGAGTGCCGTGTCTCCTCAGCACGGGCCTGGCCTGACCCCTGAGACCACAGCCCTTGGAACCTGGGCTTGCTCCATGGATTGGGCCAGGTGTGGGTCCATGAGGGTCTCGCTTGCCCTTGGAGTCCTGGTGCTTTTCCAAGTATGAGTTCATTGGGGGAGGTTCTCCCAGGCCTCCTCCCAAACTGAAAGAGACACTGCAGACCTCCTCCTCATCACCCTGGGAATGGGGACCAGCTCCCATAGATATGGGAACTGTCCTGGCTGACCTTGAACGTGCCTTCTCTGACCCCCAGTCTCTCCCCTTCCTCCCACAGGAAAAGCATATAGCCTGGGCCGGGCCGAGTACGGGCGGCTGGGCCTCGGAGAGGGTGCCGAGGAGAAGAGTGTACCCACCCTCATCTCCAGGCTGCCTGCTGTCTCCTCGGTGGCTTGTGGGGCCTCTGTGGGGTATGCCGTGACCAAGGATGGTGAGTGGGGCTGCCTGCAGTTGGGCTGGTTGGGGCCTGGGAGTTGTATGTGGTACTTGCCCGACTGGCTGGGGGGCTCTGGTGGCCACCAGCAGGTGCGGTTGAGGTGCAGAGGGCAGTGTTTATGATAACATTATTTTCCTCCTGATTGTCCAAAGCTCTGGCTTTGATGAACTTAATGTGAATAAATGAATTATTTTCATAAAGGTGAGTTTGTTCTATAGAGGAGAAAACACAGCAAAGGAGAAATATAACCAAAACCTAGCCAGGAAATAGGACTTGAACCCAGGTCTCCAGACTCCTAATTCAGGCTTTCCTTTACATTTTCCTCCATGGTAACCCTTTTATTTGCAACCTAGTACATGTCATCTTCCCAGGGAGTTACACTTAGAATTCTGTTAGGAGAAGAAGGCGTCATAGTCGGGGTTCTGGCAAGCACAGCAGAGGAGGGTGTGAGCAGGCAGTCACCAAAGCCTGAGCATGCGAATGTCAGCCATGAAGGCCATGAGAGGTCAGGCTGGTGCAGCTGCTTGATCTGGGATTACCTGGCAGAGTTCCCAATGGACTGGGGCTGGTACTGCTCCTTGAAGGTTTATAATAAGCAAAGGAGGGCATCTGGGGCGCAGGGACATAGAGAGCCATCTCGGCGGCTGGTCCTGGGAGTGCAGGGTGGTGCAGAGGTCTGAGGAGTGGCCTCGAATGTCATGTCTAGGAGTAGGGAGGTCTTTGGCAATGTGTAAGGACCGTGGTACCGGGATGACAAAGCTTTTTTCCCTCATCGCCTTGACTTTTCCCAGTTTCCCTGAACTCCCACAGGCTGGGACATTCCAGGCTGTAGTAGGCCAAGGCTAAATAAAATTCACCCTTACATCCCATGATTCTCTCACTATAGAAAGGTGAGGCTCTGGGTCCTGAAGAGAACTGCCCGTTTCTCTCTTATAGGTCGTGTTTTTGCCTGGGGCATGGGCACAAACTACCAGCTGGGCACAGGGCAAGAGGAGGATGCCTGGAGTCCCGTGGAGATGACAGGCAAACAGTTGGAGAACCGAATGGTTTTATCTGTGTCCAGTGGGGGCCAACACACAGTCTTACTGGTGAAGAACAAGGAACAGAGCTGATGAAGCCTCGGAGGGCCTGACTCCCAGCCCCTACACCCTCCCTCCTGGAACACGGGAGCCGTGGTGACTGCAGACTCCCTCAGGCTTCCCCTAGCCCCAAGTACTTTGTCATCTCCTGCCTTTTCTCCATCCACAGAACAGAATCATTTTTTTCTTCCTCCTTCCTGGAATCATCCTGTACCCTACAGGATGAAGGGAGGGGAGCGGGTTTTGTGGAACTGTTGCTCACCCTAGAACTATGTGATTAGATCGTTCCCCCTCCTCCCTACCTCCCATGGTCCTAGCTGACCCTGGTTTTGTCTACCAAAAACCGAAACTTCCTCTCAGGGGGGTTTGGTTCCCACACCCTGAGAAGTCGGGGCCCCATCAAGCCCTACTCTAGTCATGTGCCAGTCTTCCTGCCCTTGATCCACACGCAGACAAACGGTACAGTTGTTAGATCCAGCTGTCGTGGACCTGCGCCTGGGGAAACTGGAGAAGGGGCAGGGCTACCAGCCACAGGCAAGCCCAAGCCAAATATTTGGCTCTAAACAGGTGTCTGTGGGGCAGACAAAAAGACGACGATCCTCTGCTTGATTAAAAAAGCCGATTAGCCTTTCTCCCAGAAGCACAAAGCATTCTGCCCTGCACTGCCGATCCGAAAGGGCCCAAAATCTGGAAAGGAAGCGATGCCTGCAGAGCAGGACATGGGGGGAGAGGGGAAGGAGAGTTTTCTAAATGAACATAGCAATATCAGGAGTGAAGGAGGGGCAGGGAAGAGGTTTGGATGGGCAGAGGCTGGTCCCCAGAAAGCGAAGCAGCAGCTTGTACAGTGAGAAAATAGCAAGCAGTTCAATTTTTTTTAATGTAAAATATTTTAGAAGGGAGAGTGAAATCTTTTAACATTTTGAATAAATTTAGAGTTTTATAAAACAGGCCACTTGTTTTCTACACACTCCCTGCTTTTTTAAGGGAGCATCTGCTGTGTTGGGAAGGGCAGGATAAACCCACACCTGTGAACCTGGCCAAGACTAGAACTTACGGTGATGTCAAGATGTCCTGATATGTGCCTGTCAGTTGTTGATGTGACTGTTCCATGCAAATCAAAAAATTTTTTTGGATTTTTGCTTAGGTATTTATGTTTCAGGAATCACTGTATTTTTAAAAAAGATTATGCTGCATAATATGAGAGACATGGAATGGTTCTTCAGCATCCTAGTCCCAAACCAGAACAATACATCTCTAGAAATATCATTTTCAACAGCCGATGTAACTGATCGAACAGGATTGACTACAGAGTGACTCTCAAGACAACTTATGTGCATCATTGTAGGTTTTCAGAGGCACTGGAGCAAACAAAACAGCTGATCTGTCCAGTATGGTGGTCACTAGCTTTATGGGGCCATTTGTATTTAAATCAATTAAAATTTGTAAAAATTTAAAATTCCTCTGTTGCACTGGCCACATTTCGAGTCCTCAGTCATTACATGTGGCTAGTGTTATAGCATTGGGCTGTGTAAATGTAGAAATACATAGAACATTTCTATAATTGCAGAAAGTTACAACGGACAATGTTGATATAGAAAGTCTATATATGTATAGCAGGAAAGTTTTATCAGTGCCAGAAAGATTCTTCTTGGATGTAAGTGACTCTTGGAAAAATGAATATGCTGTAAAATAATTTAAAATGTATTCTGTGATTTTTACCCCCTTTGAACTTTTGGTTTTGATGCAGATGCTATACTGATGAGAAATTGACTTCTTAGAAGGGAAAAAAATCACACTTTTGATTATATTTTCTTTGTAAAGAAGCACTTGTATGTTTGCTACTCCCCCCACCCCTTGCCAAACTTCAGTTGGGTTAGAGTTATAGGAATTTTTTCCCTTTTGACAATATAGCAGGTTGAAAGTACTGTTCTGAATAATAGCTCTTATGGATTGGGATTTATAATGAACCAGACATTATGCTGAGCACTTTATAGGCAATAATATTTTATTCATTCCTTACATCAGCCCTTTGAAGTAATAATTGCTGTCCCTCAGGAAACAGTTCCTGAGAACTCAAGTGACTTGCTCGAAGTCAGGTAAGTACACAGTCTAGACTGGGATCTACCATCAGCCTCCACCGGAGCCTGGCACTCGATTGCTTTGCCTTGTATTGCTTGTAAGAGTTAGAAAGCTGTCTGTCTGTCGGTGCCTTGCATTAGAACGGCATCAGGCATACAGTGTGTGTTCTGTAAGTCTTCACAATTATGACTATTGTACATTTTTTTATTTCCTGGAGTTAATAATTAATTGCCTTGTCTTTCAAGTGCTTAGTTTTTTTAGTCACACCCAGTACTCTCAATTTTATCTTGCCCCATCCTCCTCTAATTTGGATTGGTTACCCCAAAACAATTGTAGTCATAGTACCCCATATGGCTCAGCTATAAGCAATATTGACAAAGTAATAGTGTAAATGTTCAATACTGCTTTGACAAAAAAAATTATCAGATGGAGAAGTGTGTATGTAGGAAGGATGATAGTTGCTTAAAATAGCAAACTATAAATGAAAAGAAAATATGTTATTTGGAAATAATGCAGATAGATTCTAGGGGAAAGATCTGGAAATCCTCACCAGAGTGGCAGTTGGGAGTAAGGCCAGATGGGTGAGGGGCTGCTGTTTTTGACAGAAGTTCAGCAAATGCTTCTTTCAGTGCATCTATCCTGGACATTGTAGGAATTTGGAAACAAATGTACACAGATCCCTGTCCCGTGAAGCTTATATTCTAAATTAAAAATAAATATTTTTACATTTTCCATGTTTAAAAAATAGTAAGCGAAGAGTGCAGCCCAGGGGCTAGCAAACAATACTGAATGTATAGCTGTAAGTTGTCATTTCAAGGCCTCAACACCCTATGAGATAAGCACTTGCCACAATAATCCAGAAGGGATTGGGATTGGTGCTCCATTTGTTTGAATCTACAGCCATAGTACCCAACCACTACACTACTATTGGGGTGAATAGGGTCAAGCTGGAAATTTGGCAACTCGTGGTTGAATCTCAAGTTTTCAAATGAATTGAGTGATTTACTTAGGGGCCCAACACCCTAATCTTAGGTTATATAAGAGCTTCAGTGGGAATGAGCCCCAGAAAGGGATCCTTAAGCATTTGGGGTGGCTTCACTGTTAGAGACGACAATCATCACCAACAGAAACGTTCCACTCTGAGAAATGGGCACTAAAGTGAGGCGATGGCCTGGGATACTGTCAAAACCGAGGGCCTTCTATGGGCGTGTCACTGTTTTGAGGCAGGTGGGGCACAAAAACGTAGAGTGACAAGACTTGGGGACGGGCTGGTTGAGATGGCAGGGTTGCCCCAATTTACACTCCCTCTAACCATCCCATGCCCCAGCAGGACTGTGCACAGGAAACCCGTTCCAGCTGGAACAAAATCTATCTTGCGAACTGGGTGGCTGACAGGCCTTCCTCAGTGGAACGGGATCATCCAGGCTCCCAAAGGGGACCTTTCATCTTTTAAAAATGCCTATATTGGCAAGCTTTTTCAATGAGCATACATTACTTTTGTGATGTAGGTACGCATGTGTGCTTAAATACATAAAGTCAGAAAGAAACCTGAGAAAGCCAGTTACCGAGGCACCGTGCCGCGGGGTCTGATCGGAATTCACCCGCAGGGATCCGGAAGCCCTGCTTCCCGCCCAGTAGCCCAGTCGCCGGAAAAACCCGGAGTCGCCGCAGCTGGCGCTGCCCTGGGCGCCGAGTTTCGGAGCGTGCGCAGAAGGCGTCGTAGGCGCATGCTCCTTGGGCGTCCCGGGCCGGAGAACGCGCGCCAGCGCGGCGCAGCCCGCTAAATCCAGGTCCGGCTGCGGACATGGCGGCCAGCCTGTGGATGGGCGACGTGAGTGAGAGGGGCGGTCCGGGTCCGACCGGAGGAATCCTAGTGTCAGCAGGGAGGGAAGGTGTGAAGGGATGGGCGTCCTCCAATTCCAAAAAGATGAAAGTGAATGGGAAGGGGAGTTCTTTTGGGTGACACAGAAGCGGGTCCCAGCACCCGCGGGTAGGGGTTGAGTCTGAGGCGGAGGGGCCCTGGCGCCCCTCCTGGGTTCATGGAGGGGAAAGGGAGGTTCTTTGGGGACTGACCATGGGAGGAATCCCAGGGATTTTGAAGGGCTCTGTGGTTTTAAAACTGAAGGGGTGGGGTGCCTAAATCCAAGGAGAGGCTCCCTAAAGGGAGCAAGTTTGAAGAGAAGGGATGCAAGGAATTGGGAAAGTGGGAGCTAGGACTCAGATCATTCTGCAGATGAAAACCTGGCCACACCCCCTCACCCCAAGCCCTAGTGGTGGGGCCAACCCAGGGCTTAGGGGAAGGGGCTCTGAAGCCTGACAAGCGGAGCCTGCCTGTTGGCCTGAATCGCTCTGACTTTGTATTTATGCAGCTGGAGCCCTACATGGATGAGAATTTCATCTCCAGAGCCTTTGCCACCATGGGGGAGACCGTGATGAGCGTCAAAATTATCCGAAACCGCCTCACTGGGTACGGTTCTCTCCTTCCACCTTCTCAGTTCTCCCTTACTTATTCTGCAAGCGAATGTAAAAATCGCAGAGAATCAGGGCCTCTCCCCTAATAATAGTGATTATGTTATAAAAGCTGACATTTGGGGGCTTATTGAGAGGAAGTATAGCATATGCATCCTGGAGGCAGCCTGTATTTGAAAGTTATGTCTGCTGTGTGACCTTTAGTAAGTTATTTAACCTCTCTGTCTAGTTCACTTTGTCTATAAGAATGGAAATGATGGCCCTGGCTGGTTAGCTCAGTGAACTGAGCGCAGACCTGCGAACTACATGATTGCGATTCGATTCCCAGTCAGGGCACATGCCTGGGTTACAGGCTAGTTCCCAGCAGGGGATTCATGAGGGGCAACCATACACTGATATTTCTCTCCTTCTTTCCTTCCCTTCCCCTCTAAAGATAAATAAATAAAATAAAAAAAACACAAAAGAATGGAAATGATTATAGCACCTACCTCATAGAATTATGGTGATGATTAAATTAGTTAATTCACATTCAGCACTTAGAAGAGTGTCTATATATGGTATATGCTCTGTAAATATAAACAGGTTATGGTCTGTTAGGTAATAAACACTTTTAACTTACTTTTTAAAATCACAAAAACTGTGCGAAGTACTGTTATTAGAGAAACTTAATAATTGTCTTAAAGTTACACAGTCATTAGATGACAAGCCAAGACTCCAGTTCAGTGCTTCCCTCAAAGCCATGAGTGCCTTTAACTCTTATGCTATTCATTTAAAAGCTTATTTTTAGAGACACTACTATGTACTCCTGTTCTAGATTCCCATGAAACAAGCCAGACATAGTCTTTCCTCTCATGGAGTTTACTACATTCTAGTGGGGAATGAGACAACAAATAGTTAAACAAAACAATGCAGAGAATATTTTCAGATAGTGGTGCTCTGTTGCCTCCAGTTTCCTCTTTCTCTTTGGGGGTTAGTTTTCTTTAGGGTTCTAGTTAGAAACAGGAGGATTCTTTTATCAGTTTGACGGTGGTTATTGAGCATCTGATCTGTGTCAGTTACTCTACTGAAGCAGCTCGCTCAAACATCAAATGGTTGACCATACAGATGAGAGATAGGAAGTATGATCAACTCTGACTGTTGGGTTGACGGGTGCTTTGTGTACTCAGAACTCCAGGAGCCTGGGACTGATTTTCTGACTGGTAGATCATGCTGGCCTAACTGTTTTTCCTGTTCCTGTAGACAGAAAACCCCAGATAATGGGCTCCTAGCATGAAAGTTTATTCTGGAATGCTTTCCATTGTTTTAAGCACTAACATAGCCCTCACATTTTAATCTTTATTGAAATAAGATTTGAAACTATCCTTTTCTACCCATGATTACCAAACTCTGTTGTCTCTTATGGTACTTACAGACACATTGCATTAACATCCTGCTTTATCCAGCAGAGACTGAAGTGGCTTACAAGAATTGTATAAAATGGGGGGAGTGGAGAATAAGGGGACTAAATGGTAATGGGAAAATATATACAGATGCAATTTAAAAAAAGAATTGTGTAAAATAAATCAATGTATATTTAAAAACCAAGACCAGCCCTGGCTGGTGTAGCTCAGTGGACTGAGCATGGACCTGTGAAGCAAAGGGTTGCTGGTTCGATTCCCAGTCAGGGCACATGCCTGGGTTGCAGGTCAGGTCCCCAGTAGGGGATACATGAGAGGCAACCACACATTGATGTTTCTCTCTCTCTCTCTTTCTCTTTCCCTTCCCCTCTCTCTAAAAAATAAATATTAAAAAAAAATTTTTTTAAACCAAGACCAGAGAAAATAAGGGGAAAAGATAAGACCCAAGAAAAAGATAACATGCAACAGAGCATTGTGCTTTTAAAAAAAATTGCAATTAGTCAAAAGAAAAATAAGAAATTTTTTACAACAGAATTTAAAAATGCAATCAGTGGTTGTACAAGTTGTACTTAATACCACAGAAATGTACACTTTAAATGGACAAAATGATAAATTGTATGTTTTTTATATTTAACCACAATTTTTTAAATTCAGAAAGAGCCCTGGCCAGTGAGGCTCAGTGTTTGGAGTGTCGTACTGTAACCAAAAGGCTGCGGGTTTGATTCCCACTCAGGGCACATGCCTGGGTTGCGGGTTCATCCCCTGTCCCGATGCATGTGATCCCTGGTCCTGGCACGGATCCCTAGTCTGAGTGCATATGAAGGCAATGAGTCAATACTTCTCTTGCATCAGTGTTTCTTCCTTCCTCTAAAAAAGCAAATGGAAAAAATGTCCTCCGGTGAGCATTAAAAAAATTTTCTGGAAAGAATTTAAAAAATGCAGTTAGATGTGGTCCATCCACATCTGTTATTCATCACTGGTGAGACTATAAAATGGTACAACCAATAGGGGCAGGTTTGGTCCTAGGTCTTTAACCAAGAGAGGTGAAGCTATATCTCCCCAAAAAGACTGGTAAAAGAATGTTCAGAGCAGCTTTGTGCTGGTGGCCAAAAACTGCAAGCAGCCCAGTATCCATGATAGGTGCTGGTATAGTCATACAATAGAATACCATTTAGCAATAAGAAGGAACTACTTAAATATTAACAACATGAATGAATATCAAAAGCATTATGCTAGTGAAAGCCTTACTGTATGGTTTCATTCATTTAAAATTGTCAAATGTACAAAATTAATCTGTGAGTAGAAATTAACTCAGCATCTAGAAGATTTGTGCATTTCTTTTTTTTTAATTGAATTTATTCAGGTTACATTGGTTAACACAATTATACAGATTTCAGGTGCACAGTTCCACAACACATCATCTGCACACTGTACTGTGTGTTCACCTCACGCCAAGTAAAGCTTCCATCAACATTTATTCCCTCCTATACCGTCCTCTACCTCCTGTCACCTCCAGCCCCACTCAGCCACTATTGTCTGTGTTCATGAGGGGATTTTTAAAGGTTTTATTTATTTACTTTTAGAGAGAGAGGAAGGAAGGGAGAAAGAGAGGGAGAGAAACAGCAATGTATGAGAGATACATTGATCAGTTGTTGCCTCTCATGTGCCCCCAACTGGGGACCAGGCCTGCACCCCAGGCATGTGCCCTGACTGGGAACTGGAGACCCTTTGTCTTGCAGGCTGGCACTCACTCAGTGCACCGAGCTACACCAGCCAGGGCCTGTGTCCATGAGTTTTTTCTCTCTCTTTAGATTTGTGCATTTCATTTTATGTAAACCAAAAGAGAAAACTAGAAACACTAATTGAACTCTGTTAATAATAATTATGTGAAAGTAGTTGAGGGAAGTATACCAATATCTGCAGTTTACTTTGAAATGTATCAGAAAATAAGGATAATAAGTGAGTAGAAGAATGGATAGTGGGATAATATAATACCCTGACCAGCGTGGCTTAGATGGTTGGGCGTCATCCTGCACAGTGAAAAGTTGCCAGTTCAATTCCTGGTCAGGACACTTGTCTGAGTGCAGATTTGGTCCCCATTCAGGGCACTTACAAGAGGTAACTGATTGATGTTTCTCTCACATGGATGTTTCTCTCCTCCTCTTTCTCCTTCCCCCTCTCTCTAAAAATAAGTTTAAAATCTTAAAAAATAAATAACGAAAATATAGCCCTGGCTGGTGTAGCTCAGTGGATTGAGCACAGGTCTGCGAACCAGAGGATCGCGGTTCAATTCCCAGTCGGGGCACATGCCTGGGTTGCAGGCTGGTTCCCTACAGGCTAGTTCCCAGCAGGGGATGCATGAAAGGCAACCATACATTTGATGTTTCTCTCCCTCCCTCCTTCCCTTCCCCTCTAAAGATAAATAAATAGAATCTTTTAAAAAAAAAGTTGTTAACTTTTTTCGAATAAAAAAATATACAATGAAAATATAATAAAATATTCATTGTAAAATAGTATAATAAAATATTCATTGTAGATTGTGCATACATGAATGCTATACAGTTATTTCAATTTTTATGTTTGGAATTTTTTATAATAAGATAGGTAGAGGGTGTATCACACTATCCTGAATTCAAATGCAACCTTTGGCGCATATCCGCTGGGTGCTTTAAGGCATATTGTATAACCCTGCTAGCTGTCAGTCCTCTCGTCTAAGTGGGTATGATGTTTTCAGCTTTCCTCCTCCTGGAGCTACTCGAGGGTGAGATGAGATGGTGCGTGCGAAGTGGCTGACGCAGTGCCTGGCCCACAGGGAGTGAGCGCCCGTACAGGCGGCGGTCTTTACGTCTGTGAGCCCTGAGCTTCCAGCACCCACAAGACAGATCTGGCTCACCACTGTTCTTAACATCAGTAACATTTATGGAGCTCACAGACTGCTCCATGACCCTTGGGCGCAGGTACTGCCCTTGCCCATACCCTCTTGGTTTTGTGTCTATATGGTTGTTGAACTGAAGATCCAAAGTAGCATATCCAGAAAAGTTTGGATTGTTTCACTAGTAAGAGCTTTAAGGTTGGTGTTAAGGAAGTTCACAGTCTTCAGTATCTCAGAGTATGAAGGGATGTCAGAGGATATAGCCGGATCCTCCTCCTCATGTCTCTTGTGATGCTGTCAAAGTTAGGACACCGGAAATCTCCCAGATGTGCCCCAGTAGGTAAGGTCCGTGGGTTTACTTGGTCTGTCTAACTAGACTGGACGTTTCCTGAGGGCAGGAGCCATGTTCTCCAACTCTGTATCAGCCTGGCCTGTGGAGGTGATTGAAAAAAAGCTTAAAGATGAAAAATTTAAAACAGAATTACAAAGAATAGTACAATGAACAGTCATGTCCACCGCCTAATTTCAACAGTTGTTAACATATTTTCATATTTTCCCTATTTACCTAAGTCTATCTGTAGGAGGATAGATACAGGTAGGTAGGTGATTTTTTTTTCTGAACCACATGAAAGTCCGTTACAGGCATTGTGACCCTTCACTTTTAAATACTTAAGCCTATATTGCCCAAAACTGGGCATGCTCTCACTTAACCACAGCACTCATGTCACAGTGACAAAATTGTCAGTGGTATACCACAGAATGGCCGGTCTACATTTCAATTTAAAAAAATTTATTTATTTGTAAGGTTTTATTTATTTTTAGAGAGAGGGGAAGGAAGGGAGAAAGAAAGGGAGTCAGTGTGTGGTTGCCTCTGACATATTCCGTACTGGGGATCTGGCCTGTAACCCAGGCATGTGCCCTGACTGGGAATCAAACCATTGACTCTTTGGTTCGCAGGCTGACACTTAATCCGCTGAGCCACACCAGCCAGGGTGACAGTCTTACATTTGTAAGTTAGTTCTGAACTGGAATTTGTTGGGGAACAAAAACAGTACGAGCCCTGGCCCTGACTGGTGTAGCTCAGTGGACTGAACGCAGGCTGTGAACCAAAGGGTCACTGGTTCAATTCCCAGTCAGGGCACATGCCTGGGTTGTGGGCCAGTTCCCCAGTGGGGGCCATGTGAGAAGCAACCACACATTGATGTTTCTCTCCCTCTCTTTCTCCCTCCCTTCCCCTCTCTCTAAAAATAAATGTGAAAAATATTTTTAAAAAACCCAACAGTGTGAGCTCTGATTAGAAAAACATATTTCCCTCCCGTCAGGTCAAGACTCTCATCTGGGAACCACATCTTAAACCATTCTCTTCTCTTTCTCTGTTTTCTTGCTTTCCAGGATCCCAGCTGGCTACTGTTTTGTAGAATTCGCAGATTTGGCCACAGCTGAGAAGTGTTTGCATAAAATTAATGGGAAACCCCTCCCAGGAGCCACACCTGTAAGGACACTTAGATAATGATGATGTTGCCATTTTTATTGTTATCAATAACTATCATTTATTGAATCCCTGCTATATATTTATATTATTTTTTATGGGGACAATGCTCTAACCAACTGAGCTACCCTATGAGGATTATATAATTTTATTTAATTCTATAACAACCCTGTCGAGTAGGCATTGTTGTCTTCGACAGACGGGGAAAATGAAGCTTAGGGAAGTGGAATAACCATCCAAAGCAAAACAGGTAGTAAGTGGCAAAACCAGGATGCAAACCGAAGATTGGTTGACCCTGAAATCCATGCCCTTTCCACTCTGACCTGCCACCTCCCTTAATGGAAGATGAAACTGCACCTCTTGTCCCATTGAGAAAGTGGAACAGGCTGGCAGTAGTGAGGACACATTTCAAGAGAGTTACATTCTGCTCTTCCCACAGTTACTTAGCTTACAGCGGCACCAGGCTGGCGCCCCTGGGCCATAGAACCATGGAGCTGGCAGTGCCCTTAGCGGTCATCTGTGCAACCCCCTCACTTTATACAGGAGAAAGAGCTGAGGCTTAGAGAGGGGGAGATGTTTTGGCCAAGGTAATTTATTTCAGTTCTTTTCAAATATTGTTTGACCCTTAAAACACCTTTCTCTGGTTTAGTTTGCTTGTTTTTAAATTTCCAGGCAAAACGTTTTAAACTGAATTATGCCACTTATGGGAAACAACCAGATAACAGGTAAGTACAGAGTAGCCCCAAGATAGCTTCAAGCCCCAGGAAATGTCTAGATAGAAACAGGATGCATCCCTGTGCAGGCCACCACCCAACGGAGGGTAGGGAGTGGAGCTTGGCTCACTTTGCCTCCTACCTGAGGGACAACACCATCCCACTCCCCACCGGTGGGGCTTCCCATTGTGCTTTGTGGCGAGGCCCGTGACTTCTCTGCATTGGGTCTCTTTCTAGCCTTCCACCCGGTTGCTCCCCACAGCGTTGAGGCTTTATTCCATAGCAATCAACGTGTAGCAATATACTGGTAGTTTGATTCAGCATTTCAAGTTGCTTTTGAAAACTTTAAACCAATGTATTAAAAGCTTTAGAAAGATGTATACCCATTGACCCCATAATTCTGCTTTTCAGAATTTATTAATGATGTATACAAGATTTGCCTCGAAGGTGTTAATTGAAAGATTGTATATAGTGGGCAAAATTGGGGGGGAAACCAAATAATCTAATAATAGGGAAGTGGTTTAAATTGCAGTATGTTGATTAATAGGAGTGTGATGATTCCAGTAATAAGTCATGCTGCAGCAGAATAGTGACATGTCAAGATGCTGGCTGTTAAAAGTGAAAAAATGCTAGAAACAAAACAAATCATAGCCAGCTTTTGTAAATTCAAAAGAAGAAGACAGGAAGAAAAGTGTCCGATTACCTTTGAGTGGTTGAGTTATTGGTGATTTCATTTTTCCTTGTCCTTTTGTGTATTCTGATTGTATACAAGGAGTGTGTATTATGCTTGAAATAAGAAAAATGAATTTGCTCGTCCTTTTTTTATTAAATAAAAAATTTTAAAGGATTGTTTTAGAAAAAGGGTTGGCAAACTGGCCTGCTTCGTATCCCTGTAAACTCAAAATGGTTTCCACATTTTTAAAGGATTATGAAAACAAAGAAAAAATGGCAGAGACCATAGGTACCCTGGCCCTTCACAGAGAAAGCTTGATGACCCCTGTCCCAAAATGTTGGGGATTGCATTTTAGCCATGTTGTAGGTCTTCTGTAGATAAAATCCAGTTCTCATTCTCTCTCTGTCTTTCACCAATTAAATTACAAATATGCAGTGACCACAGAACATCTAGTTTTATGTTTTGAGTACCTTTGACCTCGACCCCCATCTGCTCTCATGTAATCCTTGAAGTCAGGCAGGCCTTGTGCAGTGGATGAAGGACTTGGGGGGATCAGGGGACTGCTTCCACACCTCTTCCGCCAGGACTGCCAAAGGAAACAGATTGGGACCTGGTTAAGGACCCTTCGGATGTGTCATTCCCCAAGAAGGCCCAGATAAAGTTTCCCTAGAATGGGCCAAAGAGCTCATCAGAACGAAGGTCCTGTCTCTGAATCTTATTCTTTCCTCTCAGCCCTGAGTACTCCCTCTTTGTGGGGGACCTGACCCCAGATGTGGATGATGGCATGCTGTATGAATTCTTCGTCAAAGTCTACCCCTCCTGTCGGGGAGGCAAGGTGGTTTTGGACCAGACAGGCGTGTCTAAGTAAGGCCTTACCTGTTATTGATGCCCACCCTGTTAGTTTCAGCATTTTCTTCATAGAGTGAGGTGGTACAGATAGGCCATGCAGCGTGGTAGTTAAGAGCACAGGTCCTGGAGCCAAACCGCACGGGTTGAATGCGGGCTGCAGTACTGGCCAGGGATAGTGCAGGAGACAAGTTACTGAACCTCCGACCCTGTTTCCTCATCCTCGAAAGTATTTGGTCACGGGGGCTACGTAGGGGTTAAATGATGTAATATAAATAAAGCAAGGGGAAATGCTTTATAGATGTTTGCTATTTTATTTATTGTTGTTACTTCAAAAGTGGAAAAACCTCAAACAGCTCGTTCTTTGGGAGTCTGACCGACCTGGATCTCAATCCTGCTTCTACTATGACTTTGGGCAAATTAGTAAACCTCTCTGAACTTTGGTTCCCTCTTTAGTAAAATGGGGATACTACTTGAAATTGTGGGACCATTCAGTGAGATAACCCTGGAGGAAGTGCTCAGCACAGTGTTTGGGAAATGAGAAATGTTCATTAAATGTTAGTTACCATTCATTACCCGCCCCCCCCAAGTAGATTATGGCTTCAGGAGATCAAGAACCTTATCTGCTTACGATGCTGAGTTCCAGTGCCCAGCACAGTACCTGGCCTACAGGCAGGCTCAGTAAATATTTGCTGAAGGACCTTTTTACAACTCATTGCTACTGCTGTTGCCATAACTATAATAATATTTTCTAGTAGATTCAGGGGAAGCTACAATTTGGGCAGAAGCCCTGTCATTGAAGGTGTGTAGAGAATGGTGAGCTGAGAGGGGCAGGTCCTACAGCTCTCAGGATCCTCCGGTGCTGGAACCTTGCATTGCTCTGCGGCATGCCTGCCCACATAGCTTCATGAACTCTTTCTGTCCCTTTCAGTCCCTGTCCCATTCTTAGACTTCACCTCTATCCCATTTGTGATCTATACAGCGTGGTGTATTTTTGTTCGGTTTTTTTCCTGCAGGGGCTATGGTTTTGTGAAGTTCACAGACGAACTGGAACAGAAGCGAGCCCTGACAGAGTGCCAGGGAGCAGTAGGACTGGGGTCTAAACCAGTGCGGCTGAGTGTGGCAATCCCTAAAGCGTGAGTCCTGCGCCGGCAGGGAAGGTAGAGGGTCCCCTGACCCCCGACCTGGACACTCCTCACCTGTTTGTTGATAATCAAGTGTCCACCAGAGTGCTGGATGGAAGGCTGCAGAGAGATTCAGTTCAGCTCACAAATACAGAAAGCCTGATATTGGCCAGGCTGTTTGCTGGGTATTAGAGGTGAACCCATCCCCTCCAGAAGCTTATGGTTGGGGACAGAGCTGTAACCGGGGGAGACAGATAGATTCAGACATTGCTGATAGCAGTGCTGGAAAAGCAGTTTGGCAACATGTACGTGATGCCCCTGCTCTTTACCCAGTAGTGCTGCTGTTAGACATTTATCCAGAGTTAGTAAGAATTGAGCAGAAGGAAAAAAAACACTCAACTTTAGCCATATTTGTATAATTTAATGCTGTGAGCCTGTGAATGTTCCATGCTGTGGGGATGGCTAAGAATTACTGATCCAAACACTCCACAGGAGAGTATGTACATCACTAATGTACCTGTTATGCCAGGCAGGTAACTCCAAGCAGGTATCTTGCTCGGACATAAGACCACTTTTCTCTCCATAGAATCCCCTGCCCTTTGGCCAAAGCAGTAGTTCTCAACTAGGGATGATTTTTGTCCAGCAGGGGCCCTTGGCAACATCTGGAGACAGTTTTGGTTGTTATAACTTGGGGTAGGGGAGGAGCTCCTGGCATCTGATGAGTAGATGCCAGAGATGCTGCTAGACATCCTGTGATGCACAGGACAGCCGGGCAGACGGACCTGCTCACCCGCCTGCACCAAAGTCAGTAACGTCCACACTGAGAAACTCTGTGCCAGGAGTAGAAGATCATCTGCATTCTGAGGGCAGAACTTCCAAATGGCCATGTTTTTTAAAGCAACAAAAGATTTGGAGGTTCTTTATGGTTTAACTGTTTTTAATACATGGAAGATCAGCCTGATTCCCTGCACCAAAGTATTATTTTTCTCACCGTATTAATATATATTATTTTTATTCTATTATAAATACATATATATGATGTATATGATATTAAAGAAACTATTTTAAAGAGATTTCCTCATTAGCCTAAAATGACTAATTATAATTTTGTTTCCAGGCTTCTCCATAGCTATTAATGATATATACATATACATACACACACTATATGTGGCTGAGTTTGCATGCCGTAAGCTGCTTTTTTTTTTTTTTTACTTTATTTATTTAGTTTTAGTTTTTTTACTTTATTTATTTAGGAAGGAGAAAGAGAGGGAGGGAAACACTGATGTGCAAGAGATTCATCGGTTGGTTGCCTCGCATACCTCCAGCTGGGGACATGGCCTGCAACCCAGGCATGTTCCTTGACTAGGAATTTGAACTGGTGACCTTTCGGTTTGCAGGCTGGCACTCAATCCACTTAGCCACACCAGTCAGGGCTAGATTTATTTCTTTATTCATTTTACAATAACCATGGTCTTTCCCCTCCAGTTTACTCAGTATACACACTTTTCCATATAGTTGCACAATTATATTTTTTAACGTAGTTTATTGATTATGCTATTACAGTTGTCCCATTTTCCCTCCTTCACTCCCGTCCACCCTGCACCCTTTCCCACCCATATTCTCCCGCTTTAGTTCATGTTTATCATACTTATAAGTTCTTTAGCTTCTACATTTCCCATACTATTCTTACCCTCCCCTTGTCTATTTTCTACCTACCATCTGTGCTACTTATTCTCTGTATCTTTTCCCTGTTCTCTCCTCCTCCTACTCCCCTATTAACTAACCCTCCGTGTGATCTCCATTTCTGTGGTTGTGCTCCTGTTCTATTGTTTGCTTCATTTGTTTTTGTTTTTGTTTTAGGTGTGGTAAATAATTGTGAGTTTGCTGTCATTTACTGTACGTGTTTTTTATCTTCTTTTTCTTAGATAAGTCCCTTTAACATTTCATAAAATAAGGGCTTGGTGATGATGAACTCCTTTATTTTATTGTTTTTTAAATATTTTATTTATTTATCTTTAGAGGGGAAGGGAAAGAGAGAAGGAAAGAAATACCAGTGTATGGTTGCCTGTCATGAGTCCCCTGCTGGGAACTGGCATGCAACCCAGGCATGTGCCCTGACCGGGAATCAGGCCGGCAACCCTTTGCTTCACAGGCCTGTGCTCAATTCACTGAGCTACACCAGCCGGGGCTTGAACTCCTTTAACTTGGCCTTATCAGAGAAGCACTTTATCTGCCCTTTTATTCTAAATGAAAGCTTTGCTGGATAGAGCAATCTTGGATGTAGGTCCTTCTCTTTCATTGCTTGGATTACTTCTTTCCAGCCCCTTCTTGCCTGTAAGGTGTCTTTTGAGAAATCAGCTGGCAGTCTGATGGGAATTCCTGTGTAGGTAACTGTCTCCTTATCTCTTGCTGCTTCTAGGATTCTCACCTTCATTTTAATCTTGGCTAATGTAATTATGATGTGCCTTGGTGTGTTCCTCCTTGGGTCGAATTTCTTTGGGACTCTGAACTTCCTGGATTTCCTGAAAGTCTATTTCCTTTGCCAGATGGGGGAAGTTCTCTTATTATTTGTTCAAATAAGTTTTCTACTTGTTACTCTTCCTCTTCTCCTTCTGGTACTCCCATAATTTGGGTGTTGGAACGTTTAAAGAGGTCCTGGAGGTTCCTAAGCCTCTCATTTTTTTGAATTCTTGTTTCTTCCTTCTTTTCTGTTTGGTTGTTTCTTTTTTCCCTCTGGTCCACTCCATTGATTTGAATCCCAGTTTCCTTCCAATCACTGTTGGTTCCGTGTGCATCTCCCTTCATTTCACTTAGTGTAGCCTTCATTTGTTCATCTAATTTGTGACTAAAATCAACCAGTTCTGTGAGCATCCTGATTACCAGTGTTTTGAACTGTGTATCTGGTAGGTTGGCTCTTTGTCGATTAGTTGTATTGTTTCTGGAGCTTTGATCTGATCTTCGTTTGGACCTTTTTTTTTTTGTCTTGACGAGCTTGTTACATAGTGAGGGGCGGAGCCTTAGATATTCACCGGGGTGGGGCAACCCAGTCGCTGGGTTGTGACACTGGGTGGGCGGGGTCTGAGAGGGAACAGTGCTGCTTGCTCAACTCTGTCGGATTTCAGTCAATTCCCCACTTCCTCCAAGCAAACTGGGCCTTTCTGGTTCCAGGTGGGTGGACTTGTGCATGTTCTAGGACCCAGTGGGTCTCTCCAATGAACTCTCCTGTGAGGCTGGGAGTTTCTCCCAGCACCTCAACCCCCACAGGTGTTTTCAGTAAGTTTTTTTTGAGGCTTTATTTCCCAGCGCTGGGACCCTGGGTTGCACAGTCTATCTCGCTCGGTTCACCTGGTGTATCTGCCTGGGAATGTGGGACCGCCCAGTTCGCCAGCCGCCTTGCCAGCCAATCCCGTTCACAATGCGCCGCCTTGCTGGGTCCGCCCACTGCCGCTTGGTCGCAGACTCCACCCTGCCTACTGGTCTTTGTGAATGTTTCTTCTTTGACTGCTTGGTTGTCGGACTTCCATACAGTTCAGTTTTCTATCAGTACTAGTTGTTTTCTTGTTTCTAAATTGTTCTTGTCCTTATTTTGATTGTGTGAGGAGGCACAATGTGTCTACCTATGCCTCCATCTTGGCTGGAAGTTCCCGCCTCTTATTAGAATATTTTTAACAGCTGCAGGTAAGTCTTTCTGTTGTATATTCTGACAAAGTCCTTTCCACAGAGAGGTTATATTGTTACATCTACAAGTTCTTCCTAGACTATCATCAGCCTTTGGTGCCTGTTTCTGGGGAGGTGCTCTCCAGGCGCCAGGAGCTGAGGGAGGTGAGAGTTCCCTCTGAGAACGAGGCTGGGAGAGCCGAGCGGGGCCGGAGCAGGGTGCACATCCTCGGAAGCGTGCATGGCAGGGGGCTGGCAGAGGCCAGTCCCGTCAGTTTTCAGCGTGGCGCGGGGCGGGAAGAGGGAGCCTCTGCCGTTGTACAGCATCGATCCACCCTGTCAGGAGGCAATCGGATGTGGAGTGTGGCTGCTTCCCCTGCTCACCAAGCAGACATTGTACCCGCGAGGAACTTCAGAAGAGCTTTCGGACTTGGAGCATTTTTGCCTGTGATGGGGGTGTCTGTGGAAGTTCATGGAAATCTGCTTCTGGCTTTGTTTCCTCTTTGGTTTCACTGGGAGAGAGAATGTACCGCCAGTTATGACATCCTGCGTCCCAACTGTGTGACTTACAATTCTCCTTATAAACCAGCTGCACGTGGTTGGTGTGCCCTTACGCTGGACCCTGGCCTGTGGAGTGCAATGACTAGAAGGAGCGTTGTCGTGTCTTATGTTCTTTGATTCCTGTCAGCTGGGACTGCTCGTCATACCCCAGGCCAGTTTTGAAACCCTACTCATTTATGCTGTTCTCTGTGTTTTTGAGAGCAGTGGCTCCTTCACAGACCCAACATTGTCTTTGGTTAATAGTTGGGACAGATTTGCAGTCAGGGTAAGAAAACTTTCAACTGACCCTGGGCCTCAGCCCTGATGGGCAAGTGCAGGACGTAGGAGACTGCAAACGTGTCTTCTGTCTATGGGGCCGGCGCTGTAGGTGGTGGTGCAGTGTCAGGGGTATGAGCTTTAGAGTTACATCTGGCTCCAGTCCAGGGTGTGGTCTTTGGTAAATCACCTTTTGGAGACTCAGCATTCTCATCTGAGGTTGGGAATAATGCATAATCGCTCTGTCATAGGGTTGTGCAGGACTTAACACAGGAGACCACACGTGAAGAGTACTTGGTGCAACTCCTATGGAACTTGTCTGCACCTCAGTTTTCTCATCTGTAAAATAGGTTAATGTGTATTTAGTGCACAAGATTGTTGTGGGGATTAAATGAAGTTATAATCAGTGTAAAGCACTTGGAACAAACAGCCTGTTCGATTAATAAGTGTTATGGAGATGTTTGCTCACATCTATTTATTTTTGGTTCTTTTCTTCATTTAAGGAGTCGTGTGAAACCAGTGGAATATAGTCAGATGTACAGCTACAGCTACAACCAGTATTACCAGCAGTACCAGAACTACTATGCCCAGTGGGGCTATGACCAGAACACAGGCAGCTACAGCTACAGCTATCCCCAGTATGGCTACACACAGAGCACCATGCAGGTAACCGCAACTTGGCAAGTCTGCCTCCTTGGGTGACGTCATCCTTCAGAGAGACGTGGCTTATTCTCCAGTGGGACTGATAAGGACAGGATGTCGGGCTTCAGAAAAAAATGGGGAAAGGTGGAGGAACCTAGTTCCTTTCGTTAAAAGTAGGCCATCCTGGTTGTGGGCCAGGATTTCACCGTCCTTCTCACCCACCTCTCTGGTCTTTTGACAGACATATGAAGAAGTTGGAGATGATGCATTGGAAGGTAAGAAAGGAGCCCATCGCTTGTTCCCTCTGTCTGCTGTTATGCAGTGGTCGCTTTGGGTCTGGCATGTGCGTTCAGCTAGATGCTGAAGGAATGCATGGTGAATTCTGCCTGGAGAAACTTAACTTTTTTTTTTTTAAGATTTTATTTAAGCAGACAATCGCGGTTCGATTCCCAGTCAGGGCACATGCCTGGGTTGCAGGCCAGTTCCCTGCAGGCCAGTTCCCAGCAGGGGACGCACGAAAAGCAACCATACATTGATGTTTCTCTCCCTCTCTCCTTCCCTTTCCCTCTAAAAGATAAATAAATAAAATCTTTTAAAAAAAAAAGATTTTATTTATTTATCTTTAGTGAAGAAGGGAAGGAGAAAGGGAGAAAAACATTTATGTATGGTTGCCTCTCGTGGGTCCCCTGCTGGGAACTGGCCTGCAACCCAGGCATGTGCCCTGACTGGGAATTGAACCTCGATCCTTTGGTTTATAAGCCTGCACTCCATCCACTGAGCTACACCAGCCAGGGCTGAAACTTAACTTTTAAAAAAAAATTTTTTTGAGAGAAACATTGATTTGTTGCATTCATTTATGCACTCATGTGGTTGATTCTTGTATGTGCCCTGACCGGGGATTGAATCTGCAACCTTGATGCACTGGGACGATACTCTAACCAGCTGAGCTGCCAGGCCAGGGCTGCGGGAACTTACATTCTAATGAGAGAGTCACTGCGTGATTACAGTAAGAAGTGTGTGTGTGTCGATCAGAGGTGTGAGGGCAGGTCCCAGAGATCCCAGGGGAGAGCAGCTCATAGGGGAGGGAGGTAGCCGGTCACTCCCTAGATGAATGGCATTCTACCCTGGGATGTAGGTCTTTGGCAAAAAATACTGTTGCCTTGCATTTGACAGTTTGTAAAAATCACTTTTTATTTCATTTTTTTTTCTATTTAAAATTGCATGTTTCTCATTTTCCAGTAATAGTTATGATTGAAATTTTAGAAAATTAGTAAAGCATTATGAAATAACTGAAAACCACCCCAATCTTGCTGCATAGTAATAGCTGTTAATTTTTTTATTAAAAGGATTTAGTGTAATTATATTGAATCTAACAAAGAAAAAAGGAATTGCTAATGTACAAACAAATGATATTTTTAAATATTTTATTTATTTTTTAGACAGAGGGAAAAGGAGGGAGAGAGAGGGAGAGAAACATCAGTGTGTGGTTGACTCTTGCATGCCCCTCAACATGAGCTCGGCCCACAACCCAGGCATGTGCACCGACTGGGGATAGAACTGGCTGGCGCTCAGTCCACTGAGGCACACCAGCCAGGGCCAAACAAATAATTTTTAATGTGATATTAATACTTAAACTATTCTCTAAGGTTTGCAAAATTATGGAAAACAAGTTCTTTTCAGCATGTTTCTAAATAGATATTAAGTTTTAAGTAAGTGTAGCTGTCATAAAATCAGAATTAATTTCTAATCACAACTTCTTGTGGCAACCATTTTCTTCCTTCTCGTTTTTTAAATATTTTCTTGATTTTACTTATTTATCTTTAGAGAGGAAGGGAAGGAGAGGAGAGAAACATCAATGTATGGTTGCCTCTTGTGAGTCCCCTGCTGGGAACTGGCCCGCAACCCAGGCATGTGCCCTCACTGGGGATCGAACCGCGATCATGTGGTTCGCAGGCCCGCGCTCAATCCACTGAGCTACACCTGCCAGGGCATCTTTTTTTTAATATATATATTTTTATTTTATTGATTATGCCATTACATTTGTTCTATCCCCCCCCCCCGTTCCCCTCCCCCCCTTCCCCCACCATTCCCCCCCTTTAGTTCATGAAGACGTCTCAAGTTCCTTAGATTCTATATTTCCCGTACCATTCTTACCCTTCCCCTTTCTATTTTCTATCTACTGTCTATTCTTATTTTCTGTACCTTCTCCCCCCTTCTCCTTCTCCCACCCCCCTGTTGCTAACCCTCCATGTGATCTTCATTTCTATGGTTCGGCTCCTGATCTAGCTGTCCTCTTAATTCGCTTTTGTTTTAGGTGTGGTTGTTAATAACTGTGAGTTTGCTGTCCTTTCACTGTTCATCTTTTTTATCTTCTTTTTCTTAGGTAAGTCCCTTTAACATTTCATATAATAAGGGCTTGGTGATGATGAACTCTTTGAATTTGATCTTATCTGAGAAGCACTGTATCTGTCCTTCCATTCTAAATGAAAACTTTGCTGGATAGAGCAATCTTGGTTGTAGGTCTTTGGTTTTCATGACTTGGAATACTTCTTTCCAGCCCCTTCTTGCCTGTAAGGTCTCTTTTGAGAAATCAGCTGACAGTCTGATGGGAACTCCTCTGTAGGTGACTGTCCCCTTAGCTCTTGCTGCTTCTAGGATTCTCTCCTTCATTTTCATCTTGGCTAATGTAATTATGATGTGCCTTGTTGTGTTCCTCCCAGGGTCCAACTTCTTTGGGACTCTCACCAGTTTAGCTGAGTGGTTCATTGTTTTTGGACTCTGTATTGTTCGATTTTCTGTGTGGTTTGGTTGTGTTTATTGTTGTTGATACTTTGTTGTTTTTAGAGGATTTAATTGTGTGAGGACGCAAAGTGTTTCCACCTACGCCTTCGTCTTGGCAGAAGTCCCTCTTCCTTCTCTTTATAGCTTTTATCACTTAGATGTGTGTGTATGCCTAAACGATGTGATTTACTTTTGCCTGTGTTTGGCCTTTATATAATAGTCATTCTGACTATAGTGTCTTCTTTCATTCAACGTTCATCAATTTGAGATTCAAATTGTGTGCAGCCGAGGTTCATTTTCAGTGTTATGTATTTGTCTTTCTTTAAAAATTTCATTTCTAGGCCCTGGCTGGTGTAGCTCAGTGGATTGAGCACGGGCCTGCAAACCAGACAACTGCGGTTCGATTCCCAGTCAGGGCACATTCCTGGGTTGCAGGCCAGTTCCCTGCAGGCCAATTCCCAGCAGGGGACGCACAAAAAGCAACCATACATTGATGTTTCTCTCCCTCTCTCCTTCCCTTTCCCTCTAAAAGATAAATAAATAAAATCTTAAAAAAAAAAATTTCATTTCTAAAGAGAGGAGGGAGAAACATCTCCTTCCTTTTCTAAAGATTTAATTAATTTCATTTCTAAAGAGAGGAGGGAGAAACATCAATTGGTTGCCTCTCACACACCCCTAACTAGGAACCTGGCCCACAACCTATGCATGTATCCTGACGGAGTTGGGAATCAACCTCTGATCTTTCAGTTTTCGGGACAATGCCCAACACCAGGCAAGGCAGTGCTATGTAATACTCTTAGTAATAGTGATTTGGGTTTAGTGATTTCAGTCAGGTTTTCCAAGCTCGAAATTAATATAAGCACACCAGAAAATCCAGGGCACGTGATGGCTAGGTATAGATGTAGATTAACAGTTGCCATTATTTGAGTACTAACTTAACTACACATTTTATTATCCTATTTTCACCCTCACAGGAACCTTGCAAGGCACTTTTATCAGCCAGGAAGTCCTGGATAGGGACTGAACCCAAGTATCTTGAGGTCTGGTGGCTGCTGAGTGCTTTTCCCCTGATACTCCCTAAATGCATCCTCATTTCTGTTCCAGACCCCATGCCACAGCTGGATGTGACCGAGGCCAACAAGGAATTCATGGAGCAGAGTGAGGAGCTGTACGACGCATTAATGGATTGTCACTGGCAGCCCCTGGACACAGTGTCTTCGGAGATCCCTGCCATGATGTAGCTAGGACAAAGCACAGCCAGAATGGACTGTATAAGGGAAGAGAGACTCCTTTAACTTTTTTGGAAATGTTTTAGAAGATTTTAATAAGCCCTGGCCGGTGGATTGAACTCTGCCCTGCAAACCTAAGTCCATCCTTCGGGGAATGTGACGCAACGGATTGTACATTGTTTCCCTCTCCCTCCCTTGCCCTCTCTATACATAAAACCTTTTATAAAAAAAATTTAATAAAGTTTCCTGAGATTATGATTACTGCGACACTGCTGCCTTCACATGATGTAGTGAGCCATTTCAGCCTGGAAACTCAACAAATCAGGAAGCCCACATGTCATCTCAAATACCCAGGACCCTCCTTCCTTAAGAGTCTGAGTCTGTGCTAGAAATCTGCATCAAGTTTTAAGTTCTGTGCTCGAGTTGCTTGGGGGAGGGGGTAGCAGGGGAAACACAACTTGAGTTAAAGTGTCCATACCACAAAAGCCTTCAAAGATCTAGTCTTAGGCTCAGCAAAGGAGAACCACGTCTAACTGCAATTATGGAACTAATCATATTGTCCTGAGAGGTCAGACTTTTTAAATCAGGAGATTGAGACTACGATTTAGTTTGGGGGTCTACTAAGTATTTAGATAAGAGTACCTACCAGCACTCACAAAATGACCACAGTCACTGTTTTCACCTAGTTAACCTATTGCGAAAATTTCCTAGGACTGAGCCCAAAGAAACAGGCTGACAACTTCATTACATTAATAATTTATTAAGACCGTCCTCCATGCTGCAGGGCAGGATGGACAGGGGACAGCCCCAGATAAGGGGTAGGCAAAGGCCTGTTTCAAGAACCAGGAGCAGGTGGTGGAGCATGGCGGGTGGGTAAAGGAGTGGTCTGAGAGGATTTCCTGTAACTTGGTCTCTGTTCTGGCCCTCACAAACTGGTCTTTTAGCTTCTTCCCACACAGCTTCTCTCCTGAAAAGGAAGTATAAGCCAGTGTGTTAATGCTGCCCCAATTCATCAGTGCCACCCAGGCACTTATCCTAAGAGCTGGTCTCAGTCCCATATCCGCATTTATCATCCATAGATGTCCACTCAGATTAGGTTTCATCCCAGACCAGTCACCCTAAAATAAATGCCCCAAGCTAGACAGTACTACTTGTTTCTACTGAATCCACCTCCCATGGTTTGAGGTTACCCCAAGGAGCATGAGCTCAAGCTCTGAACTGCATATTCACAGCAGCCTGCGCTGCCCAAAGTGCAGGGCTGTCCCCTCTGCTACATTCTACTCACAGTAGAATGTGCTCTTGGACTTTAGGATGGGCAAACCTAATAGACCAAATTGTACTCTGTAAACATTAATTTTTGTTCTCTGGCAGCTAACAAATATAGCACAGGAGGCAGGCAACTGCTCCACTTACCCGACTCCGTAGATCATTAATCATAGATGAAGACAGCTCACTGATAACAGATCTAAAAAAAAGGAGGACACACTCTATCAAGAGACAACAAAGCCAATGACAAATCCCATCCTTCCAAATACAGAACTATTAGTCAGCCATCACTATACCAACTGGCCAGAGAGTCAAACACATCACTCTTCCCTTTATCTGATTTTACAGGGGAGGAAGTGACAAGTTCAAAGAGAATTTAACCTTGTTTGAAACTAGCCCACACGCTACAGAGCTGTGAGGCCAGCTTCAGTGTTACTTTCCCTCCTTTTACGACCACCAAGACCGGTGCACAGATCTGATGGGAAAGGGAACCAGAGGGCCAGGCTGTCTTCAGCATCTAACTTTACCTTATTTTAAAGCACAGGGACAGCAACGAGCTTATGTCTTATCCTTTTCAGTACCAGACACAGCCAGGAAATGTGGATGCAACCTGCAGAAAAAGTGTGAAAGGTCTAAACCAAAGTTGATGCAATATATCCACCCGCGTGGAAACTGATGGAAACACCTGGACTCAGGCGGCAGGCTCTCAAGCCCAGGACCTGTGATATAGGAAAGGCGAGTGGCAGCTGCAGGTATTATGCTGACCTGAGCTGTCAAAGTCTCTCCAGGTTGCTCTCGCATGCAGTTGGAGATCCCATGGCTACAACCAGCCACAGCCCTTGGAAACATGCTGTACTGAACCACCAGGCAGCGCCCAAATCAAGTCTCCACAAGAAACCTACCTGAGGTGGTTATGTCCATCACTGCCATGGCTCGGGTCCTCACTCACCAGAAAGCAATCTGAGCCATCCAGCAATCTTCACCTGGAACAGCTAAGATGAGAACACAATTGTTCTGAATGATCTATTCGGTCTTCAGAATCATAAAGGTTTAACTGGCCTTTGATCCTGGCATTGAGGCCTTACGCTTTCAAGGACAATGACCCAAAGCATCACCAAAATCTATGCCACTTGCCACTGGACTTCCCCATGAAGACATCTAACCCATCTTCCCCTCCTGCCCCTCCACACTATCTTGGCTTCAATCCTCTCCTCTTCAAAAGCTATCCAAGACCCCATCACAGTGATTTTCAACCCTTTCATCTCACTGTACACATAACAGCTAAAATGGCGCCGCACCGCACATCCCAAAAACTTATTTTTTGCCAATGACAAAAAGTAGGTATGATTTTGATTCATTCACACTGATGGCTATTGTGCTGGCTGCTGCTGTTATATTTGCAATTTAAGGGGGAAAAGGTCAGTGCCCCTGACAGGTCTTGCAAGGTTTTTTAACTTAAAAAAATTTTTATTTACTTTTACAGAGGGGAAGGGAGGGAAAAAGAGAGGGACAGAAACACCAGTGCGCATGAGATACATCCATAGGTTGCCTCTCACACGCCAACTGGGAACCCAGCAGCAACTGAGGGCACAGGCCCGAACAGTTGGGAATTGAGCCTTGGTTCACAGGCCAGCTCTCAATCCACTGAATCACACCAGCCCTGGCAGGTATTGCACGTTTCAAAAATCCTTAGGGCACACTGGTTAAAAATCGCCACCCTATCAACATTTCTTGCTAGTCTATGGAAACATCGATTTATTAATAAAGATCTGTTTATACCTGAGAAACAGCAGGTACAATCGAAACTGTCGTTTCCCAAAATGTTGCAGATCAGTTACAGCAAACAGAACGGCGACCGTCAAGGAAAACTGTCACTTTGGGCTCCTTTTTGACTGCAGCAGCTATGTGGAAGCAGCAGCAGCTTCGATAAGGGCCACAGGGCACTGTGTCACAGGACAGCTCAAGCTCGGCTCTACCCTGAAACTCACCTAAATCCTGCGCATCATGAAACTCCTCATTCCGAAGACCAAAGGAAAACACAGATCCTATAGACCCCAATTACCATTTAATACCTGAATGACCCTAAAACCCATCCTCCAGAAAACCCTGCTCTCATATTCACCAAGGCGACCTTCCTAACATGTGCAGCCAGATAATAAAAAGTAAGTCACTTGCCCAAGGTAACCCAGCTGTGAGATAACAAAGGCAGATTCTGATTCCAGGTCTTTCTGACAACACGCCCCCCCCCCCCCCAATTAAGCCACTTAAGGCACGGAGTTGCTGGGCCCACGGCCGCCCGCCCACGCTACTTACCCGTCATACTAGAGCGCCAGGCTGCGCGGGCCGAGGGTGGGGGGGAAGGGCGCAGCCCTCCTCTGCGCAGGCGGCCCATGTGCCCCTCTGGACCTCGGCCCCGGCGGGCGGAGAGGCCTGGCTCCTCATTGCTACACTTAACATTCTACAGCCTCGGGAGGCCGATGGAGGTAAGGATAAGGGCAGGGAAGCAGGGGGAATGCTGGTAGTGGATGGACAGGAAGAGCAGCACGCCGAGCTCATCGCATACAACCGTGTACGCGACGGTCGAGAGAAAGGACTGTCTCGTGCGGTGCGGCAGTATATATAGGCTCCGCCTCTGACGACCGTGCGCGGGAGGATTGTCGCGGCGCACCGCAAGGACCGCTGGGAGTTATAGTTTCTTTGGTCCCTTTGCTTTCGGGCTGGGGCGGTGCGTGGGCTCGTAGGCCAACGTGGGTGCGGGGCGGGCACCTTTTCACAGTGGGTGGAGGAACGAAGCAGAGGGTGTGCTCAGTGGCGGAGGTACCTCGTTCACGTCGCCCAGCACTGCGTGGACGTCCTGCGCGGGGCGCTGGGCCTACGCCTGAATAAAACTCCCTGTGCCCTCGAGTTTAATCTGGGAAGATTCTCAGAGCTGGGAAAAGAAAGACCTCCGGTCGGACAGCAGTGGGCCTGCGTGGTGGGGGGCGGCAAACGAGTGAGTTTCGGGGAGGGCTAAGGTCTCGTAGAGGAGCTTTGGGAGGGCGTGTTAGGAAGAGGGGACTGATTGCTCATGGGATGAGTGTGCTCATGGGATGAGTGTGTTATTTGTTTAAGGTTGTCTTTTCCTCTAATAGGTACCTCTTCTGGGTGCTAAGTACCAGTAAACTGTGCTCGATTACCTCAGCGACTTTGCATAATAACCCTATGTACAGGCATTATAATTATGCCCTTTTCTACTCAGGAAACCGAGGCATGTATCACACAGCAAGTGAGGGGCTGGTATCCGAATCCGGGAGTCCACCCCAGTGACCACACTCACAGTCATGCCATTTGCATCTTTCGTCCATCTAATGAATAAGCGTCAATATACAAATAGTAGCTGTCAAGAATTAAGTGTCCCAGCCCTGGCCAGGTCTCTCCGTTGGTTAGAGCATCCTTCAGATACACCAAAGTTGCTGGTTCCATCTTGGGTCAGGGCACATACAAGAAGCAACCAATGAATTCATAAATAAGTGGAACAACAAGTTGATGTTTCTCTTTCTCTCCCCCCACCCCGTAAATAAAATATAAAGAATTAAGAAAAAAATAATTAAGCTCCTATTCTATGCTTAATTTACTTATTTTTATGTGTACATGCACTTTAAAAGGTTGGTTACTACTATTTTTCCCATTTTATGGAGAAGGCGACAGATTAAGAGTGTAAGAAACTTTCTAGTGTAAGAGACTTCCAAATGTGTGTCTTCAACCCCACTTTTCTCCTGAGTTCCAGACCTTATATCCTGCTGCTTCTTTGACCTCTACACTGGTATCTTTAATAAACAGGCTTCCCAGGACACAGTCTTGCCTCCTCCAAACCTCCTCTTCCCTTTCTCAGTAAGTCCTTGGAATGATCCTGGGTCATTAACATCTCAGGTTCAATACATCAGAAGATCCTGTGTCCTCCATCTTTTTCTTTATTGAATTTATGGGGTGACATTAGTTAATAAAATTGTGTAGATTTCAGGGATACAATTCTATAGTACATCACCTGTATAATGTATTGTGTTTACTACCAAGTCAAGTCTGCTTCCATCACCTTTTATGCCCCCTTTACTCTCTTCCACCTCCCCCACCCCCCTTTCCCTCTAGTAATCAGCATGCTGTTGTTATTAACATACCCTGGTAATCTGATACTGTTAAACGTGAGATTTTTTTGTTTGTTTTGTTTAAGCCCTTCACCTTTTTCACCCTTCTGTTCTCCATGTTAAGATACTTCAAAAATCACGGTTTTTACCACCCCCACTGATGTTATTCCCACTGACCCACAAGACAACAATAGTTTACTCACTACTCTCTCTGAATCTGCCCTTGGTCCCTGCACCATGGTCTTAACACACCAGCCAGAGTGTTGAAAGAGCAAAAGTTTTTTATTCTGATTAATCCAATATATTGATTTTTCTCATTTGTAGTTTGTGCTCTTTGTGTCCTTTAAAAAAATCTTTTAAAATAAATAAATAATAAAATAAAATGTTCACCTAACTCAAAGACATTAAAATTTTTTTAATATATTTTATTGATTATGCCATTACAGTTGTTCTGTTTCCCCCCTTCATTCCCCTCCACCCTGGACACCCCCTCCCCCATCATTTCCCCCCTTTAGTTTATGACCACGTGTCTCAAGTTCTTTAGATTCTACATTTCCCCTATTATTCTTGCCCTCCCCCCATTTACCGTCTATGCTACTTATTTTCTGTACCTTCTCCCCCCTTTTCCTCCTCCCACTCCCCTGTTGCTAACCCTCCATGGGATCTTCATTTCTATGGTTCGGCTCCTGATCTAGCTGTGCTCTTGTTTGCATTTGTTTTTGGTGTGGTTGTTAATACCTGTGAGTTTGCTGTCCTTTCACTGTTCATCTTTTTTATCTTCTTTTTCTTAGATAAGTCCCTTTGACATTTCATATAAGGGCTTGGTGATGATGAACTCCTCGAATTTGATCTTATCTGAGAAGCACTTTATCTGTCCTTCCATTCTAAATGAAAACTTTGCTGGATAGAGCAATCTTGGTTGTAGGTCCTTGCCTTTCATGAGTTGGAATACTTCTTTCCAGCCCCTTCTTGCCTGTAAGGTCTCTTTTGAGAAATTCACTGACACTTTGATGGGAACTCCTTTGTCAGGTGACTGTCTCCTTATCTCTTGCTGCTTCTAGGATTCTCTCCATTTTAATCTTGGCTAATATAATGATGATGTGCCTTATTGTGTTCCTTCTTGGGTCCAACTTCTTTGGGACTCTCTGAGCTTCCTGGATTTCCTGGAAGTCTATTTCTTTTGCCAGATTGGTAAAGTTCTCCTTTATTATTTGTTCAAATAAGGTTTCCACTCATGGCTGGTCCTCTTCCCCTTCTGGTACCCCTATAATTCGGATGTTGGAGCGTTTAAAGATGTCCTGGAGGTTCCTAAGCCTCTCCTCCTTTTTTTGAATTCTTGTTTCTTTATCCTTTTCTGTTTGGTCATTTTTCCCGTCCTTCTGGTCCACTCCCTTGATTTGAGTCCCAGTTTCCTTTCCATTACTATTGGTTTCCTGTGCATTTCCCTTCATTTCAATTAGTTTAGCCTTCATATGTTCCTCTAATTTGTGGCTAAAATCAACCAGTTCTGTGAGCATCCTGGTCACCAGTGTTTTGAACTGTGCATCTGATAGTTTGGCTATTTTTTCATCGCTTAGATTTATTGGCTCTGGGGCTGTGAGTTCTTCTTGAGCCATGTTTTGATCTGTTTGTGCCTGTTACGCAAGAGGAGAGGCGCCTTAGGCGTTCATCAGGGCGGGGCCACCAAGGTCGCTGGTTTGTGACGCTATATGTGGGGGCGGGGTCAGAGAGGGAGCAATGGCGGTCCTCTCCGCCGGCCCCCGCCTGTTTATCTGAGCGCAAATGTGCGAGCCCGCTGCCCTGCGCTGCACAGTCTCAATGCTCGCCTCTTCACTGGTTTATCTGTGCGCAAATGCTCGACCTACCGCGCCTCTTTCCTGTGTCCGCCAGTAGGTAGCCCACATCTGGGATCCCCGCCCTCGGCTGCCTGTGCACCGCCCTGGTCAGAGGATCTTCTCTGCCCAACTCGCTCCACTGCTGGCTTCGCCCCTCTCACCGGTTTAGCTGAGCGGTTTGTTGTTTTCGGACTCCATATTGTCCATTTTCTGTGTGGTTTGGTTGCATTTATTATTGTTAAAACTTTGTTGTTTTTAGGTTTGGTTGTGCAAGGACGCAAAGTATTTCCACCTACGCCTCCATCTTGGCGGAAGTCCCTGATATAGGATTAATTTTTGCATATTGACTGGTACCCTGCAACCTTGTTAAACTCACTTATTAATTCTAGCAATTTTTTGGTAAGTTTCTTAGGACTTTTTACATGTCTATGAATAGAGACAGGTTTACTTCTTCCTTCCCAATGTGGATGCTTTTTATTTCTTTTTCTGGGACCTCCAGTACAATAGTGAACTATTAAGTTACATTTCAACAAAATTTAAAACTCTTGATCTTTAAGTGACACTGTTAAGTAAATAAAAAGCAAGAGAGAGACTGGTGAGAAAATACTTTCAAAACATATAATCCAACAAGGGACGTTTACCTAGAACATAAGGAACATTTGAAATGCAACACTAAAAAGTCAAACTACTCAATTTTTTTTAATGGCCACAAAATTTACATCTTACAAAAAAAGATAAACAGATGGCAAGTAAACATATGAATGATGCTAAATATCAGTCATTAAGGAAATGCAAATTAAAACTGTAATGAGATAACAACACCATAGACCTGCTGGAGTGGCTAAAAACTAAATGACAATATTAAGTGATGTCAAGAAGGTAGAACAACTGGAACTCTCAGTGTTTAGGATTGTAAAATAGTGCAGCCACTTTGGACACTTTGGAAAACAGTGTCAGTTTCTAAAAAAGTAAAACGTGCACCTCCTGTATTATGTGATCACTGCACTACGAGGTATTTCCCAAGAGAAATGAAAGCACATGTATACACAACGACTTGAATATAAACATTCACAGCAATCATTTGTAATGCCCAAAGGCGGGAAATCACCCAAATGTCCTTCAACAAAGGATTAGGTAAACAAACTGTGGTATATTCATGCACTGGAATACTACCCAGTTATAAAAAGGAACAGACTTTACATGTGCATCAAAATAGATGAGTCTTCATGTTGCTGATGAAAGGAGCCAGCAAACACTACATACTGTGTGATTTCATTTATGTATGCTTCGAGAAAATGTGAAATGGTTTCTAGTGGCAAAAAGCAAAGTAGGGGTTGCCTGGGACTGGGGTTCAGGAGAGAAGAGTGTAAAACCACATGGGGAAACTTTTGGAGATGATTAATGTTTGTTATCTCAACTGTGGCCATGGTTTCATGGGTGTACACTTACATCACAGCCCCTTATATAGTACATTTTTCATAGGTGCAGTGTATTGTGCCACTTCTACCCCAATTAAAGATATTTTTTAAGTAAGCAAGAAAACATTTAGATGAAGTCATTCACCTGCCCTCAAATCACTGACTTCTCAACACATTTTTCAGAACTTCCCTGTGAGGTGGGCATCACAATTTGCCTCACTTAACAAAAGGGGAGGCAGGAGTGGAGAGAGGAGAAGACTTGCCCCCAGGTCACACAGGTCAGCTGACATCCAGATTCAAGTGCTAAGTTGCAGTCAGGGGCAGGCACATGACCCCAACCCACAGTGTCTGGGAGAGGAAGTTCAAGGAGGCTGATGCTGACAGTGCACTTGCCCATGTGTGCTGACCATAAAGCTTTCTGGGAAGGCTTAAACTGCATTCCAAGCTATTTCATGCCTCTCTGCCTTTGCCCAGCAGCCCTTCCTCCCTGACCTTCCCAGCTCCCATTGTCCTTGGAGACCCATCACCTCCTAGAAGAGGTCTCTGACCTGGACCTCCTCAAGTCTTGCTCTATTATGGTGTCTGGCTGACTGACTGATTGACTGAATGAATGAATGAATAGCACTTCTCCACTTTTATTTATTCATTCAATCATACATATTTACTGAGTTTCTATTTTGTATCATCCATTGAGGATACAACCACTGGTCCTCACCCCAAAGGGGCTCACATCTCAAAGGGGGACAGACTTTACAGCCTACTAAAAGGGCATGTGACCCCATAGGCCAGTCTTAGAGGGGCTTCCCAAGGGCAGGGATCTAGACTGTGGTATTAGCTCTCTGAAGAGCAGAAGCGGAGTGTTCTGGCTGAGAGCTGAGAAGAGGAAAGATGCTTAGCTTGGCTGGAGCTCAGAGCCTCAGTAGTAGGTAAAGAAGGACTGGGGGGCATCTGCAAGAACCTGACACTAAAGTATTTTCCAGCCTAATAGAGCGAGGTGGGGAGAACACCCTGATGGAGGAGTAGGTGAGGCAGGAGGGAGTGGACAGATTCTCTTGATTTGGGCAGAGCTGGTGGTGAGGATCCCTCGACACTCGCAGCCTTCCTTTTGGTGTCTCCTGGTTCCTAGGTTGTCAGGTTTCTCTCCAACTCATGGAAGAAGGGGCAGGCAGAGCTGGCTCCCTTCGGGCTCTGCCATGCACGTGGCTTCTCGCTGATTTGTTTAGAGTTAACCAGAGGAAAACCTGGGCCTTTTCACATCCCTGACCTGTTCAGTCAGAAGCAAAAATAGCAAACATGGTAGCAAACAGGGCCTTGACCTTTGGTGGACTTAGAAGGTAGTCTCATTCTTCCTCGTTGAGTGACCTTGGGCTGGTTATTTAACTTCTCTGAGCCTCAGTTTCCTCATCTGTAAAAATGGAGAGGATAACCACACCCACTCACAAGGTTGTGTGAGGAGGAAATGTGATGACATGACAGTTGAAATAATGAGGACCCCCCCCCCACCCTGCCAGTTTGCCAAAACAAGTTAAATTGATAACAATCTGCCTGTTTGGGACCGGCCAGAAGTCCAGCCTTGATGCTCTGGGTTGCCAGAAGGCCAGACCGGAAAGGGTGCAGTGGATCTCGGAAACAGAACTGACCACCATGTCCTTGTCCTCTAGGGACTTACTTTGCAGTCCCCTTTTGCGGCATATCAAGGGGGTAATAAAGAGTGAGACAGCCCTGGCCAGGTAGCTCAGTAGATTAAAGCATCACCCTAATACCCCACGGTCGCGGGTTCAGTTGGGTCAGGGCACATACAGGAACCGACCAATGAATGCACAAGTAGGTGAAACATGAAGTGAATGTTTCTGTCTCTCCCTTCCTCTCCCTATAAAAACAATAAATAAATTTTTAAAAGAAGACGATAGGCCTTTGCAGGTGTAGCTCAGTGGATTGAGTACAGGCCTGCGAAACAAAGGATCGCAGTTTGATTCCCAGTCAGGGCACATGCCTGGGTGGGCCAGGTCCCAGCAGGGGATACATGAGAAGCAACCATACACAGATATTTCTCTCCTTCTCTGCTTCCCTTCCCCTCTAAAGATAAATAAATAAAATCTTTAAAAAAAATGAAAACAAACCCAAATGTGAGTTCCAGACCTAAGACAAGCCACACATCTGAGCCCCCTCTCAAAGCGCTGCTGCCCACAAAGCATAAAGAATGGACCATCTGGCCTCATAAGTGTTAGCTGTCCAGTCCACAGGCCAAATGCACTCCATCCGCAATGACAGTTGTCTGTGTCTGTCCTGCCTCTTCTAGCAGATTGTGCCCCATCCTCTCCCTGGGCCATGGGGCCACAGCAGGTGAATGAATCATGCTAGCAGGTGACTGCTCTAGCACTGGTAGTCTTGGGCCAATTCCTCTTTGGTTATCATTCCTCCCCAGTCCTCCTCCGGACTTTAGTTTAATCTTTTCAACCTGTGAAGTAGAGGGTTACCATTATCTTCATTTCACAGAGAAAACTGAGGCTCAAAGAGTAAGTGATTTAGGTGTTTCCACCAGCCACCAGCCAGCTTCCCCAGGGTCAGGCCCCCTGGGCTGAAAACTACCCAGGCTCCACGGTCCACCACGTGCTGGTGACGGGTCGCTTAGCAGCTGTGTTGGGCGGGGGCAGGGCCACCCTTCCGGCCACTCGGCAGGGCGGGGCTGGACAATGACTGCCGGACTGGATGGACGAGACTCCCGCAATGGAGGCGGGAGGTTGCCGCTACCAGTTTCGGATCCTGCTGCTGGGGGACGCGGCTGTGGGCAAGACGTCGCTGCTGCGGCGCTACGTGGGGGGCGCGCTCGGGACCGCGGCGCCGGCGGAGGAGCTCCAGTCTGAGCCCACGGTGGGCGTCGAGTTCTACAGCCGCCCTCTGCAGCTGGGAGCCGGGCCGTGGGTCAAATTGCAGCTCTGGGACACCGCGGGCCAGGAGCGTTTCAGGTGCGGGATGGGGCGGAGTGCTGTGGATACGAGGTGGGTGGAGGAGGGAAGAGGGGGGGAGAAATGAGTAGGTGAGGAGCCTCAGTTCGGGGATCAGTGCTGGTCTCCCTGGCCGTGGAGATCCCTCAGAGGGGTCAGCCCCATTGGCCCCAAAATAGAGGTCTGGGTGTCCCTGCGCTGGGGTTCGGGTCCTTCACTCTTGAGTCATACACCTGACAAATACAGCTGGGTGGCCAAGCTCCTGAGCCAGATGCTTGAGACCTGGTCGGTCGTCCCTCCCACCACAGACCCCAGAGGAACATTCAGGCCTTGAGGACAAGGGAGAAGGACCCGACATTGAACCCTGGAGGGATGAGTGACGTGAGTTCAGGGGAGCCCACAGGAGCACAGGGCGGGAGGTCAAGGAAGTGGGAAAGGAGGAAATATTTGTGTTGGCCTTGAAGGATGCGTAGGAGTGTGCGGGACAGGGAACGGGGAAGCAGACCTTCACACAGGAAAATGCGAGGCCTCCTCCCGGAATGGAGGCCTGGTCAGGAGAACAGTGAGTCAAACTCGCCCCCAAACTGAGAAGCACTGGGTGTCTTGGGAAAGAGACAGAGTCCAGGAACAGAAGCACAGGGTAGTGTGAAATGAGCTGTAACAGGTGGTGGGGAAGTGGGGGAGGTTCTGCCTCTGGGGGTGTCCTGAAGACATAAGCCTCTCGACTTACTTCCCAATCCCATCAGGTGCATCACCAGGTCTTTTTACCGGAATGTGGTGGGTGTCCTGCTGGTTTTTGATGTGACAAACAGGAAGTCCTTTGAACACATTCCACATTGGCACCAGGAGGTGGTGGCGACTCAGGGCACGGACAAGGCAATCTTCCTGCTGGTTGGCCACAAGAGTGACTTACAGAACACCCGTTGTGTCTCAGCCCAGGAGGCAGAGGAGCTGGCTGCCTCCCTGGGCATGGCCTTCATGGAGACCTCAGCCAAAAATAACTGCAATGTGGACCTGGCCTTTGACACACTTGCCGACGCCATCCAGCAAGCCCTGCAGCAGGGGAACATCAAGTTGGAGGAGGACTGGGGGGGCATTCGGCTCATCCACAAGACTCAAACCCCTAGGCACCCCAGCAGGCAGCAACGTGCAGGCCCATGCCAGTGCTGACTCTGGAAGGGAAAGGGTTGAAGCAGTGTCAACCCCAGAAGTGCTGGTGGGGTGGAGAGAGTATCTCTCCAAAGGGCAAATGGCAGAATATACCCTAAGCATTCATATAAACAGTATTCTGGCACGGTCATGGCTCCTGGATTTTGGGGTCTTAGCTCAGCTCCTTTCTACTAGAAAGGTCCAGATGCAGGTGTACAGCTTCCTATTCTTGAGCCTGTTTCCTCGTAAAACACCCTACCTCAAGGGGGGCGGTGTACATGAATGAGATAATGGGGGAATATGCTCAGCCAGAACCTGTCACATGCTGAGAACTGAATGACATGAACTGCCATCATTACCTTCTTCTCTTGGCTGAGATGTGGCCATTTCCAGCAGCGTTCCTGGGCTGGGACGCTGGGACGCTGAGTCTATACACAGCTGCACAGGTGAGGACGGCTGTGGGGAATTTCAGGGGGAGCCTGGCTCGGAGCCTCCTTAGATCCTGCCTTGGATGGATGAGTCTGAGCATGAGATTTAGGTGTGGTTGTTGCTGCCCAGCACCTCTGGTCTGGATATGGATCTGGGAGGCAGGACTGACGAGTTTACAGCCTCCTCTTCACCACCCTTCCCACCCCACACCCCCCAGCTGCTGGGAGTGCCGTGGGACAAGGAGCCCCACTGCCTGGGAACGCACTGCCCCTCAGGTACAGCCCACATCCAGTGTCGATCTAATGGGAGAAGAGTAATCAAAGGCCTGGCCTTCTCCCAACTATGAACAAGTCTGAAGTTCAAACCCCTGATTAATCGTTCATTATGGGGTCCATTGAAGCCACTACTGTTATATCACAGATAAATCCTCCCTCCCTCCCTCTGCTCAGTCCTGCTCCCTTCCTTTCCTTCCCCAAGCAGGTATTCATCTCAGTAATGCCCTGCTGCACGGTTTTGACCTATTTGAACTGCGCAGGTCCACTTACACTTGGATTTTCCCAATGACCCACGCAGTTCAAATCCATGTTATTCAAGGGTAAACTGCATGCTGGGGACTCCCTGTATGTGTATGTGTAGGGAGCCTCTACTGTGCAGATCAGCACCCCTAACCTGGGAGTTGAGGTCAACTGTAAATGCCTTCTGGGGAACCTAATTTGCAACAGAAACTCAACAGTGAATGTCCTGGCTCAATCAAAGGCTTTCTGGAGGAGATGGTGCTTATGTAGGGAAGAATCTCAACAGGTGTAGAGGGGGTGTTTTGAAGATGTCATTGTGCCAGTGGGCATGGGAAGAGCATAGGCAGATGCCACAGCAAAAACAGCACGACTACTTGCCTTACTTTGTGACCTGGAAGCCAGTCACTCCACCCCTTTGAGCCTCGGATTCTTTCTCAGTAACAGGTGCTGACAATCCCCCCATCCCAGGGTTCTTGGGAAGTTTTCAGTCAGGGTGTTTCTCAGCTTGCTCCCCACGGCAGCTGGGCCAGTTGGGGTCGCCCTGTGCACTGCCTTCTGCCTCCTCTTTGTAAAAAGTCTTTGCTCATCATTACAACAACCATACAAAATTGGCATGATTATCCCCATTTCACAGACAGGAAAGCTTGGGCCAGGAGAGGGAATTGTTTGCTTTATGGCATATTATTATTTCTTCATCAGATCCTTAAACATGAGCCAGTGCTCTCTTCTGGGCTCTGGGGATACAGAATTGCCCTCCAGCGGCTGACATTCTAGTGGAAGAGGGAGGAAAAATTAATAAATAAGTGAAGCAAACTACTTCTAGTTGTGGTTAAGTGCTATAAAGACCACAGATAAGCCCTGGCTGATGGGACTCGGATTGAGCGCCCACCTGTGAACTGAAAGTTTGCAGGTTCGATTTTTGGTCAGGGCATACACCTGGGTTGCAGGCCGGGTCCACAGCTGGGGAGTGCAAGAGAAAACCAGTCGATGTGTCTCTCACACATCAATGTTTCTCTCCCTCTCTTTCTTCCTCTATCCCCTCTCTAAAAATAAATAAATAAATAAATAAGTAAAATTTTTGAAGGCGACAGATAAGGGAGATGGGACTGAGAGTGACAGAGGTCCTCCGGAGCAAGTGGGTCAGGAGGGCCTCGCTGAGATGACTTTAGAGCTGGGACCTGGAGGAGAAGGAGCCAAGCTAAAAGCAGGTATTTGGGAAGAAGGAACAGCTGCTAGCACTGACTGAGCTCTTATGTACTGTATAAGGCAGGTACTTCAATTTTCCATTTTACTGATATGGGGACTGAGGCCCAGAGAGGTTACAAAGCCAGTAAATATCAATGGGAGAAACATTAATGCAAGAAGCATCGATTGGTTGCCTCCTGGACTGGGGCTTGTACGTGCCCAGACCAGGGAACCGGCCTGCAACCCAAGTATGTGCCCTGACCAGGAATTGAACCTACAACCTGGTTACAGGGACGATGGGTGTTCCAACCACTGAGCCACACTGGCAAAGGCTCTTGTTACTTTTTGGGTAAAGCCCCCCCTCTTTTGAGGGGCCAAGGCACTGCATGACTTGGCCCAAGTTGCCTCACCACACTGCCTTGGGGCTGGCACACATGCAGTTCTTGCTCCTTGAAAGAGATCCCCACCCCTTCACTTGGGTCCTTTGAACTGTGGCCCAACTGCTCAGACCCTCTCCCCTGGCACTCCGAACCTCTCCTTTGCAGCTAGCCCATCACAGTAGCAGTTTTGTATTTATCCAATCATAGGATTGCTCCCTGTTATTTTTTAATTATTGATTTGAGAGAAATCTCTGAGAGAGATAATTTGTTGTTCCACTTATTTATGCATTCATTAGTTGATTCTTGTACGTGCCCTGATCAGGATTGAGCCCACAACCTTGGCATAACAGGACAATGCTCTAACCAACTGCCCTGCCTGGCCAGGGCTTGCTCCCTATGTTTGTATTCATCATGGTGACCCACTGGCTGGCCCAGGTCCAGCTAAAAAATTCTTGCTGAATGATCAAGTCTCTTCCATATGCAGACAGGATGGGACTCAGAAACTATTTACATGTCACACAGCTAATCAAGAATTGAGGTCTTTTGACTCTAGCCCATTTTTTTCCATTAAATGGCTCGAATTCCCTCACCCCCTTCTGTTCTCAGTAGAGGATTCAAAACTAATTCTGGATTTCTTCTTGGCTGCTGAGGTCAGTGGCTGGCACCTACTATGAGAACTTGGTGGGAGGCCTTCTGTTGTTTGATATCGCCAACAGAACATCTTTTGAGAGTCACACAGTGCCATCAGGAGGTTCTGGAGAAAGTGAAAACCCTTCAACATCGTCTTCCTGGTGGCAGGCCATGAGAGTGACCTGGTGGTTGAGTGACAGGTGATGCTGGAGGAAGGGAACAAGCTGGCTGCCTCTTCTTTGGGTGCTCACTATGTTGAGACTTCAGCCAAGAGTAACATCAGCACATCCTTTGAGCTGCCCACTCAAGGGATCTATGAGGCTGTGAAGAGCAGGGTCATGGGGCCAAACTGAGTGGGAGGAAGTGAAAAGCAGGGTCCCACTGCAGGCCAACCTCAGGAGACAGAGAAGCAAAGCAGGGCAAGGTGGATGTGCTGGTGACCCCCGGTGGAACAGCCCCCTGAAGCCCATGGAGCCTTCATGATCCACAAGGGCTATGCTGGGCACGGGACAGAATGATGCTAGGTGCCACTGAAGGTCATGACCCTGAAGTCTCAGGGGGCTTGGTTTCCTCTGCAGGATGGTGAAAATACCAGGATCAAAGATACCAGCAACTAAGGCAGACAGGCTTTCCTCAAGGCTACTGCCATCCCTTCTTCGGGCCCAGGATGAGCACAACTTTCTCTCGGAATTCCAGAAGAGCAGGTCAACAAAGGCTTTATCAAAACCAGGATGCCTCCTCAGTTTGGGCTCACGAGAGAAGGTCACTCTACCTAATTCTATGGCAGAGAAACTGCACTCAAACTTCTACCGAAGGTATAGCCTTCCTTGGAGTCAAGTCCTGGAAAATCCCTGGGTCTTTTCTTAGGCAGAGAAGTGAGTAACACTGCTGCCACCTGCTGACTAGAGGCTGCACCCAGCCTTGCTCCTGCTCCCAACTACCTCGGGGATTTCAAAGGCTGTAGGCCATGCACCCTGTGTCTTTCGATTAATAACTTCTTTATTCTGGAAAAGCAAATGAAAGTCATATTCATATAAACACTGACATTACAAAGTACAGGGAAAAAGGGAAGGGAGAAGAAAACAGAAACCTCCACAAATCCTGCTAATACTGTCTCACCAAACAAGACCATACCGCTTTGTCCCATGTTCAATCACTTATATAATAAACCACAAATAAAATCTTCTCTGGAAGATACATTGTTCCTCTTTGAGACGGCAGGGAAAAGGGGCCAAAGTGGGGGAAGGAGGCTTTATTCTTTTGGCAGATCCTCTCAGTCATTATAGATATTGCTGCACTGTTAATAAAAAATATATGCTTCTCTGTAAAGCATTAAAAAAAAAATCCAAGGATGAGATGGCTGAGGTCTCAGCTCAAGTATCTCCAAATACATTGTTGTCCATTCCCTGACCTTTCCATGTGTTATTTCTTGGTTGTCTTCCGGATCAATGCCATTCTCTGAAAGGAGAGAAAAATAAGCAACACATGGGTTACAGTCAGGAACTTTCTGGGACATCCCGTGTAGCTAGCAGGTGGCCTGGCGTGGTCTACGTCACAGGCTGAAGCCTGTGGCACCTACAGGCACGGGCCAGCTCAGCAGCCTCCATCTAACCTGAGGACAATCTGCAGGGCCGCAGTGATGTGTAGCTGGGCCAGCGGATCCATTCCATTCACCAAAGGACAAACTGTTCTAGGCTAGCAGGATGGCAAAAAAGTTGAAAGCAGGTGACACACAAGATTATTTATCACATCGATGTGCGGGGTATCTATTTCTAGGTCTGATTCTCAAGGTCCACCTTCCTTTACTTCCTCAGATTGCTACTGGCTCCTAAGTAGTTTAGTTCTACTTGGATAAACGAAATGAATATGTTTCTTTTACTAACAAACTGCAGCTGCGGAAAGATTTTCCTTCGAAGGCATATCAAGGAAATGAGTATTTTTAAATGCCTTGATTAAATAAACCATTCTATAAATCTGATCATCACTCAGGAGATGTACACTAGCTGCATCTTTACCTGTCTTGTCCTGCTCTTGTCGGTGTCACGTGATCTTTTTCCGGGTTCACAACTGGCTACAACAGCTGTCACTTCTAGGAATTTACTTATTTTTTAGCCGGAACAGTAACTGTTCCTTTAATAACTGCTCTTATTTAAGACAAGCCTTTCAAAATTGTAATAAATTATTTCAATGTAAAAAAAATCAGGTGACAGCTCTTGCCTTTTGGGGACTTAGAGAAAGGCCATCAAAGCGTGTTTCCGAGGCTCCCCACCCACACCAACTCGCTTCCCTGCTGCTGCAGACAATAGGGGGGGGCCTTCCTTTCAGGCCCGTACCGTTCACACTGGAGGACATGCAACAAAGGAAACGGACACCAATGACTTCTACCATAACCCACCAGGGAAAGAGTCAGCTCACTGAGTTCAAATCTGACTATTACCGGCCCCGCCCAAATTGCTGAATTGCTTGCTTTGCTTGCTGTTTTTGACCAAGGACTGTCGAAACATTGTATTTGTTTATACATATATGGCTGAAAAGTGGATAATCTGGGAGCAGAGACAAAATGACCCTCTCTTATCTGGAAAGACTCCCTTCTGAAGAATACTGTGGTCCTTTGATCCAGGCTATTGAGGCTTCCTCACAAAGCTGCTTCTGTGAACTCTGGAGACACACCCACTCCGGAGATCCCATGTTGTGGAAAGCAAGGGACGCTTGGCCAAGGTGGTCCAGGTGTGCCTGTCAAGCTTAGAATAAGCTCTCTTTTCAAATCAGAGTGGCAGTTACATTAAGACAGAAAAGACAGAGATTAAGACAGAATAGCCTTGTCAAGGGAGGCCACCGCTGCCACTAGATGGACCAATGACTGGGACAACGTGCTCCACGGCAGAAGCAGTGTTAGGTTCTCAGGATGACTTCTCAGTTCCATGGTGAGAGAGACAGAGAACGAAGGTGAAGCTGGGACAGAGGCCAGAATGCCTGGCAGAGCAGTCTGGGTGCTGCCTCCCTCCCCAAGTGCAGCACACCTCTGCCTTCCTTAACCTGTCCTCAGTCACAGGGCCAAATGTGATGTTCAAGTCACAAACAATGAAGCAAGACTTCATTAAGGAGTCGGGCAGGGATGAGTTCCGTCCATATTAGAACTTAGATTCCACAGCTTTAAGCAATGCCCATCAGAGTTAACAGAAAAAAACAGGCCCAGCTGAGGGAATAGCCATACACCAAGGAAATATGTGAGTGATCTCCCACGGAGCCCCGCTGCCTCTGACCTCTCTGCCCTTAGGCCCAGAGTGGAAGGGGCGAGATAACGGCAGTGATGGGAGCTATTGCGCGTGCCCCTGAGACACAGCTTGAGAAATCAGCCAAGGCTGCCCCGGGGCTCTGATGGCTCCTCACCTGTTTGTGAGCTTCTGTGGTGCAAGCTTTTTTGTAGGGTCGTATTTCTTCAGAGCCAAATCCTGGGATCCACATGTTCCACTGGCGTTCTGCAAGGAAAAGGCCAGCACAGAGGTAAGGAGACTGGGAAGGCAATGTCCGGGTGCAGTGTGATCCTCAGACAAGGGTCAGGGAGGCTGAATCTAAACAGTCAACTAGACTAAGGAACAGGAACCCTGCAGAAGGATTCTGTGGAATACAAACGGGGGAATCCCATGTCGTGCCTCCAAGGTATCCACGGACGCCATCTGTGACCTTCTTGCCAGGACAAAAGGGATAAATGAGTCAAAGCCGTGGGTGCTGAGTCCTAAAGTCTCCATGAAGCTCCACAGAAAACGAAAGTGATTTGTTTCTTCAGATGTCTTACTCCTATGCTCAAAGTAACCCCTCCCACCAAACCCTAAGGAAGAGTAGGAACGGAAGGGCGCTCCCAGTGCTGTGGAGCGGAGGGCCGAGTCTCAGCTCTGCTGCTTCAGTGTGGGGCTGTGTGGCGCTGGGCCTCAGCACCCCCAGTGAACATCTGCATGTGCTTTTTGAGAGCCTTTATTTATTTATATTTTATTTATATGAGAGAGGAGAAGGGAGGGAGAAAAAGAGGGAGAAAAACAATGATGTGAAAGAGAAAATCAATTGGTTGCCTTTTGTGCATGCCCCGGCCGAGGACTGAACCCTCAACCCAGGCATGTGCCCTGACCAGGCATCGAACAGGTGACCTTTCGCTTTGCGGGTCCACGTCCAACCAACTGAGCCACACTGGTCAGGGTTGCGTATAACTCTTGACTTCCCCAAAACTTCAGTGATAGCTTACTGTTGACCAGAAGCCCTACGGGTGACATAAACAGTTGATTAACCTAATTTTGTATGTTATTATGAATTACATACTGTATTCTTACAATAAAGTAAGCTTGAGAAAGAAAATGTTAAGAAAATAATTGTTAGGTTCGGCAGAGTGAGGGGAGAGATGACAGGAGAACAGGCACTGAGTTTATCAGATTTAATAAGTAAACTGCTCATCGGGCTGAGTCCGAGCAGACTGCAGCGGGGAGGGTACAAGCACCGGTGTTTTTATGAGTTTAGGGTTGAGTCTTAAGGGATGGGTCAGGGGTGAAGCATGAGGCGGACTGCCTAGGAAGAGGATGAGAGTTGACTAGCTTCTGCAGAATACTAGATTATTCACAAGCCTGTTGTTTGGCAGGGAATGTTCTGTGGTCAGGTACCGTGGGTGAGCATGAACTGTGGCTGCAGGCTAGGAGTAAACGGGGCCGGAGTTTCGGGAGTACAGGAAGCCCAGCTAATTGCGGGTCATTGCCTGTTTGATGAGTTCTTAGGTAGCAGGTCATAGATGGGCAGAATGGTGGTTTCTGGCTCTTACAATCATAAGGAAGACAAAATACATTTACAGTACTGTACGCAATAACTGAAAAAAATCTGCATGTAAGTGGACCTACAGTTCAAACCTGTGTCATTCAAGGGTCAACTGCACTCACACAAGATTTTTTTACAGAATGAATGTCTATTTAAAAAGAATTACAAGGGGACCTCTTTATCACACTTCCCTAGAGTACTTCAAACATTTGTTTTGCAAATTTGTTTTGCCCCAGGCAGGCACTTACTCAAATCAAATTGTATATAAGTGGTTTCAGAGCTAAAATTTGTGTCTAATGCACATTAAATATTGAGTAAATGAATAATTCATGTTTGGGTCTAGAATAGTTTTATATAGAGCTCTCTTCTAATATTTTTTTGAAAATAAAAATGTCTGAAGTCTTTTGCTAATATTATTTGTTGTCAGTACTTGAAATGGGCACTAAGTTTATTCTCTGGGAATTAAACTTTACAACCGACACAAAGTGAATCAAAATGCAGATTTGTAAAGTCACTTTAAAAAAGGAGAGTAGCTACCTGGCATGAATGCATATATGTAAGGATGTGCAGCAATATATTTATTTTATTTTTATATTTTAAAGATTTTATTTATTTACTTATTTATTTTAAGATTTTTTATTTATTTATTTATCTTTAGAGCGGAAGAGAAGGAGAGAGGGAGAGAAACATCAATGTATGGTTGCCTTTCGTGGGTCCCCTGCTGGGAACTGGCCTGCAGGGAACCAGCCTGCAACCCTGGCATGTGCCCTGACCGGGACTCGAACCACGACTGTCTGGCCCACGCTCAATCCACTGAGCTACACCAGCCAGGGCTTACTTACTTATTTTAGAAAGAGGGGAAGGAAAGGAAAGAAGGAAACATCAATGTGTGGTTACCTCTTACACGCCCCCTACTGGGGACCTGGCCAGGGCAACCCAGACATGTGCCCAGACTAGGAATCAAACTGGCAACCCTTTGGTTCACAGGGAGGCACTCAATCCACTGAGCCACATCAGGAAGAATGTGTGGAAATATATTTAAAATTGTGTGTATTTATAGTTCACATGATATTACTATAATAACAATGATCATTTAGTGAATAAGACATAGTAAAATGCCTGGTACAAAGCAGCATTGTGCGAACCATTCTACGTATATTATCTCATTTAACACTCACATTTCTAAAGAAAGACTCTGTCAAAGAGGAGGTTATTCAACTATAAAAACACAGAAAACTGAGCCAGAAGCAAACACTGGCATCCTAGTCCAACTAGAAGAGAGGAGTCGAGAATTTACAGCCTGACCCTGGCTGGGTAGTGCAGTGGGTTTGAGTGTCGTCCCACTAGGCCAAGGTTATAGGTTCGATCCCATGATCAGGACACATACAAGAGTCAACCAGAGTCCATGGATGAGTGGCACAAAGCAGTGTTTCTCTCCCTCTCCCTCCCTTCTTCTCTCTCTAAGACCAGTTAAAAAAAAAAAAGAATTTGCAGCCCCATTGGCAAAGGCTATCTTTGTTGAGAGGTGTGAGGGCATGTGCAGCAGGCCTGGTGTATTTCATTCTAGGTTCCCGAATTCCCCATGCTCTGCAAGCAATCTTTTGATTATGATTCAGCTTCCTTAAGCCTTGCTACAGATGTTGTCTGGTCATGTAGAGTTTTCTAGTCTCTGTGATAATTATTTCTTACCCTTAATGAATAAATGACATTCCAATTTTATTTTCGATAATTAAAATACTAAATATTTTTTAAAATAGCAATGCTAAACTCTCAATGTAGTGTAATGTTATGGTTTTGTGTGTAAAATATACATAAAATTGGTAGACTTCCGCCAAGATGGAGGTGTAGGTGGAAACACTGTACCTTCTCACACAACCAAGTTTAAAGACAACAAAGTTTTAGTAACAAAAACGCAGCCAAAGCACAGAAAATTGAACTATACGGAAGTCCAACAACAACGAACTATTCAGCCAGACCGGTAAGAGGGGCAGAGCCAGCAGCGGAGCGGGGTGGGGCAGGAAAGATTTGTAGACCGAACCAGGCAAGCGACCCAGGTGCGCAGGCAGCCATGGGCGGATCCCAGGTGTGGAGTAGCAACGGGGGACCCACTGAGGGTGCAAGGCAGCAGGCTGATCATGGTTACACATTTGCGCACAGATAAACCAGGTGAAGGAGCAAGCAGTGAGACAGACCGAACAGGCCCCAGCAGCTGGAAGCAGCAGAGGGGACCGCCATTGTCCCTCTCTGACCCCTCCCCCACATACAGCATCACGAACCAGCGACCTTGGTGGCCCCGCCCTGGTGAACGCCTAAGGCTCCCCTCCTCATATGTAACAGGAGTGAACAGACCAAAACATGGCTCAAGAAGAACTCAAAGCCCCAGAGCCAATAAATCTAAGCGAACAAGAAATTGCCAACCTATCAGATGCATAGTTCAAAACACTGGTGACCAGGATGCTCACAGAACTGGTTGATTTTAGCCACAAATTAGAGGAACATATGAAGGCTAAACTAATTGAAATGAAGGGAAATGCACAGGAAACCAATAGTAATGGAAAGGAAACTGGGACTCAAATCAAGGGAGTGGACCAGAAGGAAGAAAAAAAGGACCAAACAGAAAAGGATGAAGAAACAAGAATTCAAAAAAAGGAGGAGAGGCTTAGGAACCTCCAGGACATCTTTAAATGCTCCAACATCCGAATTATAGGGGTACCAGAAGGGAAAGAGGAAGAGCCACGAGTAGAAAACTTATTTGAACAAATAATAAAGGAGAACTTCCCCAATCTGGCAAAGGAAATAACTTCCAGGAAATCCAGGAAGCTCAGAGAGTCCCAAAGAAGTTGGACCCAAGAAGAAACACACCAAGGCACATCATAATTACAGTAGCCAAGATGAAAATGAAGGAGAGAATCCTAGAAGCAGCAAGACATAAGGGGACAGTCACCTACAAAGCAGTTCCCATCAGACTGTCAGCAGATTTCTCAAAAGAGACCTTACAGGCAAGAAGGGGCTGGAAAGAAGTATTCCAAGTCATGAAATCCAAAGACCTACATCCAAGATTGCTCTATCCAGCAAAGTTTTCATTTAGAATGGAAGGACAGATAAAGTGCTTCTCAGATAAGATCAAATTCAAGGAGTGCATCATCACCAAGCCCTTATTATATGAAATGTTAAAGGGACTTATCTAAGAAAAAGAAGATAAAAAAGATGAACAGTGAAAGGACAGCAAACTCACAGTTATTAACAACCACACCTAAAACAAAAGCAAACTAAAAGGACAGCTAGATCAGGAGCAGAACCATAGAAATGAAGATCACATGGAGGGGTAGCAACAGGGCAGTGGGAGGAGCAGAAAAGGAGAGAAGGTACAGAAAATACGTAGCACAGAAGGTAGGTAAAAAATATGGGGGAGAGCAAGAATAGTAGGGGAAATATAGAATCTAAAGAACTTGAGACACGTGGTCATAAACTAAAGGGGGGGAATGGTGGGGGAGGGGGTGTCCAGGGTGGAGGGGAATGAAGGGGGAAATAGAACTGTAATGGTATAATCAATGAAAAATATATTTAAAAATAAAAATAAAATAAAATATACATAAAATTGACCACTTTAAATACTTTTAAGTGAACAGTTCAGTGGCATTAAGCATACTCACACTGTTGTGCAACCATTACCACTCCCACCTCCATAATTTCTTCCATCAAAACTCTGTACCCATTAAACAGTAACTTCCCATTCCTTCTCCTCTCTCCAGCACCTGGTGACCACCATTCTAATTTGTTTCTATGCATTTGTACTATCTTGGTTTTAAAACATGTCTACACATTCCTTCACACTTCTCCCATCAACAGATGGAGTTTACCTTCCCCTTGAACCTAGACAGGCCTTTGTGATGGCCTCAAAGGACAGAATTTAGCAGAAGTGATGCTGTGTCACTTCAGAGACTGGGTTAGAAAGCACTGTGAAGTTTCTGCCAGGTGATTCGGGAACACTCATTCTGGGAGCCTTCAGTTGCCATGTAAGAAGTCCAGCCATCCTGGGGCTGCATATGAGGAGCCCATGCAGAGAGATGACAGAGGCAGAGACAGAGAAACCTGCACAGTCCCAGCTTTTTGAAAGTTCCTAGCCCAAGCATCAGACATGGACATGATGAAGCTCTGCTACAGGTTGAACTGTATCCTCAAAAGATATCCTGAAGTCTGAGGAACTAGGTAACCCCTAGTACCTCAGAATGAAATGCAAATAGGGCTGTTGCAGATGTGCTGTTAAACCTTGAACAATGTGGGTGCTAGGGGCACCAACCCCCCCGAAAATCCACATAAAATTATCCATTCTCTGCATACGTGATTCCCAACCCTGGATAGAAAATGCTGTTTTCAATCTGTGCCTGGATAAATCTGCAGCATGAAAATTGAGAACACAAAGGGCTGACTGTGTATTTCTGCAAAAAACCTGTATATAAATGGACCCATGTAGTTCAAACCCGTGTTGTTCAAGGATCAACTCTCAGTTAAGATGAGGTCATAGTGGAGTATGATGGACCCTTAATCCAACCTGACTGGTATCCTAGGAGAAGAGGGTAAGAGACACAGAGAGACAGACAGACAGACAGACAGACAGACACACACACACACACACACACACACGAGAGACCATGGGAAGCCAGAGGCACAGATTACAGTTATGTAGACACAGACTGGAGTGATGCAGCTATAAGCCAGAGAATGTCAAGGACTGTTGGCTTAGTACAATCCAAAGTTTAAAACCAAGGTGTCACCAGGGTGTAGTTTCTTCAATGCCTCTATTGCAGAATCTTTCCTTACCTCTTCTTAGCAAGGAAAGCAGAAAACAAAATGATTTTTGCATTATAATTATCATTTTCTTGGGAAAAATCCATATAAGGCAAAAACTGGAAGGGAAACAGCATTATCTGAATGGTAGAGATACCGTAGCTACATTTACTAAGCTCTTACTTTGGGCCAGGTCCTGTGCCAGTCATTTTACAAACCAAATCCATAGTTCTCACAATCACCATGTAAGGAGGATATTATGATCTCCATTTCACCAATGAGGAAGGGGCTCCAAGAGAAATTAAGGAAGAAGAATAAGGTGACACAGTTAGAAAGTGGCAAAGCCCATGCCCGGGAACACACAAGTCTCAGGGTCCACAGGTCGAACCCTGGCACGAAGGTTCCTCTGACTACACTGCTCCTGACGGTCCTGAAGGAGCAATGGTGTGGACACCTCAGGGAGAAATGGGACCACGCACCTAGGTGCAGCTGGACATCCTTCACCTCCAGGGTGCTGGACTTGCGATGCCGAGCGAGCTGGCAGGCTGCTGTCACCACACTCTCGATGAAATCATCCGCGATCTGTAGCAACATCTGGGGAAGACAAAAGTATGGGAGAGTAATCATGTCATTGGCCAGGTCAGTGCCTGTAGCTGGGACAACCACAGATTTAGTCAGGCTTTCTATTAGAAGGCCTATAATCAGCCTTTGGCTTAAGGTGAGAAGGAGGAGTGACAATGGCCATAGAAACACATTAACTCATTAACCAGGCAGAGTGCAATTCATACCCTCCTGAGGATGAGTTTTTACACTTTCTACCCAGCAGGCGGCAACCAGCCCAATCCCTCTCCCTTACACTGTCTTCTGAATTAGGTGGGAAAACAAAAAGTGAGTCATTATTATTCTTCACTCACAGGCTCTTAAAGCAGTTTTATTTCCAATTATCTTACCTAGTCCTGATAATAATCCTGTGAAGAAAATGGGGCATGAGTTTTGTCCTCATTCTACAGTAGAGGATGCTAAGACTTCAGGAGACTACCTTGCTCATGGCCATGCAACTACTAAGCAGTGGAACCAGGATTCAACCTCGAGGTTCTGAGTCCAAATCCTGGGTTCTTTCCACTTCACTGTAAATTAATCCTGTGTGATGAGCAAAATCAGAATTCTGAAGCCAAAAACATCATGCTACGGCCCTGACCGGTGTGGCTCAGTTGGTTAGGCATCGGTCTGCAAAGCAAAAGGCTGCCAGTCTGAATCCTGGTCAAGGGCACATGCCTGACTTATGGTCCCTGGTTGGGGTGCACAGCACAAGAGGCAACGGATTGATGTTTCTATCTCACATTGATGTTTCTCTCCCTCTTTTTCTCCCTCTCTTCCCCCCTCTCTAAAGTAAGTAAAATCTTAAAACAAACATTATGCTAAGTGAAAGAAGGCAATCACAAAAGAGCAAATATTATGGTTCCATGTATTTGAAATGTCCAGAACAGGCAAACCTATAAAGACAGAAATTATATTAGTAGCTAGGGCTCTGGGCCCTGGAGAAAATGGTGAATGACTACTAATGAGTATGAGTTTCTTTTAAGGATGATGAAAATGTTTTAAAGTCGATTGTGTTAACAGCTGCATGACTCTGAATATACTATAAACCAACAAACCATATTTCAAATAGGTACATGAATTATATCTTAAGAACGGTGCTGCTAAAAAAAACCCCACATTTATACAAAAAGGGCAAATATTCTCCCTCTGGTTAAAATAAAATAAAAAAATAGAGTTATACTGTTTTCATGACCTGTATTTTCTTTTCCTATCATTACATATGCCTCAGCAAAGGCAAAATCAAAACAAAGTACACAAAATCATCTCAGAATTGAGGCACACAAGTTGCTAAAATAAAAGAAGCCTTCAAAAACTCAGTACAACAAATGAAAAAATAAATATACTAAGGCTCACATGAAAATTCAGAACAGGAAAAAGATAAGACCCCAGTAGGGTCAGGATCAGAATAGCTCAAGATTTCTTAATAGGAGATTTTCAGAAGATAATGGAACAACCCTTCACAGCTGAAAGGAAAAAAACAATTTCCAAAATAGAATTCTAAATACAGCCAAACTAAAAATCAAGTGTGAGGAATGTAGACAATTTAAGACATTTACCTCTCATCTATCCTTCTGTAGAAAGTTAAAAAAAAAGTGCTTTAACAAGAAAAGGGAATAATGTAAAAACAGGATGTGTGATCTAGGAAATGAGATCCCAAGAGGCCAAAGGAAGACCTAGGAGGGATTTATGCAAGTGGACTAACATTAATCAGACCACAAGAGGATGGCGTTTTCTAGGATTGAAATCTTGGGGTGAGGACATGGGGGATGACGTAAACTGATAGATTATTTTTTCATTTGGAAAACAATGTTGACAGGTGCACAACAGGGCTGATGGTGGAAGCAGAATAAAAAAGGCACATAGAAAACTAACAGCCCTGGCTGGTGTAGCTCAGTGGATTGAGCCCATGCCTGCCAACCAAACAACTGCGGTTCAGTTCCCAGTCAGGGCACATGCCTGGGTTGCAGGCCAGTTCCCAGCAGGGAACGCACAAGAGGCAACCATACACTGATATTTCTCTTCCTCTCTCCTTCCCTTCCCCTCTAAAGATAAATTTAAAAAAAAATTTTAAGATGTTAATAAACCTTAAAAAAAAAAAAAGAAAACTAATAAAAAATGAGTCAATTATCAACTTCAAGAAAATAAGTTACACAAGAAAGGAAAAGTAATCAAAGACATAAGTGATTTGGCTCTGTGATGAACAGTATTTGTATAGTCAGACTAATGCGGATACTGATTTTTGAGTTATTAAATAACTGTGATAAAATTATATTGGAAAATGAGGGAAAGGAGAGAGTACATGGCATGTATGTGAATGGTTTAACAAAAGTATCATCTATCATAAAAGGAAGTCAATAGACTATTATCAAATTAATGAATCAGCCCTGGCTAGTGTGGTTCAGTGGACTGAGTGCTGGATCTGCTAATGGAAAGGTCACTGGTTTGATTCCCAGTCAGGGCACATGCCTGGGTTGTCGGCTGGTCCCCAGCTAGGACCAAGTAATTGACTGATGTGTGTTTCTCTCACACACTGATATTTCTCTCTCTCTTTCACCCTCCACCCTCCCTTCTCCTCTCTCTAAAAATAAATTTTAAAAATGTTTTAAATGAATGAATGAAAAAATATCTTTTTTTTAAAAAAGGAAAAAGAATGAAAATAAGAATATCTGTTTTATATTATTTTGAGTAATTATTTAAACATGAAAGAATATTCTAGGAGCAACTAAAATTGTTGCAAGTGATTGCCTATAACAGTGGACTATGTCCTTTTTGCCAGACAAAAGTAGCAGCAGCTGTTAGGTATAAAGTGACTTGTTTAAGTTATTCCATGGGACCCTCACAATGACCCTCTAGATAAATAATGTCACACCCTATCAACACAGGAGGAAGCTGAGTGTCAGGAAGTAAGTGACTTGTCCATGGCCGCAAAGCTGTTAAGTGGCAGAGCCAAGCTGCAAAGTCAGATCTGTCTGGCTCTAATGTCTGTAACCACTATTCTTTTCTGGCTCTCAGGGACAGTCTCGGGGGTACCCAACCACCTTACCTCCTCCACGTCTTCATCTAGTTGCTCATTAGGATCCACTTCTCTTACCAAGTCTTGTAATTTCTTCTTAGTCAATACCTAAAGTTAATTGGGAGAAGATTTTTCAGCCAAGTATCAAGGAAACAAACAAACCAGAAACTCATTACATTATGATGAAAAAAGATTGTCAATTTAATGGCTTCAGTTTCTGCCTTCGAAGGAGTTAACAGTCCAGCCTACCTGGTGGTATTGCTACGACTGTACTCTCAAGACTGAAGCAACCTAGGGAAAGGCAGAAGGAGCAGTCTGGAAGAGAGGCCAACGCATAGCAGGCAGTTTCCGCCTCATCTTTCTCTCACTGTGCCTCAGTTTCCCTCCACATTAAATAATTTACAATTTTCTGACCACCACAGATCATACTTTTGCTGTGATCTTTGCCTTTGAACATGCTCTTCCATCCTTCTTCCTCCTTGCTTGGCTCATGGTGCCTCCTTTCTGATGCTTTTTCTAGCCCGCCCAGGGAAAAGCATTCATGTCCTCCTTTGGCCTCTACTGTACCCCGTATATCCTTCTATCATTACGTACAATTATAAACTTACCTGTTTCTGACTCAATAGGCTGAAAGCTCCCTGAGGGCAGGGAACATGTGATCATCTTTGTATAACTAAATCTTTGTATAAGTACGTATAACTATCTCTCTTTCATAGAGGAAATGTCATGTCACATGTATATACCATTAAAAATAATTGAAGACACACAATAGAATGCTAACCATAGTTATTTTGAGTGGTAGTAAAATTATTAGCTATTTATTCTTTGTGTTTTTCAAAAGTTTCTGTGATAAACATGAATAACTTGGAAATAAGGAAAAATAGAATATTTTTTAAAATAACCACTTGTTAATGAAGTCTCAGATCTATTCATTCTTCTCCATCCTGCATTAGCACTTAATTCAAGCCTTCAACACGTCTTGATTTATTGTAAACGTCTTAGACTTGGTCTTCTTCCAGTCTGCCCATTTCCTACCTCTCTAGTCTCTTGGCTGCCAAGTTAACCCTCCTAAAACATACACTGTTTTGATTATATTACTTACTCTATTAAATATTTGCAGACTTTTTATTGACTAAAAGTTCCAATGGAAACTGATCAGTATGGGCCCAGTATGTCTTCCTGTAATCCTAGCCACATAATTTTATCTCCTGTTCTCCAGTAAACTCCACATCCACGTAGGCTGGTTTTCTATCTGCCCAACCCTCCCCACTCACCTTTGCTAGTCCCTCCTCCCACTCTCTTGCAATGTCGTCCTCTCATCCTAGTCTACCCAGCCTCTGAGGCCCAAGTCAAGAGATTATATTTCTTTCTTTTTTTTTTTTTTAAGATTTTATTTGTTTATTTTCAGAGAGGAGGGAAGGAAGCAAGGGAAGAGAGGGAGAGAAACATCAACGTGTAGTTGCCCTTCATGCATCCCCTGCTAGGGATCTGGCCCACAACCCAGACATGTGCCCTGACTGGGAATTGAACCTGGTACCCTTTGGTTCACAGGCTGGCACTCAACCCACTGAGCCAGACCAGCCAGGGCCCAAGAGATTATATTTATTTCTTATGGTTCTGGAGGATAGAATCAGGACCAAAAACAGAAAAAGGAAAGAAGACTTTAGAATCACTGCAGAAAATTAATAACGGCAGCAGCTAGAGGAACTAGGAGAAAAGACTAAAAGCAAAAGTGCTTTTATTATAAGAATAATAAATATTGAATCCATTATTTTACTATGTCACTTAACTATTTCATCAAATAATTATATAGCACATATATTTACATATAAACATATAAAAACTTGTGATAGGTAAGGTGTTGTATTAATGTGTGTGGATATGTTTATATATAAAGGGGGAGATACACATAAATATTATAAGTAAAAATTGATAAATGTTGCACATGATCATTCAATTTAGAACTTCAGAAGTCCATGGAGGTAAAAAGAAGTTTTTCAACTGAGGGGAAGAGGCAGCATCTGAGACGGATTATCTCTCAAAGTACCACTGGTTCAAGAAACGGATGAGAGGTGATCACAGAGAGCAAAAAGCAAGAGGATAATACCTGATTGTTTTCAGGGCTGAGACGCCCTCCTGACCCAGGAGTGCCTGGTATCTTAACCACTGTCGTGCTATTGGCCATGGAGCCTTGTGGAGGGGTGTTGGCTGGTTCCGGTTTTATGGATGAGAAATTGGAGAGGTTGATGAGGGCTGAGGGGCCGAACTGGTTCATAATCTGCCGAGCTTTGGACTTCAGCTCATAGAGCTTATCAAGATCCTGCTTCTTTCTGGAGGTATGAGGACCGAGGCCAATCAACTGTGGAAGGAAAACAGGAAAATGAGCCCCAGAGGCACCTGTAATAAAGGATAAGTTTTGAAAGTAAAATTATATGTGGTTTATCAGACTTTGAAAGGTCTTCAGTGTATAAAAGATGGTAACCATCTGATACCTGCACACTAAAAATGGAGGGAATGAAGAATATTCATTGCTCTCACCTGATGTTTAGCAACCACCTCTTCTCCAGAAGCTGAATGACATAGTCCACCAAATTGAAATAAGTAAATGAAATGAGGAATCTTTTGTACAAAAACAAACTAGAATGAGCAAGCCATTTTTGGAGACTTTGTAAAAAGAGAATACATGGTTAAGTACTACATGCACTATTATTGAACATCAAATAATGTTAAATTCAAAGAAATTATGGCACAGTCACATACTGAGAACTCAATCACAAAAATTCAGAAGACAGATTAGTTCACTTTGACATTTCAAAACATGCTTAACTGTATGTCAGGGCTATGCCTAATAAACACAATTTTTAGCAATCGTGAAAGTCTTTTTTGGTCATCAAGAGCAAATTTTCTCTGAGTGTTAGCAATCTTCAAGTGCATGCAGAGTCCCTAGCCTGGAGCAGCTGAGATTGCTACATTTTAGAGCCATGAACTTGAATTTGTGACATCAGCTTTGGTGTCACAACAAATCAGAAGCACATTCGCTAAGTTCCTCCCACAGAAGCCTCAAAGCGCTTACTTACAGCTATCTGAGTGTCTAGATCTTTAATTACGTCAGCAACAGCTGTGAGCCCGGTGAAATGAGAGGCAGCCATTTTCACAAGCTACCTGTAAATGAACAGCTGGCATCAAGAACCACCTTTGCCACAGAACCATTTCAGCTCCACGGCCTGGCACACCTTCGCCAACCAGGATCCAGACAAACGGAATGCGGAGAAGCGTATCTCCTTATCCCTACTGGGCACCATAAAAAACATCTCCATCTTTTCCATATACAACTTTTAAAATTATTTAATGATTATAATCACAGACTCTCTTCCTGTATAATGAATATTCTATTGTTAGGGATAAACTGGCAGCATATGAATACTATAACTGGCCAAAACTGTGGAGTTTTATTTTGTTTAAATTTTATTTTATGTATATAAATATTTTAGAGAGAGAAAGGGGGGGAGAGAGAGACATATGAGAGGGAAACACTGATTGCCTCCCGCATACACCCCAATGAGGTACAAACCCACAACCTAGGTATTTGCCCTGACCATGAATCAAACCCCCGATCTTTTGGTGCATGGGAAGATACTCCAACAAACCAAGCCACACTGACCAGGCAAAGTTGTGGAATTTTAACTTGTAGAACTCAAAGCAATGGTTTTCAGAACTTGGTAAAGCTTAGCAACCAGAATGGGTACCTGCATCCGTTCTACTCTTGCCCCTATTGCTGAGTTCCTCCCCAACATACCTTCTAACTTTCTAATAGGACATCTTCCCCTGGCTTCCCCTAATAAAAGCAACTATGTACACTGGTCACATGACCAAAAGAAACTTGTTGGCCAAGAGCCAGCTGAGGGGGACAGCAGGGTATCAGGACTGCTTGTTTGTTTGTTGTTAACCACATAAGGTCTATGCTTTCTCCCTTGCCCACAAATGCTACCACCAGAAGAATCAGGATAGGCAAAGATGGCTGACATCGAAATACAGTAGTCTGCTCCCCACCCCTCATCCAAGGTTTCACTTTCCAGCTTCAGTTAACCCCACAGTCTGAAAGTATTACGTGAGAAATTCCAGAAATAAGCAATTCATAAGTTTTCAATTGCATGACCTTCTGCACAGCGTGATGAAATCTCATGCCGCCCCGCCCACTTGTGCCCAGGTCATGAATCATCCCTTCATCCAGCATATCCACACTGTATATGCTGCCTGCAGTGTGTCACTTGGTAGCCATCTGGGCTATCAGATCAACTGTTCTGGCATCACAGTGCTTATGTCCACGTGACCCTTAGAGCAGCCTAATGCTATGGCACAGTGCTTACGTACGCCCTTCACCTCACTCCATTTGTCACGTAGGCCTTGTCACCATCTCATCTCACGTCAACAAAGAAGGTAAGTGCAAAAAGGTATTTGGGGAGAGTGACCACATTCACACAGCCTTTATTACACTACATTATTATAATTGTCCTATTTTAATAGTTATTGTTGTTAATCTTTTACTGTGCCTAATTTACAAATTAATCTTTATCATAGGAAAGTATGTATAGGAAATAACATGGTATATATAGGCTTTGGTACTGTCTGCTACAGCCTGGGAGAAAATACTGACGAGCTACATTTCCAACTAATACCGAGAATGTGTAAAGAACTCTCAAAACTCAACAGTTTAAAAGAAAGGTAATTTGATTAAAAAATGGACAACAGAGATGACCAGACATTTCACCAAAAATATACAGGTGACAAATAAGTACATGAAAAGATGTTCAACATCATTAATCATTAAAAAAAGGAAAAATCATTAGCCCTGGCTGGTGTGGCTGAGTGGATTGAGTGCTCTCCTGTGAGCCAGGTTGCTGGCTTGATTCCCAGTCGGCACATGTGCCTGGATTGCAGGCCAGGTCCCCAGTTGGGGGCGTATGAGAGGCAACCATCCATGTATCTCTCCCTCTCTTTCTTCCTCCCTCCCTCTTCTCTCTCTCTCTAAAGATAAATAAATAAAATCTTTTAAAAAATAAAGAAAGGCAAATTAAAACTACAATGAGATATAACCACATACCTATCAGAATGCCTAAAAAAAAAATCCTTACCAAATGCTGGCAAGGATGTAGAAAACCTGATCACTCGTATACTGCTAGCGGGAAAGTAGAAGGTGCAGCCACTCTGTAAAACAGTATGCAGTTTCTTGAAAATCTAAGCATGCGCTCTCAGAGTAACCTAAATGCACATGAGCGCTAAATGCACCGTGGCATCCTGGATGGGAGCCTAGAACAGAATAAGGACATTAGGCGAAACCCAGGATCTGAATAAATTATACATGTTAGTTAACAGTAACATTTCAATATTGGTTCATTAATTACAGCAAATAAGGTGTCAGTAATGAAGAAACTGGGTATAGGGTATATGGGAACTCTGTACTATTGTTGCAATTTCTCTGTATATCTAAAACTGTTTTAAGAAATAGCTTATTAAAAAAGAGGAAGAACCAAATAAACACAAAACAAGGATGAATCTTAAAATATTTAAGTAGGGGAAAAAAGCCCATCTCAAAAGAATATATACGGTGTGATTACATTTGTATGAAATTCTGTCACTAGTAAAACTGATCTCTCCTGATAGGGCAGAGGCGGACTGCAGAGAGGCACGAGGGAAGTTTCTAAGGTGACATAAAAGTGCTGTATCTTCAGTGGAGTGATGCCTACATATCTGCATACATTTAACAAAACTCACAGAACCAGCCCTGGCCAGGCAGCTCAGCTGGTTGGAGTCATCCGTACACCAAAAGGTGGTGGGTTTGATCTCTGGTTGGGGTGCGTGTGGGGGGTCGTTTCTCACATTGATGTCTCTGTCTCTCTCTTTAAAATCAAACATATCCTCGAGTGAGGATTTAAAAAAAATTCATAGAACCATGAAATTACAATGTCTACATTGTACTGTATGCAAATTATACCTTAGTAAAACTGATTTGAAAAAAATAGTAAACATGCAACTAACATATGACCCAGCAACTGTAGTCCTAGGCTTTATCCTAGAGAAATGGAAACTTATGTTGATACAAAAAACTTGTGCATGAATGTTCACAGTAGCTTTATTTGTAAGAGCCAAAACCAGGATTCAGCTCAGCTGTCTCTCAACAGGTAAATGGTTAAACTGTAGTACATCATGCCACAGAATATGTGTTACTTAGCAATAGAAACACACTAAACACACAACTTGGATAAACCTCTATAGAGAATTATGTGGAACAAAAGCCAATACAAAAAGAGTACATATTGTATGATTCCATTTATATATAACTGTTAAAAATGACAAAATTTTAGAAATCGAGGACACATTACTGTAGTTGTCAGAGGTTGGGTGACAGGGTGGTGGGTTAGAGAAGGCCAATACCAGGGACCCTTGTGGTATCCTGACTATGGTGATGGATTAAATGAAAAAAGTGACCAAGTTGTGTAAGACTTAATACACACACACACACACACACACCCCAATGAAAGTGTGTAACCCACACTGGGGAAGTCTGAGTAAGACTGGTAGGTTGTATCAATGTCAATATCCTGGTTGTATTACACAAGTTTTGCAAAATGTGACCAGTAGGGAAAACTGGGCAAAGTGTACAGGGATTGCTCTTTATTATTTCTTGCAATTGCATATAAGTCTAAAATTGCCTCGATTTAAAAAAAAAGATTTTATTTATTTATTTTTTTAGAGAGGGGAAGGGAGGGAGAAAGAGAGGGAAAGAAACATCAATGTGTGATTGCCTCTCAGGTGCCCCCGAATGGGGACCTGGCCTGCAACCCAGGCATGTGTCCTGACTGGGAATGGAACTGGAGACCCTTTGATTCTTAGGCCAGAGCTCACACCGAGCCACACCAGCCAGGGCTTGATTTTTAAAAATTAGAAAAATATATTCTCAAGAATAACTGTAATCCTTCTTAAGATGACCTAAAACTCAGGAGCCATAAAAGAAAAGACTGATATGTTAAATTTTATAAAAATAAAAAATGTCTATATGGCAACAAACATAATAAGTCAAAGGAAAAAAGACAAACTAGCAAAAATTATCTACAAATCAATAAACAACTACCCCCCCAAAAATTGCAAAAAATATGACAGCACAAGAAAAAGAAATTCAAATAGCTGTTAAAATAATAAAGTAATTCTTATTGTAGTTCATAATAAAATGCAAATTAAAACTATGAGCTACCTTTTCTTAAAAATTTTTTTGAGCTACCTCTTATTCCCCATTTGGCAATGATGAAAAAGTTTTATACACACTGTATTTGAAAACTTTATAGAGTCATTTCATACTTTTGGGGGTTGAAGAGAATATAAGTTAGCTACAGGTCACTATAAAGGGCTACTTAATAGTATCCACCCAAATTTTAAAAGTATCTATTGTTTTGATCCCATACTTTCATTTTTAGCTATTTACGTTAATAACTTGTATGTGATAGAATACTACACATACAAGAAATTTCAACCCAAATGTCCATCAAAAGTGGTATTGTTAAACAGAGTAGGGTATAACTACATAATGGAATACACTTAGAAAGAATGAGAGTCATAAAAATATTATGCTGAGCCCTGGCTGGAGTGGCTCATTGGACTGAGCACTTGCCTGCGAACCAAAGGGTCAGTGGTTCAATTCCCAATCTAGGGCACATGCCTGGGATGTGGGCCAGGTCCTCAGTGAGAGGTACTGGAGAGGCAACCACATATTTGTTGGGAACCGTCACCCCTCAACTTTGACATAGCCTGAGTCCTCATTCTGTCTGCAACAAGTCTTCTAATCTCTCTGCTGCCTTACTTCCCCTGCCTGACTTAAGCCTGAAATAATGCTGGAGGTGGGTGGGGCTCTGTTTGGGTAAGGGCGGGATCCCTAGGGCAATCAGACCTAGGAAAGAATGCATAAAATCCTATGAGACCTACTTTGCTAATACCCACAATTTAAATGATAAAGGTCCAAGCATAAAATGAGTTTGTTCCCCAAAGTTTTCTGGCCCCTGACCCTGACTCAGAGTTAGCCCTCAGAGTTTTTTTAATGTTATCTATTGTTTGATCATTACTGCCTGACAATGATTGATGAGCTGTGTGTGTGTGTGTGTGTGTGTGTGTGTGTGTGTGTAGGCCCTGTATTCCTATGCAAATAAAGCCAATAAAAACCTGTCAAGGCAAGGGTGGGGGGGGGTGCTCTCCCCTTGAGAGAGTGGCTGTTCCATCCCTTTTCCTCCACAGGACTCTATAGTCCATGTGAATGCCACGGGCACTCAGGCCAGTGTCCGCATCACACATTGATGTTTCTTTCTCTCTCTTTCTCAACCCTTCTCCCTCTCTAAAAATAGATAAATAAAATAAATATTATATTGAAAGAAACCAGTAGCAGAAGACCACATATTATACGATATTATATGATTCCATTTATACGAAATGTCCAGAATAGACAAATATATAAAGGCACAAACTGGACTGTTAGTTGCTTAGGGCTGGGAGGTGGGGGAAAGGAAAAGAGACTGATTGCTAATAGTATGGTGTTTTGGTGCTTTTTTTTAAGGACAAAATACTCAAAAATTAGATTGTAGTGACAGTTGCACAGTCCTGAATGTACCAAAAAACAATGAATTGTACACTTAAATGGGTGAACTGTACAAGTGAAAGGTATCTCAATAAAGCTATTTTTTTTAATGAGAGGAAGCTCGTGAAATAATCTCCAAGAAACACTATTCAGTAAAAATGTAAGGTATAGAATAGTAAGAATAATTTGCTATCATTTATTAAGACACACAGATACACAACTGTAAATGCATAAATTCTTCCTAGAAAGATACACAAGAAACTAATAACAGTGGTTGCCTTGGGAGGTGGGAGAAAACTTACTTGTCATTGAATACCCCAAATTTTCTACTATACTTACTTCTTATTGTATATCCCAAATTCTGTACTATCTGCATATAAGTTACCTATAAAAAATTTTAAAAACTGCCCTGGCTGGTGTAGCTCAGTGCATTGAGTGCATGTTGTGAACTAAAGGGTCGCTGGTTTGATTCCCACTCAGGGCACATGCCTGGGTTGCGGGCGAGGTCCCCAGTATGGGGCACCTGAGAGGCAACCACATATTGACATTTGTCTCCCTCTCTTTCTCCCTCCCTTCCCCTTTCTCTAAAAATAAATAAATAAGACCTTAAAATTTTTTTAAAAAACTATTATTTGGTTTGTTTTCTTGGAAGAAACAGGTAATACTGACCTCTGTTTTTAAGTATAGCAAAAAATATAGTGGTAACCACAAAAGTGAATCTTGACCTACATCTCACACTTTATATAAAAATAAATTCAAAACTTATGACAGGTTTAAGAATGTAAAAATATAAAAATTTTAGAGGAAACCTTAGGAGAAAATTATCATGACTTTGGGTCAGGCAAAGTTCTTAGCTACAACACCAAAACCACAATTCACGAAAGAAATAAATTAATAAGTGGACTTAACCCAAATAGAAAACTTCTATTCTGAAAATCAAAAGATAGGTCACAGACTAAGAGAAAATATTTACAAATCACATATCTGACAAATAACTTATATCCAGGATATACAAAAAACTCTTAAAATTCAACAATAAGAAAACAAAAAACCCCATCCTGGCCGGGCAGCGCAGTTGGTCAGAGCATCTTCCCAATATGCCAAGGTTGCAGGTTCAATCCCAAGTCAGGGCATATATAAGAATCAACCAATGAGTGAATAAATAAGTGGAACAAATTGATGTTTCTCTCTCTCTCTCTCTCTCTCTCTCTCTCAAAATCAATAAATACAAATTTAAAAAGACAACAAAAACTAATAAAAAATGGGCAAAATGTATGAAGCGATCCCTCACCAAAGAAGATATATAGATGGCAAATAAACACATGAAATGATTCTCAATAGTCATTAGTCATTAGGGAAATGCAAATTAAGGCCACAATGAGACCACTAAATCCCTACTAGAACAACTAAAATTTAAAAAAGAAAAAACAAGTGTGCTGGAGAGGATGTGAAGCAACTGAAATAGACATACATTTATGATGTGAATGTAAAATGATGCAGTCTCTTTGGAAAAGTTTGGCAATTTCTGATAAAGTTAAATATGTGCCTATGTGACCCAATAATCCCACTCTCAAGTATTTACCCCAGAGAAATGAAAACTTGTATTTACACAAAAATCAGTATGTAAATGTTATAGCAACATTATTTATAACTGCCCCAAACTGGAAACAATCCAGATAGATGCCCTTTAACTGGTGAATGGATAAACAAACTAGGTTTATCTATACAACTCAGCAATAGAAAGAACTGATACATGCAACAACATGGATAATCCCAAATGTGTTATGCTAAGTGAAAGACAAAAGACTGAAAAGGTTACTTACTGTATGATTCCATTTATATGACACTCTGGAAAAGGTAAAGCTACATGGATGGAGAACAGATCAGTTGTTGTCAGGGGTTTCAGTGGGGGAGGGTTTGTCTACAAAGGAGCAGTATAAGGGAAATTTTGGGAGTGGTGTAACTGTTAGGTAACCTGAATGTTACGGTGCTTACATCACAGTATGAGAGGGGACCCCAAACACCCTGGAATTTGTTTATAAAAAATTGTATATTTATTCTAACAGGTTTAAACTTCAGTCACCTTCAACGTATTCAAATACCTATTGAGAAGTTTTTTTTTCACTGATTAAAAGTTTGTGAACTTGTTGATTCTGATGCCTTTCAGGGTTTCTGTTGTTTTTTTGTCTCATCTCTTCCACATCAGCAAAACATTTCCGTCTGAGGACTTTTTTCACTCAGGGAAACAAAAGTTGCTCAGCGTGAGACAGGGGGAATACAGTGGGTGGGGCACGGGGGTCATGCCATTTTTGGTCAAAAACTGTTGATCACTCAGTGCTGTGTAGACAGGTGCAGTCGTAAATCACCCAACATGAAATGGTTAATGACACTGAGTTAAAAAAAAAAAAATCACTGAAACCAAATGCAACCTCTCACAACACCACCAGCTGGTACAAATACAGATGGTTTCCTAAAACACTCACGTAGCAGGGGAAGCCTGTATTACAAGGGGCCTCCAGGAGATAATTCTGGGGTTTTTGTTAGGTCCCTCCCTTGTATGCACTTGTTACAACTCATGGATCCATACCCCACAAAAGGAAAATTTTATTATGTGAAAATGTAAAAAACAAAATATCACAGCTTGATCAGAATGGTTAATGACTCTCCATATCATTATGGAGAGTCATTATGAAGTGACTGTAAATAACCTGAATTCCATTATGTCACTGAGCATGGTTGCCTTTGGGCTACTCAAATTTCTAACTCTCACACCTTAAAATGCCAAAAGATAGAGATATACTGCTGTATAAAAAACAGAGGCATTAACTATGGGACAGTTTGAGAGGACAATTATAATAGTAAACCCTGACTAGCACCTACTACGTGGAAATCATGTGCTATGAAGAGATTCCCAAAGTCAGAAAGCCCATGCGCCAGTAATCAATATTGTATGGCCACGAGTTTAATAGCCGAGCATGTTCTCCCTCCCCTGAACCCATCACATTCAAACTGTGGTTGAAAGGCTGAGGATGACAAGTCCTGCTTTTGCTTTTAGCAACTTTGTTCCTCAAATAGAAATCCAGTTGCAATGCTATTATTGTATTAAAAGGATCTGATTTTTCAGAAGGTAAGAAACCAGTGGAGACCTTGTAATAGTTACAAGACCTGGCCTTCTCTGGGCATCTGTTCCATTAACAATTTTTTTTTTAATGAAGAAAAATAAGAGACTAGAAGATCAGATTATCTTTAACATCCTTTTATCTCTGAAACATTTAGGAACTTATTATTTACACAAAATGTGGAGACAAGGGGACTACCACCCTGATGGCATAAAGGCCGCTGTGGTGCATGATTTGACTTAATGGCTGGGTTTTCTACTTAATTGTTTATTTCCTCACTGGCTTTACTTCCCGGCCTAAAGGAACCAAAAAGAATCAATTAATTACAGTGTGTAACACTTGAAAGCAAGAGAAGTATGAGTTTTCTCCACTCGTTTTTGAAGTAGTTGGAACCTATTTAGGTGGCTTAGACTTAATACAATGGCAATACAATACAGTGGCCAAGAGCATGGACTCTGGTGACAGTATCTGGGTTCAAGTACCAATTCTGCCACTTACTAACTTTAGGCAACTTTGAGCAAGTTGCCTAATCTCTTTATGCCTCAATTTCCTCATCTGTAAAATGGAGTTAATCATAAAGTATATCTCATGGGACTGTTGTGGCAATTCAAAGTTTATGTATCTAAAGCACTTAAAGAGTGTGTGGTACACAGTAAGCACAAAGGAGAACATGTTTTCAATGTTCACTAATATATATGCTCTCCTAAATGTTAGTTATAAACTTGAGTGTTTTAAAACTAAAAGGTTTCACCCATTCTGATACGTGTTGGTGGCATCCTATAATCATTCTTATGATGATAGACATTAGAAAAAGAAAAGTAGATTGAAATAAAACAGTAGAGACAAATGGTCAGCAGGAGACTGACAGGAGAAGATCCAGCTCAGGAGGGTTGGGTACCCTGCCACCGAGTTAAGTGAGGTCCCTGTGTCCAGAGTTTCCACAGCAGGACCAGGCAAATTTTAAAGTCCCTTCCAGCTCTAATAATTAGGGTAAGATTTTAAATTAAATTCATATGTACCGAGTTCAAAGTTTGTCTCCTGTCTCTGACACACCAGTTTCACAGTGCAGACTATAAGCACTGCTGACATGTTGCCTCCACAGTATTTTGGAGCTTTCCCCAAAGACCTCAGGTCAAAAGTAGTATGTTCCATGTTCATTTCTACTCGAACACAATGATTTTCTGATCAAGTAGTTTGAAATCCTACTATAATAATTCAATCAATATTAGAGCCACCAAGGAGTGAAATAAGTACATTCTGTAAATGAAGGTGAAGCTATTAATCCAGTAACAAATTATCACTGAACCATTAAGTACTCCAAAATGATGGCATGAGCATACTTATTAACCGCATAATTTGGTGTAAGTTTTGGTCACTATACATACAGTATAGGCATCTGCAAATAGCATAGGCTAACTCATTGGGAAAAAATAGTTTCAACTAAGTTATCCCAATTTCCTCAATCATCTAGTTATGTTACAATTGTAAAGTTAATCTAACTTAAACCCTTGTTTCAAACTGGCCTTTCTTGGTCTCCTAAAAAGTTCTATTCAGGTCCTATTTTGTTTTTCTTTTTCTATCTTGAATATCTATGTTTCTTTAAAAACACAGAAATTTAAAAAGAAAAATAGTAATAAAAATAAAAACACAGGAATTTAGTTCTCCTCAAATACCACACTACATAACTTATCCTAGTAAGTTATAGTACTCGGCATTGAGTCTTAAGGAGGAGAAGTGAATTCATTCAATAATATGCTTTGTAAAACTACTACTTCCATTTTCCTGATGGGCAAACAAACATGAAGCAGAAATCACATAGAAAGGTAGAAAAAAATTAATCAAATACATAACTGGGTTTGACTAGGGCTGGGCCGCTTAATACCGTGTGATTTTAGACAAGGTACTTAATCTCTGAACCAATGTCCTTGTCTGTACAATGGGACTAACAATATCTAATTTGAGGGGCTGTAAGTGATAATTAAAGGATCTAAGATCTAATACTTGGGGTGAACACACAATACAATATACAGATGATGTATTACATAATTGTACACCTGAGAACTATATTTTATCAACCAATGTCACCCTAATAAAGTCAATAAAAATTTAAAAATACTTGAGGGTGCTTATGATATTGCTGGTTAGTCTGAGTAGGTTCAGTACAAGATATTACTGAAGAAAAGTGACTGGTCCATGTCTCTCTGACAACCCGATTTAAAAGCAGCCATCTCCAGTGAATGCTTATGCTAAAACTACAGGATACAGCAGTACTTATCTGCAACTTTTAAATGGCTTACTACATCTTTTGCGGGATGGATGGGCTTCATTGAAAACTTTCTTAACTGGTAGTGACATTCACTGTATCAATGTGAATACAGTAGCAACGCTAAAAATAAAGTAGTAGAATCTGTGAAAATTCCCTTAGGTTTGAAGTTAGAGCAGATTCAAGAAGCATGTTTTCAAGGGATGTTAGCCAAGCCTTTTTTAAATTTTAACCAAGTATCTTCTACTTGCTAGGTACAGCAGGGTACGGCACCAAAATCATGATCTAATCAGCATGGCTTCACTGTGATCCTAAGCCCTCTTTGCTCGTAAAACAGGAATTTTAAAAAGATTATCTTTCGGGCCCTTTCATCTCTGACATTCTTTTGTATGAGAGGTAGAGATCTGCACTCAGTCAGGGTAGAGGGGAATGGAATTTAAAGCACTTGTCAAGTACATAACTGAGTTCAAACTGCTTCAACTTCACATCAGTTTCGCAAGAATAATGCATGTGGCCTTCCTAGATTAAGGATCTGACACAAGAAAAGCTGCCAAAAGCCAAAGAGGCAGAGTGATGAAATCTTCTGAATACATCCTTTACCACTCTGGGTTCAGAGAATATGAGGGGGAAAAAAAAAAACCGGATCACCATAGTTTTCCGAATTCTCTTCCTTTCCCTTAGAGACTGATCTCACAGCCACGGCCCCTGATACCCTGCTTTTAGGAGTTCGGGTCCTCACAGCCCTTTCCCTCAGGTACTTCGGAGTCTCCAAGCCCCGATCCTGTCCCCATAGAAGCCCTTCTTAACTGCCCGCTCCTGTTCCTCCCAAACCCAAAAGTTCCCTTACTGTTTCTGCCCCTCAAGAATCAAAGTCTTTCTGCTGTTTCTGAATCCTTAGCAGCCCGGGTCTTTACTGTCCCACTTCTGCCTCCTAGGAGCCCAAGTCCTCACAGCTCCGCTTTTACCTCTCAGGAGCCGGGGTCTTCACGCCCCGTTCCGTTCCGACCACTCTCCTCTTAGGAGCCCGGGTCCTCACAATCCTGTCCCTCTCAGACCGCTTTCTCTCAGGTGCCAGCGAACTCACATCTGTTCCTGTTCCCTAAGTCTGGTCTGGAGCCCGGGTCCCCGTAGCCGCGTCTTCTCCGATCCCCGATCCCCTCAGTCCCGTCCCAAGAGCCTGATTCCTCGCAGTCCTGTCTCAACAACCTGCCTCTTCAAACACTGACCCACTATGGGTCTGGGTCCTGACTCCCTCCTCCCGCTCTTTTTCCTCAACTGCCAGGGCCCAAGACTCACAGGCAGCAGGTCTATCTCCCCATGATATGCAGAGACTGCCCCAGTGAAGCGATCGTGTCGGCAGCCGGTCAGACTGCTCGGCCCTCCCCGAGTCCTTCCGGCACCGCTCCCCGCCTCCAACCCGGAAACGCGCGGCTCTTCCGGCCGGCGGGCGCGCGCCTGATTTGCGCAGACGCAGATTGCCTTCTGACACGTGGTCGCTGTCTTGGGTTGTTGCCGAGCTCCTAGCAGTGGAGTTTTTTTCCTGCTGATGTTGACTGGAAACGTGGGCGGGCTCAGCGCCTTCGACCCCAGCTTTACGAATTCTGCCCTAGCTGTATCTTCCCGTCTGTCGTGTCTATCGCCACCATGACCGGTAATGATGTCCTCTTACGGGTTAGAGGTCGCCATTTTTGGCTGGTGCCTTTGTCGTGATAGCAGCACAGCGATAATCACCTGGGACAGCAGCATCCCTTACGTATCCTGTTGGAACCAACAGTGGAGTTGGCAGCACAAGAATCTAGGGACAAGTGAGGCCGGTTGTGCGTGTGAATTGGCAATTAATAATAATTGAGAGCTTAGTAGCAGGAATTTTGTCAAGCTCCTTACCTCAGATAAATCATTTTGTTTTAAAGGAAGTATGTAAGCGATAAAGCAAGGTCTTAGCTGATAACTTCTGAGTCTTATCTCGAATTTAGAATTCTAACTCCAAACTTTGAATCTGTCCTCTAACTATTATACTGATTCTTTCCATTATTTCGTCCATAAAATACCTAGAACTGCTTCATTTACCAGGTGCTAGGTATCTAAACAAGACCTGTTTCCAGTAAGCCCCTTCTGGAGCCCGGGTTCCCACACTAAGATAATTAAACACAAAGGAATGTAAAAAGGTCTGTGACAGCCAAAGCAAGTGACTGTAACTACCCGCAGGAATCAAGGGGTGCGTCTCACCTGGGTTAGTGCAGCAACCTGCCCTCACAGTTCTTTCTTCCCATCCTAATCCCACTAGATTTCCAATCCACCCTTGTACTCACTCATTCATCCAAATTCACAGAATGGAGGCCCCCTCACCATTAGGTTCCAAGCCATCTTCTTAGGCTCCCCCCACCTCCGTTAGCGTTTATCCCCCTTCTACCCTCCCACCTCCACCCACACCCTCCCCCATGTTCCTAGTCTTACTTCCCTGCCACTGCTGTCTTTACTCTCCCAATAGTCTGGTGTACCATTTTTAAAATTTTGCACTCCATCTTTTCAAGACCCAATTTTAATGTACATTCATTCAACAAATAGACTGCTCATTGTGCACCAAGCTTTTTGCTGGGTGCTGGGTATTAGTAGATAAGACAGACAATATTTTCCCTTAGAGAGTTTACAGTCTGAAGTGGGAAACAGACTACTTAGCAAGTATACAAAAGTGTAAAGGGAAAGAATACCAGAGTAAATTAGATTTAGCTAGCTGGGTGGTGGAGGGCCCTGAGGTAGGAAAAAGCTTATCCAAGGACCAAGATGGCCAGGTTGGATAGAGCTTAATAGGTGATAGGAAGAGTGGCAGTCTGAGGTTGGACAGGCATGCAGGAGTTAGCTCAGGCAGGGCCTTGTAGTCCATGGTAGGGACACAGAATTTTCTTTATTGCGCAATGGGAAGGCATTGGAGGGTAGAGGTCAGATGATTTGTTTTTAGGAAATGACTGGTGGAGTCCTCAACAGACAGAGTTGACAGCAAGTATCTAGGCTTCCATCAGTTTGTATTACACATCTGTTAACTATTATAGTGTAAGCTGTTTATATGACTCCTTCTCTTGCAGCTTCTACTTTGTAGAGGTCAGGGACCTCCACATATTGTTATATTAAGGAAAGTAAAATGCCTAACAGGCTATATATATACATACACGTTTAATCTTCACACAAGGACTTGCTTATTGGTTTTAGAGAAGAAGGAAGGGAGAGAGAGAGAGGTAGAGAAACATGGATTGGTTGCCTCACCTGCAACTGGGGACCTGTCCCACGACCCCTGTCCGGGGAGGGGGGCGGGGGAACCCCACCCATAACCTTTCAGTTTACTGGCCAGCACTCAATCCACTGAGCCACACCAGCCAGTGCTTTTTTGTTTGTTTTAAGTTAATACATACAAATATAGGACCGTAGAAAATGTAAAACACGGGGTCTTAGGTACACACGTGTGTGCCCTTTATTACATTACTGGTGTCATTCAACACTTTTTTCACTCAATTATTTTTATATCTGTTGATAAAGATCTACTTCATCATTCCAAGAGCAGTATTGTTTTTTTCCTTCGTTAATGGTATCATGCTGTACGTTATTCAGCGCCTCTTATCAGGTGTGTTTTGATGTCTAACTCAATCCTTGAAGGTGCTGCGGATAGCATTCCACCTTATGAACACACTGACATAATGCTAATTAGCTTCGCTAGCTCTTATAATGATCCGTGCTCTAGAGCTCGCGTGCTGGAGTGGCTTCAAGGAGTGGTACAAGTTAGTGCATTTTCAATATTATTAGGGTGGGGGGAAATTCGAGTTTCCTCACATAGGTACCCATACCCCCTAAGAATCAGGTTTTCCTACGAAGCGGACGACAGGAACGGCTCACTGCAATGTAGAGCTCGATTCCCTCCAGTAACTCTCCTTCCCGCCCCAACCCCCTACGCTCGCAGGCTCCTTCCCAGCAAGCACTGCGCTATTTGCATATTAACTCAGTGTTTTTTGCCTTTGCTTCTAAACAAAAATCAAAAGACAAGTCATACTCTCTTGGTAAAAAAAAAACTCTCTCTGGCTCAGGAGGACTGGAAATCTCAACTTCTAGAACATGGAATAGGAACCTGTGTACTTTCTTTTTATTCACTTATACCAAAATAGGTATTCGCCACTACTGCCACCCTCCTTTCGGAACTCTGTAAGCAAAAAGGGCTTCTGTCGTGAGTGGCACACGTAGAGCAGCTTGGTTGCTCTACGTGCGGAATCGACATCAAGAGATTTCGGAAGCATAATTTTTTGCAGTACGGGCAGCTAGTGATCGTTGGTCCTGGCGCCCTTGAAACTCTGAAAGAAAAGAAGAGGTGTTTGAAATTTCTTCTCTATGTGCTTTGTGCTATATAGTGCTGTCCTTTATGCTCTACGTTTTTCTGCCGGTAGTCGTTGGCTTTGGGTTTTTGTTTCTGGTGAAAGATAAGTTTTTGTGGCTTTTCTCTGTTGCTACAATTAAGGAAATTGAGATAAGTAAGTTAGTACGTGCTTTTATGTAAGGGATCAGTGCTTTGTGCAGTATTTTTAGTCACCACGTGAAATTTAAACTTTGAGTTTTTCTTTTTTACCGGGCACACATTCCTTATTAAAGCTGAGTTGTTTTTTTGTAACTTGTTTTTTAAAAACAGAGACAGTAGTTTAAAACTCCAGTTAACTAGCACTCTTAGTGTTGGTAGGTACTTTTGTGGACAGCAATTTAACAACAGATATTCCATCTCTTAAGTATGTATTCTCCTATGTGAAATTGGGTTTAAGATATTTAGCAGTAAGGGTGCATTTATTCTAACAGTAAATGTATAGGGTACTTCAATAGACCCAGTGCCTGACTTCACGAGGCTTAAGTTTAGTGAAGGGAAAGACAAAAGGAAAACAACATGGAGTAGGCTGGGAGTGGGATGTCTGGGAAAGCTTTCCTGAGGCAGACTTTGAAACTAAAACCTAGAGAGGCGATAACGAGGCAAAGTGGGAGGGAAGGACTGTATAAATAAAGGCAAATCCTTGAGGGTAGACTATGTGCTGCAGTAAAGAAAGGACAAGATGGGTAGAGAAAAACCATCCATTTGGCAGGACACAGGGAAGCCAGGAGACTCCAGTGAGGCTGGGATTTTCTTGCAGTGCTTTTTCATAAAGCAGAAATGAGAAATTACCTACAGCAGAGATCAGCAAACTTTTTCTATAAAAGGCCAGATAGTGTATCTTTAAGGTTTGTGGCCATATCATGTTTGGTAGGCACTCAACTCTGTTGCAAAGCAGCAAAAGATGATATATAAACAATTGGGCATAGCTGTGTTTCAATACAACTTTATTTATGGACACCAAAATTTGTTACTTTAAATTTTTTATTTATTGACTTTTTAGAAAGAGAGAGAAGGGGGAGAGAGAGAGAAACGTTGACTTGTTGTTTCACTTATTTATGCATCCATTGGTTGATTCCTGTATGTGTCCTGGAATTTGACCAGGGATCAAACCTACAACTTTGGAATATCTGGATGAGGTTCTAACCAACCAAGCTATCTGGCGAGGACTTGAAATTTGGATTTCATGATAATTGTCATATACTATAAAATAATATTATTTTACTTTTTTAATATAGAATTTGTGCAGTATATTTCTCTTGATTTGTATATTTTACCCATAACTTAACATCCTTTTTACAGGCTGAATTCAGCTGATATAATCAAAATTATTTCTAGCCCTGGCTGGTGTAGCTCAGTGGATTGAGCGCGGGCCTGTGAACCAGATGATAGTGGTTCGATTCCCAGTCAGGGCACATGCCTGGGTTGCAGGCCAATTCCCAGCACTGGACCCACAAGAGGCAACCATATATTGATGTTTCTCTCCCTCTCTCCTTCCCTTCCCCTCTAAAGATAAATAAAATCTTTAAAAAAAATTATTTCTTTCACCCAAATAGGAAAAATGCAAAATTGTAAACATTTGTAAGACAACAAATTAAAACAATGATGAAAATAAGTCCCTCCTCTCATTAGAAACAGTGTCTGTATAATATATGTTATCTAGAACAGAATTTCTTTATAGGTCAGGCACCTGTTTCTACAATACCTTTATTCCTCCAGTTTTATTTCATTCCAGTCAGTCCCACCTCCTATGAAGGATCAAAGGGATGTTGGTCTTGATGGAAATCTGTTCTTTCTTATACTGCTGGTACCTGTCAGGAACTAGAAGTTAGGGGAGACACCAGCCTGCTGGGACCAGGAAAACAGGGCCTGGCTCAGCAGCGCCAGCTAGTGGCCGGAAGCAGAGAGGATGAGGTGCAGGGATGCCAGGCCAGGTGGGCCCTGTCAGGAAAGAGCAGCATTTGTATGTGAAGGGAAAACTGTAACAGAGTGAAAGATTTGCTCTTTTGACACTCTCTTAATTCTAGTCTGCATTTTCCCCCTGGCCTTCAGGCAAATAGCTCCTGCTATAGATATACTAATTGTTAGAGAAATTCTGCTTGAGGCTTGAGCTTTTGGCGAAGATTTGTAGGAGCCAAATTAGCAGGGGACAATGGACTGGGAACAATGAGATTTAGAGATTCCCCCCACACCCCCTTCTTGGGATCTCTGTAGGCACTTAGATGTCTGAGATCTTCACACACCTCTTGCCCTACCTATTCTCCCTCCCCTTGACATAAAAGAAGCCTGAATGCTATGCTCTCTTAAAATGGATTTGAAAAAGCCCAAAGGCTTCCCATCTTCCTGAGCTGGCACCTTCTTCATCAATAAACTTTTCCTTACTCCAAACTCTGACAGTTTGAATATCGGTCTTTGAAGCACTGGGGACATGTACCTTGAATCAGTAACACTTAACACTTGTTCCATGCAGAGAGACCAGAATATCATAAGTGGTATATAGAGAGAAGCTATGCAAAGTCTGGTGTTTATTTAGAGATTTCCCACTTTTCCTTGGATCCCTGTAGGCACCTAGATGTCTGAGGTCTTCTTTTTGGGAGGATGGGTAACAAAGCCTGGTAGCTACTGCCACAAGGGTTATGACACTTGCCCTGCCTGTCTCCACTTTACATAGAGTCAGTCCCAGTTATGGGAGAGTGGTAGCATGGTGAGGTCAAGCAGTGAGTTGTGCACTCTCCACATCTGAGTCTGCGCCCAAGGTGGGGACCTCTTACTCTGTGATTTCCCTCACTACAAATCCTACTTGTGTCTGGGTGGTATGGAATGTGGGGCCTTCTCTGGGGGTGCAGCCAGAGCAAAAGATGAGAAAAATGTTCCTACCAAGCCAGCAGTACCTGTCTACTCACATCCCAACACCATGGGAGACCAGGCCAGGCCCAGGGCTTTGCTGACGTCAGGGCATTGGGCCTCAGGTCATCAAGTTTTAGGACCTCCCTATTTGTCTCCTTTGAATTCTCCTTTGAATTCTCCTTTGAATGCTTTGAATGCTTTGAATTCTCCTTCAGGCATTTGGGACTTGGCTGAGGATCTAATTCTAGGGCTGCAGAAGGTCTCTACACTTCAGCCTCCTAACCCAGAAAGCAAAAGTACTCTTCTTTTCATTCCCCCCACCGCCCACAAGCCTTTTAAAATGTGAAAACCAGCCTGGCTGGTATGGCTCAATGGATTGAGTACTGGCCTGCAAACCAAGGGGTCACTAGTTCAAGTCCCAGTCAGGGCACATGCTAGGGTTGCAGTCCAGGTCCCCAGTTGGGGGCACACAAGAGGCAACCACACATTGATGTTTTTCTCCTTCTCTTCCTCTCTTCCCCTCTCTCTAAAAATTAAATAAATCTAAAAAAAATGTGAAAACCATCCTTGGGTTCTCAGGCAACAGCCAGGGAGCTATAGTTTACTGGGCCCCGGACTACAAATTCAAGAGCAAGAAGAGCCACGTCAAACCAACTATGGGAGATCCACACAATGGAATATTATGCACTCATTAAAATGTTGAAACAGGCTGGTGTGGCTCATTGGGTTGTGAATTGTCCTGCAAATGGAAAGGGTGCTGGTTCAATTCCCAGTCAGGGCACATGCCTGGGTCCCCAGTTGGGGATGTGCGAGAGTCAGCTGATTACTGTTTCTCTAATTTAGCATCAATGTTTGTCTCCCTTTCTCGCTCCCTCCCCCTCTCTCTCTGAAAATAAATAAATAAAATCTTTAAAATTTTTTTTATTTATTTATCTTTAGAGGGGAAGGGAAGGAGAGAGGAGAGAAATATCAATGTGTAGTTGCCTCTCGTGTGTCCCTTGCTGGGAACTGGCCTGCAACCCAGGCATGTGCCCTGACCGGGAATTGAACTGCAATCCTCTGGTTCGCAGGCCCACGCTCAATCCACTGAGCTACACCAGCCAGGGTTAAAATCTTTTTTTTAAAGAAATATATTTAAGAAATAAAATGTTGAAACAGCTTTCAGCTTTAGGCTTGAAAGAGATGTAGGTGTAACTTTCTTTGGCCTTCCTGAATCTGGGTTTATCAGACACCTGCTACCTCCACCATAGCACTGCAGCTCGACCTCAGTGAGATCAAAGTCATATACCTGAAGTGCACTGGCAGGGCAATCAGTGCCACATGTGCCCTGGCCCCCAAGATCGGCCCCTGGGATGTCTCTGAAAAAGGTCGGCAATGACATCACCAAAACAACCAGTGACGGGAAGGGTCTGCGAATAACAGTGAAACTGACCATTCAGCAGACAGGCCCAGGTTGAGGCAGTGCCTTCTGCCTCTGCCCCGATCATCACAGCCCTAACAAGACCACCATGAGACAGAAAGAAGAAAAAAAAATTAAGCACAGTGGAAATATCACTTGTGACGAGATTGTCAACGCTGCCCAACATATGTGTCACCAGTCTTTAGCTAGAGAACTCTCGGGTACTGTTGAGATCCTGGGACAGCCCAGTCTGTGGGCTGCAATGTAGATGGCTGCCACCCTCATGACACCATAGGTGACATCAGCAGTGGTGCAGTGGAATTCCCAGATAGTGAAGAACTGGAAAGGAAAATATTTCAATGAAAGATTATTATACAACCACAATAAATAAATAAATGTTGAAACAGAAGAATTTGTGATAATGGTTTACTTCTGTGGAGCACTTATCAAGTGACAGGCCCTGTATGAAGCACTTAGATGCATTAGCTCCTGTAAACCAGTGAGGTAGGTAGTAATAGTATGTTCACTTCACACGTAAGAAAACAGAAGCTCTGGGAGATCCAGATCCCCTAACTAGAAGGTACCAAGGAATGAGACCAGGTCTCTTGACAGGGATGCGTTGCTCTGACTGCACAGGGCACCCAAGAAAAATGTCCATTATAGTGAAATCTGTTAGTAAGGGAAGATTTGTTGGGGAAGTGAAGCTTTTTTCCTTTTGTTTATTCGTATTTTCTTATTAAAAAGGTACATGAACAAGTTAGAGAAATTATGAGGACATATAGTCACTGGAATACAAATGATGGAAAATAAAATCAGACTCAGAAGGTCACATATTGTATGATTCCTTTTATAGGAAATGTCCTGAAACTGCATATCAATAGAAACAAAGTAGGACTAGTGGTTGTCGGGGCTGGAGGTGGGGGCAGGGATTGACCACAAATGGGCATGAGGAATATTTTGGGGGCAAAGGAAATGTTCTAAAACTAGATTATGGTGAGAGTTGTGTACTTAAAATGGGTGAATTTTACAGTATGTAAATTATACTTTAATAAAGCTTTTTTAAAAAATGGAAAATTTTTTAAAATCAAAGCTGGAAGGAGAAATGTTTACCTACTTAGGAGCCTGGGAGTATAAAATCAGTTTATGGAATAAGTTCTCTAATTTAGGAACTTGACCTTAGCGGATTTCCTGCATGCTGTGCTTCTATGTGTTAGCTGATCATGTCAGTGACTCCCTCATTCAAAACCCTTCGACAGCTGCTAACTAGCTTGAGTTAGCATCCTATAAGTCTCAATGGATCTACCACCATCTTTGTTCTCAGGGCTCCAGCCACACTAGTTTTCTCTCTGTATCTTTGAAGTCACTACTTGTCTTGCCTCAGGGCCTCCAGGAAGTTTTTTCCTCTGCCTGGAAATGCTGTTTCTCAACAGCATCTTCCCCATTCCCCTCTCCCAAACTGGCTAACTCCTCATTCTCCATATCTCAGTTCAGATGTCACTTCCTCTGGTAGGCCCTCCTTGACCTCCCCACCCCTCACTTGGGTAGCTCCTCACACTATTATACTGTTTCATAGCAAATGTACTTGTCTGTAAAACGTCATAATCATTAATGAATTAGTTGTAAACTTAGTTGTTCAATATTTATATTCCCCAGCCAGAATGTCACATATGTGAAGGCAAGAAACCTGTCTGTATCTTGTATACCATTTGCATACTTGATATCCAGTATAGTACCTGACACATAGTAGGCATTCAATCCATATTTGCAGAGCACTTCACAAGTACTTGTGTGTATACAATTACATTGGCTACTACTTATTAAGCACCTACTGTGTCCTTGGATATGCAAATAGGAGTAAATGCAATAGCCAGCTCCTGTCCATTCTAGAGGTGATTGTACTCTCCTAAGTAGGACAAGGATAATCTTCCTCTTTTACAGGTAGTCAAAGATTATATCACTTGTAAGGAAAAGGCAGAACCTTCTGAAACTGAAATGAAACTCCTTCTGATAAGATCATAGACTCCCAACAGGATGGGTTTACTGCAGGTGGGTGAGAGGGGAGGTGGATCAGGGAAGTAGATCACGGAAATGGATTTTGAGAGGCCATGAAGCTTTGGCATTTTGAAGGGAGGAGGGGAGAGGGTGTCAATTTGTCAGAGGACAAGAGGAAGTTTCCATCTTTCACATGGCTGGATAAGTATGGCTCCTCTCTGAAAACCAACCAAACCTGGCCACTGAACTCCCCTTTTGGTCTGTATCTGGGATATTGGGATCAGTGACCACAGACAGGAAATGATGATCATGCAAAAATTGTGTTTCTATACACTTAAAATCCAAAAAAGAATTTAAGACAATTCCATTTACAGTATTATCAAAAAGGATAAAATATTTAGGAATAAATTTAATCAAGGAGGTGAAACTTAACTGAGGAGGAGTGTAAGTTGTATACACTAAAAACTATAAAACATTGCTGAAAGAAGACAAATGGGAAGATAGATGTTCCATGTTCATCAATGGGACTTAGTATCATTAAGATGTCAATACTAGCCAAAGTGATTGGTGGATTCAATGCAATCTCCATAAATATCCTTTTTTTTTAATATTACATTTTATTTAGTTACTTTTCAAGTACATTTTTTTTTTTAATCTATTTCTCCCATCCCACCCCACCCCCCCGCCCGGTCTCCCCCCCCCCATTCCCCATAAATATCCTTTTTTTTAGAACACTTTTTTTTACAGAAATAGAAAAACCCATTCTAAAATTGAATCTCAAGGAACCCGGAATAGCTGAAACACTCTTGAAAAAGATCGAAGTTGCAAGAATACTCTTCCTGATTTCAAAACTTACTAGAAAGTTACAGTAAGTAAAACAGTGTGGTAGTAATATAAATACAGACATGTAGATTAATGGAATAGAATAGAGTCCAGAAATAAACCCCAACATCAGATTTTTAAAAATTTATTTTTATTAAAAAAATGTAAATATTAAAACATTTTTTAAAATTTTATTTTAGAGAGGGGAAGGGAGAGAGAGGGAATCATCAATGTGTGGTTGCCTCTTGAACACCCCCTACTGGGGATCTGGTCCCCAACCCAGGCATGTGCCCTGACTGGGACTTGAACCAGAGATCCTTTGGATCGCAGGCTGGTGCCCAATCCACTGAGCCACATCAGCCAGGGCTATTTATTGATTTCTAGAGGAAGGGAGGGAGGGAGAGGAGAAACATCAATTTGTTGTTCCACTAATTTATGCACTCATTGGTTGTTTCTCGTATATGCCCTGACCAGAGATTGAACCAACAACCTTGATACACTCAGCAGATACTCTTAACTAACTGAGCTACCAGAAACTAGGACCTCCAGCTGGCATTTCTTGAGTGCTTACTACATTCCAGACATTATTTTAAGTCCTTTTGTATATTCTAAGTTCTTGTTTACCCTTCATATATGCCTGTGAGTGAAGTATCATTACCATCTCCCTTTTACAGATGAAGAAACTGAGGCTGAGACAGAGACTGATCCAAGGTCACAGAGCCACCAAGACTTGAATCTTGTCCTCTGACTCCAAAACCAGACTTTCATTTTGGTCCTGGTGATGTACAGTGGGTAAGGAAGGAGCTGGGTTTGAAGAGGAGGTGGATTCACTTGACTGTATCTAGATTCATTCCAGACTTTTTTCCTTGTATCCACTGGCAGAACTTCCTCCTTTTCTCTCTGCCTCCTTTTCTGATTCACTCTCCATTAGTGGCTGCTGGCTCCTGAGAATGTGATGCCACAGGGTGGGGTAGGCTGTAGGGGTGGGAAGGGAGACCCACAAGTGCAGGCAGTCTTTAATAAACAAAGTTTTTGATTGCCCTTTATATGCCAGGCAATGTTTGGAGGCTGTAGTCCTGTTGTGAATAAAACAGACCTTGTACCTGCTCTCAGGGATATTTCATTGCACTGTGTGTGTGTGTGTGTGTGTGTGTGTGTGTGTGTGTGTTGGGGGAGTGAGGAGTGAGGGGTAGAGAGGATAGGGTAGAAAGGAGGGGAAATGGGAGAGGGAAGTGAATACAAACCAGGAACAAGATAGGTCAAGTGTCATAGGATTATAAAGGAAATGTGTGAGAGTGACAGAGGGGACACACCTAAGACAGGGAGAACAGAAAAGGCCTGACTTATGAGCTAAGACATACAGGATGAGAAAGAGCAAGATGAAGATCTGGAAGAAGAGCATTCCAGGATTCCATGGGGAAATGGCAAGGGCCAAGGCCATGAGATGTGTGTTTTGGAGGAAATTGGAGAAGTCTAGAGAGGCTGTGGCAGAGTGACAGAAACAAAAGAAGTTGAGAGACAATCCCAGTGCCAGCTCATGTAGGGTCTTGTAGACCACGATGAGGAGTTCTAGGTTAATTCTAAGGAGAAGGAGGCCACTGGAGGAATCAAGAATGAAGACTGTGGGGTAGTGAACACACAATATAGTGTACAGATGATGTGTTATCAAATTGTGCACCTGAAGCCTGTATAATTTTATTAACCAGTGTTATCCCAATGAATTCAGTAAAAAGAAGGAAAAAAAGAATGAAGACTAGAAGGACAGGACAGGAAGTGGGGAGACCAATTAGGACATTTTGGCTGTAACGTAACAGGCACGTGATGATGGTGGTCCACGCCAAGTTGGGATTCAGAGGTGGTAGTAGAGGGATCTTGGGAGATGACTGAATGATGAGGGTGACAGTCTTGGAGGTGAAGGAGACACGAGGAGAAGCTGGTTTAATGTTGGGGGCAGAGGGCAGTCTAAGGAAAGGTAGAGACGGAAATTATCTATTTGGTTGTGGACATGTTGAGTTTGCAGTCAGTGGCTGGCTAGACAGCTGGCAACACTGTTCCAGGTTAGAAGCAGATACCTGGCAGGAGAGACCAGGGCTGCCACCTGGGAACCCACAGGCCAGACTTCTTCACAGATGGATAATGTTTGAAGGGTTTCTTTAATTGGTTATCAATATTTATAAATTCAGAGATATCAAATAAACTCAGGATTTCTACCTCCTCTTCCAAATTGGATAGTTTGGCCACACAGGGCCAAGGTCCTGGGAAGGCCATGGCAGCCTAATAGAGGAGCTGCTGCTGGCCCTCCAGATGGACCGGTCGGACCCCAGCAGGACTGCTGCAGATTCCATTCAAGGCCTGGTTCTAGCAGCACTGGAGTTTCAAATGCTGGAATGGGCAGAAGGTGGCACTCTAGAAGAGGAAAAAAAATTGACCTGGCCCAGAGCCTGGACTGTGGACAGACTTTTGGGAGTGGCAGCTCTGCAGCTTTTCAGCCATGTAACCAGGTGCCACTTAATTTCACTGAACCTGCTTTGTGTCTTCTGGAAAATGGGGATAGCACTCCCTACTTGGAATTTCGGGTAGGGGAAAGTTCCTAGTGGCAGACACAGAGATGGGGCTTGAGCAATGCTAGTTTCTTTTCCCTTTAATCTGATGGAAAAATCAGAGTGGTTGGTAAGTGGTTGACACTTACCAACTATGCAAGCAGTTTTCTTCTATATGAGATGGGAACACTACCTTAGTACATACCTTGTGGGGAATAAATAAGTTAATACAAAGTGTTTAAACTGGTATGGCACTAAGTATGTGTTAGCCATTATCGTTGATGCTGTTGCTATCACTCAGCATGGAATAAATATGCTCAAGAGCCAGCAGAGCCACGGTTCTTGTACCTGGCTGGCCATTAGAGTCATCTAGGAGCATTTTAGAAAATATTCATGTCTGGCTCTACCCTTAGAGATCCCACCTGACTTCATCTGGGATGGGATTCCTGGTATGCGTGTTTTATAAAATCTCCCCAAGTGATTTTATGTGTAGCCAGGGATATAAGATCCACAGCAGAGGGGTCATTAGGAGCTTGGACTCTAAGTGCAAAGGCCTACGTTCAAATCCATCCAGGCCAATAAATCAATGCATGAACTTAGGAAAGAAAGTTCTTAACCTCTTATTATTAAACTGGGTTAATAACAGAACCTGGGACATTGTATAAATATTTAAATTGCTTAAAGACCATACTTCCAGGGATCATTTCTATAGTTCATTAAAAGTGATTAGAGAAATGGCTGGCAGATAGCAAGCTCTTAGCAGGCCTAGGCGTCACTACCCTTCAGTTTCCCTGCCATTTCCAAACCCACCGCAGCCACTGTGGGCCTATGCCCAGCTGAGCCCCAGAATCTCACCAAAAGGGGCCTAGGATGCTTTGAACACACTGGGGCCTCTCTTAACCCTGTCAGCTGCCACCAAAACTATATTTGGCCCTTCCACTGTTCGGCTTTTTTATTCACCCAAACTGAACAGAATTATCTTCCAAACAAAATTTATCTGCTCAGATATCAGAGAGACTCCAAGAATGCTAAAAGGGAAGACAGAACCAGATTAGCCATTCATCTGTCTCTCGTATTAAAAAAAAAAAAAAGATGATGAAGAAGAGAAGAGAAAGAAAGAAGTAGAATTCTCTTCAGTGCTTAGGACACAGTTTTTATTAGGAAGAAAAGAATATAACACAGAATTGCACTGTCAAGATAATTCATCTAGGTAAAGGAAAAAATGCATAGGAAAAAGATTGAAAGGAAATATGCTAGATGTTAAATAAAAGTGTTTTTTCCTCTGCTTCTCCATCCTTTTATGCACTTTATAATTTTCTACAGTCAACATGTAATTAACAGAGAAAACAAGCGAAAAATAAAAAGGAAAGCCTTCACATGATTTTTTTCTTAAAATAATCACCTTATTGCTTCGTCTTAGTTCCTCCCTACTATCAAAAAATTTTAAAGAACTGTCTCCATTTGCCATTTCTGCCACTTCCTTTCCCATTTACTACTTCATCGATCACAATCTGGCTTCCTCCTCAACCTCAGAGGTGGCCCCACCCTGGAAAGATCACGAATGACCCTTGTTACCAAATCTAGTAGCTTGTTTTTCCTTGCCAGACCTTTGCAGTATCTGACATTGTTGGTACCATGCCCTTCTTCTGGAAGCTCTCTGACTGCTCTCTGGGTTTCCTCTCTCTACTCTGTTCAGGGACCTAACCTTTTTGACTTTTGGTTGGACCCTGCAGGTTCCTCAAATCTTAATGTTTTCCAAGTTTGGGCCTCTAGCCCCCTCCCTCTGTACAGTCTTCTTGGATGGCCTCATTTACTCTTGACCTCTGTGGTTCCATCCCAAATTCCAGTGCTGGCCTCTTGCTGGGTACAGGTCAATCCAACATCCTTCTGAACACCTTCATTTGGATGTCCCTCAAACACCTCAGACTTAACAAGTCCAAAGGGGCTTATCTTTCTACTTTCCCTCAATCCCAACCAACTCTTCCTGCCTTGTTCTTTCCCTGGGGGGAATCCTTGCCAGCCCCCCCCCCCATTTGGTTGGGCACTAACACCGGCTGCTTCAAATTTAGAACTGTGTCTAGAGTACACCAACACTGCTAATGCGTTCGGACTCCGCCCTACATGAGGCCTTTTCTCTCTCTTGCCTGGTTGATCATAGCAGTTTCCCCCACAGCTTTCTTTTCTTGGTCTTTCTCCTCTGTAGTCCATATCTTGTAATTTTTCCGATCATTCATTCATTCATTCATTTGATCAACAAACATTAGCAGTGCACCAAACTCTGCTCCAAAACTATGTGGAGTAAATGATAAAGACACAACATAGATAAATAAATCATCTAGGGGATTTCAAATTGTGGCAATGTCTATGAAGGAAAGCAGAGGGATTGAAAGACAATAACTAGGGCATAGGAGGGAAGTTCTCTCAGATGCGGTCTTTGCCCTGAAATAGTCTCCCAAATGAACACTAACAGGTGCCCTGATGGAACCAGGGGCAGCAATGATAGAGAAGAATGTGGCTGGGGACCCTACTTTCAGCTGGGAGTCAGGGAAGGCACAGTGAGGGGTGGGGGGCAAAGGAGGGCAGGAACATCATGAGTGGGGCCCCAGAGGGGAGTTTAGGTTTTATTTTAAGTGCAGTGGGAGGCTTCCAAAGGGTTTCTAACAGGGAAGTCACATTTAACTTTATCTCTTTAAGAGATTACTCTAAATGCCTAAGGTGAATAGCATTTGGGGGTGGGGTGGATAGGGTTGCTCAGTACCGGGAAACTACTGCAGTGGTCCAGGCAAGTCCTGGATGGGGCTGGGTGTTGGCAGTGCAGTCAGAGAGGACTTAAACCTCCCTTTGTTTATAACTCTAGGATAACACCTATCACATAGTACTGTCCTATAGGTTTACAATTCTGTCTCTGCAGAAGGTAGACTAACAGATTATGGAAGACAAAGTTGGGGTAAATGTTCAATGCATGATCAAAAGATACAAATGGCCCCTTCAGGAACAGTTCACACGGGTCAAAAGTCCAGTCATGACCAAGCCCAATTATATTCAGAATCATCTATTAATGTGTGAGTCCTTGATCATAAGGAACACTAGCATGGTTACTAAGCCTCCTCACTGGATCCTGGAAACAGCTTTGAGAGGTGGGCACAGTGGGGGGAAAAAAAAAAAATCGTCTCTATTTGACAGGTGAAAAAAATCAAGGCTTAAGTGAGGCATGGCTTGGCCAGGATATCCACAGCTGCTAAAGCTAAGCCTGGAATCGAGCTTGTCTGACCATGCCCCCCCTGCCCCCCAATTCAGTTCTGTTATTTACTTCTGGGCTGCCTCACTTGTCCTTGAATCAAGAACTTGTAAAACTCCCTGTCACCTCAAGACAGAGGGAATAAAAGGCAGGGATATGATTCACAGGAGGCAAAATGGGGAAACAATTCTCCTCCCCCCTCAAAAAAGTGTCTGCACACCACCACCTCATTTGTTCTTATAACCACTGCAACCATCTTAGTGGTTATAAACATGGATTCTGGAGAAAGAAAGGGCCAAATTTAAATCCTCTTTGTGCCACTTACAGGTTATATGACCTTGAGGGATTAGTTAACTTATTTTGGCTTCCTATTTATCTGTAAAACCGAATGAAAACTGGCTACTTAGTAGTTTCCATGAGGATTATGAGACAAAAGCATCTTCCCCAAGTCTTGGCCACACAGAAAGGTCTTAATACTTGCTAATTATTATAACTGGTCCCAGGAATTTTCCTGATCACTTTTCACGCATCATCACTTTTAAAACTCACAACATCTTTTATGCTTTACATGAAATAAAGGTTTAGAGCTGTTAAATAACTCCCACAAAGAAGTTAACACTTGAACTTAGAACATAACCACCAGGAAAGCTTAGTGACTGTGCATGGAGCAGTTCGCTGCAAGGACTCGTGACCAGCTACTGATATACTCAATCAGATCTAATCCCAAATTGATAGTTGGCTCATAACTTTTGGAGGTGTAGTAAGATGTAAGCTTTAGAAAATAAGATTTGGAATGTAAAGGGAGCACAGTCCTCCAGAGGAGTCGAGAGACAATGCCTATGCCCGCGCCTGTGGATGAGGTGATTCTTTAATTTAGGCTTAATTTCCTCACCCATGAAATAAAGGGATAAGAGTTATTACGGTCCCTAGCGTCCTTCCCAACACTGAGATTCCGAAGCAGAAGACCCCTGCTCAGGTAAATGTTTACTCAAACCCTCCGGCTGAGCTTCATCCTCCGCGGGGTCGGCAATAAGGACGCGTCCCCTTTAAGGCGCCAGCTTGCCAGCGGCGGCGGCCGGAAGTGTTGAAGTCCGGCCTGGCGGCGACGGTGGCGGTAGCAGCCGTGGCGGCCTCTGCGCATGCTCCGTAGCCCGCCCGCCCTGGCCGCTCGCCGCCCGCCCGACGGAGACGGTGAGGAGGGGGAGGGGTGGGCGCGCGGGCGCGGGGTGGGGTGGGGGCGGGGGGGCGGACGCGGGGGCCGCGCGGCGGCCGGCGAGGGCGGGCGGGCGCACAGGGGGCGGGGGGCTGCTGCCTCCGCGGGCGCCTCCCCACGCCCTGTGCGTGCCGCCGCCGCCGCCGGGGAGCGAGCGGACGTCGCGGCGCCGCGGGGGGGGTGGGGGGACGCTGCCGCTGGGTCCGCCCGAGCAGCCGGGCCGCCCCCAGCGCGGCCGGCCGGGCCGCCCGAACTCGGCCCGGGGCGGAGGGCGGCGGGGCCCGGGGAGCCTGGCACTGGGGGGGAGCCCCGGCGCCCCCGGACCGAGGGGCCCGGAAGTCCTCGGCTGAGGGGCCAGGAGGGGCAGGAGCGACTCCTGACTGAGGAGGCCCTGACGCCCGGGACCCTGGCGAGGGGTCTGGGGATCCTGAAGTATCCCCAGAGGCGGGGTCTGGGGAGTGCCAGGCCCTTCGCTGAAGAGCTGGGGCGAGGCCTGGGTCGTGCTGGGTTGGGGGGCGGTGCAGGAGGGGGCGAGAGGTGAGGGGAGCCGGGATGCCGACCCGGGAGCAGGCCCTCGGAACCTTGGCGGGAGAGCTAGAGCGGAGAGGGGCTTTTGCTGAGGAAAGGCGGGCCCAAGCTTCACCTGAGGAGAGGCCTCTGCCTTTCGGCCCAGGGCAAAGAGGCAGAGGCTTTTCCAAAGGCGTGGCGACGGGGCTGCGTGGTGGGAGCAGGGGACAAGGGAGGGCTCCGAGAGACGCCCGCAGGCCCCTGCCTTCCTGTAGGTGAGGGGGCGGTGGGGGACGCCGCGGAGCCTCCCGAAGTAGGAGTGAGAGAGGTCCCAACCTGTGAGGGAGCGAGAGGCACCAAATACCTCCCGACGGAAAGGCAGGGGACGGGGCAATCCGGTGTGTCGGGGCGGGGAGACCCAAGTTTCTGAAGGCCGGAGAGAAGCCGTTTGAGGGGAAGATGCCCAGACTCTTCCTCTCCGAAGTGGGGAGTTCAGCGGGTGTCTTCTGACCGAGGGGCTGGGTAGATGAGGGCGGGATCCTACTGGGGGCGTCCTGGGGAGGAACCCACCGTCCTGGAGATGAAGGCGGGTTCGAAGGAAGCCCGAAGTACCCTCCCGAGTTAGAGAAACCTCAAAACCACGCCATATGGCAGATACGAAAGGGGCTGCGAGTGGGGTCTGTTCAGGAGAACCAGGAAGTGGGCTTTTCCTCAGCCTGGACAATTACAAAAGGACGAGCAGATCATTCTAGTCTCAGAGGGCTCCCTCCTACACTCTGGGTTTGCTAAAGGGTATTGAGGTGCTTCTGGGGGGGACTTTTTCACTAAATGGATAATCCCCTAATTTGTTAGCCTTTTACCACTTACGTATATTTTAGTGTCTACTGACATGATGACTTTCATTCATCAACTTTATATTCAACAAACATCCAATAGCAAACTTGCATACACCTCTCTTGCTTTAGTTTGAGTGCTATTTTGGTCTTGTTCTAAGCAGAAGTGCCCCACACTGTAATAGGATGACTTTTCAAAGGATGTTTCTATTCTGTTGCTTCCCCAGACGTCTGCCTAGCCGTCTCCAGTAGTGACTTCTGAGTTTCATTTGCTCCGGCTCTTTCCCTCACGGTGGTCCCGTGTGGCCTTCTGTGGCTTCAGTCACGTTCCGTAGCACTCTGGATCCCCTACTAAATACATGAGAAGGGATAAAGAAGGAAAAAAATCAAGGAGTTTCGGTCTCAAGTTTTAACTTAGAAATTTCAGAATAGACTACACAGTCTACGAAAATTACACTACAGTGTGCAATACACAAATACATTTTAGGTTAGAAAAGTTCAGGATATCTGCTATTTTTTAAAAATTGTTTTAAGAGAGAGGAAGCAGGGGCAGAGAAACACTGATCTTTTTTCTTCCACTTTCTTGTGCATTCATTGGTTGACTCTTGTATGTGTCCTGACCAAGGATCAAACCCCTCCACCTTGGTGTATCAGGGTGATGCTCCAACCAACAGCTTCTGGGCCAGGGCAGGATGTCTGGTATTTCTGTCATTTCTCATTAACTTCCAACTCCCATGTCCCTGTGATTATGTGACACACACGTTTACTTTACCATGTTTTAAACGTTAGTTTTTCAGGACAAAAAATGAATTTAGAGTAGGTCAGATATTGTTTCTTTAGTTTTTCAATAGCATTTGTAAGCAGTCATGAATTTGCTTTCAATGTGTCTTTTATCTTTGAAAATAACTACAAAATTATTTTAACTTTTCATATAAATTTGGCATCTTTTTGTAATGTATTCCCTTAGAATTATAGGGAGTGTTGTAGGATTCCACAATCGATACTCTGAGGCCCTTTTCATAAAAATACCCAAAGGATCAACTAACTCTTGCCTCAGGGGTTTTTGTTGATATGAACAAGAGCCACTTTTCAGTTTACAGTCACCTCAAAGAGATGACCTTGCAGTTAGCCAGTGTAGTCTGAAGAGGTAGTTTCAGGTTACTTGCTAGGAATATGGTATTTAGGATAATAAGAGATTCAATCCAAACTGGCTTCTCTAAAGAATGTCAACATGGCATTCTTCTCCAAGTTGACTGAATCAGACCTGTGTCTCTGACACTGAGAGACATATTGTGGATAATTATCTTCTTTGATAAACTCTCAAAGTTACAGAAACAGCCAGAACATTCCTCTTGGGTGCCAAGATGTGGGAGGGCTAAGGAATAAAATACGAGTTTCTATTGAGGAAAGTATTAATCAAGTTGTTAGTCAGCCACTTATTCAGAGTGTTCTAGAGAGGACTCAACCACAGAGTAGAAGGTTGAAACTAGAAGCATCCTAATTCTGCTTCTCTAACCCATTCACCTAAACTATTAATTTTAAACATTTAAACCCCCTTTTTGGGATAATAAATTCTGTAAGCTTGATACATACTAAGGTATTACATCTTTTTAAAAAGATTTTATTTACTTTTAGAGACGGGAAGGGAGGGAAACGTATGTGTGAGAGAAACATGGATAGGTCGCCACTCTAAAGCCCCCAAGCTCCCAACAGGGGGCCTAGCCTGTAACCTAGGCATGTACCCTGACAGGAAGTCGAACTATTGACCTTTTGGTTTGCAAGTGATGCCCAACCCACTGAGCCACACTGGTCAGGGCAGGTATTACATCTTTTAAATTTATTAAATATGTAATAGTAACATAATAGTGCTTGAAAAAAATGTGTCCAACAAATGTGAGTTGTGATTATTTTAATTTGCCCTACATTTTTATAGTTTAAACTTTGACGATATCTATTGGTCCAATTATTTAAGGATTTGATGGTATATGTATGCTTCATCACATCTCTTTTTGGCTTTTTCTGCACTCACAGAACCTATTTTTTTTGTTGTTCTACTGCTAGAAGCCAGCCAAACCAGGCCATTGATTCTCTTTTTTAAAATTGTTCAATTACAGTTGTTCCAATTCTCCCCTACCCTATTACTCTCCCCTGCCCTCTCCACCCCACCCCACCACTTCCATAGTCAATCCCCACCCTGTTATCCTTGGGTCCTTTGTACATGTGATTCTCTCTTTTTTTTTCTTTCTAGTTTTAAACCTTTACATTTATTTGGGGGTAGGACTGAAGGTGAGGGTGGGTGGGGCAAGGGAAAGTGGTGGTGGAGATACCACCACTGTATTTGAATGGAGACAACTGTATTCGAACATTAATAAAAATATTTAAAAAATAAACCTTTAATTTACAGAAGTTTGAATTGTATCCTGTTTTATCTTGTGGTTACTTTTCCCCTCTAGTATGTGGCAGTACCATGCCTCTCATTCTCTTCTGTAGTTCCTTAAGAGCAGATACTGCCCTTTTTTTTTCTTTTTTTTAAGATTTTGCTTATTTGTTTTTACAGCGAGGGGAAGGGAGGGAGAAAGAGGGCAAGTGAAACATCAGTGTGTGGTTGCCTCTTGTACGCCCTCTACTGGGTATATGGCCTGCAACCTAGGTGTGTGCCATGACTGGGAATTGAACCAGCAACACTTTGGTTCACAGGCCCACACTCAATCCACTGAACGACACCAGTCAGGGCCAGATACTGCCCTTTTTCATATCCAAGGAGCCTAACTCTGCCCAATATGGAGTAGAAACTCAGTAAATAACTTGTTGAACTAGCCATACTGATGGACAATAAGCCAGGCAGCTTAGCCTAGCTACCTAAGCAAATGTATCCCCTAAGTTAGAAATGTAGAAAATTCTAGAAGTCTTTTAGGGTAAGCTGAATCATTAATTGCACAAAAAATTATTACATTTCTGCTATTTGCCAGATTGCCTTAGGAAGTTTAGATAGATGGAAGTCTGATATTTGAAAGCTATTATACTCCTGTGTCCTGGGCAGTAAGCTAGGCACAGGGAAGTTGTTGAAAAACAAAAGCAATTCTTGCTTTCCCAGAATGTTGTCTGGTGGGGAGAGCCTGACAAAATGGGATGATCATTGTGACAAGGGTGCTGCAGGCACTAAAGGAGCAAGGACATAAACTTAAATCTAGTCAAGGAAGTCACCAAAAGCCTCCCCAAGGAAGTGATGTTTTAAATAAGTCACAAGAATTTAGCAGTAACTAGCCAAATCAAAAGAAAAAGAGAATTTCAGGTAGAGGAAATAAGTTTGAAGGCTCAGGTGAGAAAATGGTGGTATGTTTGAGAAATTGGGAAAAATTCAGTGAGAGCAGCCCACATTGTGAGAGGAAGAGCTATGAGAAATGAGGCTAGCAGGATTGGCAGGGGACAGATTTGGAGGATTTTGTAAGTCATGTTAAGGTGTTTGCATGTTATTCTAACAGCAAAGGTAATCCACTGAAGGATATTTAAATAGGGAAATGGCTTGTGGCCTTTAGTAAGATTACTGTGTCTGCAGATAATGGTTTGGAGAGCAAGACCAGAGTTTAGGATATTAATGAGACACACCTGGAAAAATACAGCTGCCTGGTGGCTCAGAATATGGCGGTGGCCCCACAGATGGAGAATGGGAGATGGTTAAGAGATATATAGGTGATAGAATGGATAGGATTTGGTAGTTGATTGGCTTTAGAAAGAGAAAAAAGGAGTCAAAAATAACTTCTGTTCTGACTAGTGTGGTTCAGTTGGTTGGGCATTGTCCCAAAGCAAAAGGTCACCCATTGGATTCCTGGTGAGGGCACATGCTTGGGTTGCAGGTTTTGTCCCTGGTAGGTGCGTGTATGAGAGGCAACTGATCGATATTTCTAACTTTGATGTTTCTCTCCCTTTCTTCCTTCCTTACCCTCTCTATAAAAATAAATAAATAAAAATATTTTTAAAAAATAGTAACTCCAGCCCTGGCTGGTGTAGCTCAGTGGTTTGAGCCAGGCCCACGAACCAAAAGGTTCCCTGTTCAATTCCCAGTCAGGGCATATTCCTGGGTTGTGGGCCAGGTCTCCAGTAGGGGATGAACAAGAGGCAATCATACATTGATGTTTCTCTCCCTCTATTTCTCTTTCCCTTCCCCTCTCTCTATAAATAAATAAAATCTTTTAAAATAAATAAATAAATAATAACTCCATTTCTGGCTTGAGAAAATGGGGAGAGGCTATTGCCATTTGCTGAGGCAGGAAATAGGAACAGGTTGGGAGGGAACATGAGTTCCTTTTAAGGTGCCTTCAAGGTATTTTAAGAGACTCTTGGATATAGAAAGTGTAAATTCAGGTATCAAGCTTGTGAGAATCATAAAGGGCAGAAGTATAAGTCAGACATAAGGAATTTTAAGTAGGTCAAATACAAAAATCGATTGAACTAAGCTATGTCAGTGCCTATGATGAGCAGGTCTGTGACAGATAAAAAGATTTTTGGATAAGCACCACTTGTCCTGACTGAGAGTGCAGTGTAGTAATGAAGATAGATATCTATCTGTTCAGTTAACTGCAATACAGAGCTCAGTGTGATAAATGCTGGAGGACAGCTACAAACCAAGTATTGGGGTAATGCAGAAAAGAAAATAAATGGTTTGGCAATGGCTGTGTGGAGGAGTGGGCTTTGAACTGGGCCTGAAAGGAGGAGATGAGGGAGAAAGGAGTTTTAGGCTTAAGAAATAACAACATACAGAAACCTGAAAATATATATTATATGTTCAGAAAACAGTGGGTGGTTGGTGTGGCTGGAGTTTAAGATTCTTGGGTTATTATAGTTACAGATAAGATTGGAAAAGTATTTGGGGGCCAAACAGGGTTATGGCTTAACCCTGGAATGTTATGCTTAAGTATGTGTATTAAAGGCAGATGAGTGCTGTGGCAGAGCTGAGATACAGTTTCAGTCATCTGACTGCCAGTTATATGTTCATATTTGCATCCGTTGTGTGTTTATTCCATCCAGCATAGGCCTAGTCATTTTCACATACTTATCTAAGTAAATACAGTGCTCTTATTTCTACTTTCTCTAGTGACTCCCTTCTTCCTTTCCAATTGTGAAGACTAACACTGCAGAATATCCTGTGGCCTTCTGAGTTTTCATTAAGATTAGGACAATGCTTTGAGTTACTTTAATTTTTTTAATGATTGTATTTTTTTAATCATATATTTTATATAATGATTTATATAATCATAATATATTTTATTTTATAATTTATTTTTAGAAAAAGGAGAAGGGAGGGAGAAAGAGAGTGCGAGAAAGATCAGTGTGTGGTTGCCTCTGGTGCACCCCAGACTGGGGACCTGACCTGCAACCCAGGCACCTGCCCCTGACAGGTAACTGAACTATCGACCTTTTGGTTTGCAAGCTGGTGCACAATCCACTGAGCCACACCAGCCAGGGCACTTTGAGTTACTTTAGAGTTGAAGAGAATGTAGTGCTGGACACTGGTTTCCTCACCAGCTCTGCAAGGGAGAGGTCAGGTGAAATAATTTCTGCATTTATCCTGAAGCAGAAGGGTATTAAGTTCTAGAGGTCATACAATTTGATTCAGCATTTGTTAAACAACTACACAGTGCAAGTCATCTTTTTCTTCCCAATCAGCTAAGTTCATTTAGTCAGCAGGTATTTATTAAATACTCACAAAGGACAGAGCAGTTAATGAGATGTAATAGCTGGTTGCAAAGAAAATGGATTCCTACTCTGTAGGAGCTTACTCTTCAGGATGGAACTAGTGGTATGCTGTAAACCAGCTCTCTAGGGAAAAAAATACCCTGATTTGTAGTGCTTACCAATTTCCGTGGTGTATATACTCCCAACATCAATGATTTTAAGCTAGCAACTTGATGTCACTAAAGTTGGAGTTGGGAAGTGATGTACACAGTTGGTTCTTAGGAGCTGGTAGAGCTGGTAAAGCACACCATTGGATGAATCACTCATACCAGGAAAACCTACAATAGCAAGTGAATACTGAGGCATTTCGGGAAAGATCAGAGCCAATGTTAGTACCATGTCACATTCCCATCTTTTTCAGGGGACCATGATCTCCAGGGTGCCCTCGGATTTGGGTAGTTATTATCGTGATGTTCCTCTCTTGTGGTTGCCATCTTTTCAAACCAGATGAAGTTACTGGTGCTTCTTGTTTCTGACAGCAGTTTCAGCTATCTGACTTCATGTGAAAGATGGCTAATGCGGAAGTGAGTGTCCCAGTGGGGGATGTGGTTGTGGTACCCACTGAAGGAAATGAAGGGGAGAACCCTGAAGACACTAAAACCCAAGTGATCTTGCAGTTACAGCCTGTGCAACAAGGGTAAGTGACCAAAGATATGGATATTTTAAAATACTTGGAAGGTTTAAAGAGTGGGGAAATTATAACTTGATGGTTGTTTATCACAATGGAACATGCAACATTAATCTCAGAGCTGGCCAAGTTTTCATCTCTGTAATAACATGTTGAGTGCTATATTTGTCATTTCAATACTTATTACAACAATTAGCTGTTTCCTTGTATCTTCTCCTCTTCTTCATTGTGAGCTTCTTGAGAGTAAGTTACATGGCTCCCTCATTTTATTTATCTACACTATTTAGTATGGGGTCTTCGCACATGTTTGCCAAAAGACAGTGTAGTTACAGTCAGAGGAGATTAGGCAAGGCAACTATAAAACTATTCCTACAAGAAGCTCTCTGGACTGTCATGGGTGTACAAATTATCAACCTTAGTCTATCAAAAATAATATATAAACTACCTCCTATTACACAGTGTATTATAAAGATGTTAGAAGAAATACAGCACATGGTTCCCACTGTCATGAAACTTGCAGTCTAGCTGTGCAAACTGAGAAAAAATTATATATAAAGAAAAAATATATATATAGAGAGAGATATCACTTACATGGCAAAATCTAACAAGTACTGAATGGCATGGTTAGGAAGTGCTCTCAATAAATTCAGGGGACCTCTATGAATTTGAAAAAAGAGATAAGTTTTAAAAACTGGTCTGTGGTCGTAAAGATTAAGTAAGAATTGCATCTACAAAGAGAACGGAAGGATAGTTATTTTACCTTGGGGAATGTATGAGTCTTCATATGATTAGAAATGTTCTTGAGCAAACATATAATCCAATCCTAATCTACTAAGTAATGTACCTTGTCTAAACACTTCTGGAAAAACACAATCAACTTTTCTTGGTAATTTTTTTTTTTTTTTAATTTTTTTTATTTATTTATCTTTAGAAGGGAAGGGAAGGAGAGAAGGAGAGGTTGGGGGTTTTGGAAAAAACATTTTAAAATAGAAAATATTAAATTTACATAAAAATAAAGAAAATTGTGATGTAAGCACCCATCACCCAGCTTCAACAATTATCAGCATATGGCCAATCTTATTCATCTCTACATTCACCTACTCCTGAATTTTTTTGAGGCAAATCTCAGACATTAATATGTATCTGTAAGGTAAGGACATTTTAGCTTTAAAAATATAACCACAGTTTGCTGATATTTCTGAATATTGTTAAGCATGGGGAAATATTTTAAGATTTATAAGGGAAAGGTGATATATGATAAATCCTGACATAGAGTTAATAGAGTGATTTAAATTTTTATTGGCACCAAAAGATTATGCATGTTTATTAAAATTCACTTGTGTGCGAATTTCATTTGTTACACACACATAATCGTAGTTGTGATCCTTTGGTACATAAAGAAGAATTAAGGAGTAGGTCCTTCATTTGTTGCCAGCTTTATTTTTCTCATGGAGTCATTATTTCTTCTACCTTTCCAAAGTGCCCCAGAGAGCTTTTGAGATCTTGCTCCCCAGCATGCTGTCAATTTGGCTCAAATATATTTTTATTTTATTTTTTTTCTTCTTTTTTTAAAAAAAATATATTTTATCGATTATGCCATTACAGTTGCTCTGTTTCCCCCCCTTCATTCCCCTCCACCCTGCATACCCCTCCCCCCATTCCCCCCTTTAGTTTATGACCACGTGTCTCAAGTTCTTTAGATTCTATATTTCCAATACTATTCTTGCCCTCCCCCCTATTTTCTGCCTACCATCTATGCTACTCATTTTCTGTACCTTCTCCCCCCTTCTCCTCCTCCCACTCCCCTGTTGCTAACCCTCCATGTGATCTTCATTTCTGTGGTTCTGCTCCTGATCTAGCTGTCCTCTTAGTTTGCTTTTGTTTTAGGTGTGGTTCTTAATAACTGTGAGTTTGTTGTCCTTTCACTGTTCATCTTTTTTATCTTCTTTTTCTTAGATAAGTCCCTTTAACATTTCATATAATAAGGGCTTGGTGATGATGAACTCCTTGAATTTGATCTTATCTGAGAAGTACTTTATCTGTCCTTCCATTCTAAATGAAAACTTTGCTAGATAGAGCAATCTTGGATGTAGGTCTTTGGATTTCATGACTTGGAATACTTCTTTCCAGCTCCTTCTTGCCTGTAAGGTCTCTTTTGAGAAATCTGCTGACAGTCTGATGGGAACTCCTTTGTAGGAGTGACTGTCCCCTTATCTCTTGCTGCTTCTAGGATTCTCTCCTTCATTGTAATCTTGGCTACTGTAATTATGATGTGCCTTGGTGTGTTCCTTCTTGGGTCCAACTTCTTTGGGACTCTCTGAGCTTCCTGGATTTCCTGGAAGTCTATTTCCTTTGGCAGATTGGGGATTTCCTTTGGCAGATTTCCTTTATTATTTGTTCAAATAAGTTTTCCACTGGTGGCTATTCCTCTTCCCCTTCTGGTACCCCTGTAATTTGGATGTTGGTGCCTTTAAAGATGTCCTGGAGGTTCCTAAGTCTCTCCTCATTTTTTTGAATTCTTGTTTCTTCATCCTTTTCTGTTTGGTCCTTTTTTTCTTCCTTCTGGTCTACTCCCTTGATTTGAGTCCCAGTTTCCTTGCCATTACTATTGGTTTTCTGTGCATTTTCCTTCATTTCAATTAGTTTAGCCTTCATTTGTTTGTCTAATTTGTGACTAAAATCAACCAGTTCTGTGAGCATCTTGATCACCAGTGTTTGAATTGTGCATCTGATAGGTTGGCAATTTCTTGTTCGCTTAGATTTATCAGCTCTGGGGCTTTGAGTTCTTCTTCAGCCATGTTTTGGTCTGTTCTTGCCTGTTGCGTAGGAGCAGAGCCTTAGATGTTCACCAGGGCGGGGCCACCCAGGTCGCTGGTTTATGACGCTCTATGTGGGGGCGGGGTCAGAGAGGGACAATGGTGGTCCCCTCTGTGGCTTCCCGCCACTGGGGCCTGCGAGGTCTGTCTCACCAGTTGCTCCTTCACTGGTTTATCTGCGTGAAAATGTGTGACAGTGGTCAGCCCTCAGTGAGTCCACCACTTTGTGCCCTCAGTGGGTCCGCCTGCTACTCCACACCTGGGATCCGCCCACTGCCTGCCCGCCTGGGTCTCGCGCCTGGGTTGGTCCGGTGGATCTTTCCTGCCCGACCACGCTCTGCTGCTGGCTCTGCCCCTCTTACCGGTTTGGCTGAAGGGTTCGTTGTTGTTGTTGTTGTCAGACTTCCATATAGTTCAATTTTCTGTGGTTTGGCTGCGTTTTTGTTGCTAAAACTTTGTTGTTTTTAAACTTGGTTTTGGGTGGAGGTACAGTGCTTCCACCTACGCCTCCATCTTGGCGGAAGTCTTGTCTCTTTTTTTTTTTATAAATATTTTATTATTTGTTTATCTTTAGAGGGGAGGGGGGGAAGGAGAGAGGGAGAGAAACATCAATGTATGGTTGCCTTTTGTGCATCCCCTGCTGGGAACTGGCCTGCAGGGAACCGGCCTGCAACCCAGGCATGTGCCCTGACTGGGAATCGAACCGCGATCGTGTGGTTCGCAGGCCCGCGCTCAATCCACTGAGCTACACCAGCCAGGGCTTGTCTCTTAATTTTTTAGTAGCCTCTGCTCATGTCAACAGTTTGGTTATGGTGCCTTTTAAAAAATGCTGTATCATAATGTGTGTCAACTGTAATTGAAAAAAATGTTTAAAAGTGATTTTTTAAGGCCCTGGCTGGTGTAGCTCATGGATTGAGCACGGTCCTGTGAAGCAAAGGATCGCGGTTCGATTCTGACTCAGGCCACATGCCTGGGTTGCAGGCCAGTTCCCAGCAGGGGACACGTGAGAGGCAACCATACATTGATATTTCTCTCCCTCTCTCCTTCCCTTCCCCTCTGAAGATAAATAAATAAAATCTTAAAATAAAAAAGCTTTATTAAAAAATAGATAAATAAAGTGCTTGCCCTGGCCAGGTGTTGTCCCATATACCAAAAGGGTTGCCGGTTTGATTCCTAGTCAGGGCATATACCTGGGTTGTAGGTTCAATACTGGGGGGGGGTCAGTGTGTGTGTGGAAGGTAGCTGATTGAGGTTTCTCTTTCACATTGATGTCTTTTCTTTTTTTTTTTTTAATTTTTTTTAAAGATTTTATTTATTTATCTTTAGAGGGGAAGGGAAAGAGAGAGGAGGAGAAACATCAATGTATGGTTGCCTTTCGTGCGTCCCCTGCTGTGAACTGGCCTGCAGGGAACCGGCCTGCAACCCCGGTATGTGCCCTGACTGGGAATCGAACTGCGATTGTCTGGTTCGCAGGCCCGTGGTCAATCCACTGAGCTACACCAGCCAGGGCTACATTGATGTCTTTTCTCTCTCATTTTTTCTCTCTCTCTCTAAAATGAGCATATCCTTGGGTGAGGATTAAAAAATAAAAAATGCTAAAGTGCTTAAAAATGCTTTGGTGTCTAGATTCCAAGGGTCATCAGCTTCTCTGGTGAGCATTGCTTCTTGTCTTGAACTGTCCAACAGTATTACTTTATAGTCTTGATAAGGTAATTCTATAATATGACTTAATCTTATGCTTGAAGTAATATTTCATGTCATGAGCTTTTAAAGTTTTGAAGGGGAAAGTCTGGTGTAAAATATAGTAGCAAGAGGAACTTTCTGTTGAGGTGAGGAAAGTTGTTAATTTATTTCCATGGTAATAGCTGCTAAGCAGTTATGGGCAACTTAGAGTTTAAAAATAATGGGGAACTAGTCAAAGCACTAACATACAGTTGTGAAGTATATTTGTTTTATTCCTTTTGAGATAGATTAAAAGAATTCTTAACCGCCCTGCTGTGAATATTAATTTTTTCATGATTTATGTAGTTTGTTTATCGATGGACACTTTTACAACAGGATTTATGAAGCTGGGTCTGAGAACAACACAGCAGTTGTGGCAGTAGAAACTCACACGATACACAAAATTGAAGAAGGTATTGGTAAGTCTTTTTGATATTCTAGTACATTTGACCTTAACTTCCTTAATTGGGATTTCTTGCCTTTGTGCCTTTTTCATCCTACTTAGTATGCCCTGTTAATACTGTTAATCAATTTGATGGTGGCACATCTAGAGACCACTGATTAAGGTGCTAGGGCTGTCAGCTGATTGTTGAACATCAATTTGTTAGGGTTGTGGAAAAGATTTTTCATCTATTAAAGTCCCACAAAGAAATTAGAACCTCAAGGTTGATTTTTGTCATCAGGAAAGTTGTTGATGAAGACTGATGAGGTGTTCACTAATAGACAGTTAGTGGAAAGAAACTTTGAAATTAGACAAACTTGAGTTTAAAGCCTACTTTCCCATTTAGCTGTGTGTCCTTGGAGGTGTTACTTTTACCTTTTGGAGTCCCACATACAACATGTAAAACATAGAAAATAATCGCTGCTTCCCAGGATTATTGCAAGAACAAAATAAGATTAAGTGCATCAAAGCGTATAGCACAGTGTCTGTTGCATAGTGGGAGCTCAGTAAAAGAGCTGTCATGCCTAACTTCTTCCAGAGGATTTCTAAACAACACCAGCCAGTGTAAACTGTTAGCCCTTGAGAGGAACCAAGAGACTAAAGATTTTGAATTGAACTTTGGGGAAGAGTGTTCAATAAATAACTGTGTTTTTTTTTTTCTCATTATCAGATGCAAGTACTATAGAAGCAAATGAGGATATGGAAATTGCTTACCCCATAACTTGTGGGGAGAGCAAAGCCATTCTTCTTTGGAAGAAGTTTGTATGTCCAGGAATAAATGTAAAGTGTGTCAAGGTAATTGTCTTTTCTCCTTGCTGAAACCTACTTTGGGGCTCCTTGTTTTCAAAAGGCATGGTTCCAGTGCCTCTTTCTTCTACTGTATCAGTATTTTTAATTTTGTGGCTGTAGTCCTATTGCATCATAGTAAACGAAAACAACTTTGGAGTCAAAACTGATCTGGATTCAAGTCCCACCAGAATAGAAGTTTCATGAGAGCTGAGAACCTGTCAGTCTTGTTCCCCAGTGTATCTCCAGCACTTAGAATGGTACTTGGTGTATTTATCAAAAAATATTTGTTGAATAAATGAATGGAGTCCCATCTCTATTACTGATTAGGTGGGTGACCTTGAGCAAGTTATTCAATATTTTAGAACCTCATATATTAAAATATGAATAATCATATATGTCCCCATTGTTAGCCACAACTATACCCATAGATAGTAGTCACCATCGGTGGCATCATCCTAGAATCATTAAAGATTATGTAGTTTTGACACTTTGCAGTGCTATTGGTTCTTACTGTACTTAATCCTTCTATCATATCCTGAATCTTATCATTAAGGCTGGATAGATTGTTTTAGTTTATTTAAACAGCCTTTATAACATTGAATCCAACCACCTGATTCAGAGCATAAATGGATTTTATTTTTTATTTTTAAAAAGATTTTATTTATTTATTTTTAGAAAGAGGGGAAGGAAAGGAGGAAGAGAGGGAGAGGAACATCAATCTGTGGTTGCCTCTCATATGGCCCCCACTGGGGACCTGGCTGCAACCCAGGCATGTGCCCTGACTGGGAATCGAACCAGTGACCCTTTGGTTCACAGCCTGTGCTCAATCCACTCAGCTATACCAGCCAGGGCCATAAATGGATTTTAAATGCTAATTAGTATATTAATCTCTGATCTTCCTCGTGTCATCTGTAGCTTTCAACCAGGATGGGGCACTGTGCTTAGAGAAGGATCATCTTCCCTGGCACAATAGGGCAAAAGGTTGGATAATAAAAGACTATGACTTAAGATGCCATCTGGGTATTTTTTGTATATAACAAGTAGAGTTATCTCTTTGTTTGTCTCTTCCTGCCTAAGTTGACATTGTATTATTTTGGACTTTTCTTTTTACTTTAGTTCAATGATCAGTTGATCAGCCCCAAGCATTTTGTTCATCTGGCTGGCAAGTCCACCCTAAAGGACTGGAAGAGAGCCATTCGTTTGGGTGGAATTATGCTCAGGTGAGCTCTAATACTAAGAACATACCTTTCAACTGACTTTGGGGCATTTAATCATGGTAGAATCCAGCGAATTCAGTCTTTTCTCTTTAATTTGAAATTTTTATTCTGTCTGAAGGATTAGCTTAAGAAATTCATGTGTTATTTGACCTTCATTAACTTGTTCTTTAAAAAACTCTTAAAGAAAGTGAATTTGATTCCCAAATTCACTCTTCCCAGCATCTAGGGCAAATTTTTCTAATGTTAAGATGATGGGTAGGGTCCTTCAGGGCAGAGAAACTCAAGAGCAGGTGATAGTCCTGCTTGAGATCATCGGTCATAGGCAGAGCTAAGCCTGATGCTGAGGAAGCATGACAGCCACAGAGAAGTGTAGGCTGACTGGCAAATCCTGGGATAATCCGGTAAAAGTAGAAGGGTGCTGTTAATAAGTATCAAAGATGCCCAGTAAATGCAGTCTTTGCCATCACTGTACTACAGAAATAAAATTCAGAATGTATAATATCCCCAACTCCCTCTCTTTATGCAACAAGTTTACTATTATAATGTTTCCCCTCTGAAAAGTAACATTAGTTGATTCAGTTCGTACTCATTCTTTGAGCACTCACCTAATGATAGAAAATTTTCGACTTTTTTTTTTTAAAGAGAGGGGAGGGGAAGGAGACAGTGAGGGAGAGAATCATCGTTGTGAGAGAAACATCAGTGGGTTGCCTCTTATACACACACTAACTGGGGACTGAACCGACAAGCGAGGCATGTATCATCGCCGGGAATCGAGCCAGTGACCTTTTGTTTTGCAGGATGGTGCCCAACCAACTGAGCCACACCAGTCAGGGCTTGATATAAAATTTTTAAATGTGGTCAGGAATTAAAAGTTCCACACAGAACATGTTCCGAGAGTCTCAGAAACATCTCATTTTTTATCTTCAATTCTTTTTTTTTGAGAGAGAGGAGAAGGGAGAGGGAGAGAAACATCAATGTGTGGTTGCCTCTTAAGTTGGGGACCTGGCCTGCAACCCAGGCATGCACTCTGACCGGGAATTGAACCAGTGACCCTTTGGTTCGCAGTCCAGCACTCAGTCCACTGAGCCACACCAGCCAGGGCTGTCTTCAGTTCTTTTTAAGGAATCTGTCTTAAGAAAAATCTGTAATACTTGTAGAGATTCAAGCATAAATATTTTGATTATAATGTTATTTATAATGAAAATTAGTCTATCCTATGTCTTTTTTTTTTAAAGATTTCATTTATTCATTTTTAGACAGAGGGGAAAAGAAGGAGAAAGAGAGGGAGAGAAACATCAGTGTATGGCTGTCTCTGGAACACCCCTTACTGGGGACCTGGCCCACAATGTAGGCATGTGCCCTGACTGGGAATCGAACCTCGACCTTTTGGTTTGCAGCCGTGCTCAACCCACTGAGCTATACCAGCCATAGCAAATTAGTCTACTTTAATATACAGTCAAGATATACCTAAAGTAAATTATGGCTAACCTCAGTATATATAAGTATATACTATGGGATATGATGCAGTAATTAAAATATTTCTAAAAAGTTTTTACATGCAAAAATGATTATAATATAGTGCAAGAAAGAAAATAAAATGTAAATCAGTTAAACAGTGTGATTTTACTTGTGCTAAGTTCACAAGCAGTGCTGGCTGGTGTGGCTCAGTGAATTGAGTGCTGGCCTACCGACTGAAGGGCTGCAGTTCAGTTTCCAGCTATGGGACATGCCTGGGTTATGGGCCAGGTCGCCAGCTGGGGGAGTGCAAGGGGCAGCCAGTCTGTTTTTCTCACACATCGATGTTTCTGTCCTTCTCTTTCTCCCTTCTTTCCCTTCTCTCTAGAAATAAATAATTAAAATACTTACAAAGAATAGTCCAAAATGCCAAAATGTTGACATTATCTCTGTGTTGTAGGGTTTTTTTAAGGGCAGTTGTTTTCTTCATAGTTTTCTGTATTTTTTCATTAAAAATGTTATTTTTTTCCTTCACCTATTATTTTTATAGTCAGACACATAATTAAAAAATATTCATCCCAGATGATTTGTACACAGAAATGAGTAGTTGATTGAAATGGGGAGGAACACTTTTAACTCCTATTTTTGTTGTTCTTGGCCTATTTTATTTGCCAGAAAAACAAGCATATGTGAACTTTCTTCAAATGTAAAATGAAACAAGAATACCTAAAAACATCTTTAGTAAAAGACAAGTAACAATATAAGACAGCTTACTATAATTAAAATACTGCATGGTTTTGCTCATGGCCCATCATAACAATGTCTTGTGAATCCAGTTCTAAGGACATCTTATATTGGGGGTTTAGTTTAATCAGCCCTGTTATGTATTTATTCGAGAGTTGTTATCAATTTTTTTTAAAGATTTTATTTATCTTTAGAGGGGAAGGGAAGGAGAGAGGGAGAGAAACATCAGTGTGTAGTTGCCTTTTGTGTGTCTCCTGCTGGGAACTGGCCTGCAGGGAACCGGCCTGCAACCCCAGTTTGTGCCCTGACTGGGAATCGAACTGCGATTGTCTGGTTCGCAGGCCCATACTCAATCCACTGAGCTACACCAGCCAGGGCTTGTTATCAATTTTTTTAAGGGAAGAAACATGCTGAAGTTTTATGTCTCCAAAAGTGACAACAGATCTAGATGGTCTAGAAATACTAACACATCAGAATGCCATCACCAAATTCTAATTCCTTTGTGGCATTTCTCAGCTGTGCTGGGATATGAGGCAGTCTTTTTTTACCTTTTTGGATTTGGTTTCAATGAGATTCTATGGGGAAACTTAGCTATTGTCAGGAGTATACAACTAAGGCTTAGTGACAATGGGACATAAAAGAGAGTATTCTTGAGTAGACTAGGGAGGGAAGAGGAGTACTTGTAAATGTGGTCAGGACCAATGAGAATTTTATACTCCCAATTAGAATTTTTGCAACCTAATGACTTTTAAAACTATCAGGTTTCACTAATCTACAAAGTAGACTCAGCATCTTGTCTCTATTTGTCCCTGAAGCCTGGTTTCCTTTTGATGAAGTACAGGCTAAACTGGGATTTCTTATCTCCCTTTGTGCAGGAAAATGATGGATTCTGGACAAATTGATTTTTACCAACATGATAAGGTTTGCTCCAATACCTGCAGAAGCACCAAATTTGATCTTCTTATCAGCAGTGCAAGAGCTCCAGTGCCAGGACAGCAGACAAGTGTGGTGCAGACACCCACTTCGGCCGATGGTAGGGGGTAGGAAACCACCTGAAAACCCATTGTATTTTTCAGTAGCACTTTCCCTTCGTTTCTCCTTTGTGTTTCTTAATTTCAGTTCTCATGAGTGGTGATGTCCCTGTAATCATGGGTGGGGTTCCATGCTTTACAAACAGATCTTTGTTTTCTCCCAAATGATTCCTATTGACTACCTTCCCTTATTTCTTTCTTGCAATGCACAGTAAACATTAGAAAGATGGTTCAGTAGTCATAGTGCTTATTCAGTGATCTTGCTTGGGTGCCACTTGGCATAGTTTTGAAATTAGATTGTTTTGAAAATCCTTTGCTCTACTAGTGGTCAAAGCAGGAAGTTCAGTTGGAATGGTGAATGGTTTTTAATTGATAAACTGAGATGTATCAAAGACAATTTATCTTTGGCTGGGATGGACTCTGGGTGACTCTTGCTATAAGGATCAAAGAGCCGTGACCGGAAGGGATCCAGATAACCAAGCTGAGGCTTCCTCACAAATGAGACAGGATGGGCAGACACTTAACTTCAGTATTGTTGAGTTTGGGACTAGGGCTCCCTGTGCATCTCCAGGACAGATATAACCATGTGAGATTATTAAGGATTCAGTTAGTCCAGCTGGAGATTTAGTACAGTTAAAATTCTTAGAATATGTATCAGTTACTTCCAGAAAACTTACAAATATGCCTGACAGAGCAGCAAGAATGATAAAGGATGTAAGGGAAGTAATGTTCTTTAAAAATGCATCTTACTTTTTTTTGGGTCAGACCTAGTATTCCGTAAGTAACAACTGGGTAAGTAAAAGCTGAATCTTTTTCAGGAAAGTATAAAATATCTAGCAGTTTGAATTTTTGTTGATATGACTCACTTGAAAAGTGAAAAATGCTGTAAAATTACATAATCCTTTTTATTGGGCCAAAACTTTTTTATTTAACTGATTACCAATATTGATACCACTTTGCTTGATTATTGATATCCTCCAGCTTGTAGAGTTTACACTTGTCTTTATTTCTATCTCAGTTTGATTTTTTTAGTTCTCTTTGTTTACAACTGACAGCAAAAGTGTTTTCCTCTGTGCATCTACTATTTGTGGTCTCATCTGATTTTTTTGAGGTCTAATTTCTCTTGTTTTCTCTTACATCAGCTGATAAATAAGTTATAGCAACTTCACATAGTGTAGATGGTTCGTATCAAACAGGCCTGTATTTAATAGGGCTCTTGGCTAAGCACTATACTTTTCTCTTACATTATTTCTGGTCCTTCTCATCCTCACTAAGTCTGGGGCAAGTAGCCTGGCAGTTATGCCCACCTTAAGTCTCTTTCAAAAATATACCTGCTCGAAAAGCAGATTGTTCTTTTTTTAAGATTGTATTTATTTTTTCAAAGATTTTATTTATTTATTTTTAGAGACAGGGGAAGGGAAGGAGAGAAACATCAATGTGTGGTTGCCATTCCCATGCCCCCTTGTGAGGACCTGGCCAGCAACCCAGGCATTAGTTCTGACTGGGAATTGAATCAGCAACCCTTTGGTTCGCAGGCCTGTGCTCAATCACTGAGATACACCAGCTAGGTATTTATTTATTTTTAGAGAGAGGGGAAGGGAGGGAGAAAGAGAGAAACATTGATGTGTGAGAGATACATCAATCGTTTGCCTCTCACATTCCCCCAACTGGTGACCTGCCCCACAACCCAGGCATGTGCCCTGACAGGGAATCGAACAAGCAACCTTTCAGTTTTCAGGCTGGCACTCAATGTACACCAGCCAGGGCCAGATTGTTCTTTTGTAATTTTGTAAGTTACCTTAACTTTCTATTCAGAGTAAGAAGAAAACTTTTTTTTTATTTTGCAAGGTAGGTTTTCTTTAGAAAATCTAATATTCATCCTGGCTTTTCTAGTGTTCCAGCTTTTAATATAGGGCTCTTCAGGCAAAAAGCCAGAATGTTAAATGAAATAACAGGGTCTCTTTGTCTATGAATATGAGATGGAGGATAGCTATGACTGTTTCATAAAATTCACTGGCCTTACCTCTAATGGACTGCTTTTAGGTAACATCACACAGATCGCCATTTCAGAAGAGAGCATGGAAGAAGCAGGGATAGAATGGAACTCAGCTCTCACTGCTGCTGTCACCATGGCCACAGAGGAGGGAATGAAGAAAGACTCAGAAGAAATTTCAGGTACTTTTTTCTGGTGCTCAGACATCTTGCAGGGTTTTCTGACCTTATCACCATTATGATAGGGAAACAAAAGACCTCTTAATTACTTTTGTTGTTCTTTCTGGTTCATATTAATACTAACTATTGCTGCAAACTTCTTTTATCCATGCAACAGCCCTGCAAAGTCACGTTTTATACATGAAGAAATTGAGGTTCAGAAAGGTTCAACAACTTGCCTAATGTCAGTCATATAACCTATAAGTATTAGAGCTGAATTCAGCTGAGTTTGACTCTGTAGCCCATGCTTTTCATCCTCTCATACTGCCTCCATCTTTGGTACATTTGTTAGATAAACCAAGCTGCAAGGTGTTAGAAGAAAAAAGTAGGTAGCAGGTGGTGTAGAAGATGGTAATTAATAATGATTCACTTAGAGGGGACCAGGAAAAGCTTCACATCATCCTCCAGTCATATATTCATTTAACAGATATTTATGCTGCATATTTTCAATTGGTGCTCTTGCTAGATGCTAGACAGGTAAATGAAAAGATATAGCCTCTGACTTCAGGGAGCTTATAATAATGCCTGTGCAACTATTTTAGTTTGTTTTTTTAACTATGATTAGGGCAAATACATCTTTATTTTTTTAGAATATCTTTAACATCTTTTATTACTTTTAGAATTAAATTATTTAAATAATATCTAATATTTAATGTTTAATTTAATATATTTATTAGAGGAAGGTACCTATTCCTTGTAGCCAGAGCCATGACAAATTATGGGCATGACAAATTGAGGCAATTATCCCAAGTCCCTAGTTTGCTAAAGAGGCCAAATAATTAGTACCAATTTAGAGAGGCAGCCACTATTCCAAAAGCTTCTTTCCTCTGCCAAGAAATGGCCTGACAAGGAATCCTTTCAAATTGAAATGATTTTGAATTTAATACATTGTAAAGATGTGCCTGAGTATATGTAGCATCTCTTGCTGACCCTCTCTTATCTCTTTTGTACCAGAGGACACTTTGATGTTCTGGAAGGGAATAGCTGATGTAGGGCTGATGGAAGAGGTTGTATGCAATATACAGAAGGAAATAGAGGAGCTACTCAGGGGGGTTCAGCAGCGGCTCATCCAGGCTCCCTTCCAGGTCACAGGTAAGTGCATTAATGTTAATAATATCAAGTGATTTATTAAACACTATCAACTGCAGATAGGCAGATCCTATCACCCTCATGTAAACACTAAGGGATAGGTATTATTATCCCCAATTTACAGATTAATAAACTAGGGATCACAAAAGTTAAGTTACTTGTCCAAAGTTCATAACTGGTTTTTGAACTCAGGTCTGGCCATGCTTTCTCCACAGGTAATTTTTGCCTTTATCAATGTGTCAGAGAAGTAATTCTCTCAATTCTCTCTCACTCCTATATATGAGTGTGTACATATGTATTTAAATAATATAGATAGAGTAAATCAAAATTAGTTATACACGTGATCAATTTTGGTTAAAATTGTTAAAAATGCAGGTAGAATAGTCCCATCATTTTCTCCTTGTTCCATATTTATATATAGCACAACAGGGAGATGGTGGAACTTTTCTATTTTAACTCAACAGACATGTCTTTTGTTTTAAATAGATGCTGCTGTTCTCAACAATGTGGCACATACGTTTGGCCTAATGGACACAGTCAAGAAGGTTTTGGACAACAGAAGGAACCAAATAGAGCAGGGGGAAGAGCAGTTTCTCTATACTCTGACAGGTATGTGTAATTTATGTCTCTTCTTAGGTGATATACTAATATTCTCAAGTCTTGCCATTTCTTTGTTGAATTCCGTTGGAACTAGCTTGCTTCTTTCTTCTTTCTCCCCCAACCCCAACTCCCTCTCTTTTTCTATCTTTTTCTTTCTTTCAATTCACATAGTATCCTATGTGGCTTTTTCTTATACAAAGCCTTAGGTGGGGTGAAGTGGTGGGAAACAGATGAGGCACAGAGGAAAAGAGAAAGAAGCCAGCACCCCAGTACTCTTTCTATATCTTTTGGAGAATTAGGATGTCTGCTAGAATGCTCTATTAATCCAGAAATATTGATGGCGGAAGAAACAAATTGGCCTTTGTCGTTTTTACATTATTACTACTGAGTCTTTTGAGAGATATACATTTAGCATATTCTCCGTTATTTGTGTAATAAATTATGGTATAGGGATAATTTAACTCTTTTTATCAAGTACTTCGTGCTGGTCTCTACACTAGATTTTAGAAATATAGTGTTAAATATTGAGGGCCTTCAAGGAATTCAAGGGAAAGCAGACATTGAAATAGAGTAAGTGCAAAATGTAATCAGTTTTGTGACAGGCATATAGCAGGTATGACGGAAAAGCAAAGGGAGTTATCACTTATACCTGGAGAGAATCAGGAGAGGCTTTTGAAGGAGGTAAAGCAGGTGAAGGATAAAAACAGGTCAGAGGTATGGAGTATCATTAGGGTTTGAATGATGTTTTGGGTTGGCCAAAAGGTCCATAAGTTTTTTCCTGCAAAATAATAGACACATTTTTCATTTTCACTAATAACTATTAATTTGGATATTATGAATATGTCAGCTATCCTTCTGCATGGTATAATGTTGATTGTTCTCAAGTAATGTCTCGTTGATTGCTATCACCTTCAACTGGGCTAGCTGACTGTGGAGCATCATCCAGTGAGAAATCTCTAGCAAGAAACGTACCACTTTTGACACGTTCAATTAATCACAGCATCTTCTCTATACACTGCCCAAATCTTGTTTTGCATTTCTGTTGCGTTTTTACCTTTCTTAAAATAATAAAGTATAATATGCTAAAAATGTTGTATCTTTTCTTCCATTCTCAGTATTAAAATGGCTATACAAAAATTTAACAATTTTGCCCTAGCTGGTGTAGCTCAGTGGATTGAGCGCAGGCCTGTGAAGCAAGGGGTTGCTGGTTCGATTCCCAGTCAGGGCACATGCTTGGGTTGCGGGCCAGGTCCCCAGTGGGGGACACGTGAGAGGCAACCACACATTAATGTTTCTCTCCCACTCTTTCTTGTTCCCTTCCCCTCTCTCTAAAAATAAATAAATAAAATATTTTTTAAAAAATTCAACAATTTTGACAAGTTTTTTAAAAATGCATGCTGATATTACAGCTCTCACAATACAGTCTAACAATATGGTTTTGAATAAAGTTAAAGACAACTAAGCTCTAAAAACCAGTGAACTTTCTGGCCAACCCAGTAGAATATGTTATAGTCAGTCATAAAGCCCAAAGGCAAGAAAGATATCTGATAAGAAAGAACAATTTGTTTTTTTTAAAGTTATTTTTATACCCAGTTTGTATTTTAAACTATGTTTACCAAGTACTGTCAGAGGTACCCTTTGCCATTTGATCCCCCCCCAGGACTGTTATCCCTATTTTACTGATGACCCAGTAGAGGAACAGAAAAGATACATTATTTGCTTAGGGCCACAAAAGTGAAGCTGAAAGTAGAATTCTGTCTTCTTACTCCTAATCCAGTTTCTACCTTGAAACTTTACACCATCTGAAAAATAGTTTTTTTTTTTTTTAAATGGTAGGCTTCTGGTTCCTTGTCCATATTATTTTTTAGGTAGTTTTAATTGTAGTGTACATAAAATTTTGTTTTCTGATTTTTTACTATGACATTAATATTTTTCCAAGTTGCTACATAGTACTTCATCTAGACATTCTCCTACCAAGACATTTAAATTTTCTTTAAAAACAAATTTACTTTTAGCCCTGGCTGGTGTGGCTCAGTGGATTGAGTGCTGGCCTGCAAACTAAAGGGCCGCCAGTTTGATTCCCACTCAGGTCACATGCCTAGGCTGCAGACCAGGTCCCCAGTAGGGGGTGCACAGGAGGCAGCCACACATTGATGTTTCCCTCTCTTTCTCCCTTTCCCTCTCTAAAAATAAATAAATAAAATCTTAAAAAAAAAAAAAAGATTTAGAAAGAAGAAGAGAGGGAGAAAAAGAAGGAGAGAAACATCAGTGTGTGAGAGAAACATCAATAGACACATTAATCAGTTTATCTCTTGTATGCCCCCAACTGGAGATCTGGCCTGCAACCCAGGCATGTGTCCTGACTGGGAACTGAACCAGCAACCTCTTAGTTTGAAGGCCAGCACTCAGTCCACTTAGCCACACCACCCAGTGCTAGATATTTAAATTTTCAAACTCTTCTTCAGTAGCTTATTTTGTTACATTGGACTTGTGTGAATATAGTTTTTAAAATTTTTTAAATTTATTTTAGAAAGAGAGAAGGGGTGGGGGGAAAGAGAAAAACATCAATTTATTGTTTTACTTATTTATGTATTCATTGGTTGATTCTAAAGTGTACCCTGACTGGGAATCAAACCTACAACCTTGGCATATGGGGATGACGCTCTAATCAACTGAGTACCCAAACAGTCCCTAACTTTTTCTTTTTATGTCCTTTTAAACTATTTCCCAGGACTAAGCTTAAGGTTAAATAGTATTTATAATTTGTTTTATGGGTTTCTGGGAATTACTGTCAAATTTCCAAGATTATACCAATTTATATCACCAGTTTGAACTCACCAACAGGGGGCATTTATAATAGTACCTGACTTAACTTTTCAAAAATTCCTGGACAGTGTGACTCAGTTGGTTAAGTGTCCCATAAACCAAAAGGCCGCGGGTTCAATTCTTGGTCAGGGAAATGCCTAGGTTGCAGATTTGGTCGTGGGTGGAGGGCATATGATATCAATATTTCTCTCACATCAATGTTTCTCTCCCTCTCTCTCTCCCTCTCTCCCTTTCCCTCTCTAAAATCAGTGAGCATGTCCTCAGGTGAGGATAAAAAGAAAATCATCCGGTCTAGTTTCTTCTTAAAAACAATGAAGTGACTTTCCTGAGACTACATAGCGGCAAGACCAGAACAAGACCCCAGGTCTCCTCCTTCCCATTTTACTGTTCCCAAGATTATAGTTTCCTTCACACAGTCTTTTTTTTTTTTTTCATAGACTTGGAACGCCAGTTGGAAGAGCAGAAGAAGCAAGCTCAGGATCACAGGCTGAAATCCCAGACAGTTCAAAATGTGGTATTGATGCCTGTGAGCACTCCTAAGCCTCCAAAAAGGCCCCGGCTCCAACGGCCAGCCTCCACCACTGTCCTGAGCCCTTCTCCTCCTGTCCAGCAGCCTCAGTTCACAGTCATCTCACCTATTACCATCACCCCAGTGGGTCAGTCATTTTCCATGGGCAATATTCCAGTGGCCACCCTCAGCCAGGGCTCCAGCCCTGTGACTGTCCACACACTGCCTTCTGGCCCTCAGCTCTTCCGCTATGCCACAGTGGTCTCCTCTGCCAAGAGCAGCTCACCAGACACAGTGACCATTCACCCTTCATCTAGCTTGACGCTGCTAAGCTCTACTGCTATGCAGGATGGGAGTACCCTGGGCAACATGACCACCATGGTGAGCCCTGTGGAGTTGGTGGCCATGGAGTCCGGCCTGACCTCGGCAATACAGGCTGTTGAAAGCACCTCAGAGGATGGGCAGACCATCATTGAGATTGACCCAGCCCCAGACCCAGAGGCTGAGGATACTGAGGGCAAAGCAGTCATTTTGGAGACAGAGCTGAGGACTGAGGATAAAGTTGTGGCTGAGATGGAAGAACATCAGCATCAAGTCCACAATGTGGAAATTGTGGTCTTAGAGGATTAACTGGGGAGATTGGGGCCAGGAGATATGTTTTGGTTTTAAATTTTAATTATTTGTTTACTTTTATCATTGTCCCACTCATTTCCACATAGGATCCTTTAAAAAAAAAACTATCTTGTTGCTGTAACTGAAAATGTTGGGTACCTCCCACCCCCTCATTGAAAGAATGGACAAAAACAAGCTGCCCTTCCAGAAGTTGAGAGTAGGTTATTCAATGTCCTCATCCTCTTATACCAAGAAAGTTATTTCTTTTAGGGGAGGCATCAAGATAACCAGAAACCCTATCCTGAATGCCCTTTCCAGGCTAGTCTACCTATGTATGCATGTGGTTTTATTTTTGTAAAGATGCATTGACCAAACTCTGGAACACAGACCTGATACTGGAAGATAACCCACTCACACATGGATGCAGAAGGATAGTTTGTTTTGTATCCTGGAATGGGCCCTCAGAGGCCAGTGCAAAACTCTGAAACAAAGGAAGTTGAAATCTGCTTGAAGGGGAACTCTGTTGCTTGGAGCAGCAGCTTAAAAAGGGAAGTGCTTTGGCCAGGATGGGGCAAAGAAATTATCTTATTTCTTGAAGTGCAACTGATACCTCTTGATATTTCTGAGGGTTACCACTATGGGTGCTATTTTGAGGAGAGACCACTGATAAGTGGAAGGGTACATTACCATGGAGCAAGTAGCATCAGGGGAAATAGAAATCCAGGGATGTCACAGCTGTGCTTTGGGATTCAAGCCCACCTGGCTCCAACTTTGTCAAAGCACTTACCTTTCTAAACTAGGATTAGTCCATTTATTCACGAACTGTGATGTGGTGTAAATTGCTCTTGGATTATGGCTGTTGTGGTAGTCGGGCCTCCAAGACCATTATTTTTATCACATAACTCCAAGCGCAGGGGAGTTCCTCATCCAGACCATCTGCCTGTTTTGGTGGGGCCCTTTTTTGGCTTTGGAACCAAAAGCATCCACTCATTTGGTGCTTCCTCTTGTTCTACCCTCCGTTTCTCAACCGTTAATGACATCTGTCTCCTGGATCCCACGCTCTTCAGCTCTTTGGCTGGTTTGTAGAACAGTGACAGATGCCCACCTTCATCCTCTTTTAGATTCATTTATACCACAGATGTTTCTGTGAGATTGAACTCATAAAAAACCCCTTAGCTTGGCAGGAAGACTAAACACGCCCAGCCTATCCTGAGACACCGAGTGGATGTCTCCTGAGCGAGCTGGACTCCCTTGGAAAGAAGCATTGTCTGCAATGTTATATTATAGGAAGTGTACCAAGAATGTCAACAATAATGTCTTTGCGGTGGGAGGGTGTATAAGTAAGATTTTTTTTTTACTGTTTATATACTTAGAGCTGGGCCATTTTCTGTGTTGTGATTCCTTCTCTTTGACCACCTTCAGTGTTTGGGGCAAGAGTGGACCCTGGTCTTTCTTTTGGTTGTATTGTTTACTGCACTAGGAAAAATATAGGGAAACCGCAGACAGTTTAAAGGAAAAATAGGTAAAAAAGAAAGCACATACCTTAGAAGTGGGAGTTTTTGTTTTGTTTTTTAATTAAAAGCAAAACTTCAACCTGTAGTTTCCTTTTTTTTTTTTTTCTTAAGAAGCCACCCACTTGAAGCCATGTTTTTCCAATGGATGTTGGAAACCCTGTTGTCAAGTGAAAACAGTTCTGTCCCTCAGATAGCTGTATATAGCTGGAGAAGCCCTCTAACTTGGAGGGTCAATTATAAAAGCCTTAAAGGGTGAGATTTCTGAACCCCATACAGTTGTGGTCTTCAGCTTTAAAATTGGGGTTTTATTTTTCTTTTCAAAACATTTAATAGATGTAGTGGTCAGCTTAGAACAAAGCTTTGGCCCTTTATATATCTTTAGTGAGGAAAATGGCTTTTATTTCTTGCTTTTTTAGGTTTTCTGTTGGTACATAAACAAAACCAGTATTTCTCTCTAAGGCTAAAACTGTTACTTGAAGCTAAAAAGGCATATCATTCCTAATGTGGTTTTTAGGGACACTTTTCTCTTTCCAGAGACAAGAGGCCCAATTCAGAACAGAGAAGGAAAATACCTACACCCTAAGTTCCTTTCTTTGCTCCATCAGAGCTGTTGGTAATATTTTATTGTAGTGTGAGCATCATGCTTCCAAAGTCAAGAGATCTCCTTCTAAGGACAGAGCCTGTTTACTTTTACTTTCTGAATAGTCCAGCTGGTGGAAATACACAAGCTTTGTTGTTTTCCTGGTTTTCCAATAGCCTGTCATTATTGCTACATGCTGTGGCACCCATTGTTGAGTTGAGGGGTTCCCTTGTAGGTCCAGTCCAGATGATCTCAGATGGGGGAACTATATGCAAGCCATTCATCTGTACACAAGCATTTGCAATGAATCATTCCTCGGGCTGACTTGGCAGTAGCCATCTTTCTGTTTGTCCATTAAATAAACATTTATAAGTATGGTCTATGTGCCAGGCTTTGTGCTAGGCACTGGCAGTACAGAGGTGAAGACACATTCCCTGCACTTAAAAAGCTCATACTCTAGAGACTGTGTAGAATTTATGTTTGCATATAATTGGTTTCCTTTGTAATCCTATGTATTTTATTTCATGCATTGAAAAGCATTATTCTGAGAATTGATCCATAGGTGTCAGTGGTCTACCAGAGGTACAAAAAGATTAAATCCTTCTCTAGTGAGATATTGAAACAGACCATCATATTGGAATAAATGCAATGATAGAGCTCTTAGCTGGGAGCTAAGAAAACAAAGGGCCCTTGCAGGGTAGCCCAGTTGGTTAGAGCATTGTCCTCATATGCCAAGGTTGTTGGTTTAGGGCACTTATAAGAGTCAACCAACGAATGCATAAAAGTAAAGTGGAACAACAAATTGATGTCTCTCTCTCAAGTCAATCAATAAATAAGTTAGGAGGGGCTCTGGCTGGTGTGCCTCTGTGGTTGAGTGCCAGCCAACAAATCAAATGGTTGCCAGTTTGATTCCCAGTCAGGGCACATGCCTGGGTTGTGGGCCTGGCCCCCAGCAGAGGGTGTGCAAGAGGCAACCACACATTGATGTTTCTCTCCCTTTCTCCTTTCCCCTCTCTAAAAAAATAAAATCTTAAAAAAAAAAAAATAAGGGGGAAAAAAGAGAAAACAGGATGAAGCACTCCAGTTTGGGGGCTGGGGCCAGCAAATACGGGAGTACTTCCTGAAGGTGTGACCTTAAGCTGATTTAGGAGAGAGCATTTTTGGCTAGGTTTTGGGACGTTATTTTGTACACCATTTTCAAGTAGTTGTGTTTATAGAAGAGGAAAAAAAATCCTTAGCCTTGTTGCTTTTGCCTCCAGAGCCAGGCAATCAGTAGCACAGGCAGTTTCTCCTAAGAGTACTGCACTGGAGAAAGCCAAATCATGTGTCAGTTTCTCTTGAGTTTCAGTGAGATGAATCCAATGTAGGACTGGAGTTTAGCTGGTGGGCAGTAAATGCCCAAACCTTCCTGTCATGCAGAATCTGCAAGGGCCTCAGAGTCAGCTGTACAACTGTCTCACCTTGGCCAAGTCCATATTTGGCCCTCACCTTGTTCTTTTCCCCATTTCAGACTCCTTCCCTGACCCAAACCCCACAAAACAAAACAAAACAAAACAAAACAAAACAAAACAAAAAAAACCTCTCCCAATTTTTCGAAAGTATAAAATGGACAATACTTCAGGACCCAAAGCCAGTTCACTGCAGTTTTGGGTTTGTTTCTTTTTACACCTTTGTTCACATTAGGGAAGAAGAAGCAATGTTAATCCAAATACATTGGAAGTTAGTATTCTGTTCAGTTAATATGATACTCTTTAGTGGAGGCATTTCGTCCCATTGTCATAAAAGGTGTGAAAGGTAAGTTTGTATGGTAGGAAGTATTTGTATTGGTAACATTTGATTATAAAAATAGCAAAATCAAGCATAAACTATGGGATTACTAGTTTATTGAGTTATAACTGGTCCAGGTCAAGGAAGTAGGAAGGATAAAGAAAAGGTTGAGTTCTGAAAATAGGCATGAGGTTGTGATTCATTTTGGGCCACAGTCCTGAGGAAATAGTCTTTTCTGAGAAAAAAATTCAGATGCTAGGCCTCTCCCTGCATTTTCACATATCTAGTACAGTTCCCTCACACTTAGGATACCTCCTTCCTGGGAAACTCTTATGCTGTCTGCAATGTACTACAATAACCACCAAGGTGGTGATGCTATATAAGGGACTGCACAGGATCAATTCTGATAGATTTTGACTCTCTTTGTCCCTGGGATTTCTCTTCTTAGGAAGCCCTAATTGAGTCCTTTCCAGGTTTCCCCCTCAATTTTGGAACATCTTTCTTTGTCCTTTCAAGAGCTAGGCAATTTGACTTCCTCTGGAAGGTTCTACTTTCCGCCAACTCCTTTATCCATATTCCTATTTCCCTAACCAAAACACATTTGGTTCCCAATTCTGCCATGTCAGTAACTCTTTCAACTTTAGGTCATCATTTCTCATGGCACCCCAAGAACCCAAATCAGCATACATCCAGAGATGGCTGTCTTTACTACCTAAAACAGCCTCTTCACTCCATTAATCACCTGAATTGAAGCATCTTTAGGATGTACATGTTCAGTGTCTGTAGGTAAGATCCCCAGCACACATAAATCTAAAACTTGTCTTTTATACCTGATTGTTTATCTATGGTGACCCAGGCTAAGTCATGCCTGTTTCCTGGATAAATTCCCTTCTTTCCTCCCTCCCTCCCTTCCTTGATTTTTCAGAGAAAGAGAAATATCAGTTGTTTCACTTATATTGATTATGCTATTACAGTTGTCCCATTTTCCCCCTTTCCCCCTTCCCCCCTCCACCCAGTATCCCCATTCTCTCCAGCAATCTTCCCTTCCTTAGTTCAGGTCCATGGGTCATGCATATAAGTTCTTTGGCTACTCCATTTCCTATACTGTTCTATTCTTCTTCCTATTCTGTACCCTCCATTTTTTACTTTTTTTAAAAAAGATTTTATTTATCTTTAGAGGGGAAGGGAAGGAGAGAGGGAGAGAAATATCAATGTATGGTTGCCTTTTGTGTGTCCCTGCTGGGAACTGGCCTGCAACCCAGACATGTGCCCTGACTGGGAATCAAACCGCGGTTGTTTGGTTCACAGGCCTGCACTCAATCCACTGAGCTACACCAGCCAGGGCCCATTATTTACTTCTTAATCCTTGCACCTAGTCCCCATTCTTTCCCTCCTTCCTCCCAAATGATAGCCCTCCAAATGATCTCCACATATTTTTTTCTGTTTCTGTTCTGCTTGTTTGCTTAGTTTTTTAGACTAAGTTGTTGGTAGTTGTAAATTTATTGCCATTTACTGTTTGAGTTTTTATCTTTTTTTCTTATATAATTCCCTTTAACATTTTATATAATAATGGCTTAGTGATGATAAACTTTAGTTTTACCTTGTATGGGAAGCACTTTATCTGCCCTTTTATTCTAAATTGATAGCTTTGCTGGATAGAGTAATCTAAGTTGTAGGTCCTTGCTTTTCATCACTTTGAATACTTCTTGCCAGTCCCTTCTAGCCTGCAAAGCTTCTTTTGAGAAATCAGCTGACAGTCTTATGGGAAATTCTTTGTAGATAACTATCTGCTTTTCTCTTGCTGCTTTTAAGATTCTCTCTTTATCTTTAACCTTTGGCATTTTAATTACTGTGTGTCTTGGTATGGTCCTCTTTGGCTCCATCTCATTTGGAACTCTCTCTGTGCTTCCTGGACTTGCATGTCTATTTCCTTCACCAAATTAGGGAATTTTTCTTTCATTATTTTTTAAATAGATTTCCAATTCCTTGCTTTTTCTCTTCTCCTTCTGGAACTGCTATGACTCAGATGTTGGTACATTTGAAGATGTCCTGGAGGCTCCTTAGCTTATCCTTGTTTTTTGAATTCATTTTTTTCTTGCTATTTTGATTATTTTATTTGTTCCTTGTGTTCTAAATTGTTGACATTCAGTTTCATCCCCTCCACTGTTGGTTCCCTGTAGATTTTTCTTTATTTCACTTATGTAACTTTCATTTCTTCCTGGGTCTTTTTTTTTTTTTCCCTGTTGAAGTACCCAGTCAGTTCCGTGAGCATCCTGATAACTAGTGTTTTGAACTCTGCATCTAATAGATTGCTTATCTTCATTTTGTTTAGTTTTTTTTTCTGGAGTTTTGTACTTTCATTTGGGCCATATTTCTTTTTCTCTTCATTTTAGCAGCTTCTCTGTATTTGTTTCTGTGTATTAGGCAGAGCTGCTTTGACTCCCTGTCTTAGTAGTGTGGCCTATGGCAGAAAAGTGCACCTGCCTGGATGAACATGGCTTCTTTGAATCCTTGGTTGTCAGACTTCCGCACAGCTTGATTTTCTGATGTTTCTGGCTGATATTTGTTTTGTAGTCTAGTTGTAATTTTTGCTGTAGTTGTGCAAGGAGGCAAGATATTTTTTAAAGATTTTATTTATTTTTAAAGAGTTGGAAAGGGAGGGAGAAAGAGAGGGAGAGAAACATCAATGTGTGGTTGCCTCTCACCTGGCCCCCCACTGTGGAGGCCTGGCCCACAACCCAGGCATGTGCCCTGACTGGAAATCAAACTGGTGACCCTTTGGTATGCAGCCCATGCTCAATCCACTGAGCTACACCAGCCAAGGCTGAAAGTCTTATCCTCATTCAGCAGTGCCATTCTTCCAAGCAGGTCCTTTTGTTCCATTTATTTATGCATTCATTTGTTGCTTCTTGCATTGTATATGCCCTGATCAGATATCGAACTTGCAATCTAGGCATATCAAGACAATGCTTTAACCAACTGAGTTACCTGACCAGGGCCTGGATAAATTCTTTAAGCCCATTTTGATTCTTACTACCTATTCCTCCTGTCTTATAACCTCTCAGTCTAAAGACATTTGGCACTCTCTCAACCTAAAGTAGATCAGGCCCTTCTTTGAAATTGATTCTAGGTTTTTCTCTTTCTGTACCTTTACTGATAGTTATGGCTTGTAATGTGGTATAGATGCATTTATTTTTCTAGTTTGAGGACAAGAATGAACAATTCTATTGGGTTACATATAAGGGTAAGTGTGAGGCTGGGTAATGACCTAGAAGATAAAGTTGCCCACTGTACTTTGTAAGAGCTTCTCCCTAAGGAAAGCTTACCCAGGGGAGGTTTATCTGCATTTCAAAGTGTAAGGGCTTTTTTTTTTGTACACTTCTGGCATATTTTTTTCTGAAGGAATCTATACAGTATAGAACAAACTAGAATTCCACAGTCCTGACTCAGCCTGAAGACTTGTTTTGTTTGGCCTATGTTTTTGTTTGTCCTAACTTTTAATTGAAGTATAAATGCAGACAGGAAAGTCACAAATCACTGTACAATTTGATACACTTAATAAACTGAACACACCCATAAAATCAGCTTCTAGATCAAGAAAAAAAGATGTTACCACTACCTCATCCAGCCAGAGTAAAGACTATCTAGCTCTAACACCGTGGCTTAGTTTTACCTGGTTTTTGAACCCTTTGTGACTGCCTTTTTTCACTCAACATTATATTGTGAGATTCACCTATAATGTGAAATTGTAGTTGGTTCCTTCTTATTGCTCTGTAGAAACTGTTACTGTGCCACAGCTGATCCATTTTGTTTTCTTATTGATTTTAGAGAGAGGGAGGAAGAGAGAGAGAACATTGATTTGTTCCACCAATTGATGCATTCATTGATTGACTCTTCTGTGTACCAAGGATTCAACCCCAAACCTCGATGCATCCAGATGATGCTCTAACCAATTGAACTACCCAGCCAGTGACAGCTGGTCTATTCTAATGATGGGCACCTGGGTAGTTTCCAACTTGGGGCTACTGTAAAACATTATTGCACGTGTCTTTTTTTTAAATCCTCACCTGAGGATATGTTTATTGTAAGAGAGAGAGGAAGAGAAACATCAATGTGAGAGAGAAACATCGATCTGTTGCCTTGTACCCTGTTGGAGGGTTAAATCCAAACCTAAGTATGTGCCCTGACTGGGAGTCAAACCCACAACCCTTTGGTGTATGAGATGATGCTCCAACCAACTGAGCCATCTGGCCAGGGCTCTTGCACGTCCTTTGATGAACATATATATGTATTTATGCCTATGTAGTCTTTCAAAATTAGGACAATTTGCATGAAAAATACAAGATACAATTTAAACACATACACACAGACCCTGGCCAGGTGGCTCAGTTGGTTAGAGGGTCATCCTGATACGCTAAGGTTGTAGGTTTGATCCCCAGTCAGGACACATACAAGAATCAACCAATGAATGCATAAATAATGAAACAACAAATTGATGTTTCTCTCTCTCCTCCTCCTCCTCTTCTTTCTAAAATCAACAAATAAAAATTAAAGCCCTGGCAAGGTGGCTTGGTTGGAGTGTTGTGCCGTATACCAAACCCGGTTTTGGGTTTGATCCTCAGTCAGGACAGGAATGGGAGGCAACTGATTGATATTTCTCTCTCACATCTATCTCTCTCACATTTACGTTCTTCTCTATCTCCCTTTCTTTCTTTCTTTCTCTTCCTCCCTTCCTCTCTTTCTAAAAATCAATAAACGTATCCTTGGGTGAGGATTTAAAAAACAAAAAGAAAGAGAAGGAAAAAAAGGCAAGATCTGATAACATTTCCTTATACCAACACTTGACTGGAATCAGGGCCTATCTTAGGTGGGGGCAGGTATAGCTCCTTTACAGCTGTTCCTCTGTGTTATGTATTACAAACCTAGGCCTACTTATTTTAGTAGCTTTAAAAAAAAATTCAGTAATCTCTTAGGACACTCTTTTCATAAATAACTGCAAAGCTTATTTCCTCACACATTACCTTGTCAGAAAGGACTTTCCTTACCACTCACACTATAAAAAATGACAATTTCCCCCTGAACTATGCTTCCTATTCTCCTTTACCCTGCTTTATTTTTCTCCATTTTACTTACCACCTGGCATAAACTTATTTTTTCTCCTCCAAGTAGAATGGAAGTTCCCTGAGAACAGGGACCTTCCTTATTTCTTAGTCACTGCTGTTTCTTCAGTCCCTGGAACAGTGCCTGGCATGTAGTAGAACTTGATAGATACTTGATGCAATAGTAATAATAACAGCAACCAATACTTACTGAAGGGAAACTATGTACCAAGCAAGCATTGTTCTAAGCACTTTAATAATAATTAAAGTGCATATATTAATCCATTTGATTCTTTCAGCAATTCCATGTGATGGGTAGCATTATTCATTTTACAGTGAGGAAATGAATATATTTATCTTCTACTCAAAATAATAGATACATTTGAAGTACAGTGTACCCATCAAATTAATTAGTCTTTAAATATACTAGAGAAGCTTATTACCTAAAAGGAACTCTTCAACAAATCATTTTTTAATGATGATGTTTTATTTGATAACATGTTTAGTTGCTCCTTAAGTTGTTTTCCTTATATTCAACTTCCAGCATATTAAATTTTTTAGTTTTAGGACTGGGCTTAGATCATGATACAATTAGTTGGAATTTCAGAGATCTGGGGCAGTGGAAGCTGATCAGATTTTGCTATCTGATGGGCAAGAAGTCCTGTTCACCATCTCCCAGGAGTACTGGAGAGGGAGTCCTTGCGCTTGGGAAAGTCCACTTACCTGATGAAGGATTTTAGAACCTAGATCATCTGTCCACCTGTCACACAAAGTACTGATTTATCACTTTGTTAATGGCCCTGTTTGAGATAATGCTGATGTCAGTGTCCCTAGTTAGAATTCTATTTTTTTTCTGTTTTTACTTTTATTAGTATTTATTTTATGCTCATTAATTTATGTATGCAAAATTTATTTTAAGTTTTTTCTCTAGTTTCTTCTGGGATATCTTTTTCTTCTGTGCAACCTCCTCTTTTGGTTTAGGAACAATCTATTCTTTTGTAGTAAGGATCATCTCAGCAGGGCAGGGAGAGCTCATGCGTGCGTTAATCCACTCATGAGCTATGCAACTTCTGTGCTGCATCTTGGGAGCTTTGTGCACCTGGATGTGCTCAATGACCAAAGAATTTACATCTAAACCCTTAAGTTCGGCATTACTCTGCATTAAAAAAAAAATATTGATGAGAGAGAGAGAGACTGCTTTGTTGTTCCACTTATTTATGCATTCATTGGTTGATTCTTACATGTGACCTGACCAGGGATTGACGCAACTTTGGTGACAAACTGAGCTACCTGGCCAGGGCTTTACTCTCTGTATGTTTAAGCTTGTGCGGCAAAAATTCAGCACTCTTTTTGGGCAGGCACCCCTATGTCCAGTCCCACTGTTTGGCCTGGGCACACCTACCAACTCCACCATTGCAACTTTACAGAAGCAAGAACGTCCTTGCTTCTGTAAAGTGACATTCTTCAGAAACTTGGTGGCTTTTTGAATATGCGTACCCTTGATGGCCTGGGCAGTTTCACGATTGTTCTTAAAATGAACACGGAGATTTGAAGCTCTCGGTTTGCATGTTTGTGGGGTTTTCTGCGTCAATCGAATAGCAAAGCATTTTCAGAGGTCACCTCTGGCCACTTTCCGGAAGAGCAGAACTCCTTAATTTCTTTGCTAAACCCAACCCCATGTGCCAGTTGTTACATAGGGAACCTACTCCATAGAACAATGTTCCATAGAACATTGATAGTATTAAAAAGCCTTTGCCAACTGAGCAAAAAGCAAACATTCTCTAGCTCCAGGAATAAAAAGGGAACTACTATGTCTCAGAAATGCTATGTTAACTCTTCCATTGACTGAGACATTCAGAGAAAATTGGACATGGCCTCTCATATTCTTGCCTCATTTAAGTTCTCTGTAGCTACCACCCTAGGAGCGAAAGGGAAGGACTTATCTGTAAAAACGTCACAAATAGTTTAGACAATTCATTGGCTTAACTCTTTTTTTCTTGGCATAGATTAAAATTGCACCAGGCCTTCCAGGATTCCCTAACTGCAATTCCCTTTGGCACTATTTCCAGAAATCTTGTTTGTGCTTCATTTTCCCCTCCAGGCTGTTTTCTCAGATTGAGACTATCATGTAAACTGTTCCTTCACACAGAGCTAGTTGGACTTTTAGAATCCATGTATTAATAAAGGAGATGACTCACCCTCAAAGTCTTAGTAACCACATGAGATCCCCAACATTATATTTTACCAAAAAAGTATATATTTTTAATGACCAACCCTTATTAGCATCTTTGAAAAGAAAGGGCATTAAAAAAAGATTTTATTTACTTATTTCTAAAGATAAGGGAAGGGAAGGAGAAAGAGGGAGAGAAACGCATGGGAGAGAATCATCTATCAGTTGCTTCCCACATACCCGCAACCAGGGAACTGACCTGAAACCCAGGCGTGTGCCCTGACCAGGAACCAAACCCATGACCTTCCAGTTTGCAGGCTGGTTCCCAATCCACTGAGCCACACCAGCCAGAGCAGAAAGGGCATTTAAAAAAATATATTGATTTGAGAGACAGAGAGAGAAATATTGATTTCATGTCCCACTTATTTATGCATTCAGTGTTTGATTGTTCTATGTGACCTGACTGGAGATCAAACTTGCAACTTTGGCATATCAGGACGACACTCTAACCAACTGAACTACCTGGCCAGGTAAGAGCATTTTTACATCAAAAAGCTAGGAGAGAAATAATCTCAGAATAAAGAAGAGTTCCCTACACTGAATAAGCTTAGCTTTATGAGAAACAAATTACATTATCATTACCTTTCTTAATTCCTGGAGGACTCCTAAAAAATTCTGCTCTCCCTTCTTAGACTCCAAGTTGAATCTTCAAATTTCCTTTACTGCTGGCTCTTGGTTCTTATTCTTTTCTGCCATTGATGTCTCTAACAGCTGCTCTTGGATATACACAGCTGTGAATTACTAGTGTTTTAAGGCCACCTAGCCCAGCTGTTTTTTCTTTCTTTAGCCAATTCTTGTGTTGCTCTTTTCACATCTCCATTCAGTGAGTCATAAAACACATCTGCACTTTATTTATTGATTTGAGAGAGAGAGGGAGGGAGGGATAGAGAGAGAGGGAGACATTGATTTGTTGTTTCACTTATTTACGCATTCATTGGTTGCTCTCTGTATGTAATCTGACCAGGGATTGAACCTACAACCTTGGTATATTGAGACAATGCTCCAACCAAGCTACCTGACCAGGGCAATACATCTACACTTTTAAAAAGTTGATCATTAATTTATCTTGGGATTTCCACATTTTCTTTTAGCATTCAATTAAATTAGTTAAATCTACACATTTAACTTTTTAAAAAAAGATTTTATTTATTTATTTTTGAGAGAGGGGAAAGGAGGGAGAGAAAGAGGGAGTGAAACATCAATGTGTGGTTGTCTCTAGTGTACCCCATACTGGGGACCTGGCCTGCAGCCCAGCCATGTGCTCTGACTGGGAATCAAACCAGTGATGCTTTGGTCCACAAGCCAGCACTCAATCCACTGAGTTATACCAGCCAGGGCCTATACATCTAACTTTTTAACACTAATGGACCCACTAGGTTTTCAATAGTAAAATGTGGTTTGATATTACTAGGGAGAATTTTGAAAACGAATGAGATATTTAAATTAATTCAACAAACATTTACTTATATTGGATTACAGCAATTAATAATAAAAATACTCTTGCTCTTAAGCAGTCATAGATTTATTGGAAAGGCAATATATAATCCAGGGGTTGGTTATCTTAAGCTGGGTCCATGGGATGAACGGGTTTGGGGCAGGAGTGTTTAATAAGATTGTAAGGAGCCCTGGCTGGTGTAGCTCAGTGGATTGAGCACAGGCCTGTGAAGCAAAGGGTCACCGGTTCGATTCCTAGTCAGAGCACATGCCTGGGTTGCAGGCCAGGTCCCCAGTAGGGGACACATGAGAGGCAACCACACATTGATGTTTCTCTTTCACTCTTTCTCCTTCCTTTCCCCTCTCTCTAAAATAAATAAATAAATAAATAAAATATTTTTTAAAAAGATTGTAAGGAAACATTTGGGTATATACGCATTTTTCTGAGAAAATTCATTACTACTCTCATTAGATTCTCAACTGAGTCCAAGACTTGCAAAACAAAAGGAAATATTGATGTAAACAGATACATTTAATATACCAAAATAAATTACTATAATGCCAGTATCATGGGTGAACAAAAAAATCAAGCACCCTCCTTATGCTTGGGGGGAAGAATAAAGGTTCACTGATCATAGTCTTGTGATCAGAAGTTGGGTCGGGGAGATTCCCAAGGACATTTGAGGCAGAAAGAATGGCATGTACAAAATTATGGGTTCCAGAAAAAAATGAGTATTTGGGGGGAAAAAAAATCAGCGTGGCTGGAGCACAAAGTACACAGTGAGAAGTATACAGGGCCAGAGATGGCAAGCTTTGGACATTGTGAGGACTGGAGAGAGCTGGGAGAAATTTTTAAAAATAAGTTTTTACACTGTCGGTTGTGTGAAGTGTGTAAGTATTTCTCAAAGAAGATCTCTCCTATCCCTGCCTTACTCAGAGCGTGATGGGCAATGAGATCTACTGTTCCTGAAGACTGTATAAAATCTGCCTTTGCTGGTGTGGCTCAGTGAATTGAGCAGCAGACCGAGAACCAAAGGGTTGTTGGCTTAATTCCCAGTCAGGGCACATGCCTGGGTTTCGGGCTGGGTCCCCAGTGGCGGGCGGCACAAGAGAGGCAACCACACATTGATCTCCTTCCCATCCCCATTCTCTAAATAAAGAAAGAGAATCTTAAAAGAAAAAAAGAGTACATAAAATCTGCCCTCCTTTTTCTCTCTTATTCCCACTGCCCCTAGAAAGAGCTTTTTGGTTTCCACCTTCCAGAAATCTAAAATTTTGGAACTAGAAGGAAACTTAGAAGTTATTTTGGTCTAACTTCCTCATTTTACAGTGTTGGAAATAGCCTGAATGAGGAAATGATTCACTTTCCTCGTTTCCCCTTCCCCCTCTCCAGTTGGTTGCTGGGCCTTTTTTTCTTCCCCCTCTCGTCTGAGGCAACCTTATGGACTTTTCGGGCTTCAACTAACATCCCTACATCCACGATCGGTATTCTCAGCTCTGTCGTTCTGTTCACACCCCCAAAACCTTTCATTGTCTACAGAACACTTCTAGCTGATGTTTTGAAACCCAGCATGTCCAAAGATACATTTTCTAAAGGATTTTGTTTATTTTTAGGGACAAGGGAAAGGAGAGAGAATGAGAGAGAGAGGAACATTGACGTGTGAGACACATTAATCCATGGCTGCTCACATGCATGCCCCCCAACTTGGGACCCGGCCTGCAACCTATACAAGTTCCCTAACCAGAAATCAAACCGATGAACTTTTGCTTTGTGGGACAAAGCCCAAACCATTGAGCCACACCAGTCAGGGCCAAAGATAAATTTATAATTTTCCCCCACCCCTACAAATCTCCTCCAGTTTTCCCTACATTAGAAAATGGCACTTCATCCACCCAGTGGCTAAAGTCAAACCAGGTATCATCCTTGATAATGCTTTTTTTTAGTGCCCCTCCAATCCAATCAATCAATGGATCACTAAGACCTCTCATTTTACCTCCTAAAATGTCCATTTCTCACTGTTGTCATTGCCACTACTATATTGGACCACTACCTTTTGCTTTGACTTACTGTAATACTCTTTTAAAAAAAGATTTTATTTATTTATCTTTAGAGGGGAAGGGAAGGAGAAGGAGAGAAATATTAATGTATGGTTGCCTCTCATGTGTCCCCTGCTAGGGCCTGGCTTGCAACCCAGGCATGTGCCCTGACTGGGAATCGAACCACAATCCTTGGGTTTGCAGGCCCACACTCAATCCACTGAGCTATGCCAGCCAGGGCTATAATACTCTTCTAATTCCTAATGTCTTTTCTCCCTAAATCTATTTCCTACACTGCAGAGTTAACAAATTAGCAACATCTTAAATGTAAATCTGAGAATGCTATGCTCCTATTAACCCTTTACTGGCTGATCATCATTTGTAGTTAACATCTAAGGCTCCTATTTTTCTCCTTTCTGCCCGTGTCCAGTCTTATCTAGTGCCAGTCTCTCTCAGGATGTGACAGTCATGCTGGCCTTCCTTTAGTTCCTCACCAGTGCCAAGCTCTGTCTCTGCTTGGGGCCTTTGCATCTATTGTTTCCTCACTCCCTTCCCTCACCTTCTTGTTATTCTTCAGGCTTTAGCTGAAGGTCACCACCTCAGGGAAAACTTCCTCTGCCCTCTCTGTCCCCCAGGACAGGTTCCTCTGTGCTTTCTCACTGTACTTGGCACAACTGTAATTGAATAATTATTTGCTTACAGTCGGTTTCCCTGACTGTATAAGCTTCAGGGGAAAGTAAACTCTTAAGATGTTTTCTCCAGCACATTGCTTGGCCCTGAATAAATACTGGTTGAAAGAGGGATTGAATGCCTGATCTACCCAGTCGCAGAGCTGAAATTAGAACACAGACCCATCACTAGCACAGTTTCGTTTCCTCAAACTACGAGGGTCACATAAGATGACACCCCACACTCCAGACTTCCTCTCCCTTTCTCCAGTGTAAATACATCACTCTTGTGTGTTCTGTTCAGGGGCCTATTAAAGCCACTCTGGTGAACTAAAAGCCAGGTTTAGAGATTACCTTTCCCCCTAAGAATAGCAACTCCCAGATGACAAAAAGTAATCCCAAAGGAACTAATAAAAATTTCATCATTGGAGGGAGGGAATTTTTACTACCATGCCTTAATGGAATTATAGGGAAGGAATCTACAATATACTGGACTTGCTTTAATGTCTTCCTTTTATTTATTTTTAATTTTTATTTATTGATAGATATATCACAGTTTAGAGACATCGATTTGTTGTTCCACTTATTTATGCACTGATTGGTTGCTTCTTGTAACTGCCCTGACCAGGAATGAAACCCCCGAACCTTAGCATATTGGGACGATGTTCCAGCCTAGCTAGCTGACCAGGGCTAGTTAATGTCTGTAAACAACAACAACAACTTTATCTTCAAAACAAGCCTTTTAAGAAGATGATATTATCCCCTTTTGCCATTTATCGAATGGCTTGTTTAGTAATTTACTTAATATTGCAAATCTGGTGGGGAGGCCGGTATTTAGTCCCACCCCCTCCCAGGTCAATCCTCCATTTATCATACTGTGCTGTTTCCTACAGTAAGTGTAGGCAACTGTTTATAGTTTATACATAAATCTGGGCCATGGGGTTGACTGACCCCATTTTTATCATTTTTTAAAGACTTTATTTATTTCTTTTTAGAGAGGAAGGGAAGGAAAGAAGGAGCAAAATATCAATGTATGGTTGCCTCTCGTGAGTCCCCTGCTGGGAACTGGCCTGCAACCCAGGCCTGTGCCCTGACTGGGAATCGAACCGTGATCACGTGGTTTGCAGGCCCGCGTTCAATCCACTGAGCTACACCAGCCAGGGCCTGGCTGTTATTTTTTTAATTATTAATCCTCGCCCAAAGACATATTTATTGATTTATAGAGAGAGAGGAGGGGAGAGAGAAACACTGATAAGTTGCCTTCTGTACCGACTGGGCATTGAACATGCAACCTAGATATGTGCCCTGACTGGGAATCAAACCTGCACCTTTTTGGTTTATGGGACGATGCTCCTCCTATCAACTGAGACACCCCATTAGGGCCAGGCTGAGTATCTATAAAGAAGGCTTACTAGATTTCTTTTATTCTTTTGGTGGGATCTGTGGTCTGTGACTTCACATTTTACTGTCTTTTCCAGAAGTCCATCACATTTGGTGCCTGACCTTATTCATTCCAACCTTAAAGTATGATTATGGGAAGAAAAAAATTAATTTAGCACTCAATGTGTATTTATGATGCAAAACCCAGTATGTTGTGTTATCATTTATTTTACTACTGAGTCCACCAAAGCCTCCTGTATCCAGGGAGTGGATGGTATCAGGTTGATACTTAACAGTGCATTATTTATCTGTTTACTACTATTTGCAATACCAAAAGCTATTAGGAGACGGGCTGTCCTGGGATCAAATATCCCTGCATGAGTTGGGTTTGTCTCTGATTAAAAATGCTTTTCCCTGCCCTTTAATCACCTCTGGATTCTGGTTCTTGAAAACAGGTTTTCTCTTGAGGGCAGAGCGACACCATGACATTGTGTGTGTCAGATACATCTAACAGCTTTGTGACCTTGGACACAGTACTTAAATTCTGTCTCCTGGGTTGTAAAATGTAGCAACTAATAGGTATTTTGAAGATGCTGAAAACCTTTAATAGGGCTTTGAAAACACAATAACAACAAAACTTAACAGAGCAGGAATTCAAGTAGCATTAATTTCCTTTCTTCCTCAGATAAGGACATTTCCTTTTGAAGTCCATAGACTTATAGATTCTCTGGACTTGTTGAAAGTACAAGAAAAATTTTGTTTAGATGTGTGAGTGTGTCCTTCTTGGAAATAAAGGCCACAGTTTAACAGATTATTACGGGGGCCAGCGACTAACCGGAAAAATTGTAGATTCTCTTGCCAGCAATGCTGAAGGATGACTATCTTTTGCAGGGGATCAAATTTTTGTGAATGTTTTTGTTCTCTGGGTACTGTTACTTTTTTTGCAGTCTGCTAACAGAGGAGGATAACCAGGCACCTGAGGAGGGGGTGTCTTTCTGAGATAGGGATCCCATGAACATTCCCTGGAGGCTCCGTGACTCTTTTCTGAGTTCCTCCCTAGTTGGGGGTGGGGTGCCATCTGCAGCTGGGAAACAGCTTTATTTTATGGTGTCTCAGGCTTCAGGGGTCTCTTCCTCACGGAAAGGCTAGTTTTTGTGGATTTTCTAAAGCTAAAGTCACTCTCTCCAGGTGTTAGCTAAAAACCTCGTGGTAAGACGCAGTCGTCCCCACCTTCCTAGGCCCCAATCCCGAAGCGGTGGGGGCGGGGAGCCAGTGCGAGCCGCTTCCGCTCCTCCAGCCCACTAGAGGGCGCTGCGGTCCCGCCTCTTCCTTTTCGAGGTGCTTTGCGCCGGGACCCTTCCGCGTGGGGTGAGTGAATGTGAGAGTCAGCGTCGCGCCGCGTTCGCCCTGCGCCGCCGCTCCGCGCCCTTATTTCGGCTGCTGGGGGCGGGCGCGCGCGCGCGTAAAGCCATAGAGACGGGCGTTGCGTTCTGGGACTAGAGCGTCGCCGTGTCGGAGCCGGAGCCTGAGCCGCGCGCTGTGTCTCCGCTGCGTCCGCCGAGGCCCCCGAGTGTCAGGGACAAAAGCCGCCGTCGCGCCGACTGCTCCCGCCGCTGGAGCTTCTCCGCCACCGCCGACACTCTGAAGAGAGTCCGCCGCCGTCGCTACCTGTGAGGATCCGAGAGCCATGTCGGCTAGCAGCCTCTTGGAGCAGGTACAGGCCCGGTCCGCATGCCTCGGCCATTGTGTGAGGAGAGAGGGAGCCCGACTAGGCCCGGGCCCGCCGCCCCCGGTCTGGCCGAGCTGAGGCGGCGCTTCTCGCGAGCCGGGTTTCGGGCCTCTCAGGCCGGCCGCGCCCTGCGCCTGGCCCTCAGCCCGCTCTTCCCGCTTCTTCCCGGCCCTCGGCGCCCAACGCCCGCTTCGGCTGCCCTCCTCGGCGGGCCTCGTTTTCCCCCCTTGTTCCCTTTCCCTTCCTTGAAGCCCTGGTGCCCTCGCTTTGCCTCCGGCGCGTCCCCCCGCTTTCTGCCCGCGAGCCCCGCCGGCCTAGCGCTTTCCCCGCCTCCCGTTTACTGCCTCCCCCTCTCGCTGCCGTTCCTGACGCCTACCCTCAGGCCCGCTCCTTTATTCCCTCCTGGGCCTGGCTTTAATTTGTCTTCCCTTTTCCCTTTCTTCCTCGGACAACTTGCTGCTCGGCGACGTTCCCTGTGTCCGCAGAGACCAAAAGGTCAAGGAAACAAAGGTGAGCTCGGCTTCGCCGGTGGCCCGGGGCCGGGCGGGGGGCGCCGAGTCGTGGGGGCGGGGTCTCCGGGAAGCGCCCGGAGGCGCGGATCTTTGGGAAGCCCTTAGTTCGCAGGTGCCGTACACTTAAGTATTTGACCCTTTCGGCGTTTTCTTGCAGCTGGCGATCAGCTTTTTAGCGAACAAGGAGTAATTCATTAAGCGTGGGGGTGGATTCTGTTTTGAAATGTCTCAGGTCCTTAGTTTCCTGTATGTCTTAGAAGGCCTTTGTTTTTCATCCTCGTGGATCACACTCTGGAAGTACTCACATGTGACCGGGGTTGGGGGGGAGCCGGAGGGCGTTGAGATCTGGAGGAGCCGGTAAAATGACCTTTTTGGATCAACTTGCTCTGCGTGGAGGAGACATTTTTACTTATACTGTTCAGCATTCACTCGTATCCTTTCGAAATTCAAACTGGTTGAATTAATTGCTCTGGTTATATATATTTGATTAATTTGGGAGGGAGATTGTATGATTGAGACACTCGTAATTTTAATTTTTTCCCTTTAGTACAAAATGGATCTGTACATCAAAAGGATGGATTAAACGATGATGATTTTGAACCTTACTTGAGTCCACAGGCAAGACCCGTGAGTACTTAACCATTTACATTCCTGATCAAAGGGTGTATATGATTTTTTCTCTTTCTTGTGAATAAGTTACATTTTCAGGGGTGACTTTCTTACTAGTAGGGTGTTATAAAAAGTTGTTACAAATGTTAGTAGACTGTGCAGATTCCCATCTTTTGTCAGCAGACATGTCCTCTGAGACTAATTCTGATGACATTTTACAGTGCACTAGTGTTAACACCTGTTTGAGTAGTTCTTTTGCCTTACCAAGAGTATACAATGCCAAACTTAATCCTTTCCAGTTTAAATATTCTGAATTTTCATCCCCACCCCCAAAATTGGATTCACATGTCATGGAAAAACTAATTAGAAAATCACCTTAGTTTTACTCAGTACTGCAGAACTGGGTATTCTTCCTCTCCTCTGGTCAGTAAAGTTAGTGGGGTCTTGGATTAGAACTATTTTGGAGTTACATACTTGTTTTTCAGGTTGAACTATATCTACATTAATAGAGACCAACTTTGTATCTACCTTTGGATTCTCACTAAGGGTGCTATAGGATTTACAAAATGGAGTTAAAAGAAGATAAAATAGTGTTTAGCACAGGTTAACATCAAGAATGAGGTTTTTGCAATATAATGTATCTTCTAATGTGAATGTAGTTGCATAGAGGTACATGACCTGTGCATATAGAAACTTCTTTAATGTGGCGGTTCTTTTGTATAAATATTTTCTTTCCCAAAGACATAGTTACAAAGTTGTAGCAGATATAACTCCTAGACTAATAGGAGGAAAAGGAAAATAGGCGATAACTCAAACAAAATATCCTAAAAGCAGCAGCTTATGGAATCCTTACATAAATTCTGAGTAGATACTATATGGTAGGTGTAATAGTGTAGAATGACTTGATGTATTGGCATGCATCCATATTGGTGTAATTCTTACATAAAACTTTTAGATTCTTTGTGTGAAATTTTCTGTATTGAATATATAGAAACCACTTAAGCCAATGATAGGAAAAAAGTTTTTGCAGAAAACAACCAGTTAATCAGGAAAAGTAGGGAAGGAAGTAGAGGAATGAACTATTAATAGGTTCCTGCTATTGAAGTAGTTTGCTTACATAATCTTTATAACAGGGAGAGTTGGAGCATTTGGAAATATAATTCTAAGTAGTTCTTGTGAAACATTGTGTAATTGAGATTTTTGAGCTCAGGGGCATGTGGGAACCTGCTCATTCAGGTGTAGAATTTAGCTAAATAATGGCATAACCTGTGGTATTAAGTGCTTTTTTCTCTCCTTAAATAAGCTAAAGCTTAAATGTCTTTATTTTTTAAATATTGGGGGGGGGGGGATCAAAATCTGGTTGAGTAGAAAACCTGAGAATCTTTGTCCAGGGTAGTTTATCTTCCAGAGTAATTCATCTACTTTTTAATCAGTTTTTCATTGTCTTTTGTTGGAATAATCCTTCAGGCTTAATCCAGTCATTACAGATTAGATTTATACATAATGGATTTGGGTTTGTTAAAGTATTAATACTATCTTCAAGAAATACTCTTAATTTTAAGAGATGTCTTTGAAAAGACAGGGCTTTTTTTTGTTTTAAGGAAACTTCAGATTGATGGAGAAAAGCTCTGCCATTTAGATTACATTAGTGGAAACATTTAATCTTCAAGAGATATGTTTTAGTGGCTAGGGAGAAGCACTCAACTTTGGTAATACAAATTTAAGGCCTAAAATAATGGTGGTCATCCAAGTCTCTTAAGAATAAAGTTCTGTATTTTGACTAGTTAATGGCTTCTTATATACCAGAGCTGTTTTGAAGTTAGGGTAAAGTACTGTTGAGTTGAACTGTATTGACATCTATAGAGACCAATTTTGTATATCTCCAGCTCCTCATTTTTTAAAAAGATTTTATTTATTTATCTTTAGAGGGGAAGGGAAGGAGAGAGGGAGAAAAATATCAATGTATGGTTGCCTCTCATGCATTCCCTGCAGGGAACTGGCCTGCAACCCAGGCATGTGCCCTGACCTGGAATTGAACCCCAATTGTTAGGTTTGCAGGCCCATGCTCAATCCACTGAGCTACACAAGCCAGGGCTCTAGCTTCTCATTTTAAGGGACTATATTGTGAGCTATAGGATTTACTAAAAAAGTGAAAATACTTTCAGCACAAACTAATGTAAGATCAAGAATAATTGAGGTTTTTGCTGCGTTAATCTCCCTTCTAACATGAAGGCTATTTGCATATGAATTTATATTTCTGGTTACTTTTTACGAATATTCCTTTTTTAAAGGTAATGGACTGTGGTGTCTTTAGAATTATACTCCTATTTTTAATGGAAAAGTTAGTTGTGCATTTTAGGGTATAGCCATTTGTTTTATAGGAGAAGCAGAACAGGTAGCAACATTTTTTCTAGTTTTAAATCCTCTAGAGGCTACTATATATTTCCTTTCTAGGTTATAATTAAATAGTGACATCTGTTGATGTTCCCAGATAATTTGCCAAGAGGCTACCACTGTAAACTAGGTGTAGTGAACCTTGCTTTTTTTTCTCCCATAATCAAATTTATTTGACATATACCAAAATGTCTTTGTGTATTTTTACATTTTGATAATTGAAAATAAATTTATGCATCAGTATTTTAAAATAGCAAAGATTTATGAACATACATAAAACCATGCCATCTAAATGTTTACTAATAAGATTTAAGAAGTTTACTTGACACACAGACACTTTATAGTGTCTTTATAGTGGTAGAACTTTGCTTTTTGGTTTGTGGTTGAGGAATGGCTGCATAGATTTTTGGGGTAGAATTTGAAATTTCCAGTTTTATTTGTTTTATTGTTGTATCTATTATAGTATGGTTAATAGGAGACTTTATAGAACATTCCTTTGTTTTGCCAAAATTTCCTCTCAAATCCAAAGATACTGGTTTTCATAAAAGCATCATCTCAACACTTACAAGGCAAGACTAACTGTTGTCAAGATGCTGGGTTTTTCCCTTTTCTGAATTGTGGTTCTAAAGTTCGGGCCCACATGAACTATATGTAAGTTAAATTTTAAATGTTTAAACATTACAATTATTAAACTAAAATTTCTTATAAGAAGCAGCAAGTTTATGGGACAAGACCATCTGAAATGGTCACTCTCCTTTTTTATAATAATGGATGAAGTATTTGAATTATTTGAATAATTGAGAGAAGTGTCCTGATTTATTTATTTTTATGTGCATTGTTGATTTGCTTTTTTTTTCCCCTTCCACAGAATAATGCATATACTGCCATGTCAGATTCCTACTTACCCAGTTACTACAGTCCCTCCATCGGCTTTTCCTATTCTTTGGGTGAAGCTGCTTGGTCTACAGGGGGTGACACAGCGATGCCCTATCTAACATCTTATGGACAACTGAGCAACGGAGAGCCTCACTTCCTACCAGATGCAATGTTTGGACAACCAGGAGCCCTTGGTAGCACTCCATTTCTTGGTCAGCATGGTTTTAATTTCTTTCCCAGTGGTATTGACTTCTCAGCTTGGGGAAATAACAGTTCTCAGGGACAGTCTACTCAGAGCTCTGGATACAGTAGCAATTATGCTTATGCACCTAGCTCCTTAGGTGGAGCCATGATTGATGGACAGTCAGCTTTTGCCAGTGATACCCTCAATAAAGCTCCTGGCATGAATACTATAGACCAAGGGATGGCAGCACTGAAGTTGGGTAGCACTGAAGTTGCGAGCAGTGTTCCAAAAGTTGTAGGGTCTGCTGTTGGTAGTGGGTCTATTACTAGTAACATTGTGGCTTCTAATAGTTTGCCTCCAGCTACCATTGCTCCTCCAAAACCAGCATCTTGGGCTGATATAGCTAGCAAGCCTGCTAAACAACAACCTAAGTTGAAGACCAAGAATGGCATTGCAGGGTCAAGTCTTCCACCACCCCCAATAAAGCATAACATGGATATTGGAACTTGGGATAACAAGGGTCCTGTGGCAAAAGCCCCCTCACAGGCTTTGGTTCAGAACATAGGTCAGCAGCCAACCCAGGGGTCTCCCCAACCTGTAGGTCAGCAGGCTAACACTAGCCCACCAGTGGCTCAGGCATCAGTAGGGCAACAGACACAGCCATTGCCTCCACCTCCACCACAGCCCGCCCAGCTCTCAGTCCAGCAACAGGCAGCTCAGCCAACCCGCTGGGTAGCACCTCGGAACCGTGGCAGTGGGTTTGGTCATAATGGGGTGGATGGTAATGGAGTAGGACAGTCTCAGGCTGGATCTGGATCTACTCCTTCAGAACCTCACCCAGTGCTGGAGAAGCTGCGGTCCATTAATAACTATAACCCCAAGGATTTTGACTGGAATCTGAAACATGGCCGGGTTTTCATCATTAAGAGCTACTCTGAGGACGATATCCACCGTTCCATTAAGTATAATATCTGGTGCAGCACAGAGCATGGTAACAAGAGACTGGATGCTGCTTATCGCTCCATGAACGGGAAAGGCCCCGTTTACTTACTTTTCAGTGTCAACGGCAGTGGACACTTCTGTGGTGTTGCAGAAATGAAATCAGCTGTGGACTACAACACGTGTGCAGGTGTATGGTCCCAGGACAAATGGAAGGGGCGTTTTGATGTCCGGTGGATTTTTGTGAAGGACGTTCCCAATAGCCAGCTGCGACACATTCGCCTAGAGAACAACGAGAATAAACCAGTGACCAACTCCAGGGACACTCAGGAAGTGCCTCTGGAAAAGGCTAAGCAGGTGTTGAAAATCATAGCCAGCTACAAGCACACCACTTCCATTTTTGATGACTTCTCACACTATGAGAAACGCCAAGAGGAAGAAGAAAGTGTTAAAAAGGTAACCAGCTTACCATTAAGACTTTTAGGGAAGGGGGAATGGAACTAGAGAGAACAGGAGAGGTATTATACTAAATAATAAAAGCTCTGTAAATAACACAAGTATCAGTGAATAGTTCAGTCCTTTATGTGGGAGTGTGATGGATCTACTGTATGCACCTTAGTGTGAAGGAATGTGGGAACATTAATGGAGGAGGACACAAATGTAGGCTTAAAGGAAAAGAAATGTAGAGAAAAAGAATTTACATGATGCAGAAAGAGGTGAAAAATGAGTCAGAATTTGAAAGGGAATGATTGAAGTGATAATACCATGGAAATTAAAGTAGGAGAAGTTTGAGGTTGCAGTAAGGCAGAGAGAAAAGATACAAGTTCTCTTGGAATTAACTTTTGGCCTAATGGATAACTGTGTTTTTCCCTAAGAGTTGGTATGTCACCAAGTCCTGACATCATCTTTTAGCCTGCCCTTAGACAACCGGCAACGTTAAGGGGATGTTTTTAAGAATTTTCTTGTTCCTATCCTTAGTGTTCTCTCTTTTTTCAAAATCTTTTTTCCATCGGAAAAGTAAAATGCTTATTATATAAAACTTGGAAAATGGATCATTAGAAAAGGCTTTTGCTCTTAATACTTTGTTGTATTCCTGAAGAAGCACTTTCTCTTGTTTCCTTTGCACCAAGTGGGAATCTTGGGTAGAGTTGAATTTATTTGAGAGTTAGTTATGTTTTATCCTTGTGTGTTGGAGTGAATATAAACTTCAGGACCATAAGAGAATGATAAATACTAGTTGGGGTGGATTGTATTTTATCTAGGACTTAGACATATTTATTTATTTGTTTTTAAAGATTTTATTTTTAGAAAGGGGGAGAAAGAAGTGTGTGGTTGCCTCTCAAGTGCCTCTTAACAAGGGGACCTGGCCCATAGTCCAGTCATGTGCCCTGACTGGAAATAAACTGGTGACCCTTTGGTTCGTAGGCCCATGCTCAGTCCACTGAGCCACACCAGCCAGGGGTGGACTTAGACATATTTAAATGTAGGAATTAGGGGAAAGGATTATGGGGAAGGAGGAAATTAAAGAAAAATCTGTAAATGATTTGAGAGAACTCTGAGTGGTTAGTTTTAAATGTAAGATAAAAATCAAACCCAGTGGTGGAAAGGTAGAATAGGGATGCAGGGGTAAATGGTTATGTGAGGAGATTGGACTTGGGGTGTAAATACACAATGCAGTATACAGAAGATGTACAATAGAATTGTATACCTGAAACCTATATAATTTTATTAACTGATATCACCCCCAATGAATTTAATAAAAAATAGAAACAAAACCTAAAATTTTTTGTAAATATATTTTTGTTAAATTTGTTATGAATTCATAGAGAGCATATGTATTTGATCTAGGATCTGAGATGTTTGTTACGGCTCTATAAAAACTTACTCCTTCGAGCATTGAGAGAGGAGGGTCTTTGGTGGATTTTTCACCTCTGTAACACAGGACCAGAGGTGCATAGTTATTCAACTAAAGTAGGAGAGTTGCAGCCTTATAGTCTATTGTGTACAGACAAATAGAGATACACTTGTTTGTCAGTGATGCTAAAAGTATTGGGATTCAGACCCAGATTACTGAAGAGTTGGCTGTTAGAAACTTTCCTCCTTTTTAGTCTTTTAAACTCTCCTCTTTTCTCCACGTTTTAACAGTTTAATGTAAAATCTCCCATAATCTTGTAGAAAAAGACAGTTTACTGGTTATTTTTGCCAGGCATCTGAAAGACACTAAAGATGTCTTCACAGGCTCCTGTTACTATGAGTACAAGGAAGGTAGAGATGACCTTTAGGTACCATGTAGTGGCATGGCAGATATTTAAATGTGTGTGAGGGGTGTCCAGGTGTTTGATAATCTCTCATATCAGTATGCTTTCTTTCATTTGCAAAGTTGTCTTACATCTTGTGATTAAAAGCATAAAGGAAGAGATAGGAATATTTTTAGGGATGCACACTGTAGATGCTAACATAAACTGGTATTATGTGTTAGAATTGTGGCGAAACTTTGGTTTAAAAATGAAGTAGCAAATTTGGGGACTATGTAAGCTTTTTTTTTTTAATATTAAATTTTATTTAGTTACTTTTCAAGTACATTTTTTTTATCTATTTCTCCCATCCCACCCCCCCACCCAGTCTCCCCCCTCCCTCCCATTCCCCCCCCCCCCAGTCCTCATCTCTGTCTCTTTCATATTTGTTCCTCAAAATTCCTCCCCCTTTTTCCCCCTTAAGTTCCCTTCCCTCTCCCCTCTGGTTGCTGCCCACTTGTTCTCTATTTCAGCGTCTTTGTTTTTATTCTGTTTGCTTGTTTGTTTTATTCTTTAGCTTCCTGTCAAAGGTGAGATCATATGGTATTTGTCCTTCAATGCCTGGCCTATTTCACTCAGCATAATGCTTTCCAGTTCCATCCATGTTGTTGCAAAAGGTAGTAGCTCCTTCTTTCTCTCTGCTGCATAGAACTCCATGGTGTATATGTACCACAATTTTTTGATCCATTCATTTACTGATGGGCACCTAGGTTGCTTCCAACTCTTGGCTATTGTAAATTGTGCTGCTATGAACATTGTGGTGCATAGGTTCTTTGAAACTATGTAAGCTTTTAATCAAGTATGATTTGTATTAAAGTCACTTGAGTGGTTTAGTGCGTGATAATTGAATTTCATAAGTAGGTATAAGATTTATATTTTGGAATTGACCAGTCCTATGATGTTTTCATAAAGTGGGTGTAATAATATTTATAGTCCTTATTAACTGATGGGTCTTTCTTAAAACTATTCTGTAAAGACCTTTGAGTATTTTAATTGTTCTCAGGCAGGTGAACAAAACCACCAAGGGGGGGGGACTTCAATTGTACTTTTCTCAGATTGCTTTTTAGTTTATCTTCTATAAGAAATGCTTGCTGGGCTTTCAGGGAGGTCCCTGTGGTTACTTCTAAACTCAGTTACCATTTCAGTCAGTATTACCTTACTCTACTGTTTCCCACTGTTATCCTTAATAATATCCTTACATAAGTGACTGTAAGCTTCCAGTCTTTATTAGGCTTCCAAGACAAAACAAGTTTTATGAGAATGGGAGTGATAGCTTATTGAGGCAGTAGAGAAAGCTCCTTAGGTTGGGTGTTTTGTGTGTGCACTTTTATATTTACAAGACTGCAAAAAATCTTCATGCCAAATGGGCACAGTAACTCAGTACATAGGGAAATACTTAAACTTCATCCTGAAAATGATGTCACAGCTGTTGCAGAGTTTTGAGATTAGGCATGTATCTTGGCAGAACACACTGAAGCAGAATTACAGCTGTTTTTGCCTCGCATTATTACTGACTTGTTCTGTCATGATATAATTCAGTATCATAGACGCATCATGCCTTGGAGCTATCTGGCTTGAAACTTGTATGCTTCAGATTCAGTTTGTAACCAGCATTTGCTTAGAACCATTCCCTAATTGTTAAATATTCTCCAGTGACATTACTTTTGATGACTTCATAGTATTTTATCATAGATACATTGCAATTTATCAATCCCTAATTGTTGAATATGTCAGCTTTTTAATATTTTTCCCAGCTAAAATAGCACTGTAGTGAAAAATATTTGATGAAATATTGATTCACATCTGCCTTTAGTGTTACTACTGGGTCAAAGGATGTATGATTTTTGAAGGTTCGGCTGTGCTATATATTGCCATATGAGCCTTTTTTCCTTCTGAAAAAAAATTGAGAGAATTACTGTTAGTTGTTCAGATGAAGATAACAGTGAGTTAACTCCCTTTGTCTCAATTTTGGAATAGTCTGGCATTATTTAGAATAATGATAATGTTTTTTATAAACCTCATAATAGTTGGTTTAGTTTTCGTCTTAAATTTCTAGCCTTTAACTGTAGGTAAAAATAAGAATAGTAGGAACCACATAATTCTCTTAAAAGCCAAGCCCAATGTTAACCAGGCACTTGGGTACATAATATTTTTTGAATAATGGCAGAGTGGGGAGAAAGATCTAGAGAAGATGTGATTAGTGACAACAACTCAAGGTGTATGTGTATGTATATGTATATTTTTAGAATATGTTTGTCGATTTAGAGAGGAATGGGGGAGAGGGAGAAACATCTATTGGTTGCCCTGACTGGAGTTCAAACCCACATTTGGTGTATAGGATGATGTTTCAACCTGCCAGGGCTCAAGGTGTGTATTTTTTTTTAAATTTATTTATCTTTAGATGCGAAAGGAAGGAGAACGGGAGAGAAATATCAATGTAGGGTTGCCTCTCTTGCGTCCCCTGCTGGGAACTGGCCTGCAACCCAGGCTTGTACCCTGACTGGGAATTAAAACGCGATCCTCTGGTTCGCAGGCCAGTGCTCAGTCCACTGAGCTACACCACCCAGGGCTAAGGTTTTTTTTTTTTTAATTCCTTGCTATTTGGTGAGAATAGCAGGATTTTATAAAACCTCTCACATTTTCAAGCAGAATACCTAAGAATGGTGACTTGGAGTGTGTTCAGATGTACTTAAATTTTATTATGCTGTATAAGAATTGAGATGAAGCTTTTTATCTTTGAACAACTTTACTATGTGCTAGACCATGGGTTTCTCTAGTGTCTGTGAAGGAACCTTACATTAGTGATAAGTAGCAGCATAAAATAGAAAGTGTTTTTTCAAGGTATGCACAGGGTGCCAATTTGGAAGATTAAAGATTGCCTAACCCAACCTGGGGTGTGGGTGGATTGGTCATAGAAAAAATCCTGGAAGAGGTGATCTCTCAGCCTAACCTTGAAAGATGTATAGAAATTAGGTGTTTGGGAAGAGTGAACATAGGTTTGGTGCAGCACAAAGTCTGGGACACTGTATAGATAATAATTTGAACAGGAATTTCTTTATAGTTCAAGAAAGGTTGATTGGTATTTGTGGAATGTGTTTCCCAAGAGGTGGTATTTGGGGAATGTGTTTCCCAAGAGGGAAGTTTGGAGATTAGGTTAGTGAAAGGGAGTTGAATGAATTGTGTGTGCAGTTAGTGTGATACAGAAGGAATCTACTAAGACAGAGG